CTTGCGACCAGTATGCGGTTCAGGAATATTCCTAATGTTGGTGCCAATTGGAGCCAGATGGAAACTGTATGAGACATAGGTAACAACCTCCTTGATGCACTTGATTAGATACGGAGAGTCGACTGAATGAGCGAGTCTTAAATCCTGTTGGAGCGAACTTAGGGTGGTCGTCGCTTAAAGTGAAGCAAGTGAGAATCTTACATCGATTGTAGCGTTCTCCCAAGGAATACGAATCGTTTTTATCATAAAAGCATTATGAAATAGTAAAGTAGTCTAAGCAATTTAAGGGTTGTTAGCACTCGTTACACAGGTTCTTTCTCTGATTCCTCACGTTCATGCCACGTTCGTATTCTTTAGCTAATGACCATTTCGGGCTAAATCCAACAGCTTGATTGAGTAACATCAAACCACGAATCAGGCGAAAAACATTGACTACAGAGCATAAAGCGTCCAAGCGACCGGTTGATGTTGTCAAATTGAATTCAGGTAATAAAATAGATCTGGCCCCATTTGCGTTGATACTATATAATCTTGAATGGGAAATGTCCTTAAGTAAAGAATCAAGCCAAAGAAGAGCGACCTTACAATCGAACCTCAATTTCCGAAAATCAGCTGCATAAGCGAAGCATGTTTTCACATTTCCATAAAAGATGGCACTGAGAGGTTCCTTCATCTTATTCAAGTCCAGTTCTGCCTTGGCAATATTGGTGTCTACCTTCTCTTCACCAAAGACCATAAGTAGATTGTCAAAGTATATTATAGAATCTGGTCTGAAGGAGCCAGTGCTTTGCAAAGGTTGGACATTGCGGCCAATCTCGACAGAAATATTGACGGTTTGTGCAAACAGTTGAAGTGGATTACATATTATAGAATCCCATAGTGAAATTCCTGTTGAAATGAAATATGAGGGGCAAAGTCTTTGTGTGCGATGAAGGCTCATACCTGACATCTCGCCAAGACCAAGTCGCTGTCCTCTCAAGACTAGCATTACGACAATTGCTACGTCTCTTAAAGCAACAGAAGAGTTTGTAGGAATTTGGACAAACTGATTCTTCAGACCAATCAAATCACCAGGCAGTAAGAGTTCGGTGATGGGAACGAGTATTGGTAGTGGAGCAGGAAGTTTGCTTTGCAGGTGTTGCTCAATAATTTGAGTAGGAAGATCACCAGAAAACAACTGTACAGGCTGAAGAAGTTTATCTAATAGTGATGTCCAAAAGCCAGAATCTAAAAATGAAATTGACGCTATTTCTGCGGGGGAGAATCAATTAACCTGTGTTTAAATACCTTGACTAAGAGTGGAAGGCTGCAATCCGGGGCCTACTCCAGTTCGTCTTGGTCTCACCACTCTCAATGGAGATTTGGCAGATGTTGTGATGGCATGCAGTGATGTGTCGGCCTCAAGTGGCATTTTGCATTCTGCATCCATATATACATATAATTGACTTGATTTAATACCATCCAACAGAGTATCGAAGTCTTCATGATTGATGAGATATTTGCAGAGTCCATCGATATCAGTCATAGTGAACGTGTTCACATTGACTTTGGCTGCACGTCCCAAGTCCTCAAGTGCAGCAGATTGCTCGCTTGCCCTGTCAGAATTACGCTGAAAGAGCTGTATCCAGAGCACTACAGTGTCGCTCATCGTTGCGATATGTTTCTTCTGTCGTCAAACAAGAATAACAGGTAAAATGTCCAACTATACATCATGTTAAATAGGCAGATGCGTAAGCCGACTGTATATAGAATTGCATTTAAAATGTAGGGATCTGGTAAGACCATGTTGCTTAACACAGCTCAACGTAAATGCTGCATATGCTAATCTGATCTAAGGTCGGAATTACGCTGGATCTTTATTTTCCTAGAGTTTACAATGGATTACTAAACTATACCTACTCTTGTCTCTTGACTCTTCTTGCTGTAATATGACACTCGTTACAATGGCCTGTCACATGACACTCGTTAAAATGGCATCGGTGCACTTCCCACTCGGTTGGTTTATGGCATTCGACAAGACAGGACAATAGGTAGTGCTCGTAACCTCAAATATGCCTGTTGTATCCTTGTCCTGTCGTACCAAGACCGAATCGCTATACGACAATCTGAAGAATTATGCTCTAGAGCCATTAGGAGCTACGATAATAGAACTAGTTTTTGTTGTTACTGCTGGTGTGGTAGCACGAATGGGGTACTTGGACTCTGTCAAACGTCATGAGTAGTTGCAAGAAAACTTCATCGCGGACGACGCCCCCCACTGTCTTCAGCATCAGAACAATACCACGAGAGACCAGATGCAAATCCTGTACTATATTTTCCTGTCAACGAACTTCGAAATCATTTATTACCAATAGTCTACAGTGAACCTCCCAGTAAAGGTGTAGAAGGACATACGAATTGGGCTTCAGCTGATGACGCATCTCGCGAACGTATAAGGTGGAAGTCAGTGAGCTTATATCTCGTATTGGGATGGTACTTATCAGTAAAGATGTATAAGGACTTACGCAATGGCGTTTAGATGATGACGTATCACGAGAACAACTATTGAAGGCAGTTACTAAAGTTGTAGCACATAATACCAATGTCCGAGAAACTATTATGGAAGTTGACGGTGAAATGCATTGTATATGGCAATGGATTGGAAATGTTTTCGGTTCACCACATCGATCATCTAGCATAGGAGATTTGGCGAATATGGTTGGTACAGCTAGTGGATTTGGTAGTGGATTTGGTGCTGGTGGAAGTGTTGGAGGAGCAAGTGGCAGCAGCGTTGGTCAAGACCAATTTGTCAAGGCAGGTCAAGAAGCTGGTTAAATCACACCGTAATTTGTATTCGTCGTTTGTTGACTTCTCTTTGTAAAGTCTTGAAAATATGAAACTTCTATCTTTTTATTAAAGCAAAATAGAGCACACGCACATCATCGACTTTTTCTTTTTTGAAGTGCTGACGAAGTGAAGTGCTGGTTAAACAGTTCTGATATAGTAAAGCACCATCCAATATCTCCAATAGCTTCAAAAGCATCCATTCCACTTCTCGCTTCATATCACCATTATAGAATTACAATGTTGACACCTTTATGGCTTCAATGACTTTTTAGGCAAACACTCGCAAGATTTCAGTCTCGTCTCTAGAAGGCAAAAAAGAAGATTTGACATTGAGTGACAGTCACTGCAGCCTTCACGATTCAAAACAACCTCAGATACTGTCTCCTGTGAAGATGTCAAGCTGTGTTTCTCAGGTAACCGTAGCATTAGTACGCCTTAGAGAATGTCGTTCCGCCAAGTCCATTGCGATTGTGAACGCCTCACTTGTACATTTTCAGAGCAGTCTGTCGATATATTGAATCTGAATCTTGTGGTCAGCCCCTAAGAAAAAAAAACAACACGAGTTATCGATAAATTGCGTACCTAAACTGAGAAAAGTTTCTAGCAAGTACACTTGAATGGCGTTCAACCAACCTTGACAACAGCAGACAAGTCTCCAATAACATGTACTAGATCGAGACCCTTTCCGGATTGATCTTGTCCAAATCTATGATAGAGTGACGGAGAAATTTAGAATCAGCACTCCTTGGGTATCTTTCGTTGAAACCAAGTTCGAAGCATCAACCAGCAACAACAAGCAAACTCACTGGCATACGCCTAACGCACGACACTCAATATCAAACATCCGCCTATAATCTTCTCAGTATACCTTGGCAGCGGCGCACCACTGTATGTACAACCGGTATCCTTGCTAACAACCCCAAAAGCAGCGTCTCACATCTCCTCCACAATCTCCGAAGAGCAGCTTGACCATCGGTGCTCATCGTGACGTTTTGTTTCGGCCACGATTGAATCTAGAGTTTTGGCCAAGGACCAAAGGGTCCAGAGGCAATCCAGCGCATAGAGCTTTGATGGTTATCAATTGAACCTTTTTGGGGTATTTCGCAGTAACCAATTTTGGAGAATTGTGATGAGCCAAAAATTGGTTGGCAATTTGGTTTGCAAGGTTTTTAACCACAATCACACCTTGTCTTCACGCCACTTGATAGTATTTGCGTCATATCATCCACTACGGCACGTATCACCATTCCAATTCCCATTCTATGGTATGGAAAAAGGAGTGCAATGAGCACCAAGATGATCAACACTAGCATCCCTTCAAGTCCAATCTCTTACTGAAATTTCTTTCAGCAAGCATCTTTGTCTGATGACTAAGCGGAAATCAATACGATGATCACCAGATACTTTCAGCTAACGATTGTTTGTCATTGAATCAGTCAACGTTGAATTGCGGTATTGCAAGTGCCTCCTTGTTTTGCACCACATACCTGCACCAGCATACCTCTCGACTTTCCCTCCACACCTCCTCCTCGCATATGCTAGCGCAGTGGACGTCTTTCCAGTTGCAGGAGGCCTACAAGGCGAGTCAATCCGTTCGGTAACAGTGGTAACACCATCATACAGTCCTCCGCAACGAGACAAAAAAACAACACATGGAAGTCTGGCAGAAGATCATGTGCTGTATAATGATCCGTTACACTCCAATATCAGTCCAGACAAGTATTCCAAGATGACCCAAAAAGCGATTTTCGTACAACCAGCCTAAGGCTTCAACACCAGACAACCACGGCTTACAAACCTTTGATACTACAACAAACACGGAATCCTTTCTATATCCTTCAGCACCGGTGCGTCAGTACACTGTTTCTACTGACTCTGTAACAAAGCTTCAGTAACATGCAAGCTTCAACCATCTATGATGATGGGACGATTTCAGCCACAATGACTTGTACGGTATCTTCGTTTTTTTTACCATAGAAAATGCTAGCAGATGTCTCTTCACTAAGGCACAAAAAACAACCGGAAAACAGGAGCATGGCGACAAATGCACCGAAACTTCGACATGCTGACATTAACAAAAGCCTCAAACATCTTTTTTACATAGTATTTCTCTTCTCCTACATACAAATCTCCCCCACTCTACAAACCACCTTTCTCTCAAAAGCAGCACTTTCTTATGTCACCATAGCATTAGCAGCCTTCACAGAATGTCGCTCCGCCAAGTCCATTGCAATCTTGAATGCACCAATAAGTCCACCCATTTGGATCTTTTCCGAGCAGCCTGTTGATATGTTGAATCTACAGAAGCAAACGGTGGTGGTCAGAGCAATCCCAAAAAACTGGCTGCGGCTCGTATGCATGCGCACTCAATCTCAGCAAACTTTTCCAGCAAGTACACACGACTAGGAGGTGGTAAGTCAATCTTGATGACAAGAGCAGACAAGTCTCCAATAATGTCTGCAAGAGCGAGTCCCTTTTCAAGTTTGATCCTGTCTAGATCTACGATAGTATGGAAAAAAATGTATTAGCTGCAGGCTTTTGATTCCTTCACCACCAAGCTCAACAAACACACTCACTCGCATAAACCTCGCTATACTCTGTATCAAACATCCACCCCATAATCCTCTCAATATCTTTCGGCAGCGGCGCACCAGTACACGTATACACCGTATCCTCACTGACAACCCCGAAAGCAGCATGTGTAGCCTGCAACACATTCAGCACTCGTCTCATATCTCCTTTACACAACCTGAGTAGAGCAGCTTTACCATCCGTCGTCATGGTAACGTTTTCTTTGGCCACAATTATTTCCAGACGGGGTTCAATTTGGTCGAGCACCAAGGGTCCGAAACGGAATCGGGTGCAACGAGATTGGATGGCTGGGATGATTTTCGAGACATAGTTGCAGATTAAGGCGAATCGGACGTTTTTTGTGTATTTTTCAATGACTACATAAGGAGAGTGTGTGTGTTGGTGATATGAGCAAAACAAAGGAGAAAATTAAAGAATCATCATACCTCGTCTTAACGCAGCTTGAGCCTGTTGCGTCATATTATCAGCTTCATCAAGTATCACCATCTTAACCCCCGTTCTATAGTAAAGCAAAAAGAAGTGAGTATTTTCCTTAAATCAGCATCTCTCTACCACAACCCCCCAATCTCTTACTTGAACATGGACATACTCTCCGCAAAAGTCTTTATCTGATCTCTCACCGCATCAATACCACGATCATCTGACGCATTCAGCTAAAATGAATAATCATGTATCAGTCAACACTGAATCTTATAGCGATGCGATCCGCTGTTTTTATGCTTCATATTACCTCCAAAACCATAGCCCTCCACTTGGCCCCATACATTCTCTTTGCACATGCAAGCACCGTAGACGTCTTTCCCGTTCCAGGGGGACCATATAGCAGTAGATGTGGCAGGCGATTCTCATCAATCAGTTTAGTGACTGTCGAAAGTAGACTTGTTAGCATTAACACCACAAGATGCAAAGCAGTAAATATTGTTTACTTGTAGAAATAATATCCTTATGCGATATCAACTCGTCCAATGTAGATGGCCGATACTTTTCAACCCTATTCATCAAATGTGTCAATGTTTTGCGCAGTTCTGGCAACATCCCAACATACACCAAACAACCACTCAATGTATATAGTCATTTACCAAGGCAGATTCTCTTCAGTAGCCTTCCCATTGCCAGCAGCAGCAGTACTATCGGCTGCTCTTCCCTTCCCCTTGAATTTAGCAGTCACTGGAGCAGGCTCGATTGATTCTTCGCGAGCTCCGTCCATGTCGGTGTCAACGTCCATCTCATCTGCCATTATGTATAATGCACGTAAGTGCTAGTGCCTGGAATTGGGTTGATCTAGGTCGAAAATGCACAAGTGTTGGTATGTTTGGATTTGGAAGTTTGATGGAGCTTAGAGACAAGATGGGGACGAATCACGTCGCGATGAGTATTTAGATCGTTTAGATCGATCATTACATGCAGTTTTAAATGAAGTACCGATTGAAAACGCGTAATGCGGCTCTATGCTTGTAATAACTCAACACCTCAATCCCAAACATTTCGCAGCTCACCAACATCACTTCAACTCAATAGACCAAGCCAAAGTCAACCCTTACACCATCACAAGCAATGGCATACCTCCTATCAGCTCCAATTGTACGTGCCCTGCCTCCCATTCTCGTCTCAACATTGCATACCAAACTCACATCTCTCACTTCCAACCAACAGGATTTCCAAGGCCAAAAAGATGTCGAAAAATACACTCACACCCTCCTCATATTCACCGGCGTAAGCCCCTTACACTCCCCTCCATATTCCACATCAAACACTCATGTCAAAGCACCTCATCATCTCACAACATACAGGTAACAGCCTTCCTCATCGGCTTCATAAACCAAAACCTGGCATTGACAATGGGTATCATGGGTGGCGGACTTGCTGTTGTCTTTTTGGTATGTATTATCGTGCAAAAAAAGTCACAATGTCTAAATGAATCATACATATTGAAATAGTTGGGATTACCACCATGGCCAATATACAAACAACATCCAGTCAAATGGTTACCCAAATCTACAGCTGCTGGCGAAGCGCAGCGTGAAAAGACAGTGTGGAAGCAAGTATTGGGGGTCATTGGTCTGTGAAATCGTTCTTAGTATTTCTCTCGTTTACAAACATTTTCCAAGCACCATATATCTCGCACATCTTGTGATCATGTTGTATACATAGAATTTTAATTTAAAAACAAAATGGTATTGTGTACAAGACGGAAACAATTACATTTGATACACTTCCGCTGGCACTTCATTCAAAGTCTGAATCAGACGATGAAGTCCCACTATCTTCTCGCACTACTCTCTTTGAGGTCTTGGTATTTGAGGCTTTCGTCGGTTTACTATTACCATCACTAGCATTGCTTCTCGCCGAGCTAGTCTTTGCAATAATTCCAGCCTTGGTCTGTGTCTTGCCACCTTTAACAGGACTTGATTTGCTACTACCACCACCCTTTCTTTTTGTCGTCGTACTACCGCCACCCTTCTTCTTCTTACTGCCATCACCACCAGCGCTTCCCCTCATCGAATCCAGCACCTTATTAATCCGACCCGACTTATGGGTAACAGTACTGGGATCTTTATCCTGCAACGGAAAGAATCGATGCAGCATGGTTTGGGCACCCTCAGTCCTAACTTTTTGTATCTGTTTAATGACTGGTACGAGGACGGAATCCGTCTTGTCCGATTCCCACGACACATGTTCTTTAAAGAATTTGCGGAGTCCTATATGGTCGATGATGCCAAAAACGAAGGGCGTATCGTCTTCGTGTACGGGTGGATGCAGGTATGCTTCACGGACGCGAGGTTCTGGGAAGGAGCCTGGGAGGTCGATCTTTTTACATTTTTTGGCCTGAGACAAAAACTTTGACGTGAGCAAAAAAGGTCTCGAATTGAGAAATGAATGCAGCTTAACTTACAAACTTGCGCTTAAACGGCGTAGGTTGATTCCTCCCACGATCATCAGTAGACACCACTTCAGCCCACCACTCTCTAAAATCCGCCAACCCATCCTCACCAGGAAACTCATTCAGAATCTCCATAGCAGTGACAGTCCCCACACCAGGTATCCCCTCCGTATAATCACTACCTAGCAAATACGCAATCTTGATCAAATCCTCCCTCGTAAGTCTCATACTCGTCTCAATATCATTGATCGAATACGTTTCGACATATTTCGTCTGATTAAACATATTCTTGTATATGTTCGATCCACCAAACAAGAATACATCCGAGTCTTCAGTCACTATCCCATCAACTAGCCCGCGGATATACAAATCAGCACATTGGGATTCAGCTTCTAGTGGAGCAACTATATATGGAATTCCAAATAGTCGTAACAGCTCTTGTGCATCTGAGGTCATCATCTCGTTGATTTCAGCAGCATCTCGTTCGGCTTTACGTTTAGCTTGGTTTAGTGTCGTTAATTCTTGTTCGAGTTCTTCTCGTACTTCGATTACGTCTCGTTGACCTATTGATGATACGAATTGAGCAAAGTCGTCTGTTTCGTGTTCGGTGGAGATGGGGACATCTAGACGACGCGCTGTGGCATTCTCGTCATCGTCTACTTCTTCCATGGCGTCTTCTTCCATATCTGACGTATCAGCTTCGTCAGGCTCATCATCTTCGTCTCGTATACGAAGGACTCCCGAAGGTGGATTCATAGGTATAGCTGAAGGTGATGGTGAATCATCTATTTCAGGTTGTGGTGGTATCTTGGCATCTCGAAAATCATCATGAGGTGTTACAGGCGATGATGGTGCAACAGAAGGTGCCTTATCTCGTGATATCATGACCACATCATCATCGTAGTCATTAAACTGAAGTCGTGGTCGTTTCACTTCTGGTTCATCGGCCATTTCTGGTTTATCATCGGGTATGCGAGCAGCTGTAAAGTTATCTTCAAACCATACATCTTCCGTGTCTTCATCGTCTTGCATATTATGATTTGGATACTCTTCCGTCATAGCTACTACATCTTCTTGTTTACCATAACTATCCGCATGCTGATCAACATCATCGACACGCATAAAGTCATCACCCATCATATCAATAGGTTCAACGTCTTCAACATCCTTGACTTGACTACTGTTTACACCATCATCCATATCCTCATCCTCATCTTCATCCACAAAAGCAAGTCCACTCTTTCTCTCAACTTTGCTCTTGATCACAGTCCCATTACTACTCTTAACACTGCTACCACTCCTATTCGAAACAGCAATACTACTACCACGTTCCAAGTATTGACTCATCACCAAATCCTCATCAGATTCCCTACGTCCTGTTGATGCAGGTACAACATCAGCCAAGAATTTCTTATTTAGAGCAATATCGAGCTCATCATCATCACTATCGCTCCATGTGTCTCCAAATACGGGACCACTTTCTACGAGAGGTTGAGCGACTAGTTTGCCTCCTTGTCCGAGAACTAGAATCTTACTGGGAGATGAGTCTGGTGATGATGTTTTACCAGTCTGGCTATTATTACTACTATTTGTTTTGTTGGTGGTAGTGCTTCTCAAGGACGGGAAGGATATTTTCTGTTGGGATGACTTGATGGAGGTGTGGTGGGATTTCAGATTTGACCTTTTCACTTGTTTTTGTGGTGTTTTGGGTGTCTGGGAGGAAGATTGTGATGGGATTGTTGGTTTTGCTGCATTAAAATATGGTGACGTTGAAGCAGGTACTTGTGATGCTGCTGCCGGCGTCACTGGAGCTTCACCAGTACTAGCTGCAGCATCACCAATAGTGTCAGCGGTGGCCTCTAAACGTAACGAGAGTGTTAGACGCAGTTTGGTACTGCTAGGGTGCTTCGTGAGCGATTTCTTCAAGTTTTTTCGCATGTTACCTTCGGCAGGATGCGCCAACTTCCACGCCCGAGCAACCTCCAGAAACTTCTGAAAGCCTCTCATTTCAACGTCCCGGGGACTTCCTTTAGAAGCCTCTGGCATCTTTTCCCTTCTTTTCACAACACTAGTCAATTCATCATCGACCTGCTCCAAATGCCATACCTCCAGCACCTCCTTCATCCTAGCAGGTGTGTATTCCGTAGTATCCGTATCTACTGGATTGGATTGCGAAAAGTTGAATAATAGTTCAGGAGCAGACATGAAGGCTAGCGTTGTCATTATGTCTTCTTGAGTTGCTGATGATGAGGCGGCCTTGTCATTCTTATTGCCACTATTATTATCAGTCTGATTCACAGCTTCGTCTTCTAAAGCTTGAAATCGAGACATGACTTCTGCTATACTCTGATCGTCACTGACATAATTGCCTGCATCGATACTTAGAGGGGAATCACTATCACGACTAGCAGGCTCGACTTCCATGCTATTCGACAGCGCAGCTTCAATATCCTTATCGTGTTTGTCGTCATCGTCTATAAGAGTAGAAGCCGCAGCGAGAGCTTCTTGGTCAATCTTGACTTCTTCAAACTCATCATCATCACTATCGTCAGTCTCGAATTCAGAGTCCTCGTCTATAACTATAACGGGAGCCTTTTTTGGTTTATCAGACTGTGTAGGCGATGAGGTGGGTACAATACGATTGTTGTCGACTACTTTTTGGGATTGAGCTGTTTTCAGGGTATATCCTCCACCATCAGCATCGTTATTCTTGACGAGGAAGAATTCTCGTTGCCGTTCAGAAGCTATACGTTGCGGTATTGCCTTACGACCTTTACGTTGACCATCTTTGGCCTCGCCTTGTTCTGCTGATCCAGGTTTACCACTTCCTTTCGTGAAATCATAATATCGTTGAGTCAACGTGTTTCGATTAACCAAATTACGTATTTGCATTTTAGAGAAATCCAGAGACGTCTTGGCATTCCTTTGCATCTCATCCAGACGAGCAGCAGAGGCCTGTCGAGACTTGGTTTTCAAGCCGACAATGATTTCGTGCTGTATTTCGAGAGGCAATGACTGGAATTGTATCGAATCTATATCCACGTCCTTTAAATCAACAGTTTTCTTGTGTTCGCTGATAAAGTCTCTCATTTCTGCTTCGGTAACTAGACGTGGATCGTGACTGGCAACAGTGACTGACTGCAAATCAGGCATTTCAGGTAGTTCGTACTCGTCACCTTGCCCTCCTCGTTTCCGTTTTTTATGATGTGGATGTTTGGCTCCGGCCAGCAAGTCTACTATTTCTCGTTGTACGTTTGTTCGTTCGTCATCGGATGCCTGCTCTGTATCGGAAGTGACGTGAGCTGCTTTCGGCGTAGGTTGCCTTTCTTCTTCTTCATCATCGTCAAGTTCCTCGGTATCTCCATAATATTTTACGTTGGATTGAAGTGCAGTAATGGCATCTGATGACACACTGTGTGGCATAGATATGTATTAGTCGGAGGCTTCTTTTGCGTTTGGTTTCTCATAAGATTCAAAGCAACTAGGATCAACAGCTTACTTGATATTTGAAGAGCCTGGACCACCATTCTTCTTGTTCTTCTTCTCCCTCTCAATCTCATTCAGTGCAGCAATCTTGACTTTGGCAGCAGCCAGCAAAGCAGCTGCCTTTTTAGCTGATACGTCTGAAGCGTTCTTCCTCTTTCGACGTCCTTGCTATAAAGGAAACATAGCATGAATTTCAATAAACAGATCTTGATTCAACTCGACGAAAAGATCAGCTCCAAACATTTCAGAAACTGACCAATGTGATCTTCTTCAATTCAGGAGCTCCACCATCAAAGACAAAGATGGGCTTGATACCAAAAAACAGCAATTTACATATTCGTCGAAAGAAGCCCAGTATATGCGATCCGTTTATAGCTTTGCCATCCTTGTCGCGCATCGACTTGATGAACTGATACAGCCATATGGAAGCATCAACTGCGACTCGTTTGCCACTTAGAGTCTCTAAGCGAACCGGTCTGGCACATGGCTCTACAAGCGTCCAGAGTCCTTTTACACCCATCCCTATAACATAGATGCTGGTTTTCTGAAATTTTCGATTTCAAGAATTGAGGTTACAGGAACAAGTTAAAACGATATTGACGACACGTCTATATGATTAAATGTACTAACCCGATATGTATTTAATGATAATAAACCACCGATCGAAAATGTAAAGCGTGTGATTTGCCAGAAATCGCGTCCAACGTCAACACAAAACCAGCAGCGCCAAACTGCGTTTAGGGTTACGAAATTACGACAGTATTTGTATTCCACTCTGTAAACATCTACCTGGTCTATCTCGGCGAATCGCTTCAATCGCTACGGTAATATCAAACTAATTGAACTCGTTTCTCACATTAGGAATATCAAACCAACCTCTATCTTCCTTTTCTTTCTCATGGACACTCGCCGTGAGTTCGACAACTACCTGCAGCATACTTCGTTTCGTCTAACCATCGACCATCAATACATCAGAATTTGCCCCATTCGCAATCTTGGAAAACCAAGGTTGGTTTAATTTTGCCAGAACAAGTCTTGACATACCAACTCTGCATACATCTAGTCAGACCCTTCCTATCAGAGCGCCTAAAAGAAATGAAGGCTAATGGCTTGCAGGAAGTACGAGTACGGGGTGTCATGGCTGAACCGGAACTGTATTTCGTGCTCACATCCAAAGATGTCTTATTGGATGAAATGAAATACAAGTTTTGGAGTGGGCTTATAGACAGTTTGACTCGAATGGGAGGATGGCCTGGCATGGGTGATGAAGCATCGTTTAGCAAATTCGCCAAGCGACCAAACTGGGAACCCTTACGACTCTGAATGGCAATGGTAAGAAGGTGTTCATTTAATACAACGAATATGATTTTTCAATTCTCTCATATAGCTTAAATTATCATTGATTTGGTCTTTCAATTGCGTCGAAAGAATCAGCATTGCCAGCGGATTATGGCAAAGTTGATATCTCACATCATGATATGCAACAACATAATTCGGCCATTCGTGCAGACCATCAGCGTACAAGACCGGTCCATGAAAGTCCCTCGATACATGCAGGTGTTTGACTAACTCTCCGAGGGCAATCATGTAAAAGCACATTCGATGTCTGCTTTCATCAATATCATACCAGTTGGGTAAATTAGGTGCTAGAACGAAGGGGATGTGTTTTAGACTCTAAAGTCTCCAAAGAAGATCTTATTTATCCGATGAGAATGGGTTCATGGGCTGTTTGCGACGGTACAAATCAGTGTGTATGTCAAAGAAAAATCAGCCTTAACATCATTTTCAGAACAACAGGTGGCTTCCCAGCAAGATTGCCAACTACGAAGATTGGTATGCGCAGAATCGACCGGCGATAATGAATCCGCCAAAGAAGGTCAGCAGTAGACAAGCCATGATGTTTAAATCAGAGCATGGTTGGTAGGGAGCTGCCAAGGACGTCTGCTTAATCTAGAAATGAGAATGGGTTGGTCAGTCGTTTAGAGTGTATCAAGTGTCATTCAAGTTGTACTCGTCAACAAGAAATAAATAGCAGTGTTTACATACCTGAATATCGAAACTGTGATTCTTTGCCTTCTCTTCCCAAAGTAAGCTCTAGTCCACACCCGAAAAAAACAGCGCCCACAACCAACCCACCATTCACAAACAGTATGAGTATATTATCAATGCACATTTGTACAAATACCAACAACCTGCTTTGACTCCCTTCAACCTCCAGAAGCAGCCGCAACAGCAGCTCTAATACTCTGCTCCCCAATATAATACGGACCCCATTTCTTTACAAGTCTCACAGATCTCGGAATGATGGCATACGTGTCCCCTGTCACTTTGTCTCCAGACTTCGCAATGTATTTCATTACTTTGCCGATTTTTGTGCTCTGAATTGTAGACGCGAATGAGTTGGGTTACGTCAACAATATACCAGAAGGGACAGAATCGTTTTTTTTTTACCTTGATGAGACCAGCAGCAGGCATGCGTCCATCATCGTAAAAGTTCTCAAGGGCTTTGAGAGCTGCGTCTGCTTTGCTAAAGTCTTTGTCGTCCAACTAGCATTAGGAAGGTATGATGAGAGCAGAAAAAAGACGATAATATGGAAGCATTCAAGATCAGAACAAATCATATACACACCCGCCATCCACGATCAATCTTTTCCCAAAACTTTTGAAGTTTGGAACGAAGCCTCATCATCCTCTCGTGTTCTTCTTCTTCTATTTTCAAAAGCGCGGCATGTTGATTCGAGAGACTCTTTTTGCAGTATTACAATACCGTACCTGTCTCTGGCATCTTAAGACTCTCTGCATCCTCCCCATCCCTTGAATACCGTCTCGTGCTCTTTGGAGTGTCCAAAAACGGATTCACGTCGTGCTCCTTCTCATTCATGACTGTTTCCTACAAAACATAAACGTATCTCAGCAAAAAAGAAGAACCTCGATGAGAATGCATTGGCTTACCACGACAGAGAGCGCATCGGCACCATGCATATCCCTCACTCTCGAATTCAAATCCACATTCATAGCAAACTGGAGCCGAATCAATGCACTGTCTAGTCGACGATCGAGTTCTGCGATTTCCTTTTGGCCTTGGCGAGCTGTTAGGAGGCCGAGGACGTATGTTCGTTTTGCCTATAGCAAATGTTCGTTGAGTTCTTGCAGTTTTTTTTTGCAGAGAATGAGACGATTGTACAAACCATACATTTTGTATATACACATCAATCTCTTCAAGAGCCCTATCATATAGTCATATAGAAACGTTAGCTACAACATAAACCAAACCATTCCAACAACATACCTCCTCAAACGCCCCACCAACCGCACGCTACCAGCCCTCTCCATCTCGACGCAGTTCGCATCCACCATCTCCACAACCTCGGCCGTTTTCTCAGCAAGATCATCAACCGACAGGATATTCACTTTGCGGAGGACAGCGTTAGCAGCAATGTTTTGACAGAGTAGCAACAGACCGGCGAGGATGAATCCGGTCAAGAATGATAGGTAGATAGGGTTGATCGTGAGTATTATGTCCGCGTATGGGGGGTATGCTGCTGTGAAGGATGGACGCATCTGGTTTTTGATGAGATTTTTGTCAGTCAGTCGGGTGGTAGTGGCGCAGGGTTAGGAAGCATTCGTAACGTTTATCTGAAGTGATGGCTGAAATTACAAAGAGACAAGTATGGCATTCAGCGTACCTTGATGTCAAACTGATTGTGGGGAAAGTCTTAATTATTCACGTGAAAGTGGCCAGCAAAGCTACATGACGAGAGGCCAATTAATCCAATGCGATGTTCCAGGCGCGAAGATGCAGGCAGTTGGTACTTACTCCCAACAAACAATTCGGTCTTTCCTTTTAGTGACGAAACTTTTTGCAATGTCAAGAGAAAGCTTTGCAACACAGTTTCTCCCCGAAAACCATACCGATCGCTGTTTTTTAAATTATCACGCTCTGAAAATGCTATACGTGTTGTATCTGACGCGCTTCTCAGCGGAAATTATTCCACGCACAACTCTGCTGCACGCCGAATAACGTTATATTATCTATCTCAGCATCTATACATACACCAACAGTTATTCTAACTAGCCACACCTTCACCTCCCTCTTCATCGTCATCCTCTTCTTCTTCCTCATGCCTCTCATGTTCATGAGCATCAGCTTCGTGTTTCTCCTTGTCGTCATCAGCATGTCCCTCGTAATTCTCAAGCACGAGATCATTCAACCCCAAGAATTCATTTTGCTCCCATGTTCGTTCATATGACTCAATAGTCATGTTGGGATCTGCATCTGGTGCGTATGGATTTTGCAGATACTAGTGAGGGAGAAAAAAGGGTGTCAGAATGTGTTCATATTGTGCAGCCAACAAGCTCAACCCATTATCACACAAAACACCAACTTACAGAATTCCCAAGCGGATCATCCAGCACCAACGTCCACTCCACCTCCATATTCAGCACCTTCTTAAGCTTGCCCAAAAACTTTTGGAAAGCCGACCGTCGCGTCTGGTCACCCGAATCCCCATGCAAGAACGGAGTACGACTTTCCAGTTCTTCGTATATCTGAGTCAAGAGCCCCTCAACGGTCGTGAAACGACCTCCAAGTGTTCCAGAGCGTAATTCCAGGTCTACTTCGGGTATCGAGAGACCACATGTCTCTGATTTCAGGATGTCGCGAGAGAGGTCGTCCACGTCCTGGACTTTGAGTGTTATTTTCTGGCCTAGGGGTGATATGCCAGAGCCGCCCTTTACTTCGTTAGATTTGTAGCCGCACGAGTCACAGTTTGTGGCCATTATAACTACTTCTTTGAAGTGGGGTATGTCTATGTCGGGTTTGGATTTGATTAAATGAGCGCAAAAAAGAAGTTTTCAGGCAGTCAAGAGCACTGAAGCTTACCGATAATCGACATATTGGTATCTGACGGTGCATGACATCTCGAACATACACCTTTGAAAACCATAACATCAGGTGCATCCGAATCACTATCATCATCTTCCCCATCTTTTTTCGTTTCAGCAGCTTGCGCCGATATTCCAAGCGCTTCATCCTGTTCAGGTGTCCGTGTATATCTCTCAATCTTTATCTTGGGATCTGGATCTGGTGCCGTGAGAGATTCAATATAGCTGTTTCCGGCTGGATCGTCGACAATGAATGTAAATGGCTTTTGGCCTGATGTATACGTTTTTAGCGTCGCGAGCACTGTTTCGATTTGGTTGTATAGGGTCTCGTCTATGAGCTACAAAGTAAGGCATTGGTATGAGAGATGGCGCAAAAATCGTGGATATATGCAGAAGTGATACTCACCTTTCGTTGTGGTTGATTCCCTTCCAATCCTTCAATAGCCTTGGCAACCATCCCCTCAATAGTAGTCAGGACACCACGTTGAGTACCAGCAGGTATTTCAAAGTCAGCCTCCTCAATTCGTACTGTAGCTGACTCTGATTTCACGACTTGTCGATTCATATCCTGTGTAAAAAAGCTCTTTGAGTCAAGCCCATCTCCACCACTTCGTAATAAATCTAAGACGTATCAACTGAATCTACCTCTTTCGAATCAATCCGACACGTCTGCTTCTCTCCCAGCTCCTGCGTAATCGTAGCAGACTGCACCTCACTATTTCGAAATCCGCAATGTGGACATTCAAATGCCATCAATACAATCTCGCGGAAATGAGGTATCCTTGTTAAAAGCAGTCTAGTAATGCCCTATGCAGAATGAATTGAAAATAAATTAGCTTAACTCGCATCTTGAATAGTAAGCGCCAGCTTTTTTTTCACACACATTTTTTTCGCAGTTCATGCAATAGCTTTCAATCTCCATAGGTGCCTCATGATTGTCCACACTGAGATCTAGGATGATGGGATCCGGGGCAGTAGGTGAATGCTCTGTCATGGTTGATGAATTGTTGTTTGAAATGAGTCTGCGTGAGCGATCGGTTTTTGGTGAAATGAGCGTCAAGCTTGGAAGCTTCGAGCTTTCTCGTTGGGCGAGTAGCAAAGAGACTGGATTTCGTATAAAATAACGTGTAAAACGTGTCCTGATGAGTCTTTTGGCAAGTCGAAGGTGTTTAGAGACTGAACGTGCATGATAAAAGTGACTATCGATTGTGATGACTCATGACGATCAGCGAGTGTTTGAAGCTTAGCACGTGCTTTGGCCTTTTGATATTTTGATCAGTTAAAGAACTGATCCTGACTTCACTTGATTCATTTCCGCTTAGATCCAAGGCTCTCAATTGATCGTGATGAAGAACGTGATGCGCAACTTCAAAATTGATTCAATGTGCATTAGAACGATCCACGACGCCAGACTATATACAAATGCCTCTCCACTCTCCACCCTCTCCAGCTACATTTAGGCATCCAGATCACCCCAGCACATGTTTGGAAACTGGACGATATATTCACCCGAACCAGAAAACAAGGTTCGTGCATGTGTGACGTATTTCTTTGTCGCATAAAATCATTGACGACAATAGAGAATTTTGCAGCTGGTGAAATCTGGAATTGTGCGGTATAAACCTCATCAACAGTATTGAAACAGGACATTCAAGCCATGTCCACAGAGAAACAGCAGATGGTCATTGATCAGCCCAAGGCAACCACTGACAAAAGTGGACGACGCTACTGCAAGATCTCAAAGATACCGCCGCATGTATGGCCTCTGGTGTTGATTTATATGTCTGTGCTGGTGGATTTTCGTAAGTGGAGAGTCGTGTAGAGCTGTGATGATCGTTTTTTGGAAATGTCCACCCTCTGTGTGGTTTGACTGATTTGATCATGAACTCCTTTTTAGTGGGTGGATCTATTGCAATGCCGTTACTACCTCAATTGGCATTGTCGTTGGACGCTGGTCCGACTGTACTTGGGCTTGTGTTTACCAGTTTCCAAGGTATGCATCACATCGCACACACACGAGATTGACGAAAGTCGAGTTCTTTCAAAAATCAAGTTCATTCGAGCGACGATTCACCTCAAACATGTTCAACACTACTAGTAACGGCACTACTCGCCACTCTGGTGCTCGGAACCGTCTCCGATTGCATTGGCAGGAAACCTGTGTTGATTTTCACGCTGATCTGTAACGCTGTGGGGTGTGTTGGTGCAGGTCTCGCACCAAACATTTGGGTATTGATTGCAATGCGGTTCTGTGCCGGTATTGGAGGAGGTTCTTTCTTGGCTGCTTCTGGGTATATTGCTGATACTGCGCCTGCCGCAGATCGACCACAGTATGTGTGCTGATTTGTTTGCTGGTTAATACAGTTTTACTAAATAACTTATTTTGTAGGTATCTGGCCTATCTCGCAGCCTGCACCTCAATATCATGGATTCTGGGCAACCTACTGGGATCCATCATTGCTCAAATAAACATCAACGCTCCCTTCCTATTCGCCGGTGGAGCATCCGCAATCGCAGCGATATTCACTCAAATATTCCTCAAAGAGTCGCTCGCAAAAGAGAATCGACGATCCCTACGTACTATCTTCTCTCGCACAAAACCAGACCCCATCTCTGCACCACCAGCCGATATAGAAAAGGACGTAAAAATACACCACGAAGACGAGGAAGAAGAAGACACATCATCAACCAAAACGCCACCAAACGAACTACTCTCCATACCCGAACCCCACGAACCACGTAGATCCTCCGTGTCCATCCAAACACCTGCTGAGCTGTTACTGCACGCAGGTGCCATCGACAACAAGCAATACGACGGACTACGCGCACCCGGCCGACGACGATCGTCCATATCAATGGCGCCTGGATCTATGCCAAGTGTACCCATGGTGGTCACAATCGACGAAGAAGAAGACACGATAAAGGATGGTGTGGTTACGCGACCGGTGCGTAAAGACACCGATTATATCAAAGTGTTTGTAGTGTGTCTGGCATTCCTATGTGCACAGACGGGATTCTCGGCGTTTTATACCGTGTGGAACTTGTCGGCTTATGATCATTGTGAGTGGTAGGATGTTTTGTTAGGTCAAAGCACAGGAAATTGATACTGCTTTTTTTCTGTAGATGGATTCTCCACGCAGGGTGTGGGTGTCGCATATGCTGTGCAAGCCATCTTTTTCGGATCCATGCAGTATGTGTTTCTCGTCCTTTCAAACCCAATCTCAATCCACATCATACTAACTCACATATCTCCTCCAGAGTATTCTTTGGCCGTGTCTCCAAACTAGCCTCATACCCAACCCTCATGATAATCGGCTCCATCCTTATCGCACTGGGCGTCGGTGTAATACCATCCACAGAACCACACGTACCGGCATTCGTACTATGTCTCTACATAATGACTTGTGGAATCGCAGTGTGCCAGCCGTCTTGCATGGCATTGTTAAGTACACTGGCAGATCCGAATTATAATATGGGGCAGATTCTGGGGTATAGTCAGACATCGGCTATGCTTGCTAACGCTCTGGGGTATGTTGTAATTGTGCAGGTGTGGTGTTTTTGGAATTGTTATATCTGAAACGTTGTTGGTTAGGCCACTGTTACTATCATCGCTCTACGGATCCTCGTTCTCTCTGCCGTTCTATGCGGCCTCGGGCATAGCATTTGCTACAGTCATCTGCATGGTGCTGTATCGATTCATACCTTCGATAGAGAAGAGGAAGGGGAAGAAGAACTGATTTGCTTCCAACAAATGCCTTCGGACACTTCTTTTACGAGGAGGTTTCGAAACTGTATCTAATCAAAAACTGATAATCGACTAATTCACATTGTTTAAACGATAATCCTGTTGTCAAACGTCTTGCTTGAATCAAAAATATCCAAAATGTAAATGGAATTGCTAAAGCCAGACATTCTTGTTACGCTCAATGTGTGCTCTATTTCTGTTTGCAAAACAATTCTTTTATCTTCCCACCGATCCCATAGTACCTCGTATTCTGGCTTATTCCAAACTTTCTCGTTCATGGCATCCCAAACTTCGAGTTGCGAGAATATGTCAATGCCTTCAGGCTTCAATACATACAGTTTACTAGGTGTATCACGTACCACCAATTTGTTGACTCTCACCGATAACGAGTTAGCAGAATACAAAGATAAAAACTGATTGTCAATACAATGCCGGTAATGAGATGGGATATCGAGCTTTTCTCTTATTGCAACTCAATACAAAATTACATTAACTAATGATACTTCTAAGACCTCATTCGATGGAAGGGAATGCAGTTGCGAATTCCACAACCTGTTTCTTCAAATCTGATATGGCACTGATGCTAGATCCGTCACCCACTGCTTCTTTAAAGTCTTTTAATTTCGTGCCTACAGCGAGAGAGAAAAAGTGAGCCAAACTTTAAACATCGCATGCCACGTTTCTTCAGAAACTTGACTTACTCGACAACCCCTTCGACACGTCCTTGGATATCTTGATGGCTTGATCAATGAATGTTGTGATTTTGGTAAAGTCGGATTCGACTAGTCCTCGTGTTGTCATTGCAGGTGAACCTTTGGAAAGGGTGTCAGAAAGAGAAAAAAAAAACATAATTATAACGCATCTTCGTTTTTATACCCATACGAAGTCCAAATGGTATCAAAGCACTCTTGTCACCAGGAACTGTATTCTTGTTGGCAGCGATATTAGCCAACTCTAAAATCCTTTCGACACGAGCACCATCTATTCCCTGTACAATACGAAAGTTGGTGAGAATTGACTTCGTTCTTCAAGAAGGAACAAAAGCGAACTCAAAGTGATGGACTACGTGTACACGTACTTGAGGTCTCAAATCCAGCAATAACAAATGCGTATCAGTTCCTCCTGAAACCATTTCATAGCCCAGCTTCTTGAAAGCTACTTCCATAGCTTTAGCATTCAATAGTGTTTGCTTTTGGTATTGCACAAAAGCAGGATCTTTGGTCATTTTCAATGCTACAGCCAATGCAGCGATAGTGTGATTGTGTGGACCACCTTGATGGCCAGGGAAAACGGATTGATTTATAGGGTTTTCCAAATCGTACATGATTTCTAATACGAAGGCAAAAAAAATCAGTCTAGAATAGACAAGAATGGCATTCTTGGACGGTTACCTTTGCCCTTCTTGTCAACACTTCGAACACCCTTCCTGTAAAATATCATGGCTCCTCGTGGTCCACGTAAGGACTTGTGTGTGGTTGTTGTAACGATATCGGCATCATTGAATGGAGATGGTACAACTCCTGCAGCAACCATACCTAACATATGGTATATGACATGTGAGAATTTGATGCTTCTTTTGAACAAGCCAAGTTTCATCAATGTAGCCTTACCACTCAAATGTGCAATATCAGCCATAAGGTAGGCACCAACACTTGAAGCGACCTACAAAGTCGTTTTTGAGTCAAAGACAAGTAAACCCACAGGAAATATCAAATAATACCTTCTTCATCTTTGGGTAATCCCAATTACGGGCATAAGCACTAGCGCCAGCGATAATGACTTTAGGCCTATAAATAGATGCGGTCTTTTGCAACATGTCGAAATCAATCGTGCCCGTCTTTTCATCTACACGGTACGGCATAGACTCAAAGTAGATGGACACCGCAGAAATCTTCTTGGTTTCAGTTTGGAAACCGTGGGATAAACTGGTATTGGTTGGGTGAAAGTAGTTCTTAGAAGCTTGCAAAAAAACTCTTACTAGGCATAGACGAATGAACTTACTGTCCACCATGAGGCAAATCAAGACCCATGAGTCTATCATGTGGTTTCATGATTGCGTTGTATACGTATAGGTTGGCAGGAGCACCTACGAGATCACGCTGTAAGATAAAAGATGTACGAGAGCTGGGCCTGTATAGCACTAAACCGTACCAGACAACGCTTGTACATTCACACCCCACTTTGCAGGATCTAGATTGTATGCCTCCAATGCCCTCTTTTGACATAATCGTTCAGCCATATCAATGTACTCGTTACCACCATAGTATCTACAGAGCAAACAAAAAAATGGAGTCAATGTCTATAAAGACATAACACAAAGTCAAGTTCCAACTCTAACCTTGCACCAGGATACCCCTCCGAGTACTTGTTTTGCATGACAGAGCCAAGTGCCTCCATAACAGCACGAGATGTAAAGTTCTATGTATCGTAAGCATTCAGATAGCTGTCCCCTTCAAACACTCAACAACATTCACTTACTTCCGATGGAATCAGCACGACACTTTCACGCTGTCTCTTCTTTTCCATTTCGATAATCTTGTAAATCTCTGGGTCGACTGTTTTCAAGTGGGCTTGAAGAATCTAACATTGTATGGTTGATGTCTTAGATTTGTGGGTTTGATGCCAAGTTTGGAATGCAGTAAAGAGGAGATCGCGTGTTATTAGTTACCGAGACATCGGTCGCCATGCATGCTCGCTGACAGACATTATGCTAAAAGTTGGAAAGAAAGTCAATGTCAGATATCAAATGTTTTGCAGACAAAAGCTTTTTTTCGACGCAGGCATAGGGAGGTTAAATGATGTATAGGAATGGACTCACCTGTTTGATATGAGTTCCTACGGCTTTGGTCACTCTACGGGCTGTTATCGAAAACATTTTTGGCTGCTCGTCGGAATTCCAAAGCGTTTGTGAACTGGTCTCGCGGAGCTAGGTAGAGTAACAAACCAAAAGAATCAAGAACTAAGACAAATTGTTCTCGACAATAGTGATGCAAAATGCCACGTAATGAGATCTACGCTGGAACTGCTCTGAAGTCGCAAACATGTGGAGCGACTGTGTGGTCAAAACCTACTTGTTAACGAGATCAATCATGGACTCCTTCTGAATGATTACAAAGACGTATTTCCAGGTATCGGCTCTGTCGTGAAGAGGTGCCAGAGGCAGCGAAAAAAAGAATGAACCCATTCTGAATATGTCAACCAGCCAGTAGCACCGTTTCAATTTGGTCAACTGCCTATTATCTAAAATCCTCATACATCAAGACACAGACAAATTATAGTCTTGGAGAATTGTCCACCTTCTTCCCAACAAACGTAGCTGGTTCAGGCCATGTATCGAAGCAGCTAACCACCGCCTCGTATTCAGCAGCAAGACGGAATATCGTCTCTTCTTCGAATTTACGCGTTACGAGCTGGATTCCACATGGAAGACCTGATTTTGTCAATCCTGTTCGAACCACGCATGCTACGTGAAGAATGCAAGTTAGATATAACAACATGAGCAAGCTGGAGGCGACCTGTTTTTGACATACATGGGTGTCCAGAGTAATTGAAAGTTGAAGTCATGTTGACCATTCCCATGATGTTGAAATCTGTATCGTCGACTTTTGCAGGCTATTGAAAAGGATTGAGACGTGTTAGAATGCCTGAACAAGGCATACACTTCCAAACAGGTTATTTTTTCCGGGGTACTAACCCAAGTTCCGTCGGCCTGTGGTGGATCTAGCACCATTCCGGGACAGATGAGAACATCGTATCCAGCATCGGCGCCAAATTCCTCACGGTCAGGGAAGAGCTAAAGGTAACCTCGATTACAAAACGCAAAGCAAAGCCTAGAGACACAGTGGATGCTTTAATGGACAAACCTGTTCAGCAATACTGGCATTCAGAGCAGAGATCTTCTCACAAGCTTCTCCAATCTCTTTCAATCCAACTGTTTTCCCAACATGCTGCAAGATGAATGCAAGTTGGGGTTCGAGCTGATCCCATTTGCCTTCCATGTCCTAAGAGATGGGGTTTGTAAGTAATACGCCACACATTAAGATACGTTCTGCAGTTTCATACTTTGTGGACCTTCGTGTACATATCAGCAAAGAATTGAGCAGGAGAACATCTACACGCCAAAAAGAAATTCAGAGATAAGTAATGGAATCTTTGCTACTTCGCAACTCACGTCCTAACATCCACAAGCTTAATCTCAGTAGCATCAACAACAGTATGTCCCAAAGACTTAAAAACTTCCAGTGACTTTAGCACGGATTCCAATATATCAGCTTGAAGGAAGTCAACAGTTCCGAGATCCTTGCTGAATGCAATCCGAAGTCTCTTGCCAGCTTTGGGGTCCTTCATGGCTGCACGAACGACTTCTTCATAGCTGATGGTAGGTTTGGGGACGCTGAGAGGGTCTTTCGGGTAATAGCCTGCTGTGACGTCCAGATAGATGGCGCCGTCTAGCACGCTTCGCGTTATTGGGCCAAAGTGTGATAGTTCCGTGAATGACCTATGAAAATGAATGTACGTATTTTGTTAGAATCAATGAGCATTGTAAAAACAAACGCAAAACCTTTACATGGGTTTCAAGACACCAGCTCCAGCCATAGGAACTCTTCCATACGTAGCCTTCATTCCGAAACAGCCAGTCCATAGAGCAGGACATCTTATACTTCCACCACCGTCTGATGCTGTACACATGGGAACCATCCTAGAAGCGACTGCTGAAGACGAGCCTCCTGATGATCCTCCTGCGAGTTGAAAAGTGTTTGTCAACAACGTATCCTGACTACGATATGATCAAACTGCACCACAGGTCCTACCTGGACTTCTCTCCACGTCCCAAGGGTTTCGAGTAATACCATACACACGATTGAAACTAGCAAACGTCCATCTGTATCAACACAAAAAATAACATCAGAATCGAAGACAATGCCAACCACGACCTGGGTACCAGAAACTTACCCATGAGCAGGTGTATTCGTCTTTCCAATACAGATAGCTCCAGCACGTTTGAGACGTGCGACTCCAGGCGAGTCACGCTTTGCAATGTTGTTCTTGTATACAGGGTTTCCCAAAGTCGTTGGCATTCCTATAAACAGCGTGAGTTCACAGGTACTCGCAAACCATTACCAACATGAAAAGAAGGTCAAAGAGAAATGCACAAATAGGTTGAAATGTCCAGCAAAAGAGCAATGAGATGCAGGTATTGCATTCTGAGCCCCAAAGTTCTTCTTGTACTCACCATACGCATCTTCAAGATCCTATGTCAACCAGCAAACACGTCAGATGGACGTTACGAATATTTCCTGTCATCATACATACCTTGACTCCAAATGGCACACCGGCAAACTTCCCAAGTGGTTCGCCTCTCTTTTGCTAAAATATGGTGCGATCATGGGTTTGTCTTTTAATGTCACCTCTGCATATAGCGATGCAGCCATACGAAGACGCAAATCTCACCATTTCAGTCAGCTCTCTCGCTCTCTTGAGAGCCCCTTCAGTGTCGACATAGACAAAGGCGTTCAGAGTTGGGTTTCGTTCTTTGATGCGTTGTAAAGCAGCTTGCACTGACTCCAAGGGAGTGATTTTGCCAGATTGTACCATTTCGGCGAGGACGTGGGCCTCGAGGTCCATTAGATGCAGTGTCATGGTTGGAGTTTCTTGTTTTGCGGGAGTGATGTTTGCTGTGAGTGACAAAATGCAGTTGTGCGAAGGAGGAGCTCGTTCGTTTTCTCGTAAACTGTGGAGAACGGAAGAGGATCAATTACATAGTACTATGTTATATTATTGGATTTCGCTCCGGTCACAGCGACCGGATAAGCTCAAAGCTGCTTTTCAAGGTACGATGTGTTTGGTCGATCATTGCGTAAAGCTACTAGAAACTGAAGAGCTTGCTGGGAGTTTGCACGTTTCAATTAATTTCCATTTGGAATTGATGGAATTGTGTAATTACAAGGAGGCAGCGCGCCATCCACGTAATCCAACAAGCTACGCTGCTGCGACGACATTCGTTTACTACTCTTTACTCGATCACGTACATGACATTGAAAGGAAGAATACATAGTCTATTCCATGGGAATATGTTGCCAAGTACTCCGACAGTTGTCCGACATGAGCTAATCAGCGCCACCTACAGATCAGATAGAAGCGGCCATCCTCACAGCCGAGACACATGTGAAATCAAAAATTTCTTTGTTACGTTGAAACAAGGTGCATCAAGACGCGACGTGAAAATTATAGGAGGTGGCCTTGAACGTTGGGATACCTGGGTTTCTCGTCTGGACGGATTTCCCAGTCAGTTTCTTAAAAAAGTTGTGTGTGTGCCCACACGCTCACGCAGATTGAGGCCATCAACTGTCGCAACCAGGTGCGGTCAACGACAAATTTTATCGTTAAATGTCAGGAGAGGAGCTCGAAAATGGAGTATACCACGACGAAGAAGTGGATATAGCTCTTGATGGTCCAGTTAGTCTTAATACCGGGAAACCCAAAATCACCATCCCTGCTACAAATTATAACGATGACGAGAACGAGACAGACAGTATAGCTCTAGGTACGCACCACTGCTCTCTCCCACTTCCTGTTTATGAGTCGCGGTTTCTCCTAGTCTTGACAAAATTGGGATTTTTCATTCACCGACAACATGGCTTGAAAACATCACACACTTCTAACCAATCCGTCTGCTTTTTCTGCTCACAGACGACCAGATAGATATCGGGGAAGGCTTTGTGTGGGCTCTGCATACTTTTGTGGCAAACTTGGAAGGTTTGAGACGATACGCTTCACACGTTTGGCGTTTGTGCCTGTGGCCCTAACAGCACATTTGATCTATCCACTAGGACAAGTATGTGTGCTGAAAGGCGACGCTCTGGAACTACTTGATGATTCAAATTCGTACTGGTGGTTGGTGAAATGTATGAAAACCGACGAGGTACAATAACAAACGATGCAAACAGACTCACGTTACGTGTATATCAGTCTCTGATCTTTCCCATTTTCGCATCACAGATTGGTTATATACCCGCCGAGAACATTGAGACTCCATTCGAGAGACTAGCCCGACTGAATCGGCAACGAAACGTTGCGCTGATTGCACCTGGAGATGCCGACATTGATGAAATAACGCAACAGGACGAATTCAAAGTGAAGCTGCACGTCAACTTTGCTGAATCTCATACCGTCATTATTGAAGAAATAGACGAGTATGAGGACGGCGATGAGGATTTATCAACTGGTGGTGATAGCAGTGAAGCACCGGAGCGAGACTCGGATGGAGAATCGCTGGGTGAATCTGTTTCGTCATTGGATAGTAAGAAGAAGACGAAGAAATTGGGATTCTTCTCGGTATGCATCTGCAAAAAAGTTCATTATGGGTTATTTCTCCACGGTTTTAAACCTTTATTATCTCTTAGCGATTACTGGGTCGAAGTACATCTTCCATGACATCGAGCTTCGCATCGCTGACCGGGTCGGGCCATTCATCGAAAGAAGCCCTCGTCAAGGCTAATGACATAACTGTCCGATCAGCTTCCAGGAATGACGAGACATCACCATCTCTAGACTCAGCTGTTGCTACTGAGTCGGTAAGCACATTTGCAGACGGTGTTAAAATCAATCAAACTACTTGGGCTCATGGTTCCTTTTTTGCAGCCAATAAACGTGCTACGGATATATGCTGGAAATGTAGATTTGAAGGCCAACTTCAAGACTGTAGCCATCAAGAAGGGCATGTCGGTTAGAGATTTGGTTGATGCAGCTTTGAAAAAGTTTAGGATATCAAATGCGAAAGATGGAGAGTATTATGTCGGTCTTCTATTCATGGACTCGCGTAAGTCGTTTCGTCTTCTGACCTCACTGCTTTTTTTTTGGATCGCTAATTTTCGCTAACCCATGATTTTTGTAGAGGAAAAGATATTAGAACCAGAAGACAGTTTCTATGATCACGTCGACAGTTTAAGGCATCGCCACTTACCAGGTGTAGCTGACTTCTCTAAATTGTCTCGCCATGTTTCGAAACGAGGACTCGTATCTTCAGTCCGCGTAAATGATGATACCATTCTGAAAGTGCTACTAAACAAAAGATACGGAGACAGAGATCAACGGCTTGTGCGTGTCTTTCTATATGATGAATCGGATCAAACTGGTAAAATCCGATACTACAAGACTATTGCCGTAACGGACACTACCACCGTTGCCGAGACCACTTCAGTCGCTTTACGAAAGTTTAATATAACAGATACGCTGACGACATATCGATACAGGCTACGTAGTGTGATAACAGGTGTTGAAGATATCCTGGATGATGATGCCATGACTGCTGATGTGTTGGTCAAGGCTGATGCAGAGGGAAAAGATGTCACATTTGTATTGACGAGAGAGCTGCTGGAAGGTGCGACACCGCTCCCATTAGGTGCTTTGGGAGCAGCTCCAGATATTGCGCCAGATGGATCACTGACGAAAGCAGATATGGAAACCATACTGAAAAGCCGGCCTGCCTTTCTCGAATCACCTACCAATTCGAACGACTCGACACCAAACATATCTGCATCGCCGTCTCTGGAAAGTTTATCGGCTGCTGCTACAGGAGATAGTAATAATATAAATAGGGTCCGAAATGTGCCTGCTAATTTACGAACAAGTACTGCTACACCAACAAACGATATTCCAGTAATTGCACCACCGAGTGTAGAGCCTCCGTCGATGGTCGTTGTACCAGGTGTCTTGCCATTTGATTCGTTGCTTCGACCTAAACTTGCACATACCACGGCACCATCACCATTAAGTATAGCGCACCTACCTGCCTTGCCAGCATCTGCAGCATCCACTGCACCATCATCTGTAAACGCAACACCATTATCACCACATGCACCAACACCACTAAACATAGATTCCAAATCCGCTCCATCGTCCCCTCTTGTTTCAAACGACACCACCAACAACACCAATAAATCGGCACCAACCACTCCAATGCAATCAAACCCAACATCACCACTGAATGCAATATCCTCGCCTACATCGACAATAGCAAACAAACCAGCATCCCTGCTGACAATAACAAATCCACAACAACCTGATGCATCATCCCGAAAAACGTCTTCTGCATCGGTGCAATCCATACCGCAATCAGCTACATCGACCACATCAAAGGAACTGAGGCGGACGGAATCCAACCATGGTTTGAAACCTAATGGTATAAATAGCGCTACACCGTCACTACGTGCTGTTGCTTTATCGCCTGTAGCAGCAGTAGCTCCGTCACTCACAGTAGAAACCACTGACGCCACACCACGATCATCAGTAGGATCCAGTGTCCCACGGTCGTCTGCCGCATCCAGTATACCCAGATCATCAACAGGCACCGCACCCACATACACACTAGACATGCCAGATTTCAGCACAATCAGTACAGTCTCAACACCACCGCTGCAACCTTCTATAAATGGTACCGCCTCATCCAGTCTAGACCGCAACAACCAGTCCAGCTTTGATATAATGGAACAATATCTCGACGAGATACTGAAAGAGTCGGCAGATACATCCAAACTGGAAGATTTAGAAGCGAAGCTGAAACAGAACCTAGATTCCAAATCGAGTATACCGACACCGCCCATGACGACCAAGAAACGCGATTCGTTGAGACAAGACGTGCTGAAACGGTTGTCGATATCAGGTGTATCGTCCATCGCACCAGGATCAAACATTACTAGCAGCACAACAACACAATCACTTCGAGACGTATACGCAGATTTCGAAGCATACCTAGACGGTGTCGAATCAGGTCCCGTAACACCCGTATCAAACACCAACGGAATGATACTCAAAAACCCGTTAAACGGTCTCGCATCCATTACTATACCGGGAACGCCCGTAACACCAATAACAGATTACGGAAGCTTGAATGGATCGGCGTTTAGTTCGATCATTGAAATGGATTCGGCGCCGGCTTCTGCTGGTATGCAGCAACCGGGGGCGATGTCACCTATGGAATATAGCACGACGAGTGCGAATGGGGTTATACCTAATGGGATACAGAGTGTGCCGCGTAGTCTCTCTGGGGATGGTGTGACTAATGGTAGTGCGCCGGCGTCTGGTGCCCTGTTGCCACCGCATCTTGCGTGGGATGAGAAGGCGGGTGCTAATATGGGGTCGTTGGGACGGGTGAGCTGTTGTGTCTGTGATTGTGAACAAAGTTATACTTGTTCCTTGATCAGGGTGGTTTTTTGCTCACACTTTATTGAAATAGGATTTGGAGAACTTGCTAACCAGCGCATTGATGCAATACGATGAAACGTCGTGAGAACTTGATTTATTTTTTGGGGACTTGTACTACTATGGTTTGGCTATAAATAATTATATATTCGCTTTTCGCTCATTGACAAGGGAGTTTTAGAGAAATTGAGCTGGCCAATCGAAGCGTATGCTATGTGAAAACACGTCCATACTCTTGCGGTTTGAGTTTTAGGCAATCTATTGATTGCGGATAAAACTGAATCTGCCACCTCACGTTTTCTTTTCTGCAACACGTAGAGACTACGTTGTACTCTTTACGAGTCTGATAAGGAGCTGACAAGCACGCCAAACAGGTACGCATGCCATGCGATTCTATAATATGTCGTCCTATCTCCAGTTCTGCGAACCACCACGGTCCACTAACCTCCAAACATTTTCCAAACTATATCACACTAGCACCAACATGTCTGCTCTAACAACCCTGCAAACCATGCCCCGCGACAAGCTCCTCCTCATCCTCGCATCAGCAGCCGGTCTCGTGTCCATCCTGTCTCTCATCCGATCCATGATGACAAAATTCGCAAATATTAAGAAATTGTCGACGCTCAAGACGCCTGAAAAGGAATCCTTCTTTTTCGGATCCCTCGGGAATCTGCTGGATACCAAGCTCGGTGTTGAGAGGAACTCTAGGCCGGATTTGTATGTCGCGTTAATTAACTTTTTGGGGATTTTAAGGTCTGAATTTGGGTTTTACTAGCAAAACCGGAGGCCCGATTGGGAATCTGGCGTATACGCTGGGCGGATCGTATGTGCTGTGGATGTGGGGCAAGATGATGCCGTTTGGAAGCAGTATGGTGGTTGCAAGTGACCCGCAGTTTATTGAAGAGTTGTTGAGTGCAAAAGTTATGGATGATATGGTTAAAGGGAGGAGTTATGATATTACTGCTGATCTTATTGGAAGTGAGTCTTGAAATCTGTACAAAAAGGGACTACATGAAGGAAGGAAAATGGGGTTTCGACCTCGCCGATGCTTGCAAACCTGAATCATTAACTTTTCACTGAATTCTTACAAGCTCTTACATTCTCTTTGGCTCATGACTTCATTCTCATTGCATTCTGACTTCATTCTTACAATCTCTTACATTCTAGAGGGTATCCTATCCAACACTGGCGAATCTTGGAAACACAACCGCCGTCTCGTCGAACTAGGCTTCCGTCTCGAGAACCTGCGTTTCAGTGCCAAACGCATCAACACAGTCCTCGACCGTCTCATCACACGCTGGAAATCCGACGCCACGACCTTCCAAAACCAAGAATTCGACCTCCGTTCCGAAATGCTACGAACCACAATGGACGTTATATGCCAAGTCGGTTTCGGACGCGACTACGAGTCTCCTGAAGAAGCGGCCAAGATCTCATCCCCCAATAATGAGTCCCTCTGGCTGGTTTTCCAGAATATACTTGATGACATAGCTCTTCGGGCACGTCAGAGGCTCATCCCTTGGTATCAAATCTGGCCAAACTTTGGATATGCGGCACGTATGAAGTGTCTTAATACAGCCGTGTCGGCCATGATTGATGATCGGTTGGCTGCAATACGGGATGGCAGCATCAAGAAGGATTTGGAGGCCAAGAATAACGGGACGCTGCTTAATGCTATTGTGGATTTGGATGAAAGCGGGAAGATGATTATGAGTAAGAAGCAGATGATGGATGAGATCAAGACCTTGTTGTTTGCTGGGTGAGTATGTCTGTATTAGTTTGCCAAAAGAAACGATCAGCCTAGCTCGTAACAGTTCTGAAACTCGTTCATTCTCATAACTTAGACATGATACTACCGGATCTGCTGGGTCATGGGCATTCCAAGTCATTGCGACAAACGCCGAAGTTCGTGGCAAACTGCTGGCGGAAATCAAGTCATATGTTGGTGAAAGGAGACCAAGTATGGAGGACGTTGATCGGATGCCATATCTTAACGCTTTTCTTAAAGAGGTAAGGACTTGCACCGTCCAAAGTTCTCTCTGTCGGTTTTGTTTAATCGTTCATTTTGTCACCATAGATTTTGAGAATGGTAAACTTGTGTTTATTCTTCCAATTTCATACCGGGTTTGTTGCTAAGCTTGCACACCCTTATAGTACCCTTCCGCCGGTTTCACACGCAAAGTAGTCCACGATGTAACCTTGAACGGTCACATAATTCCAGCCGGTGTGGAAATCATGGTCCTGCCCAACATTATTCAGAACGACCCCAAATATTTCGGCAGCGACGCCAATGTTTTCAGACCTGAACGCTTCCTTGATCTTGATGAGGTATGGTATTCCGTCTACGCCAAAAAAAACTGTGACTTGCCATGATTCACACAATTTCCATTGTAGGTTCCCCGCGGCTACCTCCCATTCTCACTGGGTCCCCGTAACTGTGTCGGTATGAAGCTCGCTCAACTCGAACTGCGTCTGGTCGTGGTTCGTCTTTTGCAAGAGTTTGAGTTTATCTATGGAGATAAGCCTGCACCGCCTGTCCTTTTAAGTAAGTTCAAGTTTGATTCGAGTAAAATGGCAGAATGCAGTATATGTTTCTGACGGTGGTTTTTTTTTTTAGCCATGACTCTATCTCCAAGTGAGATGCAAATGAGAGTCAAGCCCATCAGGGCGTAAATTCCATTTTTCTTCTAGGCGACGGTCCTTTTAAGAAACAGCATTCCAATTCTGGGGTGTTTTAATAAGTGCTTTTTTTGTCATTCATTTTTGACTTTTGAAGAATGATAAAAAAAGTCAAATTCCAACTTTGCTCTGAGCTCATTAAAGTTTTATTTTATCGGAGAAGTTTCTTCATTGGTTGTTGATGTTGATTGTCGAATCTCACGGGCTTCATGAGCTTCATAACATGATAACGACGCAAATCGCAAACTGGAACAGTTGATACTAGGAAAAGGAGCACAGCGCCACGTGCAGTATATTACATGAAAGCAAGATGCTACGCTCCTTCACCTTGTGCTTGTCACAAGATTTGGTTGGGAGTCGCAAATTGGTGATCGGTATTGCCTGCAAAAACAGCTCTACTTGCGCTGGAAGCATGATTCACACATCTGCCATTTAGGTTCCCCGCGGATACCTCCACTTCTCACTCGGCTCCCGTAACTGTGTCGGCATGAACCCCGCCCAACTTGAACTACGTCTGGTTGTGACGCGACTGTTGCTAGAGTTTGAGTTCAGCTATGGAGACAAGCCTGCACCGCTTATCCTTCTTAGTAAGCGACCTTGTCACGATTGAAAACTACGAGTATTTGGTATGAGTCTTGTAACTAACTTTCCGTCTGCCTAGCCATGACTCCATCTCCCAGCGAGATGAAGATGAAGGTCAAGCCCATAAAAGCCTAACCATAGTTGGTAGAGCTGAACTCTTACAACATGTCTGTGTGATTTCTTTTCTTAACACCCCAAATCTTGTAACTGGTATCAATGTAGTTTTTGACCAGAGAGTTTAAAATGTTCTTTTTCAAAAAAAAGAGCCGGTTTGTTCTATACAAAGATGCTTTTGTTTTTCAATTATTATGCGTCCAATGCGGCAGTTGCAGTTTCTGCCCGTTGCTTCTCTATGAGTTTCATTCTTCTCTGGTAGCTAATGGGAGCGTGAGGTGTCAGCTCTTGTCACAAGCTTTGACACAGCAGACCAACAACACTTTAACATCCTCCAAATCCCAGTCTCAACATGAATCAACAATAAGCAAATCCTCCCAAACACTCAACTCGTCATATTGGCATTTAGTCCATGCCACACGCTGCTTTTCGCAAGTCCAAGGCAGATAGTAATTGTCTTGCCGACATTGATTCAGCTCTGGTAGTAAATGAGCGCAATAGTCACGCCAGGCTACAGGAATTCGTGACTTGGCCATATCTTCTTGTGAAATGAGCATTTCTAGAGTGGTTTTTTGTTTTGTGAGTTTAGCTGCTATAGCGACGCTTGAGGAGGGTAAAGGGCAGGATGGCGGGTTTAGATGCATGGCTTACTTGGTGCTGCTGTGTCTGTCTCCTCGTGATGAGCTTCTGCGGATACCATTTTGACAAAGTGATGTTGGTTTGCGAAAGTTGGGTGCTGGGAGATGCATCACCTCTCGCGTTCACAAGGATAGTATTGATATGTGATACTGACGTTCTCCACACGTGCTTCAGCGTTGCTGCTATGCGCATAGGCGTATATTACACGATATTTTACAATTCAGACAATTCCGCACGTATCTCGTCTTCCACTTCAACTATATCCTCTCGATTTGACTTGAGCTCCTCTTCCAACCCTGCAACCACGCTTGCATACTCCCTTCCTGTAAGTACCGTCTCGGCCTATATCAAAAACGACCGTGAGATCGTCAGGCCCAACGCGACAGTGACCTCTCCGAAGCCACATTCTCGTCAACCCTTACATTAACGACCTGAAAATGCACAGTCAACTCGAGCTTCTTCCTCTCAAGTTCCTGCACTTGCGTAATCAAGGCAGCCAAATCCGATCGACTGCATTGCGTACAGCCGTCCCGTATCTGCTGTATTGATATCGAGACTTGATTGAATTTGGCTGATATGGCGGCCGTCGATGTAGCGTATTCGGAGTCTGTGAGGTCTTTCTTTAGGTATGATGAGTAGATTGTGGCAAGTTCCTTGTAAATGTCTCGGCGTTCAGATTGTTTCTTTTGGAAGGACTGGAGGAGTTTCAATGGTGTCTATAGATAGTGATTGACCTCGTTAGAATGGATCTGTTGACGAGATTCTTGGTTGCAAAAGGAGCTTGCAATGATATTTGTTGACACCAGTGACCGTCAGTAGTATTCAATCGACTTCAAAAGGCTAAACGACTCTTTCTGTAGACTTACTAGATCGCTCTCTACGGTATCTGGCACTGGCATGGCCAGCATTTAGTTCAAATCTCTACACTTTCAGCTGGGACTCTGATTTGGACAAGGATGCATGGAAGATCAGGTAGAAAGGTTGTATCGGCAAAGCACTTGTGCCTAATCAATGATAGTAGTGACACGTAACTGGACCTCGTTCACAGTCAGAAACCTCGTAATCTTGTGCAAACCGACAAAGCTGATCGACGCGTATTTTGGCCGCAAGCTCGTTTTCGTGATATAAGCTTCCTAGTACGACAACGTGCCAAATATAATTTTGGACTACAATGAACGACCAGCAAAGGAATTGGCGTCTCCTTCGCTATTCTACAAGATCGATGCAAGTCACGACTCCCACGTTTTGACAAAAACATAAACTACCAACCCGGAAAGGCAGTCCTTTCTTTTCTGAACCGCGATACAATACTGAAACATGAGCACCGGCAAGGTAAGAATCTGCTTCTCATCTACACGATTTCCTTGAATCATCCAAAAAACAACCAAACTGACACTCTCAAAATTATACCGCCTTTCCCATAGTGGACGAGACTCATTCGCTTTGTCGCTCAAGATGGCCAAACCTATTTTGGTCAGCCAACATCTGTCGATAGCAAAGGCTACCTCCCTTCTGGCATCAAGGTAAAGATTGCTGGAGTGTATACAAGTGTCGGCCAAACTCTCAACATTTCATGGTTTTTAGGCTCGAGTAATCACTGGAAACCCTCTTGGAAGTTACAAGATTACGGATCAGGTCGTGGAGGTTAAAACGCTGCTGGCTCCTCTGGTGAGTGAACACTTGTGTTACGTTTTGAGTGTTGACTTGAATCTCTGACGATGTCGTGCCTGTAGGAACGTGTACCCATGTAAATACCTTCTTTCATTGCGCCACCTCGTCATCCCTTGGCACTTTTGCTGTGTTGTCGAGATCTTGACATAAGCTTCACATACCCTACAGATTCATTTGCATCGGCCTAAACTACCGCAAACACGCCGCCGAAGCAGGCATGCCAACACCACCGCATCCAATTATATTCACCAAACCATCTATGGCTGCTGCTGGCCCTGACGAAGCTGTTCGTATCCCGAAAGTCGCGCAAGACAAGTCGGCAGACTTTGAAGCTGAGCTTGGTGTTGTTATTGGCAAGACTTGTCGAAATGTTTCGGAGCAGGATGCGTTGCAGTGTGAGTATAGTTGCTTTTTGGGGAGATTGTTGTATGTGGTTTTGCTGAAAAGTGGATTTGTGGTGTTAGATGTTGCTGGGTATACAGTCTGTAACGATATCTCTGCTCGCAAGTGGCAGCGATCGACGTCGCAGTGGACGTTTGGAAAATCGGTAGGTTCTTATGGACAGCTTGAATCATCGACTTCCATGTTCTCTAACACTCGTTTGTCTCCACAGTTCGACACATTCGGCCCATATGGCCCTCAGATCGTCTCAACATCAGAAATCGCGGACGCAGGCACACTCGACTTGAAACTGCGCCTAAACGGAAAAGAATTACAAAACTCAAACACCTCAGACTTGATATTCAATATTCGCCAAATCATTGCTCATTGCTCAAAAGGGACTACACTGGAGGCTGGAACTGTGATTATGACTGGTACTCCTGAGGTAAATGTTGAAGCACTTGAATGCTTGTTTCGGGATGGTTTGCTGACAATGGGTATGATTAGGGAGTTGGTATGGCTAGGAAGCCACCAGTTTATATGAAGGATGGTGATATTCTGGAAACCGAAATCGAAAAAATTGGGATTCTTCGCAACAAGATCCAGCATGAATAAGTCATCTTCCTTGTTGGTAAAATAGTCGTTGTACACGAATACTACTGTTTCCTTGAATTTTATGTTGATTGTGGAAAAGCTGCTGATCGAAATTCTGGAGAATGACGCCAGCGTCGAATGTGCTCATACTTTCTCGATATGAAAGAATGCCTATTAGTTTAATTTATGTGTGTGAGGCAAAGCTCAACTATGAAATGCCCACCCCTACATGATATTTGCTACTTCCTGTACACCATTTCCCTCCCAACATCCCAACATCATCGATATCACGCTTTTACCTATTATGGGTGCCAAACGTCAAACATGGTGGTAAGCAAAACCAACCCAAGAACCTATCTGGAATGCTATGCAGATCTGGCTCAACTACTCCAGCCACCAACCAGCATTTTGATTGATGGGTACCCTCCCTCACAAAGTCCAAATACGCTCTAGTCTCACTCAGAGACACACGCCGACGAATGCTGCTTTTGAACCACGAGGAATCGTGACTCTCCATGTAGGTATTGTTGAAAGTCAACTATTAGATTGGTTTGGATTTGAGATGTTTGTCAGAACTTTGGATGTCGCAATTCACAGGGAACGGGAGCTTACAGGATATTTCGAGTCATTAACATATCAAATCAGCCCTGTTTCATGAATGAGTTCATATTAGTAGCAACACTGGGAAGACTCTCATTCTACCACGTATCACAAATGATCATGATATCGATGGCCACGTAACGGAAAGTAGTCGATTATTGTATGGCAGAGTATGTGAATTAGTAGTGCATGATGAGCCCCGCACCATCTGTATCTCCAATCGACAGGACATCCTGCTGTTTTCACGACAGGAAGCTTGGAACCCTCATAACAAGGCAGTTTGGCAGCCCGAAGCAGTATTTTACTATGATTGCAATAGTGACTGCTCTGATAAGGACGAAGAATGAAGCAGAGAGTGCGACTAGTAAGGAGCAACGAAACATGTAGTAGAATTATGTGACCAAATGCGTAAATATACAGAAAATAGAACGTGACTCGGATATTTGTTCAGTTGAATAATTGCAAGCTCAATTCCGTTCCATCACTTCAACCTCGGCAGACAAGATGGCAGTCGGCGAAGGAGAGCTCATTAACGCCAATCCGACTGTATATGAAGTCAAGGACAGCAAAACTAGCAAGCGAGTTAGAACCGAAGACGAGCTTGACGATTCAACACATGACGAATTCGACGCTGAAGAAATCTTTGGTATGCTCAAAAGCTTTGTTGATGTTTGTTTGATAGCTTAGAGACTCATACTCCAATTTCAAACAGAGCTGATTCGACACATCAACGACCCAGAACATCCTGTAAGCTCCCCTTCTACTCGCTTAATCAACATTTAAAAGTTTACAAAGTCTCAACATCAAACACACCCCAATAGCTGACTTTAGAACAGCTCAACGTCACCCAACTGGACCATATATCCGTAGACAATGACCGAAACCTCGTCCATGTTCGCTTCACTCCCACAATCCCGCACTGCTCAATGGCAACGTTGATTGGCTTGTGTCTCCGAGTGAGACTTTTACGTAGTTTGCCGGATCGCTTCAAGGTCGATATATCTGTTAGGGAGGGGACGCATCAATCTGAGAAGGCTGGTATGTGGGTGTGAAAGAGCTGATTGTGGAGCTGCGGCTCACAAGATGGAGACGGGTTTTTTGCTGACGAGTTCTTTTGATACGTTTTTAGTCAACAAGCAGTTGAATGATAAGGAGAGAGTTGCAGCGGCTTTGGAGAACACGCATTTATTGGAGGTTGTCAATCAAGTAAGGGGTTTGTGTTGTATTACTCATGTGTGTGGTATTCGGCCTGATCGATTCTTCCTACTCTTTTCAACAGTGTCTGACCACAACAGTAGACAAGTAAACTGGTTTCCTTTTGTAGTTTTGTATGATATCAATTTTATTGTTTTCATGTTTCCAATGCTAGTGTAAATACAATTGAGCTATAAAGATACAAAGGAAGAAGTGCGCAACTATGTTATCGAGAACGTAATCGTTGAAACTTTGCTGTTGTCAACGGCACGTAGATCACATTCATGAGCTCGTGCTCTTCAATCTTCCCATCTTCCTTCTTGTCGAATTGAGTCAAGACTTGGTGCCCATTCATCGCTCCAACAGGTACAATCAATCTGCCTCCCACTTTCAATTGGTCAAAGAGCTAAAAACAACCATGTCACTGTGTAGTTCTATAGCCATTTCAAACGCAATACACTCACTGCTTGAGGCACACCATCAGCTGCAGCCCCCACGTGCATTGCATCATAAGGAGACTCATTCACATATCCTTGACGTCCATCACCAGCAACCAACACAATCCTTCCATCTTCCAAATACTCTGGATGATCACTCATTATGTTCCTTTGTGACATTTCCACCAATTCATCAATGTGATCGATTCCAACTACTTTGCCAGATGGACCGACCAGCTCTGCAAAGCATGATGTGAGGTATCCAGAGCCAGAGCCGACGTCCAAGACTTTGGACCCTGGAGTGAGCTTGTCGAGTAATAGTTCGAGTGCGTGGGCGTGCATGTGAGGAGCGCTTATGGTTGCACCGTAGCCAATCACTTGTGGTGAGTCTTCGTAGGGAAACGCGGGACAGTATTTGGCTCGATCAATCTAAGTGGGTGGAGTGGTGGTTTGTGAGTCCATGGGTTCATGGGTTCATGAGTTTACTTTAACAGTCTCATAGTTTCTGACGATCATGAAATCATGATGGAATACTTAACCTTTGTCATAGCATTGAAGACACGTTCTTGTTTGATCAATTCGTTGTCTCGCATGTTTGTGATGAGTTCCAAATTGCTCTTTCCAGAGCATCTCCACGCCATATCTGAATGCGTACGGAAGCTCTTTAAATATTCAACTCGTTAGTACAATACCTTTATATGACGAACTACGAAAATACAAGAACTGCAACACAAAGCTTCAACTTCAATAAACGCACATACCAAGACGGATTGCAGAGCAAGAGATGCGTTTAATGATCTCAGAGATAGCTTAAGCAGCCAGTTGTAAGCCACGTTGAGCCTTTATTAGAGGGTATGGACTGATACGCTGAAATCCAGTGACCTGTGAGCTTTTTCGAAATTTGGGTTTGGTAAGTCAAGGAAGTGAAGCAGGCAAGACACTTTTCAATAATGGATGATGGTACCGTTTCGCGCCATGAGTATATCTTATGCCATTGATAATGATTTTAGGCTCACAATTACCTCACTGGCCGAGAAATCCAAAGACATTTGAATTATCAAAATAAGCAACCGTGGCTATTGAACAGAACACCCATCGAGTAGAAAGTAACTCACATGCCAAAACCTCCCAAATAGCGTGAATTTAGAGCTTGTATTAGCTCCGCTTGCTTACACCAATCATCTTCCGCAGCACACTGCAAAACAGGGTCTGTCTCAAAACTGTGTTTTTGGGACCAACAAGTCAACAACCAAAGCTCAAAAGGCTTCTACCGCCCAAAAAAATGTCACAAATCATATCCCTATCTACGGGAGATTTGTTGAGTAACAGTCAAGATGCCTTCCCCGTTATGATGGGAATGAATCAAGGCGAGAACGTTGACGAGAAGGCTGAATTCCAACTATTGAAAACCGGAGTATCGTATCCGGCAAAGGTTTGAAATCGTAGTTGTGAATGTTTTAAGACGCGTAGTTTCTAGCAATATGTCGCTAAACTAGGTCACTGCTTTGTCGCAACCATTATTGCAAGGAAAAGAAGATGTGATTATAAGGCTGGATGTTGGCGGCATACATATTTCGACACCGGAATTGGAAGAGCTTTTAGACCTCGAACTTCAGCATGTGTTGCAGTACAGTTATAACCGGACCAAGCAGACCTTTACATTTTCACATCTGGATCGAGATGGACTGTTGAGTCAGTACAAGTTCGTATCGCCAAAGGTAAGCGGAGGTTCTTGTGCGTTTCCCGAGTCACGGAACTGACATACGCCTCAACTAGTATTTCGACATTTTCGATTTCCTCGGTCGAGCCATTGCCGCTGTAATCAAGCAAGCTACAGCAGCCGGTAGTCCAACAGCAGCAGCACGTGTCGCTGATTTCTCGAGAGAATCACCAACTGTCATGGAACTGCCGAAACTACCCTCCAAATTGAGTTCCAGACGGCCCTCTGCAAACCCAGCACCATCTTTGCTTTCGACATCCAATACTTCAGCGAGGAAGCCGCTAGCCGGGCTATTCGAAGTGGATTCTCCTACCAGCCCATCCTCCATGACGTTACATAAGGTCGCTATTGCAAAACATTTGATGGAAGAGAAATACGAGAATAAGAGTAGCAAGGAAATTGTTGAAGCTCTTAAAGTGAGTTTATGGCTGGTCCACCATTATCCGTCTTTTTTCCTCCAGAAATCCTGACGCATTTTTGCACTATTTAGTCACCTGTCGACCCCGTCGCACCACCATCACCAGTCGACTCAATACATCCCGAACTACCAATTGAAGTCAAACCCACCAAAGTTGAATTTATCACCCAACCCATACTTACAGAAGAAGCACAAGCATCCAAAAAGCAGCAAGGGAAGAAGTTTGGTACTCTGAGTCGGTTACTATCGAAACGAGTACGTCCAGACAAGGTCGCAACAACAGGGTCAGAACCAGCACTTAATCGATATGGAACAGTGCGGATGAGTCGAGAGAAGCTATCTACAGCAGCTGGAACCAAGACGATTGGATCAGCAGCAGGAGGTTCACAGAATCAACTGGACAATAAGTCTAATTCTGTAATGGCTCTGTTTCGTAATCCTACTACGAAATCACCAAAAGGAACTGTTCGCAAGACGGTCACGCGTAGTGAGGACGTGCTCAACAAGAAATCCAATGAGAAGTTATACTCCAGTCAGACTCTCGGCCATGGAAGAGCGGCATCTGGTGGGAAGTGGAAGGAGAAGCTGTCGGCGAGCACGTGAGTTTTGAATTTTGAGCCCAGACAAAATATGGCTGGCACATTATCTCATATGTTCAACTAGTGAATTTCTTGCATATGCAACAGTCAACAGACGAGCTTTTAGTGCTGCGAAAGCCAGTACTGCAGCCCCAACATCACCTATAGAGATGCTGAGAGGGAACGCTGTCATCACTGCCGGTAAGTCTTGATCCCAACAGTTTCGTATTAGTCGCGAAAGCAAAAAAATGATCTCACAGCTGGTTTATATCAGGTTCACCTGCTGTCCTCAAGATTCGTGATAACAACCAGCAAGAGATCCTCATCAAGAACTTGCGAGACGAAACAGCTTATGAGATTGTTGCCGGAACACCGGATGCGCTTGTTGATGCTCTTGTTGACGATCCAGGTTTGATGAACAAGAAACTCAGGTATTACTAGCAGAAACAATCCTAACGAATTAAGCTTTATCTCTTAGACCTGCTCTATCTGGAAGTCTTCCTACTCACATTCCGACACTTCATGACACCCATCGTCCTCCTAAACCACCTCCAAACCAAGTTCCTGAATTCATCAACTGAAATGCATAGTCCAGTTGATGCGACACAAGTAGTTGATGGAAATTTGCCTTCAATTGTGATGCACCGTATTGTCAGTATTGTTAAAAAATGGGTGAGTCAAGTTGATGGTACCATTTTTCTGTTACAGATTCGATCATTTTGCTTACATCTTCATTAGGTTGGAGAACATTCGTATGACTTTTTGCTGCCTGAAATGAGGAATGCTCTAGACGACTTCCTCCGAGTTGTAAGAACCACCGAGTATAAGCACTATGCGGACCAGATTCAGCAAATCGTATCGGTATGTTCTTGTTTTCGTCTGCTTTGGTTTCAAAGTTAGCCAAAGTAACGATTTGTCATAGCACGAGATGGTCAGCCTCGAAACCCTTCTACGTAAAAGGGGTACCCACTCATCTCTAGATCCACTCGCACCAGCCCCAATCCAAACAACCTCCGAACTAAAGGAATTACTAGTGGGATTCGAATTAATGAACCACAAGGCGAAGCACATTGCTCAACAGCTGACACTGGCTGATTCCAAAATGTTTAGAGCCATCAAACCAGAAGAGTTTGCTATATTTCTGTGGGGTGACAAGACGGCCAAGAGTGCGAGACAGCTTCAAGCTTATATTGATCGGTTTAACAAGATCGGGTATTGGGTTGGGACTATCGTTTGCTCATATGAGCAGTTGCAGAAACGGACTGAAGCCATTGAGAAGTTTATTAAAGTTGCTCGAAAGTAAGCGATCATATCGATCAACTATTTGCTTTTTTCGTTCTCGGAAACTTACATTTCTTCTGTTGTTGCAGGTGTCTAGAGTTACAAAACTTCAATTCAGCTATGGCCATCTTCAGTGGGTTGAATACAAATTCTGTGAGCAGAATGAAGAAGTCTTGGGCTGGAGTTTCAAGGTAGAAAAAAAAGTGGTGATCCTATATCAAATATGACATTGAACTTTCCTAACCTTGAACCATTATCATGCTTATTAGTCGAGTAATGGGATTTTATAAAGAACTTGAAGACACTCTAAGCTACAGAGGAAACTACAAGGCCTACCGAGAAATGGAGCATCTCGCCAAACCACCACTGATACCATTCTTTGGCCTAATGATCAAGGACTTGACATTCTTAAACGACGGCAACCAGAAAATCCTCTCGAACGGACTCATCAACTTCGAAAAAAACCGACTCATATTCAATGTCATTAACGCTATGCGACAATTCCAACGAGACAAGTACCCTATCGTGCCCGACGAGTCTCTCAAAATCTCATCAATATTGACGGGCGCAAGATCTATTTCATTGCATCAGTATTGTGCGTCTCCGCCATGTCTGAGAGAAGACCAGTTGATGAATCTGAGTCGGGCTGTTGAACCTCCGGAAGCCAAAGGTACTGGAGGTGATGCTAATCCCGCAACGACTCCAACCAGTGTGATAAGCACGAATACAGCTACGGGAACTATTCGTGGAATTATGTCGGCAATGAGTATGTCTTCTCCGTCGTTAGCAACATCGTCGAATAATAATCTAGCATCAACCAACGCTGCATCACAATCGGGAATTGGAGCAGCCACGATTCGAAAAGCAGGATTATCAACTGCATTACTACAAATGTTGGCAGCTGCTGAAGAATTAGAATCCATGCCACCACCACTACCAATCAAGGACAAGTCAGTTGTCTCACTGTCAGGTGCAACATCCAGTGGTTCATTACTAGGTATAGCAGGACGCGAACAAGAATCAACAGCACCTTCTATCATCAGTATAATATCACCGGCGGCCACGATAATCAATACGAAACAAGAAGGTCCATTATCACCTGCCGGAACTGTTGTTGCCGTCCCACCAAGTCCAGATGCCCTTGCATTGACTCCTGTAACTCCGTCGCCAATGTGGAGTGAGGTGACATCGCCGACAGGATTCGACTCACCAGTCTCGCAAATTCAGTCCGCTACTCCCGCAAGTGGACGCCGAGCATCACGAACACCAAACCTTATGACGAAACGTGCCAGCTTAATGAATATTGATCCATTTGAAGCAACAAAACAATCAGCACGTCCACCGTCTATAGTAACCAAAAGAAGTAGTATGATTTCACTGGGTGCTATCGATGCTTCATTATCGATTAATCTTATTGGGCCTACACCACAAGGGACCGTTAAATCACGACATGTGGAACCTACTACGCCCATCACGTTTGAGGATATATGGGGTAGCATACATATGGAGCAGGATGATGACTGCGACAAAGAGGAAAATGAAGTGGAGAGTAGAAATAATACGGATGATGTCGACGACGATCAAGACGACGATGATGTCGACGGTGTTTCACAAATCAATCCAATGGGTATAGTATCACCACCATCGAACGCTGAAATGGATCGAGCTACGCACTTACAACCACGTATGGATACAACGCCCAAAGCAGTTCGTAAAATGCTAAGAAGATTATCGTCTCAAGTGTTGCAACAACAGCTATCTGCGACGTCATCCAACTCATCCGTATCTGTGCTGCTGCCTCCTGTTGTTGGCGAAGAATATTATACCGCAAGCAAGTCGCCTGTAGTGAGTGTCCGACAGCAACAAGGGAGAGTGAGAAGTGACTCTGCAAGCACGGTAGTTAAATTTGAAATGGGTGAACCGTCAAGCCCACCAGTCGCAGTATCACCATCACCAGCACCTACACAAAACTTAAAACCCCAAATGCGAGGATTTGGAGGTGCAATAGACCGTGCCGCGACAGTCGTCAGGCCTCGCCACCAATCTCCATCTTCCGCATCTCCGCTATCTAAATCATCGTCTGACCTAGTAGATGCTCCAAGTAATCTGCCACCATGCTCGTCATTCGTATCTAATTATACCACCACGACAATGTCTACTATGCAGACCACCACCACACCGAGCCAGCATACGAACGAATGCAGTATGGACAGTATAAACGGATCTGAGAGTCTGGATTTGAAACGTGGAAGTGCTGATTACTCGACTGCAGGCACAATCGAACAGTCGAATGATAGCATCGCGGCTAGCAACGAAGGACTCGAAGCCTCTGGAGGAATCGTAAACTCACTCAGCAACAAGAGCTTCCGTACTACGCAATCGTCTGAATCAAGACAAGAATCACCAACATCAGGATCAGTAGCATCCATGGCGAAAGCATTTGAAAACAAGGGCAAGCAAGCACAGATATCTGCAAGCTCTGAAAGTGTCGGGAGAGCAATTGCGGAGATGTATCGTGAGAATGTGGGTGCTAGTAGTGAGACTATTGGGGATGCTATTTCGGGGCTTTTCGTTGATTCTCCGACGTCGCCTGCATCCCCACAACAAGATGCCACACCAAACCTGTACAAGACCAATCAGTAGTTATAGTTCAAGAGATTAAAAACCCATTATTGTAGATATTATTGCAAGACACCAATTCTAGTAACCAAAATGAAAAAAGAGTTGAAATCGAAATCGGAAATTGTTTGTTTGTTGGAATGTCTGTGTTGTCTTTCCGCATCCAACACCAATTGAATTGAAAAAACGTTGAGGTTTTGAACTTCAGCATCTGTTGCTGTACAGTTAGTACCGGCAATGAACCGTTTTCGTATTTCCGACCAACTGCAATATTGGACTGTCTCGAAAACAGGCCACTCAATCAAGTCACGTTATTTCACTCAACGTGAAACTTGGGCGCATCTGTCGATTGCCCAAATGTTTGGACATTTCTCGCATTCCTCTGTTGAGCAATTTCAGCTGTGATCAAAAACGCATCAATGGCAGTCAGCAGCTCCAACATCTGGGACTGTATGTCGCTGAGGTTTCGACGAATCGTCAAATGTAAAAACAATACTACCGAAACCATGCGACTTGAGCTCTTGAACCCCTCTGCGAATTCAACACCATTAGTGCTTTCGACATCCAGTGACAGAGAACTGAAGTTTGATCTCTCACCAGTTACTCCTCTGCCGGCAAGTACTGCTACGCCTCCAATATCGCATATCGTGATGCTGCGCGGAAACTTTGTAATCGCTGCAGGTATATCTTGATTCGCACCATTTCGTTTCACATATGCAAATCAAAAAACCGCAATAGTCGTTATATTATCGAGCTCTCCTGCTGTAATCGGCATTCGTGGCGACAATTAAAGAGTAATCAAATAACCCGAGAGACGGAACAGCTTGTGGATTGGTTATTGGTTGCTGCTGCAGAACTGGATGCCTTTGTTGGTACAATTAAGGATGGTCTAGGTAGGAGCACAAAAAACGCATATCTAAGGAATTTGCATTGCTCAATTCTCAAGCCCTTGTTTTTAGATTTGCTCTACCTTTCGTCCTCACATGCAGATTTTTCAGGGACCTTAAGACTTAAGACAGTGCCAGTCCAGTTTCAAGCCAAATTTCTGAATTCGGTAACTGAAACTCCTAGTCCATCATGGAATACTACACTGTACACCAGGTTACACTGACGTACTCCAGACCGTGACTACAAGCAACGAGACATTGCTTATTTCCAACAGTGAGAGATGGAATGGCTCGCGAAATCGTTGCTGGAACATCCTGAGGCACTTGGTGCGTGCTGCCGTGGATGATACAGGTTTGATTAGCCAAAAGAAGGATTAATGAGCAAAGATGCTCACAAATCAAACTTCATCTCTTAGGGCTGCGCTAGTTGGAAGTTTTCCTGCTCATAGTCCCATTTCGTTAGGTTCAATCAATGATGAACCCATTTGACAGACCGATTTCCTGACCGGACCTCGGCAACTCTGAAATGTATAATTTTGATGATGTAAACCAAGTCGCTTGGAGATCCGTCTTTGAATGTGATACACCGTGATGGTATCCTTACGAAGCAAATGAGTGAGTCGAGATGATGGCATCAACATGGTATCTTCCATTAGGATTCTTTTTTCCTCTGACAGTCTATTTATTTGGATGGGATAACATTCATTACAAATGAGGGAAAAATGTTTGGACATCACCTCCATCGCAGCAAGAGGCCACCAAGTGCAAGAAAACAAGTGTGTAGCATGATCCAACATTAATTGTAGATATCACAACACCCCCATTTCTAGTAACAAAAAACACACATAATCATCATATGTCATTTTTATTGTTGCTTTCCTTCATCCAACCGCTACGTATTCTTTATAAATCTATTCCCGTCACTTCCTTTGCTTCCCTTTAATCTCATAATAGCGAAGATTACATGGCAGAAGCACCGGTAATAATTTCAATCAATTCGTTGGTAATAGCAGCTTGACGACCTCTGTTGTAAGTCAATCTCAACTTGGCAGTCATTTCATCTACAGAGTTGGTTAGAGTGAGTGGGAGTAGAGATAAAAAGAGGGAGAATGGCATGGAGCAATGTAAATTTGCAGATTTGTAAATTTGTAAATTAACAATCTGGGAGAGAACTTCGTCCTCTTTGTTTTCCGCCAACCGATTCCGCCATCCACATCACCTCGATTTTCTCACAACAACGCATTCCCAAAACACACTGTGCCTTTTGTATATACGTACCGGCATTCTTGGTAGCATTCTCCATGGCAGTTCTCTTGGCAGCCATTTCAGAGGCATTTCCTTCAGATATAGTCCAGAACAAGGTGTTTGCGAATGTGAATTCTTCAAAGTTCTTCAAGACCGAGTCACCGATTTCGTATGCAGAGAGCTTGGCTATAAACGTGTGGATGTGAGATTTGCTTCGATTTTGCGGTGGTGGTGCAGACTCTGTCACGGGTAAAAAAATTCGGCAACATGGTACGTGTATGGAAATTCAACCTTCCAATTCCTCATTCAACATATCACTTCAATCCCTCATTCTCAAACTCCAACCCAGCCATTTCTCTCAAACAACTTACGTGAAGCCTCCAAAGCAGCAACCGTAAACACCGGCACAGCAGTAGTATCAAACGCAATGACCGATTTAAACTTGTTGTAAAACACCTTGACAGCATCGTATTCAATACCCGTTTGCAAGATTTCATCAGCAATCATGCACGATTCCGTCCATGTAGGGAAACCCTTTGCGACACCCGAGAAGCTGACCTGCATATTAGATCTAGCTTCACGAATGATTTGATTACGGGCTTTATCACCGAGTACAACGACTTGGGTTTCGGGGTTTGCGGCCACGTAGCGCTTGACTGCTTTTGCGATGGAGGAGTGGATACCGCCGCAGAGACCACGGTCGGATGAGACTGCTACGGCGAGGACTTTGCCGTTTTCGGGTTCGACTGTTTCGGTGTATTTGAAGACGGCTATGGAGTAAACGGAGTGAGTATTGGTCAAACCAGTTCGACGTCGTCCTATAATTTTTTCGCAACCAAATTTATTACCAGTTCCAGCAGTACCAAACACTCTAGCGACCTCCATGTTTCGTTGAGCTCGAGTGACTTTGGTTGAAGCAATCATCTTCATGGATTTTGTGATTTTTCCAATGTTTTGTACAGACTTGAGACGCATGGAAACTAGGAGTGATATATGTGAGATGGATAGAAGCCAAAAAAGGCGGGCGTTGGAATCTCCATGCTTATTCAGAAGCAAATAGTTCAGCATATCAGTCCCTGTATACCTTCTTTCAAAGTAGCCATGTTCCTTGCCTGTTGCAACAAGGTAATCGACGGCCTGTGTGAGAGATTGAGTGTTATTAGTCCATGCACTTGGATGGAGCAGCTGTAATCCTGTCTCTCGTCAAGTTGGGAGCCCCAACGCGACATTTTGCAATGTTCCTTCCACCAACACGAGATGTCATCCATCACGGTAAAGAGAGAGAATGTGATGCATTCACATGTCTCGACATTCTCTCATTGCTTTTTATATACAGGCTACCCTCCACTTCAACAACACACAATTCCTCAAACTTTTTCCTCGTCGCTTGCATCGCCAAGTAAGACTATAAAACACAGCTACAAGGTAAAGCAGACAATAGCAGACACTTACTGCCATTGGGAAGCAGCAGCAGCTGCTGGCCTTATTCCAAACATGGCTCAATATCAATTATTTGCACTTTTTGCAAACTAACAAAGTGTGTGATTTTATCAATTCAGAAAAAGACATTCAAACATTGACACGTTAAACGATTTATATAGAGCATATCCACTAGAGAGATTGGACTTGATTATTGCTGAGTAGACCGGTGCATGGGTACGTTATCTTACATTCATCGCATCGCATCGTTGACACTTTCATTCCAAAACGTATCAATTTTGTGGCATTCAACACCAATCTTTCTACACTAGCTACAATCAAGTTGGGAGCTCTTCTGGTGCGAACTATTGCCAAGCCGTTTGCAAATGCAATCAAAAACCAGGTACGACACATCCCACACGTTGTCATTGAATGCATCGAATCGCATTTGATCTGTTTCCATCGTTGGATCTAACACGCACCATGCCATTGTAGGCAAAGCAACATGAACGGTTCAAGGAAATGTGTATTGGTTGTACGTGAAACTCTCTTCTTGACCACACGTTCACAAACCCGTTTGACTTGACACTTGACATATAGTGGCTCAATGGACCCACAAGGTTGAAATGACGCTGAAAATGAACTTTTTCGGCTACAAGGTTGAAACTATACGGCCTCTCAATGATGCAAAGTATGTATGCGTGTTTCAGCAAAACAACCAGACATAAAGACGTGCTTTTAGTCTGACTTTGTCTGACAAACAGGGCCGTCGAGCTGGGAGCCAATTTCATTTCCGAGAGCATCATATTCAGTGTCGCTGCATTCACTGTAGGCAAGTATTGCAACACCCACCTTAAAAATGCTACTCATCACTCCGCGAGGATACCAACAAACCAACACCCACACTACCCAACTCTTAGGATTCGAAACATGGCGCCAACGGAAAAACACAAAGGCCAGATACGCGGACGTGGATGGCGAGCTAGAGAAACTAGAAACCGAGAGTACCAAAACTGGACAGAATCTAGAAGAGGTCAGAGTGAATGTCGACGCGCTCAGGAAACAGATTGAGGATTTGAGAACAGAGAATCAGAGGCTTTATGTGTCGCTGGATAAAGTCGCAGTGAGTACTGATGGTTTAGTGTTGTATGGGTTAAATGTCAACAGGGTACACATTGCCGTTAATATTGTACCCTTTTTTAGCAAGCCGTTCATGTACGGTTGGAAAGAGAAAGGGAGTGGAGTGAGAAAACATGGACTCAGAAGATTTGGTACCCGTTCTCTACCTCATCGTCAGCATCAACCAAGCAGGAAACAACAACATCACCTCAAGCACAATAGAAACACTGCCTTTTTTGTATAGTTCCCACATTATCGGGAAGCCAACCACACCTTTTATTAATATATTTCACATATTGGCATTCAACAAGCGCGAAAATGTGACGGCGGAAAAAACACGTATTCGAATGGAATTAGAATGTAGTGATTGCACTATTTGGATTCCATACTGACCAAGCAGTCAAGGTATCCAATTCCAAAGCACCTCTCACAGAAAGTTTAGTGTTGAACACATTTAGGCGGTTGACCCAAGTCATTGAAGAGCAGCGGCTAAAACCGCGCTGATCGTACTGGTACCAATTTGACGAGTGTTCGTTTTCTTTTCCCTCCCATCCTCATGTCCTCGCTGACACACGGCACTTACACACCAATCCGTAATAAATCACCATTCTATTCTAACACAGATAATAATAATGTGTTGAAAAAAAAACAGCCTCAGTCGAAAACTACACGAAGTGTGCTTACAACCACACTCAACCCATCACTCTGGCCTCCTATACACCAAGGTGGCAGCACCTTGCGCAGATGGGAAGACAGTCATATGTGCGAGTTGCACATGTGGGGGGCGAGAAGCTGCGAATACGATGCATTCGGCAATGTCGGTGCCTGTTAGTGGGTCGACGCCCTTGTATACAGCGTCTGCTTTCTATGAGTGGTAAGAAAGAGGCGTTAGTTGTAGTCGGTTGAAGTAACAATAAAGAACTGGTGTAGATTTGCTTTTTTTGGCAGCGAGGAGGTAAACTCAAGCAAACGCAAAAACTGGAAACAGAAAACCAGCGTACCGCCTTGTCACCAGCAAAACGAACGACTGAGAACTCTGTTTCGACCATTCTAGAAGAAAGGGTAGTGAGTGAGTGAGTGATGAGCGACAAGAAACAGTAGCAATGGGAGATTCAGTTGTGAATCACTGGACATCCTCAAAGACATCAAGAACTTACCCTGGATCAATGCCAGTCACATTGATGGGCGTTGATATAAGTTCCATTCGCAATGACCTGAATGCACGAAGGTACGGTATGAGACATCACGTTTCTTTCTTGCTTGAAGGATCTCAAAACGTTACCTTGTTATTGCGTCCACGGCATGCTTGGAAGCACAGTAGACTCCACCTGCATAACTGTGATTAGATGCCTTTGCATTTTGGTGTAAAGGAGCCTGATGCAAATATGTTACCTCCTGGATACGCTTCACGACCTGTTGAAAAGGACAAAAAAATTAAATAAGTCTGTTATAGCTATCCATCAGCTATGGCAAATCTCCAACCTGATCCTTACCAGCTATAGAACCAACATTTATAATGTTTCCAGCTCCACGTTCCTTCATCCCAGGCAATACAGCTAATATAAAAAGGAGCTCAGCAAAAACCCTCATTTGAAACTGCATGTATCGCGGCCATAACATCCAGTTTACCTTGCGTCACATATAACAATCCCTTGACATTAGTGTCAAGCATGACATCAATAGCCTCATCCGTAACCTTCTCCACATGGTCAAGTCCATTCACGAGTCCCGCATTGTTGACCAGCACGGCAATGTTTTGCCATTCTGCTGGAAGGGTACTAAATGCCTTGTTGACTGGCCACGCAAACATGAGGATTTTGAGCTCAATATGACACCACACATTTGCTTCTTTGCACAGTTAATTACCTGCAGCTCTAGACCTCACATCACACTCTACAGTCAGCACCTTTGATTTTGGGTAATTGGCTTTCACTTCATCGGCAAGAGCCTGTAATTTGTCCATTCGGCGAGCAGTGGCGATGACATTTGAGCCTTCTTTGGCGAACTCTAACGCCGTAAAGTACCCTATTCCGGCTGATGCGCCTGTCCTATTCGTGGTTTGATGTGTTCAAGCTTAGAACGAAATCAAAACACTACAAAAACGACGGGAATGAGGAACATACACTACTACAGTTTTGCCTTCCAATCGACCCATGGTTGATAGTCTCCTATGCGAAAAGGTTGCGATTTGTTTGAGTGGTCTTGTTGCTACTAGCATCGAATCTCGATTTGACGGGGGAAATCGTACTGACAGAGTTCAGAGTTCGTGATTTGAAAAATTTGAAAAGAGATTCACGGTCCGTTGACGCCTCTAGTAATTGGATTTTGGCATAATAGTCTTATGCTGACCGTGATTGAACAGTAGAGGCCAGCTAGCTTGTTTTTTTTTGGCTCATGCATTTTATTGGGCTCATCCAGTTTATTGGGACTGTAGTTCCGCAAATATACGACTATTGAAACACTTAAAACCCACTAAAGGTGCTAATTACACTCCATATGTTACTGGAATTGCATTTTACTGCGTTTTTGGTGTTTGCGAAGTGACCTCTTAGCGGCCTTCAGAGGAGAGATAATCCTTCATTAGATAGTGAGCCTTCGAAGTTTTCATGGTGTAGTGGTTATCACATTCGCCTCACACGCGAAAGGTCGCCAGTTCAAGCCTGGCTGGAAACAATAGTGTGCTCCTTTTTAAAATATTCCATGGCACTTTTGCCTATACAGTAGCCACTGGGCTCCTGCAACATCGTTCAAGCTTCTATAAACAACTCATTGTTTGATGTTGCAATGAAAAGATACAACATTTTACACAGCATCACCATATTTAACACGACAGTTCTTTATTTACGCTCTTCTACCTCCTGATATCCATTCGCAAGACTATGAAACAATATACTTTACAAGCATTCAAGTGCTCGTGCTCCTAGCTCTCTGGCCTCCAAATCTCCTCCCTTCTGAGATCCCAGCCTTCAGATTGTGAAAACAAGTCAAAGTGCATTGGCTCACGCAAAGTCAGTGTCCCACACCAGTCTCTTATACGACCTCTAACAGATACAAAGTTCAAGCCCTTGCTTCGTGATACGTTGCCAGGACTCCGTGGTATGATGAGGCGCTTTAAAGCGTCTACATTCACGTCCTTTGCAATGCTAATACGAAGATGTTCTAGTTGAGGGAGAGATGGGACACTCAGCACAGTCATCATTTCTGCATCTATACCGATATATGACATGACGAGATTTCTCAGTTGAGGACACGATGTCACAATGATTTTGAGGGTGGCAATATCAAAGGCCGTATCCATTTCTAGAGACGTCAATGCTGGCAGCCACGAGAGACACGAATCTAATACATCTTGCTTCCAAGCCCGAGCAGAGAGATGTTCTACCGTTGAATGTCTATGAAGGACGGCAGTTTGCGTGTCATCCCACTCAGCCAAGTCCAGGCGGACGGTCTTCATAGATGGATGCTGCAATATATAATATAAATTCGACAGTCCAATCTCTACTTGCTCCGTTTCGACAGTCTGAAGAACCGGGCATGCGTTCAGCAGTTGGTTTGCTGCCTCTTGATCTATATACAGGTTTTCCAGACGGAGCGTCTTCAGAGAATCCAGTTCACGAGTAATCTTCTGGCCGAAATCGAATCGCCAGGCTTCTGCAATCAAGACCTGTAGTTGTGGCAACGACGATGCCCATACATCCCATATTTCGTTCGTGAGAGCAAATCCAACGATGTGTAGATGCTTGAGGTGCTTGTATGTGACAAGACAATCACCAGATATGTTACGGTTCCAGTCTAGCTTTTCAAGACTTGGCATTGTGCCTAATTGTAAACCTGGTCTGGCAGTACTGTATTCATAAAGGAATTCACAGCTCCTGAGACGGTCCCACACTACTGGTTTAGACTCTGAAACGCACTCGTTGATTTTGTCGAATTCTGTATCGGCGACTTCCAAGTTGATGTCCTCCAGCCTACTACATATTCCACGGAACAGATTCGTCCACATCTGCTTTGGCAATGTCAAGCGTGAAATGTTCAAGACCTTTATGTTGACACACGATACTATAAAGCCAACGAGAGCTTCTCCGTTCAGTGCATCAACGTCCGTGACGTGAAGGATATGGATTCCGTTGAGACCATATGAAGGGATACACCGTTTGCTGATCAAGGAAGCGATTGAGCAGGGTAATCTATGATTAGAGGAGATGCTGACCTTCTGCCAAACGAGAGGCATCAGAATTGCAGCCATCCTCTTGTTAGTGAGAGCCAATGAGACCAGCCTGCTTGGGGTGGGGCAATGCATCTCAGAGTCGACTGTGCTTTTACTGATACGGCCTGCAATCTTGAGCACTATTTCTACGGGCAGACCTCCCAATGATGCCAATGGGATCTCTTCGCGGTGAGCTTCATTTGATGTCGCCATGGTCTTTGAGCCTAAGGTAGCTTAACAGTGTTAATAATGCGAGAAAAGTAATGTCTGAGTAGAGAAAAATTGTAAAGAAGGTGTATGCTTCTCTGAATTCACCTCAAAGTACTGAATGTTATTTGAACGTTGTGGATGCCTCGACTTTGGACGCGACTACGATACAGACAGATAAGCTGCAGGTAGTCCAAGTCGTTTGAATTGTGGCTCCGTATGATATTACGATCGCTACTTGGACTATAGCGTTGTCTCGATCGAAATCAACACGCCAGGGATGAATCTTGACGGACAAAAGACGCAAACGACTTGTTGTGTACATCCAAAGCTTCAGACTGTTCCATGACGCGTTTCCACAAAAGTGTATTCATGCCTAATATACGCAATCCAACCCGTCGTGGAGGTGTACCATCAAATCAGTTGGTAACATTATTCTTCTTCACTTAGTGGACGCATTATCGAGATCCAATTCAGGTTTGAGCCCAAAATTAATTACCTTTAGCCTATATTATAATCAGAAAACCCGATGTTGAGATTTTTTGGACCAGGTCGAGTCTAATTCGGCTACAAAACATCATGTCCAAGTAAGTTTTCGTTTTCTCGTTTTGACACGTTGGAGGTTGCTGATCGATTGCTGCAAATTGGGACCCAACATGTATCAACATAATTTATTAATATACACATTTTAACCTCTATAGGCTTGCTCACACAATGTCGTCGCGTGGCAGCAGAAATCGGCAAGCCAAATCTCACCACGAGGTAGGAGCGGAGAACGATTGCAGAGAATCGAACGTTTCAGCTTTCGCTGATGCCATATGATATGAAATTAAAAATACCAACCAATTCAGACTTGTCAGCCATGGAATCACCCAAACATAAACTCCAACTGGACGAAGAGCCTGCTTGACAGGGCTGGCTGTAGAGATAGTGCTCGAGATCGCAGACTAAATAGGTATAGCACCGAAGGCTTTGAGGTGTGCTGGCATGCTCCCAAGAAACCGCTTGAATTGGCTCTCACCAGCAAGAAGATGTCTGAAATCATGCTGCCTCTAATGTGGCAGAACATTTCCGTCTGCTCTTTACGTAATCCGAATAGTCTCCTTGTTATTATGATCGACGAAAGACGGCTTCCTCTATATGCCGCGAATGCCATCCGCGGGTTTCAGCTCGTTAGGTCAAAGAACTTTGTCAAGGAACTCGCTGCAGTCGACTTTATCGTGTCATGTATAAACATAAGGGCTCTTAATCTTCACAGGCTGACGTTGCCAAAAAGCTGTGGACTACCCTGTTGTCTGGATTGTGAGGTTCTGGATCTCGTGTATGACCCAAAGGAATTCAGCAAACTTTGATCTAGTGCATTGACTTGCGACCGTCTCGAGAACTGTAGGATTCTATTTATGGATAAAGGACTCCCTGTAAAGCAGCTAGGAATGGAACTGGGTACCTTGCCGAATCTCGAAACACTCCATTTAAACCGTAATGTACCCAGTGAGCGCCTCGCCACATATGGGAAAATCAAGACTTTACGCCTCCAGGGATTTACCGTCATGAGCGATGTGTGGGATGAATGGGCGTCGTGTTTGCCACAACTGGAAGTCTAGGTGCACGCGATTGGCGATTCGACTTCAGCCAGAGGATCACTCGTACCGTCAAAATCTATATGTCAGGCTGGTCTGATGGTCAAACTCTAGTAGCATATAAACCGTCTATAGTAGAACATCTGACTGCTCGGCATTGGAAGTGGGGTTATTATTAGATGTATGTCATCCCTGGTTACCTGCATTAACCTCGTTGGATCTGGACTGCGCATGTTTTGGGATTGAAGTTATATGGATTCTTGTGGGATCGTGTCCCTTATTGAAACGACTGGATGCAGGAGGTTTCCCCACGAGTTCTATAGGTGCAGAAATGATGAAGGTCTTGGTTCTCCCGTCTCTGCCTCGTCTAGAACACATTCAATTTAAAATCGAAAGAGATGTGAAATTGGAATTGATGAAGCACTTCTTCCTTCCACGTATTACTCAGGACGATGGTGCCGATAAAACAGAAACTATTGTAAATATAGATATCGAAAACCTTGTGGTAGGTCAAGGAGATCTACGTCATAGAGATCTACGTCAACTACAGTTGGTTAAACCAGAAGACTTTGCAATGATGTCGCAAACTGAAGCTTGGGATTCTGTAAATAATTGCAAGGTGTGACGTGTGTGCTACTTCTTCTAAGACATCCCAGATGCAAATGTATAACGAAATCCATAATATATAAGTAAAGTCTTACCAAAGTTGCAGGAAGAGAGTTTCTTCGATCAGAACTAAAACTAGGACGCAAATTGCAACCATGCCACGAGTATGTTTCCAACGATAGGTCTATACCGTAGAAAGGTTCCTTATGTGATAAATTCTGGTTAAGGGGATCCAATCTTATTGAAATGTTGTCATCGCCATCCAATTTTCAAGCCTCCGTCGGTTGTCCAACTTTCACCTCTGGAGATCAAGTGACATTGCTAGACAATCGTACCAGCTACACGACGTTTTGAATCTCAAGTCAAGGTTTAAATCTTCATGGATTAGCTCTATTCGCCTTAACATCGAAACCGCTCAGCATTTTGGATCATGCAATAAAAAAGGTTCGTCTGCTCGTTGTTGGTGATGCTTCGAGTAGAGTCGGGCACTGCCCTTCATTTCAAATGTACATTTTTCTCTTTAAATGATTCTCAATAGGCTAAACAACATACTGACTTCTCGTGACATCAGAAGAAATCATATATCAGAAGGAAACACTGCAGCCGGATTATCATCAGGTAATCGAGGAAAAGATTCGTGTTGGGATGAAAACTACTGAATTACATTTGCTCGAGACATTAATGTTTTAACCCTCACTTCAGACTCAAAGACCATGGAAACATCTCCCAACGACCAACTCCAGATGCAAGACGCATCATTGGGAGGACTTGCAAAAGAGATAGTATGGAAGATTGCCGACTATATAAGCGAAGAGATTCTGGACTGGAAGGATTTCGATCAACGCGGTCTAAACAAGCTGCTTCCTTTCGCTCTCACAAACAAGAAGCTGTCGGAAGTCCTGCTGCCTCTGACGTGGCAAAAAGTCAGTGTCTCATACTCTGAGAAACCGTATTCCTCCCTTGCTCTGCTTATCGACAAACGACGTATTCCTGCATATGGAGTCAATAGTATCCGAGCCCTGCAATTCAGGTACTGGACTAGTCTCGGAGTCAAGACGCCCGCCGCCTTGGATTTTATAATATCATGTACCAGTATCAGAACCCTGCATCTCTACTCGGTGAAGCTGTCTCTAAAGTTTTGGATCAGGCTCTTGGATGTATTATGTAGCAGGCTAGAGTCTATTAAACTGGATCTTTCCGATGAGGAACTCCAAAAGATGGAAGCTGTAGTTGGGGGCAGAGGAATAGTATGGAGCCGCCTGAAAGACTGTAGGGTTCGCCATTTCATCGTCGGGTCCTACGAGCTAGGCCTGGACTTGGGCTCTATGCCACTTATCGAAGACCTCCACTATAACTTTGAAACTCCTAGTGGACGGCTGCTCACTTTTAAAAGCCTCGAAAGATTGTCCCTCTCTGAATTTAACCTCACCGACGAGATTTGGGACACGTGGGCATCCTCGTTGCCACAGCTGAAAGTCTTGAGGGCAGAGAGCTGGCAATTCAGCATCAGTAAACCAATCATGCGTAAACTAGATAGCTTGCAGGAGCTTTGTATCGAAGGACGCTGTACTTTAGATGCGGCTGTACTCAAACAGCTTCTCGCCGCTTGCCCGTCTCTTCACACTTTCAAGATGGAAGATGTTCGAATTGGACTCGCCACTCTCTATAATATCATGCACCATCCATGTATTAAAACCGTAAATCTGGCGTTATCTGACTGGGATAATAGCCAAACTGTCGTTGAACATGAACCATCTGGAATGGAACACGTCACATGTCGGAGCTGGGACAAACAAGTGTTGGAGGCATGTCTTCCTTGGCTCCCTGCATTGGCGTCACTGGAATTGGAGTGGATGTCATTCGATATCAATGCTATCAAGTCAATAGTGGCCTTTTGTCCTCAATTGAGAAAACTTGACATGACCATGCAGCGCAATGAAGCAGATCCAGAAATAATGAAGGTGTTGTCTCTCCCGTCGCTACCTCTTCTAGAAAGTATTAGTATCAAAGTTGCCAAGGACGTCACGTTGGAAGATGTAAAGGATCTCATCTTACCACGTATTAATCGTGTGCATGCCGGTGACGAGCCAAGCAGTAAAGGACTCAAGTATGTTTACATAAAGGGATTTCAGATACGTTTCAGAACTGGATACTTGTTGTGGTCTAAACCGAATGATTTTAAAACCTTTTCACAACCTGAAGCCTGGGATCCAAAAAACGCAAGGCTTTGGAACGCAGTGGGTCCCGTGTCAATATAATAAGGAATTTAAGATGATGGTAATATCAATCATGTTGTAACGAGGAAGGAGCAACCATAAAATGTTTGTTTGGCGATATAAAGTGTACAGAAAAGAAGTTTGTTTGAATTCTGAATATTAAGTAGCCTTGAATATAACTGCTTTGGTTGCTGACATCTAGTGACGATGCACTTTGATCCAAACCAACTTTTATCGTCGATGGATAGCTAGACGCAATTCGAAAATATGGCCAGAAATTACTTCCTACCCTCTGTCTTGAATCTCGGAGCAGTATATGTTACGCACGCGCGCGTAAACCACGTGTAATTCCTCGTTCAGTTCTTCTAAAACGTCCACCAGTTTGATTTTTTCAAAATTGATTCGTGACCAGAACAGGGTTGAATAGTAGACATTGTGAAGTACGAGCCAGTAGTAACGATGAGCAACGAGCATTTCAAGCAGATCATTCGCGTAAGTGCTCGTGTACAAGCCTCATAGCAGTATCAATCATGCGTCACGCCTTTTCGAACTGACTTTTCAACACCTCATTAGGCCCAAACCAAACCAGAAAAGATCGATGAAGTTCTGGGCTATTTAAGCAAATTACAATCGGAGGTAGGTCTCGTCGAAACGTGATGCAAATGTCAGCAGCAAATCAAACTCTGAGAGGCACATGTTCGCTCATTTTGCGTCAAGTCTCGAAAGGAAGCCGGAGTGTTAGAGTACAACATGTTTCAAGACGCATCTGATCCAACTAAATTTGTGTTCGTGGAGGTATGACTCACTTAGATGCGTGTTGAAGGCTTCAAAGACGCTGACCGTCCCACGATTCTTGACAGACATACAAGAACAAGGCAGCACATCTAGAACATCGAGGGTCAACTCATTTCAAGGTAAGACTTAAATGTAAATGAATTAATGCAGATCGATATGCTAACACCCGTACGGCGAACTTAGACACTAGCACGAAAAATTGGTCCTTGTTTCATCAACAACAATGCTTCAGTTGTTCGTGCTTGTTTGTAGGTTATATACCGGCCAGTAATATTATTCAAATTTGAAATTTAAATGGTTGAAAACTTGAACGTGTTGGTGAATAAGCTGACGTTTACACCATTTCGAGTTTCCAGAACAAGCCTGTAGGCATTTTCACACCGAGGAAACAGTTTCAAAGCGCGACACGTTCGGATTGAGCACCTCGACGTTAGTGTTTGAGCTTAAAGTGTCCTCATCACACACCAACCTCACAACAGCAAACTTCCAAACTCATACAACCTCTTCCAGAGCACATATACAAAGATGAACAAGGCCGTAATCCGTCAAATCGTATACGTAAGTGAAATCTCGTAGCGGATTATATCTGTCCATTTACATCAAAGAGTATTGTATCACAGCGAAACTGACGCTCAATTCGTTTTCTTCTAGGCCAAAGCTAAACCTGAAAAGGTCGATGAGCTATTAAGCATCTGCCGAATCTTGGAAAAGGAGGTGGGTGCATGTGCCCTTGCTCTGTCTGAGTCGTGATGTGAAACACAACATCAACAACAATCGTCGTGGAACATTAGTTTCAAGTTTGCCCAACACATTGGGTTTTAACCGAGATGTTTACCTGTTACCTTTTCTTAACTGTCCTCAATCAAGATTCTGACCTGCTTTCTCTATAGTCCAACAAAGAAGCTGGCGTACTTGAGTATGTGATGCACCAGGACAAGGCTGACCCGACCACTTTTGTGTTTGTTGAAGCTTACACCAACGCTGCCGGTCTTAAATCGCACATGAATTCGCCTCACTTCAAGGTAAGAAGGGTTTCGCAACTCGACCGTCCACTACTTGGACGTGTTCGAGGTGGTGCGCCCTACTCTTATCAATGTCGTTTGTTAATACTATGGTCAAATACTATAGGCCAACGGTCCTAAACTCTTTGCAGCTTTGGCCGGGCCACCACAAGTAGTCAAAGTAACATCCGTTCACGCTCGTTTGTAAACCCCACAAAGCTTTTCTTAATCGAAGGGTCATGTGTGTTTTATTGTGAAGGATTTGAACTCAAAAATATAGTTCATAATTGAAAATTCTAAAGTTGCTTGCCTTGTCACACCTTCTTCCTCACTTCAACGCCAAATGTTCCCCCCATATTCCGTTATCTTGAACATGCTCGGATTTCAAGTCCTGGGATCAATGCTCCTTCTTCGCCCTTGGTGAGCGCTCGAATCTCAGGGAAGGATTATCGTAAGAGGTGAATAACAGTGTACAGGTGCTTGATAGTCTCGGCGATGAAGAAGCATTTTGGGATGGTAGAGCCAATGGAACGAGAGAAAAAAAACTGACGACGTTGACCGATAAGCAGAATGATTGCCAAGTACATACGATCACAATAGCATAGCTGGACGATATTCCTTCCATATCCTCGGTAAATGGGATCGTGAGTGAATCTCTACATGTGAACGATGGATTCAATCACTTCTGGCCTGTGCTAACGAGCTGTAGTATATTGTTCTCGAGTTCAGTTTCCACGTCTTGATGTAAGTGCGCCCAATATGAATATGCCGCCACTAAAGCATGCCTGATGGTATTTAAACGTGTTATCAGCTTTTTTCCCCGCCAGTTGGAGATGCGCTAAGATTGCTCCATACCGAATCTTCCATTGTGGATTCTGGATTTGAATGCAGTAGTATTGTACGTATTCGGCTTCAAATGTTTGGCCATTCACTGCTTTGACAAACATGGAGCTAAAGGTCTTGGATGAGAAGGTGTTTCGGTAACCGAAAAAGCCATATCGAATCACTCGAAATGTTCATACATACCTCAGCACTCTCATCATACCACGTCCTATGTGTTTCTTCGATACATGTTCTCTTTAGCAGCATACCTGATCCCACGCCCGGTACAACTCGTTACTAGGCGGTATCTACAGAATATACTCATAACGAGAGCCATCACCAGAATCTAGTCCATAATATGCCTATCCAGATAAAAAAACAAATTGCAGTCTCTGTGTTTCAGAATCCAAACCAAATCTTCTCACCCACAAACTTCCCTCAGCACAAGATGTCACACTCTCCTCCATCGACACCCACATAATTAAAAACAACCACCAACTCATTCCACACACACAGATAATTACATGTTAACTTGAATTTATTTACGTGAGGGATTTGAAAATGAAGAATAATATTAAGAAAAAAAGTCCCCAAGCAGAAACACCATCTCTACTCCACTGGCTCTTTCAATGACGATTTACGGTCACCATGTCCCTGCTTCATCATATTCCGTATATCATCTTCAACAATCGCAGACTTTTGTTTCTGCGACAAGCCAACCTTTTTCTTCTTCTTCTTCTTCCTCTTATCTGGCACTCCTACTTTCTCCTTGTTCTCAGACATTTCGACAATCTTCGTTTCCACAGCCTCGTTTTCAGGCACACCAACATTCGTCTTTACAACCACATCAGCACCAGAATCACGAGGCTCCAACCCTCCATACTCTTTCGTCTTGAATGGAATTGGACTCCATGTCTTGGGATTCGCTCTTCTTCCTCGCCCTCGTATGGAAATGGGGTGTGCTTCGGTGTTCAGGACATAGTCTTCGAGTGGAAGCGTATCGTCTGAGGTGAAGAGGAGGTACAAGTACTTGAGGGTTTCAGCGAGGAAGAAGGACTGTTGGAGATCGTCTTGGCTGCTGGGGTTGTTGACGTTTGTGAGGCCAGAGAAGCCAGCTTCGTTCTTGCAATGGGTGATTAGGGCCTGGGAAACGCGCAAAACAAAGTCGTGTTCAGTCTTTATAATGCAACGTGGTACTGAATAAACTCAGCGACAGCATACCTGGACGATGTTTCTTCCGTATTCTCGGTAAATAGGATCATGAGTGAACCTCCACATGTAAAAGATGGACTCAATCACTTCTGGCCTATGCGTAAAAAAGAAGAATTAGACACCGTCGGCATATCATCATCGACATGATTTCTTACCGAAGTATATAATACGCCGTCTCAGCCTGCAAATTATCTCCAGTAAAGCGCTCTGGACCCAATCCAGTCTTGCTCGTGTTATAGCTTCCGTAGCACGTCTTGGTTACTTGTTCTCCAATGTAAAGCTCTCGAGTCCAGTTTCCACGTCGTGATGTGAGTGCTCCCAATGAGAACATGCCGCCACTAAAGCAAGCCTAAAGGTAATAAATCGTCAGTTCGGTTTTTTGGCCTGTAGGAGATGCACTGACATTTTTACATACCAAATGTTCCATGGTGGGTTCGGGAACCGTGGCAGAGGAAGTATAGTACGTATTCGGTATCCATGTGTGGCCATTTGCTTCTTTTACAAACATGGAGCTGAAGGTCTGAAGAAGTGAAAATGTTCAGTAACGCCAAAAAAAAAAAAAAAAACAGATAGATGTTCTCCCATATTGGCTTTCTTAGCAGTACACACCTCAGCACTCTCATCATACCACGCCCTATACTTTTCTTCACCAGTCGATATCCACAGTTTCAACAGATACTCATAATGCGAGTCGGCGCCAGCACCTAATCCATACTTGTCTTTCGGGAAGGAAAGAAAAGTCAGGTGCGTTTGTACTCGAAAAATTCTGCAAACTCAAAAGCAGACAAAACTCACCACCAGCAAACGCAAACCCACCGCCCAAAATCCCAAACTGCGTCGCATACAACCCTTTCCCAGCCGTAATCGCCGCATGCATAGTCTCATAAATCTTTAACCCAGCTTTAGCATATTTATCATCCCCCGTAACATCGCTAAGATACTGAAACTCCAACTGCAGCGTCCCAATCTCTGCAATAACCCCACCCCTCCCATCCTGCGGCACGGCATTCTGCAGCTGCACCTGATTACCCGGTATTCCCAGCGTGCCATTAAAAGCCGGCATCACGCGATCAACGAGCTCGACACACTTCTTGATATAAGCGACGTCACCGTCGAGATCATATGCAGACAGGAGTCCACCGACTTGGCGAATAATAGTCTCGAATAAATTAATCGTGATTGGTTTATCGAATGACATGTCGAGCACCATTGCCTTTGCAGTTGTATACTCGTCATGGAGGCCCATAAGCCAGAAGGTGTCAAGCGAGTCAACGGGTGTTGCGAGGAGGGACTGGTCATTGTACCAGTTGTGGCCGCGACGGGAGATGGGACGCAGCTCGTCTGTGTTGTTTGCGTATGTCAGGTAGCCCTTCCATGCGTGTTTCATCATCTAGATTCAAGTAAATATGTGTTGGCATGTGCGCCAAACATCAAACGTCAAACAGGATTAACCAACACCAAAAGCAACAGCAACACATACATCTCTAACACCATCCATCATCTCCACATCTTCATATCCACGATCACCACCCAAGAAATTATCAAACCGTTTTAATAATAATGGAGTTGATGTTGGCTGTCCAACCACCTGTTCCTTGACTCGACTGGGCTTGAATACAGGCGCAACAGGCTGTTGCAATGGCCTAACATCGAGATCTATAACATGCTGCTGCTGTTCTGCGTCTAATCTGTCTCGCTTGGTTCGAGATGTCTCGATCAAGTTTGGAGGGGAATCTGAATGGAGTGCGAGAAAGAAGATGGTGGCTACTATAAGAACTGGGATTATCGGGTACTTGACTACTGCTGTTCGCAGACGGTTTAGGCGGGGCGAGTAGGGTGGCATTGTCGACTGTCGCAAAGTTGAGATCAAGTTTTTGGGTCACGACGAGCCAGCAAGATGAGGTGCGTGATGAATCACGAAACGCGATAGTTCTCAGCACAAGGACGTATAGATCTACGCGAAATGCACCTGATTTGTTCATGAACAATCACTTCATTTCATGCACTTCACAAAAGACTATTTTTGATGCAAGAAGCAAGATTACATGACTGGCTTTAATCGAACAATCTTGGCTGGTCCATCCAAGAAATCTCTCACTATCGAAACCACACGTCGAATTAGCATACATCACTCCAACAATGTTTGTCTACAACACAAAGCACATACTCTTGCGTCCCAACGTCTTGAAATGCTGACTCGTAGCATGAGCCTTCAATGCATCTTCATCCTTGAATGCTTCAATGAAGATGAATTCACATGCGTCAGAGGAGTTTTGGGTGAGGTCGTCTAAGTATTCGTGTGTTAGTAATTGTGCGTGTAGTGATTTGAGAGACGGAACCGTCGTAATGCAAATATTCATTGGGGACTAATATGATTGAGTTTAGCGCCTACATTGTAAGTTTCCGGCTTCAGTCCGTGTAGCTTTAGCCAACTCAGTTAACACGGCCTTGAGGTCGTTTTCATGGCCCTTCTTTGCTCGAACTAGTTATAAAAATGAAAAGATGTTAGTTGTACATCCAAGCTGGCTTCATTTCCGGTAACAGATGATTGCTTCTCCCTGCTCAAAGAGCTGCCCAGAAAATGGATTGTGTCGTCATTTTGCTTTCCACGAACAGAAACCACACACAAACGTAGCGGTCGCTCTAGTGGAGTGACTCGTGAATGCAGCTTACTAGTGGCGATGCTATGGAGAACCATTTTTGATTGAGTTTGCTTGCTTTGTCTTGTGGTGTCAGTTGGTTTTCAAAGTATGAAGTCGTGTTGCACGAACGGTTCTCGATGTTACAGTCAGCGCATTGGCAGGTCGCTGCTTTGTATGTGGGTGGAGCACGTGTTCTGGTAGTAATAGCAGTAGTGCTGAATGTACTGCCACGTTCTTTAGCTTCTTTGCCTTAATCCAATGAAAATTTGGCGCAAACTGACGATGAACCCAGGCATCAAATGAAATCACATACAGAGTACAGAGTTCTAAAGTTTAAAATTATATTTCCCTTTTTTTACGTGGATTTGTCTACATTCTTGACCTTGCTGCTAACTGACTTGTGTGTAATAATAATCTGAACATGGGAACATCCTACACGAAACATAACTTGTCATCATCATCGTTTCGCCTTTTTAAGATTCCCGCGTTCCAATTCTGCACTATTACTAGCACCAACAGCAGCATTAACCCTCTTCTTATTCCCGTTCAACACTCGCTCATCAACGTCCACTTCACCGCGATCTTCAGCGCCCCATCTCATAACCTAGTTTTAAAACGTTAGAAATTCATCTACAAAAAAGTAGACCCATTAAAATACCTGATACGTACCATACTCCGCGCAACCTCAACATGCCTACTCAAATCCCCCAACACACCCGCCCTCTCACCGCCCTTCCGTCTCGGCACATTCTTCATAAACCCCGTCAGCTTCCCAAAGCACCGCGCACCCTCTCTTACCCTATACGCCAACGTGTTCATCAAATGGTGCCTCAACTCATCCGGTAATGGCGCACTGGCATCCCGGTGATTCATAAACATGATTTTAGGCGTTGATGTCGATAGCGGTTCGGGAGTTGCGTTAGTATTAGCATACATGTGTGCATTCCCGGTTTGGCGACCACGTACGGCGGGTCGTTGATCTCGTACACGTTTAGTTTGGATGGGTGGTGTGGGTGCGCGTCGGTTGTGGCCGTCATCGTCGAGCTGGTTCATTTCGGGGAAAAGTTGGGCGAGGAGGTGGTTTACGGTTGGTTTTGTGCGTGCGTTGTTGGTGTTGTAAGTAGGTTTGGCTGTATATCTACTATTGGTCGTGGTGCTATAGTCGGCTTCTGGGGATGTTTGTTTCGGTGTTGCTCCTCGAGTCACAATTTGGGGTGTGGCTGCTCGTTTAGCTCGTACAGGTTGTTGCTGCTGTTGCTGTTGAGGTGGTTGTTGTATTTGAGTTGATGAGACACGTCGTTGGGGTCTACTAGTCGTAATGGTTTCTGGTTCAGGAGAATCGGTTGCGACAATTGTTCTGTATTTGCCAGACATGCCCCAGTTCTTCCATTTAAACATCTTTGGCACTTTGCCTGTGTTTAGAAAGTCCATTGCTCGACGGTATCCTATATTAAGACGGGAGTCGTGTTACAGAGACGTCGGAGCTCTCGTGAAAGGTATCAAAAGGTATCGTGAAACGACAAGGTATCAAAAGTTAGTAGGCCCTCCTTCTTTTGCGTCAATTACCTTTCGAGCTAGTAAAGGCCCTATTAGCCACCATCTTTTCATACAGACCAGTTCCGGGTACGAATGGCTTCAACTCATGCGGAAACATAGTTCCCTTCATAGAGAAAAAAGAATATCAGAGACAGTTTGTTCAAAGACGCCAAAAACAACGAAGATAAACTCGAATAACTTGAAAGTCCAAACAACAGTCAACAAAACTCACATATTTATAATCCTCCCAATACCTAACAACCACCATATCAACTCCAGCCACAGTAACCATACTCGAATCCATTTCTTCCCAAGGCACCTAAACAAACGAAAACACAACCGTTAAACCCCTTCAAAACACAGTTCTTGCACAAACCACTTACATGAAACGCCAACCAATACCGATCAGCGTCATCGCCACCCTTAATACCCGACGACACGAGACACACTTCTCCCTCCGCGACCTCCCCAGATCCATCATCTAGATCCTCATCAGTCTCCTCATCATCTACAACGTATATCTGCGAATCAGCCTGTTCGACTTGATTCGCCGATCCAGGAGGCGATACTTTCTTGTCTCTCGACAAGATCCGACGTAAATCAGCTTCTAGTTGCAGCTTGGTCTGTGCTCTGATTGTGTCTGCTTGGGATTCAGATGCTACAATGCTAATGATGTGGAATATGGATTAGAATGAGCAAGTTGACGGTTGCAAACGTGTATTCGGCCATTTGGGAAGTGTAAATAATGAATTGAGTGTTTTGCATACCTCATTTTGCACGTTCTGGTACACTTGCAGGGTATTTGCGATTCAAGTGTGTTTTGAAGGGATGTAGGAGAGGAATTACGGTCAAGATCTCTTTCTTGATGCTTGAAAAAGTATTTGGCACTGCCGTATCGTTGTTTTAACAGCGACCACGTAGCACTTCTTTTCGGGATTCCAAGTTTTGGAATGATGGAAGTGTAAAGGCACGGAAACGTGAAAATCGACATGTGAGAGTTCCAAAACAATTCATGACAGAGTATATGGAGACGTGCTGCGTACAAACTGCAGGTTAATGACGCGTATCGGACCGTCAAAATAGCTGAACATGCTGCTTTTGACTCTGGTGACGATCTACAGGTTTTCATGTGCACTGTACCAAAGTTAACGCACGCAGTACCAGTTCGCGTATCGTACATTCATCATTGGCCTCATGCCGTACCGTTATATTATCTTGTTCTTCTAACTACATGAGTAACGGCGAATCCAACACTGCAAACCCAGCTGCAACACCCCCTTCGTTAGAGTTGCTAGCTTTAGTTCGTAACAAGTGTCCGCCTGTTTCATTCATATGAACTATATCTCCTTCACTAGAAAACCAGCAAAGGTACGTTTTCTGCGTTAGTTTCTCAATGCAAAAAAAGACTCAGGCCCACAACTGCATACCTGATCCAGATCCCATAAATCCCAACCTCACTAACCACATCCCCAGGAATCACCTTGCCCAACCTCACCATAATGCTTTTACGTACGGGTGCTTTGATCAAGTCCATGAGAATGTATGCGTTTCGTTCAGCTGGCGATAGTTTTTGAAGTGTTGTTTTGATGTCGTCTCCATATATATTGTTTCCTAAGCGAAAAAAGAACCAAACATTACTAGAATTACGAAAGCATTTCAGAACAAGCACACCATACCTCCACCCTCCCTCTGCGGCTTCATAACAAACCTCTCGGGACTTTCCAGCGCATCCTGCATAGCCTTAATCCCCTCCGCACTTCCATCCAGTGGATACAGGCCCATAAAACACTTCCGTAATGCAGCAACCTGATCCGCATCATGAATAAACCGTTCGACCATTCCAGGCTGGTCGAGTATCTGCTGCACTTTCTTGGACCCGACGAGGTGGTAGGCAATGTTTGGGCATTTGATTGTGCTGGATGACTCGATTAGGAGTCGGGCGTCCCATTCGGCGTGCGTTGGGTAGTCGGTTGGGGAGTAGCCTGCGCGGAAGTATGTTACGGCTACTTCTTGGCCGTTGCTAGAAGAGTGAGGGTATTAGGATACAGTCAAGCAAAAAAAGGTCAGGGTAAAGGTGGCCTTACAGGATCAGAGGACCTCCAGGACTATGAATGGATGCCTGTTCGTGTATTTCGGCTAGTGACTTTCGTATCAGGGTGATACTGTACCTATTCCAAAGACAGAATGAGCCAAAAAAACGCCCATGAAAATTGCTGAATTCGAGCTTTGACAAATCCTTACTCGTTATACAATGTATACTCAATCCACCTCTGATCAAACGCATTCCTTTCACCAGGTTGAACTACAATGACCACCACAGCCCTATCATGCCAAAAACTCATTAAATATCTATGTCTTCCAGCAAGCCAAAGAAGTCTCAAAGATACACCAATACCCACTTTGGATTACCGTACAACTGCCACGCCTTAGCCAACCCCCTCGGTATAGTCTCAATACTCGTATTCTCTGGCATATACGAGTGCTCCGGCAACGTATACTGCGGTTGGGTACGCACCAGATACTGATGCAGTTTCGATACATGATGTGATAGCGACGAGAACGATGCTGCGATTGTATTTAGCTCGACCTGTTTGACGTGTAATGTTTCGGGCTCGCCCGGTTTGGAAGAGTTATGGAGCATGTAGTCTGATCTGTGTAATCCGAACGTGATTTTCTAGTATACGAATGTGTGAGTTATGATGAGGGTATGTTCAAATTAGAATGGTGTTTTCGGCAAACCTGAGCGGTTCCAAGCGCATGCACTTTCTTGTATATATCATACAGCTTTTCCACGAAATCGTCGACTTTTGATAAGCTAGTTCAAAACAAAACGTCAGCAAATCGCAACCCTCCATCATTCAAACCACACTTATCACCTTTCCATAGCCTCTGTGATAAACTCATGATCCCTCGCACAGCAATCGACCAGCTTGTTGAATATAGGCTGCAATTCGACTGCATTCTCATACGCAGATTTAGGAAACGGGGTTGGGAAAAGTGCGAATGGAGCATGAGTTACAATAGGTACGTCTTCTGATGTAGATACGGAAGCTGGTGCTCGAACTACGAGGCCACGTGACATGGCATAGTCGATGGCATTGTACGCGACTTCGTGGGCTAGCGGTGAGGTTGCGTCTATAGGCGGATACATTGATTTTGATTGTTGTTGGATTTCAAATGTTTGGATATTTGGGTGAGTGCGGGAAAGAGATGTATTGGGCGGACGTGTTAAAATTGAAAATCACGTGTATTTATATACGTTTATATAATGGAAGACTGAAGAACACGTACCGATCGTCAATGCCTTGACTCACCTTTCCCCTTCACAATTTTTTTTTGAAACTCAGAAACACATCCAAACAACACGATGTTTCCTACTATATGGAGGCGCACGGCGTTACATCTCCCATCCCGATACTTTGCCACGTCCTCAAAACCACCAGCAAACCTCGTCTCTCTCCTCCGCAAGCAAACCAACGCACCACTATCCAAAATAATAAAGGCTCTCTCCCACTCCAACAACTCCATCCCAGCCGCACTCGACTGGCTCTCCCACGACGCACTCGCATCAGGAACCGCCAAGGCTGCCAAACTCGATCGTGTCGCTGCTGAGGGTGTCATATACAGCATCACACCATCAACATTAATTAAAGGACGGGGCGTCAGAGGGATACTGGTTGAAGTAAACAGTGAAACGGATTTCGCGATACGTGGACCGCTGTTTCAGGCGTTTGTCAAGCGAGCTGCTGTGACGGGGGTGATGTTTGGTGAGAGTCTTGCTGGTGTTGTGGGGTTTGGAAGCACGACGTGTCTGCATGATGTGGATGCACGTAGATTATTAGATGCACCTGCATTCCCGCTGCCGGATTCTCCCGCCATAGAAGATAATACTCCCTTAAAGGACCTCCTCGCAACACTTATAGGCACCATCGGCGAACGCGTCACGCTCCGACGAGCATGCATCGCCCTCCCGCCGCCACGTATCGCAGCATCGGATCCGCTAACCATCGTATCCAGCTACATACACACGCTGCCGGGCAGCGATATGGGGAGGATGGGCGCTATGGTGGTACTAGCTGCGCGGGAAGCAGTACATAAAACAGGGAATGTGGATGGTGGTGTCGTGGATGAGATTGAGCGGTTTGGGAAGAGGCTTGCTCAGCATGTGACGGGTTTTAATCCGTTGACTGTGGACGGGTTGCTGGAGCAAGAGTTCTTGTTTGGCGGTGGCATGGTCAAGGATGTGGTTGCAGAGATGGAGGTAGCCAAGGGTGTGCGCGTTGAGGTGGTGGATTTTGTGAGGTATGAGTGTGGAGAGGGGATTGAGAAGGTGGAGAAGAATTTCGCGGAGGAGGTTCAGAAGCAGTTGGAGTAGGCAATATGGAGGCAAGATCCATCGTTAAAAAGAGTAAATAAGTTATAGAACAGAATAGAATAGAGCACGAATCGCATCAATAGAATTACATAGACAACATACACAAACGGTAGTAAACAGCAAAATCCATTTTTTATTTGAAACCAGTCCCAATTTTCTTGGTAAAAACTATTTCTTGTTTCCTTTCTGGTGGAGCCAATTTAAAGCTTGGGAGAAGATGACTTCTTAAGGACTGCAACACCGCCTCCAAGAGCGACTTTGCCGATTTCCTATTACCAATAATTGAAAAAGGTCAGTTTTCCGCAACACAGCGAAAAAAACGCGACGTTGCAAGCGTTAAAATATACCTTGATGGTAGATTGGAATGCAACGGTAATGGTCTCGGCATCTTCCTTGACTTTCCACAATTCAGTGGACAAGGTTTGGCCAGGGAGGACGGGGTGTGCTATTCAAAAAAGGAGGGTCAGACAACATCCCTTGATTTCTCGTGTCTTTTAACGACACTGGGAAATAAATCGAGAATGTCGTGGTCCAAGCACTCACTGAAACGAGTCCTGTACGATACAAGTCTACGTCCATCATTCTCTCCATAAGCCTGCAAGACTGCACGTACACCTTGAGCGTACGAGCACAAGCCGTGCAAGATGGGGACCTTGAAGCCTACTTTGCCAGAAAATACTGGGTCCTACAAAACGAAACCATTTCAATACAAAACACACCCAAAGTTGAATAACACAGACATACAATGTGGAGAGGGTTGTAGTCAGACGAGAGACGGTAGAGCTGAGCCTGCTCTACACGTGTTGGGGTTACAACCACCTTGTGGGCAGGTGTTTTTGGTGGGGTTGCTTCTGGTGGTGGTTTGGGCTGTAAAGAGAAGTGTAGTGTAGTGTGAGTGAAATATACGTACAGTCAGAGACATTATGAAAGCGCATACTGGTGCTGGACCACCGAATCCTCCAGCGTCACGGAAGAAGGCACGACCACTACATATGACAACATGTTAAACCCTTAGAAGTGGAAATTGGAGCAAAGACAAACGGCCCTTACATGATCTTGGCGTATTTCTTGCCACTTGCATCAGAAATGACGGTTTCGGATTCCATGATGCAGGCTACAACAAAAAAAGAATCATTTACTCCAACTATATCTAACTGACGACTCATAGCACCACCATTTTACCTTTGCCAATATCATAAACACCAGTAGTACGTCCCCTTGCAATCAACTCCCCCTTGGATTCAAGAGGCAGAGGGTTGTACAATTCAATCATACGTTCTCCATCCAACAATTTAGTCAAGTCGAGCTTGACGCCAGGGACGTTGAATCCGCCTCCAGCTCGTTTGCTGAAATCGGTAACGTCTTGTGAGTAGCCGCTAAAAATGGTAGGGTTGTGGAGGTGGGTTAGTTATGGGTGAGTACGAGCGACATGAAGATGTCGTGTTTTGATGAAGACACCACTTACCCCAAAACAACAGGGATTGAAGGGAAGGCTTGGAAGTCCTTGTTCAATTCATAAGTCTATAGCAACAAAAAGACATGTAAGCCATGTATTCTGAATGTGAGACTTAAATGCCCGTCCACGCAATTTGCCATGATTTGGTCTCAAGCACAAACAGAACGGACACATCAGCAACTACTCACGTATCTGAAATCTTCTTCACCGATTCCACAAGCGTAAATCAACAAATCACGCTTGTTATAGGTAATTCGTGACTCTGTGGTGGGGAGCTCGGATAAATCGACGGCTGGCATCTTGATTTCTAAATGAGACCAATAAGTTTCAATAGCAGAATCGGGTGTGTTGGGTTCAAGTTTGAGAACGACGGTGTGTGAAATCGTGGAGAAGTTGATGATTGATGCATGTGTTTGTGATGTTGTTTCACAGCACAGCTTCAACGGTTCAAAACGAGATAGTATGGCACGATGCACTTCAAATCAACATGTTTCTGCTGCTTACTGGCCCTTACCTATACCAGAGAGTAAAAACGACGTGAGAAAATGTAATCAAAAGGGAAAAACAGTTTGAATTGTGGCAAAATCAGAACAAAACCACTTTCTAAGGCGAGCCAGAAGCAAGAACTGCATCATCATGTACCAATCTAGGGGCTTACCTTGTACTTGGCTCTTTAAATTCCTAAGTTCAAGTTTCGTGAAACACAAGCTGACTTTTGAAAGACGCAAGTCAGTTTACGTCATCAACGACGGAACAACCGACCAGCGTACATCAAGGCAACGAGACGCCTAAGATCCGAGTGATATTCTCATTTATCTTTCATCCTGTATTGCAACCCTTTGTCGCACTATAATAGTGGATCTTGTAAAACACGCAACAGGTTCGCGACATTTGAACCAAGACCAAGACCTGGGACTAGGAGGAGGAAATCACGTACATGTTTTTAATTCAATTCAATTTCAATAGATTCAATCATCAATCAGCATTTGAAATCCTACAGAACCACAGAATCAACAATTGCGTGAAACGAACATGCTCCCTCTGTATTTCTCAACCAGGCTTGGGACTGGGCTATGGCCACATTGAGCACCGTTTCCATTCAGGTACCACTAGCTCTCTCTCCCCTCCAAATAGAGCACGAGCATCAATTAAACCAAGATTCACATACTAGCAGCCAACTCAATGCAAACAGCTTGTCCACCACCACCACGCACAAGTTCCATAACCCATCACATGATGAGCGAGCACACATACCAATTAAATTCAAGGCAAACCCACCAACTCTGGAACATCGTGGAAGAAACCGCATGTACATTGGGCTGGTGTATACTACGACACCGAATGTCGCCCACAGCACACATCCAGAGTCCGGCCTGCGAAAATGAAAAGCACATCATCCGCTATGACCAACTGCACCGAGGTCCCAGGTCGGCGCAAAACGTCTAACTTCGATGGATGTCAATGGTGTTGACCACTGGCCGGTGGCGTGATGGCCCGAGTGTATGCAAGACAGTCATGGGTATGGTGGTGAGACCAGAGGAGGCTCTTGATTCTTGTGAGTGACTCGCTTGAGACCTGATGGAGCGAAATGTGTCAGAGTTGTTAGTTGTTTTGATAGACACAACCATGCTATTGTGTGTTGCCCATAACAAACAATTAGAAACTTACTATTGCGTAATTAACTTATCATCTACGTCTTGTCCTCCTCCATAACAGCCACATTTTTGGCTTCCATTTTGAACTCTTCCTCCCTCTTCAACCGTTCCAATCGAGCTTTATCTTCATCATTTGATTCAACATTATTCTTCTCATCTACTGCTTTGGTAGCTTTGACTCGACACTATTCCAAGCGGCAATTTATGGGATGACTTTGTCCTGGGGCAGTACACAAAAATTGTCATGGGTTGGCAAAACAAGGATGATACCATTGCGGCGAGCCACCAATCCTGGGTCATCGTCTGGTTCCATACGGTGCTCACGACTCCTAAATCCTAAATATTTTACTATGTTTATATCGTTGTTTCGTTGTAGACTCTTAAACTCCAGTGCTTGTCTCCAATATCCGCGATTTTCGAGTGTCGCCCAGTCTTCTGGTATTGTTATGAAGGGCAAGTTGTTCAAATAGCTTCCAAAGGCAGCGAATGTTGAGATTGCGGCTTTCAACTGGGCCATTGTCAAACGGTGTTTTGCCTCACAGACTACCCAAGTTCCATCGGCTCGTCGGAGCAAGCCATCTAGCTGACAGTATGGGTTCAAATACTCATCTAATATTGTTCCTTTCTTGTATAGACGGATTGGTTTGGATGGTTGATGACGAAGTTTGAGAACATGCTTTTCATATTCCTCTACAGTAGTGGTAATTACGGTCTCCAGAGCCAAGTCTGCATGTCGCTGCCACCCAGTCAACTCCTTTACATCTGTCGTTAACTCTTCAATACTTCGTGCTAGACCCTCGATCTCTGGAAACTGTTCGTACAAGGGTCGGCGACGAATGGCGAGCTCGAATTGGGTTTCGATACTCACAGTCATTTCGTTTACCCTTGGGTTTTTCTGCTTGTCTATGCTATTGGTTACTATAAAACTCCGAATATCCCCGGCACAGCGTCTCATATTCACAACAGGTTCATCTTTGAAAACTTCTGCTCTCCACGTGATGAGTGAAGGATCTACATCATCAATATGAGTGTTTGGTAGATTCTTCTTCACTATTTCCACCAGCAGTTTTATGAGTTTTTCTTCGTCCATGCTAGGATCTATTCTACAGAGAGTAACGAGAGTAGCTTTAGCATGTAGTTTAAAGTAGGTTTGCTTTTACTACATATAAGATTTCAGCTCATTCCCGAGAAGCAAATCATTGCGTCCTCCAATCCTATTCTCGCCTATTACCTGCTGTTGATTTCTTTCTAATTGTTCGTTTTGATGTTTTGATGCTACGCTAGTCCAGTGTATTGTCCAGCCTATTATGGATGCGATGATCAGTGAAAGATGTCCGATTGAAGTCAGAATGCTACTATTTCCATGTCTCTAAAGCCCCAGAACGCTGAATAGACGACACTTACCAAACTACGATCTAATCGTAGATTGAAGTCGACAAGATTACTAGAGCTGAGGAATCGCAGGTCAAGACTTAATTCAAAAGGACCACACGGTTATTTCTACTGAGCTAATTGACTCAAAGCTCTCGTGAACGCGAGTCAATACTGGATGAGTTGCAAATCACATTTCATAACTTTCCAAACGGTTTCCAGCTGGGTTTCCAGGTAGACGAGTGTAGACGTGATCTACGCATTCAAACATGTATTCAACGCTATCATTAACATCATACATAGTTTCCTTTCCATAATGTTCACTGTGCTTCGAAACTTGGCCCTCCAAATATCAAAAGCAATAAACCACATGATGTATGTTGCGGATGTATCGAATGCTATTGCGTGTTGCCATAATATACAATTAGAAACTACTAACTATTATATAAATAAATTATCCTCTAGGTCTTGACCTCCATAACAGCCACCTTTTTCGCTTCCATTTTAATCTCTTCCTCCCTCTTCAACCGTTCCAATCTTGCTTTATCATCATCATTTGATTCAACACTATTCTTTTCATCCACTGGTTTGATAGACTCAGCTTCTTCTTTAGTGGCTTCTACTACTTCCACAGCAGCAGCGACTGCTTCGACAGGAGCACCACTAACCTGCTCTTCATCACCCTCTTCTTCTTCCACTACTACTGCTTCCACAACAGGAGCAGCAACATCTTCACGCGTCTTGACTTGCTCAGCAGCAGCAGCAGCGTCCACAACCCTCTTGGCCTCAACAGCGGCCCTCTCAGCAATAACAACCGCAGGCCGTGGATTAATCGCAAACCTCGGATTATCAACCCGATTGTCAACCCTCGATACCCCATTCTTACCACTCACAGTCGGACTACCATTTCCATCCCCACCAAACGGATTTCCACTTTGCCCAACCTGGGACTCAAGCCGTCGTCTCCGTTCCTCCTTTTCGAATTTACGGGCGTCCTTGTATTGCATCCACCATGGCTGTGGTGTGGACTCGGACGATGATGGAGATGATGATGGAGATGGGGATTGGACGGCGTGGCCGAATGGTTGTGGTTTTGAGGGTGGTTTGTATGTGCCTGTTCCGTAGAGGATGGCGAGACTGGATGTTTCGTTGGCGTATGGGATTGGGGTGGTAATGTCTTTGCGGCGGCCTTTGCCGCGGATGGAGAGAGGGTGTGCTTCGGTGTTCTGGTAAAAAGATGTGAGCTGAGGATATACCGTTTTTTACCACGACCACATGCTTTGAAAGTTAATTGCTTACAAAGACAAAGTCCGTCAACGAGATGGTATCATCTGACGTATAAGTCAAATACTAAACAAAGTGATTCAAAACGGGTCAAAAGCGGCCATCACAAACCTTGCAAAAACAGACAGTCAAAAACATATCGACATACCAAATATTTGAGTGTTTCAGCCAGGAAGAACGACTGCTGCAAATTATCATGCATCGGAGGCAGTATATCAACGTTGCTCAACCCAGAGAATCCAAACTCGACACGGCATGACTTGTTGAGGTTCTATGGAAAGAACCAAGTTGGTTGAGGACGTTTCAAACCAGAAAAAGGCCACATTGAGGAGCATCTACCTGAGCAATAACCCAGTTCCACTCCCGATACATGGGATCATGAGTCAACCTCCACATATAGAATATACTTTCAATTGTTTCTGGTCTAAAGAGATCCATCAAATCGTCGTTCAATAAACATCCTAACCAAAAAAGCCAATTCTGATCGAGAAATCACCTCAAGATGTAATACGGCGAAGACCCAGGTGCGAAAGTATGCGGATCCACAAACTCTGATCCAAGTCCAGTTTCAGACACCATATATGACAAGAAACATGATTCGGTGATTCCTCGACCAATATTGAGATGCGTTGTCCAGTTTCCGTGTGGTTTTGTTAGAGCTCCTATATATGTATTGATGAGATTGTCAGACAGTGAAAAATGTAAAGTCTTGGGATGTAGCTTCTATGTGTGTTTGTCAACTTGCCTAATGCAAACATTCCACCTGCAAAGCATGACTAGGCACGGATGGAATTGAGATTTGTAAATACACATTCTGGTTGGAAAAGAGAAAACAGTTTTTCTGTTACCAGATGTTCAAAGTGATAATCCGCCATTGTCGTTCCATCATTAGCAGCATTCGTGGTCGGCACATAGATATGTCCCTTTGAATTGGTTTTAGCCATTCTGGCAAAGCTCTAAGCGGGAGGTATTTGAGGTCAGCGAAAACAAAAAGCAGAGTACACGAAGGATTTGTGCAGTTAACACAATCTAACATAATAAACCTTAAATAGTAACTTAAAGCACACTCATCAAACAGACGAACCGCAAAAACTCACATTCGCAATCTCATCATACAACACCCTATACTTATCCACACCCGTAGCAAGCCACAACTTCAGCAGATACTCATAATAACTATCTGCTTCAGCACCAAGCCCATATCTCTGATCATGTCCATCAATTCTATCCCCCTTAACCTGTACAGTCAATCCGACAAGTCCCGGTATCTGCTTCGGCACGGCAATCAAGTGCTCGTATATCCGTAGTGCCTTTTCAGCATATGTGATGTTGCCTGTTATAGTATTGGAATTCAATTGTTTGCCGGATTGAACATGCTTAAAAACGAATATATTCATATGTCCTAGTCCCTTCTAAGCATATGTAACGTTACCTGTTATATCAGAAAGATACTGAAACTCTATTTGCATTGTTCCGATTTCAGCTAGTTTGACGGCCTTGTAGCCCAAGTGGTTGCTGCGCTCTTCCTGTTGGACTCCAAGGAGGATTTGGTTTGATGGGATTCCTGATGCTGTGTAAGGATGTGATGAGTTAGAATTGATTAAGTATCAATTTCGTTGGTGGGTGTTTTTTCTTGCTACTCACCATCGTTGAAGGCAGGTAATATCATATCGGCTAGAATGACTGCCTTTTCAATGAATCGTTTATCTCCTTCCAGATCATAGGCTGAGAGGAGACCGCCCAGAACACGGATGACGGTTTCGAACAGGTTTATACTGGTCGGCTAAGGGAAGACGAGTTGTGTTAGAAGAATAAGAGCAAGCAGAAAAGCATCAATGGGCTAAACAACAGGACACCTTTGTTCCCGTTGTTCTTTGAAAGAATCATTGCGCAAAAAAACATGACCTGTGCATGCAACATACAATATCAAAATTCATCTCCAGCACAAGCTCCTTTGCCTGCTGGTACTCAGTCTCCAGCCCCATTATATACAATGTGGATAACGCGTCCACGGGCGTATTCAGCATTGTGAATGTTCTATAAAAACGAGTTTTAACATCTGGGTGGGTCCAACACGTCATCATGTCAACAAACACTCAACTGGTACCAATTGTGGCATTCACCCGACACTGGTCTCACTTCATCGCATCCTTTGGCACGGGTATAGTAGCCAGACCATGCATGTACCATCATCTAAAGTGTGAAAATTGAAGGTTAAGGGTTGTGTTGGCGTGTGTGTCTGAGGTAGCAGGTTCACATGAAGCTGCCACAGTACGAGAGTAATCAAGCTATACGCCAAATAAACGTCATCACCAACGTGTCATCACTCCTTTTCCTCCCTTAAACCACCACCCTTGGGTTCAAACCATTACCTCTTTAATAGCATCAGCCTTATCGACATCACTGGCCACACTTCCCAGCACACCAACGAAATGGGTCGCCTGGTTCCCACCGACATAGTCTCTATCTCTCTGCATCGGTCCCATTGCAACCCGACTAGCGTTGACAATAACTCTAACAGGATCTTTGACATCCTCGAGCACATCCTGTTGGTGCTGTTTCGGCGGCCGTCTGCGTGCATTTGGCTGCTTCATTTGATGTGCGACGGATGGGTTATTAGGATCAGTGTCGTCTGAAGCGAGGTCATGATGATGGTTTGGTTCGTGATGTCTGTTGCGCGGAGGTGGGCCGGACCTGAAGAAGGAGATGAGGATTAGGAGTCCTATGGCTATGAGGATTATGATACGGATTGGGCGGGGCGACAGGACTATTCTCGCCATTTTTAGCATTTGTGCAAAAGTCCGACTTGAGCTTGGATTCAATGTGGAGAAGAGAAGATTAAATATTAAAGGATTAACAGCAAAAGAGCATATTCTTGTTCTTTACTGATATAAACACGTATAGAGCATGAGGTCCAGTTCGATTCCGATATAAACCACGCTACAATTCCAACTGATAACTTGAACACCTCATGAGCACGATCTGTGCATGTTTTTCGATTTGTATGATTATATTCAGTTAAATTGGTCCTAGATCTACCAGATAAAGAGCCAAAACGCGTCGTTTTGGTCCTGATCAGTTTTACATCAGTGGGGGTCATTTGTTCGTCGTTGCTCAGCAAAACAAAACAAAACTCACATACAACCACATACAACCCCCAAGACTAGTCCAAATAATCATAAAATGGTAGGTCCCACTCTTGATCTGCAGACACCGTATCACTACCTATGAATCCACCAGTCTTTTCCCGTGTAATCTCCACCACCAAACATGGCTGTTTTGCATGGCCATCAAACGATGAGGGAATGGTGACAAGACGAGATGCTTTTCACTTATAAAAAGTATCCAGTCGCCTACCCATCATACAAATCATCACATTCATCCATTCATATCATACCATTCCCATATCAGCATATCTCGCCATTCACCAACATTCGTGTTTTTGTTTTGTTGGCGTTTATACCATGTAATCTGACTGGTTTGATATATTTAGGAAGGAGGAAAAGCTGGATCATCAAAGAAGGACAAGGCTCCACCTCTCTCTCGTGCTGCCCGTGTATGTATCATATATACTTATATTGTTTATCGTTTAAATGTCGCAGTCACCATGTTTAGCATTTGGATCAAACACAACTACATCACTGATTATACCATAAAATTCATCTCAACACACCACTAACATACAATTCATTCATCCAAAAAGGCTGGTCTACAATTCCCAGTCGGTATGCCCACTATTCCCATCAACCATCAACAATGCATGACACTAATCAATACCCTCTACGTACCTGTCAGGTCGTATCCACCGTTACTTGAAGGCCCGTTCCCAAAACAACATTCGTGTTGGTGCCAAGGCCGCAGTCTACTCGGCTGCCATCTTGGAATACTTGACTGCCGAAGTCCTCGAATTGGCTGGTAACGCTTCAAAGGACTTGAAGGTCAAACGTATTACCCCCCGTCACTTGCAATTGGCAATCCGTGGTGACGAAGAGTTGGACTCCTTGGTTCGTGCTACTATTGCCGGTGGTGGTACGTGTCAATTGATTGCTTGTCATCCATTATCAAGTTGCTTGTTATCGCAATGTGTCGAGACGCTTGATGTACAATCATTACCAATCGCTATCCAACACATCCTCACCAACACCCACCACCCAACCCATATAGGTGTCATCCCTCACGTACACAAGTCTCTCCTCCCTGCTCCTGCTCCCAAGGGTCCTCCCGGAGCTCCACCAGCAAAGAAGCAAAAGGAATAAGCAATGTCTCGTATAAACTCCTTGTAAAAGTAAAAAGAAATGGGCGTGGGCATATTTTTTGTTGAATGGGATGAAGGAAATGAAATTAAGAGAGAGGGGTTGGGTGCAGAAGTTGTGTGTGTAGATATTTGCTTATTACAGAAAGACTGTTATTGAAAACACTCAATGGTGTTGAAACTAATGTTTTATTTGTGTAATTATGAGTATCTAAGCGTCTACTTCTCGTACAATGTATCAGATGTATCAGACCGGCTTTACAATCTCATCCGCCTCCTCACTCTCGCCATCCTCCTCCTCATCCACATCCCTATCAAAATGCCCTACCTCACCACCACTCCGAAAACTCTGATTCCATCTCAGCATCCCATTAATATCCCTCACCCAGTCCCTCGCAGCCGACGCATGCACCACATCTCCATCATCGTCCGTACACGGCGACGCATCCAGTCGATTCACACACGGTATCGGGTACTTTGACATGTCGATTTTTATGTATTCACCTTTTTGCAAGATGTGCAGGGCGCGTCCGTCGATGCTTACTTCGGCGTTGGAGCGCGTGTGTGGGGTTAGCTAGTATATAAGAAAAGTCCTGTGTGAGTTGAGGAGAAAAGGAAGAAGCTTTTTTGCGGAAACGTGCGTTTTTGTCACGTACAGAGACTTGGATGTTTGATGAGTGCGGCAGCAGGATTGATCTAAAAGAGAGCGAGCGTGGTGATACGGGGGTTAGGAGAATGCAATTTAGAGATGGGTGGACTATGGGGCCTCCTAAAATTGAGTGTATTACGTATGTCAGAGATGGTTTTATTTTGTTTGCTTGAGAACTTGAAAATGTGACGGCTTCAAGGTTTTACCAGCAGATAACGAGTACGCTGTACTCCCAGTGCCCGTCGCGAAAATCAGTCCATCTGCCTACCACCAAAAAAAACGCAGTAAGTCACGATAACGAATCAACTTCAACATCGATATGCAGCACACATACCACAACACTAGTCAGCATTTCGCTATTAACCTCGACTTTCAACTGAATCAGATGCGGCTGCCGTCCTCTCCCCAGATACACCTCATTCATAGCCGGCACGTCATTGCCAAACTTGTTAATCCGGGTGCCATCACTATTGTAAAACCCACAAGCGAGACGCATGCGTAAGAGCAGCGTGACGTCTCCGTCGATGACTTTGCGGAGCGCGACCTTGTAGTGCTGGAACTGGTAGGGGAGGAGGAAGCCCAGCGTGCCGAGCGAGAAGGAGATTATGGGTGGCACGGCGGTTGGGAAGAGGGATGTTAGGTGGAGGATTGTGCCGTCTCCTCCTAATATGATGCGTCGTGTGAGTATCAACAAGAAAAAAAATTAGGAATTAAGGTATATTGATTTACCAAGTGCAATAGCAAAATCCACCGTCCGATTATACTCTTCAAACGCCGACTCAGGCGGTGTGAGATGCACTACGGGCATATCGAATGGTGGGGATTGGAATAGTGGTGCTGTGCCTGGTTCTACTACGATGTTTAGATCTGCATATTCGGTCGAGAGGTAGGAGATGACGTTGTAGAATGCTTGGTCTGTTTTGGCATCGTTGGGTTTCTTGACGATGAGGCATGTGCGGGGACGTTGCAGCCAGCGGAGTTTGTGCTCGTGTCTGTGTGGAGGGGAGGTGGTTGGTGAGTGAGTGAAACACGTTGTGATGATGTAGGTTGAAGAGTTCACGAATTGATCCAGCAACAATGAAACGAGTTCATGAATGAAATGAATGACTAGATCAAGCTTGTAGGATCTCAAAGCACGTTTGTGATCACCAACCCATAAAGCGAAGCCTTTGGACGAATGAACCAACCAAGTCACATACATTGGCTCCGACGCAACAGTCTGCGTAATCTCCGATCTAGCGCCAATAGCAGATGCGTCCAAGTCTAACACCACCAGAATGTCAGCTCTCATGTTGCGACAAGACCAACACCAAATCATTTCCAAATTGTACCATCCCAAGATCCAATATCCTGTATCTTTAATCTGGCCTTGTTTGGTAGCGAGGTAGTCCATTTATGAGTAAATTTGCCTGTTATGTGGGCACTTCCTTGAGTTGAATAATGTTGCTTGAAATGTTGCGTCAAGCGCAGAATGTGAAGCTTTGTTGATGTGGGAGGGAGGTGAGGGCGTGGGAGGAGGCATAGCTTGCATGGATGGAATGGGGCGTATGGTGTGGTGAGCTTTATGTTTGGATGTTTCATTTGCTTTATTTGAATGGTGAGTTGTTGTTGATGTAAGGTGCTTGGATTTTTTGTTTGGTGTAGGTGGAAGGTTGGTAAAGCGCGTGTTTTAGATCATTGAATTACTTTTTAATTTATTGGTTTATATGTATTGGAATGCTTTTGATGCGGCTCTAACACGTACAATTAGCTATAAATAGGACATCAACATATTTCAAATTGTGACACGATACTTAGACTACTTAAGATGCTTGATGAAGAACTACTATTAGTAGTATTGCCTTATCTTTGCTTCACAGAAACTTGAAAGTCTTAGCCTCTTATTTGATATCCCAAAGTCTCGCTAAAAATCAGGTCATCCATGAAGATGGCCCGTTAAGAGATAGAATCTCCTTTGTTATGAAACTCGATGGCTCTCCTGTATACTCAGAAAGGTCTCACACTTTGGTTGAAGAGGAGTGGAGAGAGTTGTCACCGTGTCGGAATCCACCGATGTGAGTACATTGGTTTTTGTTGTTTGTGGAGATTGCAGCCACCAATATACTAATAGTCTCAGGAAGAATTGAAATAGGAGCTTGGAAGCGGGTCCACATCACGATCCTTTCCACCGGGACGAATGCCCCTGTCATAAACAACCTTCTGTCCGGACATTACTTCTGTATCCATCCATCGTTTGTACGTTGGTGGTCTTATCAAGTGGTGATATTTCATTTTGCCAAATGGAAAAAAGAATCAAATGTTTATCTGGAGGAGTACCTTACTGGAACGACTCTATGCTAGCCGTCACACCTTAAACAGTGAATCCAACTTGTACCTGTCCCGCCTCCACCCTCACTCCTGGACTGTGCTCCATACTCTCGTATTTGCCTAAACATCAGATGCAGTCAGCAACTCATCCCAAAGTACTCAATGGGTGTTGCGGATGATCATAAATTCTGCATGCATGGAAGCACTGTTGCCGCGAGATACCTACATATCCCGATTCAGATACAGACGTTTATGCCCGTGAGATGAGCGTCGAGAAAACACTAAATAGTAAATGTGAGATTTGTGAGTCGACAATGATTTGAAGAGAGATCCGGCTTTTTTGCTTACAATTCAAAAGTCCCCTGCGGTGAGACCAGCCATGTAAGGAGTCTTCCTGCTTCGGGGGTTCTCTGTCGGCAACGAGCATGTATCACGTTCGGCGACTTCACCTTGAGCACCAGATGACGGTGCAGTCAATGCTTCTTTCGACCAGGTACTCACAGAAGAACTTCACACATCGTCCTAAAGAGTAATGGAAGTTTGAGTGTGCTGTCTGAAACACTTAAGTAGCACTGTAACCAACTAACTTTTCGCCATAGAACCATCATGTAAAGGTCAAGCAGCCATTATTCACTATTAAAGGTACGGAAGGCGTTAGTAGTGTAGGCCCTCTGCATTTCTCCGGGCTTGGGACCGGCATTGGCAGCATTACCTATATGCATGATACAGACGTTGCGATATATAATAACTTAAGCATACTTGCCAGTGTTGAGGTACTTGTGTTTTTTGGCGCTACCATCAAATCATCTGTTTAGTACTGCGATATACATCCTAACAAAAAAAGGGTCAGTCGATTACGGTATGAGTTTTTTCGGTGTAGTTACATACTTGTGTTCAATAACATAATCACCAATCAAACGCGTTGCCAATGCACCAAAATCTAAACCAAATATAATAATGCCCATTCAATTGCAAGCAGTGTTCTCGTGATGTAAACAGTACAACCTAGAAGAGATATGGCGTGTCAGTACTCCGTGTGTCTTGAAGGTCAGAAGAGATAACGTCTTACGACACTGGTGGAACTAACAATCAAGTCATGTATATGAATGATTCTAATATTTTGGAGCAATAACAGCGAGGTTGCGGAACAAAATTGTTGATGACATTCGGCGACACGAACACCTACTATATGAAGTGTCACTCTCACGTATCTAAGGGTTAAAGAGTATAAATTATTTTATTCAACTCACTTGTAACGACAACCTTGAAGTTCAGACAAAATCAAGACACTCACCCGACATCCTCCCTTACATCCAATCCCACCCTCATTTCCAAGCGTAGTCCAACGAGAAGCACAGAAAAACTCAGAATCTTTATCACTGTTATTGCACTAAAAGCACCTCCAAACCTGCACCCACACACACAGAATTCAAGCATCAATATTACATGTATTAACTAAATAATAATAACCCCTCGCATTCCTTATGTAAATCCACCAACACTAGGCTCACGAAGCCTCAAACTACTCGCACTAGCAGCATTCTTGATATACCTCGTGCTCAAAAAGTCTGGTGTCTTGCGCAAATGCAGCATGTCCGCCATTTCAGGGACTCCAACAGGTGGGCGTGGTTGTGAGTTTATAATCAGTGCTTGTTTTGTTGCTGTACTTGCATTAGCAGGTTCATCAAGAGCTGGTGTTGATAAAGAGGATACTCCACTATTGGTGTTATTTTGACTTGTTGTTGCAGTTGAGGTTGATTTCTTTTGATATTTGAGGGATCGAGACCTAAAGACTTGGTTTACACCATTCATGCCGTTTCCATTTACATCTCCTGATTCGGATACAGATGCTAGTTGTCGTGAACTGCGTTTTGACGATACACTAAAAGAGTCAAATGTGGGTCAGCGTCATCTTGAAGCTCTGGGTTACGGATATTTGGCTTACGATTCAAATGTCCCTTGAAGAGAGCTCAACAACTGCCGAACCTCTCTTGCAGTTGCATCTTCTGTTTCTCCCATTGGCATCGAGCTTATATCCAGTTCAGCAAGCTCGCTTCGAGCACCAGATGACGGGGTGGCCAATGCTTCTTTAAGATCATCTACTCGGATAGGAGGACTACCGACATCGTCCTAAAAGGAAGAATACAATGAGTGTGAGCAATTTCTCTAGAATACCTTTAGAAAATGCTTGTTTTAGCCTTACCTCAGAAGAGTCATTCGTCGACGGCGCCTTGCGAGCACCTGCACCAACTACAGTAACAGTCGATCCGGACGTCCTACTAGAGATGCCCAACACAGATGCCCTATTCTTGGCATTCTTTCCAGCAACTGATTTGTCTGGTTCTAATATTTGAAACATATTAGGAAGTTGACATGCTAAAAAATGTGGGACAAAAATATGGAAGTAAGCGAGCTTTACCTAGACTATCCGAATCCTCAGGCACATACTCCACAGCCAGCTTCTCAACAACACCACCGACTTTCCGTATCTGATTATCTCTAATCAGTATACCATTCAGAGTGGATTCGGCGACCAGAAGCGTTAATGGCGACAAGTTTAATCCATTTTCGATATCCCTGAAACAAAAAACGTGTCAAGGCATGCGCCAAAAAAACATTCGCCAGAGCCGAGGTATGTCTTACTGGAATGACTTCCTGCTCCCCGTCACAGCAACCTCCAAGCCAGCATCCAATCCAACCTGTATCTGTCCAGCCTCCATCCTCTCACTCCTCAATTGCACCACATACTCGCGTATCTCCAGGTTACCCAGTATATCAGATGCAGTCAACAAGGCATCAATGAATATATTTCCCAACGAGCGTTGCGACGACGGTGATAAAATCTTGGATTCGTACGCGGTTGATTGGACCTTGTACAATACGGGGATGGCCTTTATGATATGTTCGGCACCGAATCGTTTAAACGAGCTACATGTTAGATTGCTGATGGCGATATAGTCGACGGGCAGGTTGTGTGATGAGAGGGAGTATTCGTAGATGGCCTTGTTGAAATCCGTCAAGAACTAAGAAAAAATAAAGTGGATGAGTGTCCGGGGAGAACGCGAAAAAAGCAAGCACGGAACGACCTTGGGACTATTGGTAGTCGACAACCCAATACTAGCCTCCACAGTCTCCAACCCAAACAAGCTACACAGAAACTCGGCCGCAAACAGCCTTATATCCACATCCCCGTCATTAACAAGCCTCAGCGTTGGCCGTATAAGCACATAGTCAACGGGATTACGCACAACATTAGGCACAAGTCGCCGTACCGATAGCTGTGACGACGCATCACCACCGCCACCATCTCTGGACACTGCCTGTACATGTGCAAACCTCACATGCACCACCATTTGTAAACACCGTAACAATATTTTGCGAGACGTTATCGTCTTGGAGTCTATCGTTAACGACTCTGCGGTCTGTCTATTCGACACAGGCGTGATTGGCACATCGCTGCTTCCGGCAGGAGAGGCGCCAGAAGCAGGCAATAAAGGAGTTGGCAGCTCGAGTTTCAGCCGATTGATTAAAAAGGCCAGTATCTCATTCACTTGATCTGGATACTGCACCTGAGTAGCCAAAGACCCTACAGATTCAATCAGAGCCTGCTCCAATGTTGCTTCTGCATCTGCTTTATGTGTCGAACTTGTCGAGTGACTTGTTCCAGTTGTAGATAGTAATTGACCAACGAGGACTTCTACAAGCTCCAAAATCGTCATGCCTATACTGCCACCACCGGCCGATATCAGATATGTTAAGGATCGTACTATGGAGGTCTGTATTTCTGGTGATGAGGTTGCAGATTGGTTTTGTAGTCGTTCTAGCATGTTTTGCATTGGAACGTATCGGTGCTGTGGCTGTACTGCGTTCGTTATAACATGTATGATATGGATTACGAATACTGATGACGGCCATTTCTCGTGTTCGTCCAAGTACCTAACACGCACAAAAAAAATCAATATCGCCAACTGTATGGATTGAACAACTTTGTCTTACTGAAACACTGGCGGCAACAGGAACTTGATACTAGCGACATTCGACTTTGCAAACAAATCCCTCAAAGTATCGTCAGCAATATGCTCCAATTCTGAATCTGTTATTAAATCGTCTGTTATCGAAGCTCGTTTGGCAGCGGGAGATGGGCCTCCTAAACCTGGAGATGGCGGTATTCTGTTCTCGCGAAAAAGTAAGCATTGGCATACCTAGCAAAAAAATCATAATAAGATTACATGATACTCACGTTCTACCAGGAGAATTCGGCGACACGGCCGACATTTCACCACTCTCAGTTGGATCATACACGTTTGACATGGCAGACGGTATAATCTTCTCTGCATACTGCTCTGCTCGACTTCCACTCAGAAACGTATCTGATGCTACCATGGAATGTATACCCTTTAAACCTGCCAAGTGCATCCTGACGTAAAAGTGTCATTAGCTCGAGTTGCTGCATTTTTTTGTTGTTGCTACGATTAATCCTTACTTGTGCTCAATAAGATGATCACTAGTCAAATATGTAGCCAGCGCACAAAATTTGTCCACCAAGTGCGAATAAATGTCATTCAATTCGATATCTGCTGAGGCAGTGTGATCGTGATATCTGCTAAACAGTACAAACTAATAAAAATACATGTTAGTATGCTAACGAGCACGTATTTGGTTTACAAGGGCTTACGACACTAGTGGAGCTAACAATCAAATCCGGATCTGGATTCCCCAGTATCTCGAGCACAATCCTCAGCACGCTTTTCGCAAACAGGTTTAGATGCTGATGACATTGATCAATCAATGCACTCAGGATCTGTAATGTCACTCTCACGTATCTAAGTTTCCCAAAACATATCAGTTAGACTTGAAACAACCTTAAAAATCCCACAGACGTGATGCAGTACTGTCACTCACCCAACACGATACCTCCTCAAATCCAGCCTCAATCTCTTTTCCAGATATGTGCCGATTTTAGCTAGCTTTTGAGGTTTGCTTGAAGCATAGAAAATCAATTTCGAGAGGTTGCTGGATTGTGGGCCTTCTTGACCTGGCTGGTTTGGATACACTGCGTTTACTATTACAACGTGGTTGAACCACGAGCCACACCACAGCGACGAGTCGAGACAGTCGCTGCTGTTCATCGTTTGAGTGTGCTTGTCGAGCTGAAAATGGGAAGATGAGGAAGAGAGCACGTGGGAGGAGGAGGAGCTCTAGAGAGCCAAGGATCTAGAGCTCTGAGAGAGCTTCTTTCTATGTGGCCTCTATATGGATCTTGGCTTCTGCTTGATGTTCAAGTGCTCACGGAGAATTGAAGTTTGACTGTGATGATTGGTGACGAGAGCTATGTGTACGAGGTCTCGTCTTGAACATGCCTTTCAGTCATTTTTGGCATTATTTTGGTTTTAGCAGCTGTCATTTACGCGTAAAAGCTAGTATTTTCGTACTTGACTTCAACTAAAAGTCAGTAACATTTGCGCGTTTCCACACGACCAATCTCATCAAAATACTCGTGATTTAACGTGTCTATTCGTTGCTAAACGCTAAACAGCATTTCAAGCTATCCCTAATCCCAAAATCACAACTTGGCTCCAGCCTTTTTAATGTAAGCGACACCACCTCCCATAGCTTGAACACCTCGTTCAACAATGGTAGCCTATATTGTTGTGTCGAAACGTAGTTAATACGTATTCAAGAACTCAAATATCTGCGTGATCTCTTACAGTGAACGAAACAATCTGACATCCACCCTCCTCACGAACCAACCACGAGTCAACCTTCAATGTCTCTCCTGGGAGCACTGGAGACGTGAACCTAGCACGGAAGCTCTTGAAACGGGACGCATCATTGTCGCCCCAGAGTCTCAGAATGGCTCGAGCAGCAGTGCCGTATGAGGCAAGACCGTGGAGGATTGGGGTTGGGAAACCGACTTTTTTGGCAAAGGCTGGGTCTGGAATTGCAGAGTATTAGTAACCCATAAGAAATCAAACATATATTACTACACGATATCTCACCAATGTGTAAAGGATTGTAGTCACCAGACAAGCGGTAGATAACAGCCTGTTGCTTCAGAGTTGGCAGAGAGATGCTCTTGTCTGCAGCGCGGGCTGGTGGAGTAGCGTCTGAGGATGGTTTGGGTGGCTTCTCACCTAGCGAAACAAATGCTTATTATAGCTGTTTGTCTCAAAACGCAGCAATGAGGCCATTACCACCGAATCCTCCAGCGTCTCTGTAGAAAGCGGACGATACGATCTTGACGTATTCCTTGCCGCTAGCGTCAATCATGGTTCCTTCACTAAAGAACACAGGCTTTTGAACACTGAAGTCCGACTGGGAACACTAACTATAAGCAACTCACGATTGGACAACAGCGGCTTTACCGACATCGTACACGCCTAAACTCAAAACAAACCATTAGTATACCCTATCACACTTACTAGCGTGACTTGCAAAACACTCACCAGTAATCTTGTTTCTGAACTGGAACTTTCCCTCAAGAGGAATAGGGTTGATAACTTCAAAGTATCGTTCACCGTCAAGAACTTTGCTCAAATCGAGTTTGACGCCTGGGATTCCAGCTCCTTTGGGACCCTTGGGGTTTAGGAAATCAATGACATCGTTGGAGAGTCCTATGTTTGGTATCCAGTGAGTGACGATGTACTAACAAGGGATCACGTCATGGTTTCGACAGCTGAAACGATAGTATGAGGGTGCTTGGTGGCATACCACGGAAGGGAAGCACGATTGGGTACGTTGGGAATGCAGCGAAATCCTTGTTCAACTCGTATGTGAATTTCAGGTCGTCTTCACCGATACCGCTGGTGAAAAGAAATAAAATGTTACTAAAGCTGCTTCTGCGGTCGTTCATCATTCAAGTCGTGCTTTAAGCATGTTTGTGATGAGTGAGCAAAATGCCGACTGTTCATGAATTGACAAGCTCGTACATGGCGTATAGGATCAAGTCACGCTTGTTGTAAGAGACATCCTGGTAGGTAACTGGTAGCTTGGAAATGTCGGGAGAAGGCATTGTCGTTTGCGTTTTCTGGAAAAATAGTTTGAATGGTAGTGTTTAGTTGGACTTTTGACGGTCAAATGCGAACTGGAAACAACAAATGTGGCATGCGACTAGCCTGGTGGTTTACCTTGTTATATAGCCTGTTAGTTGGATTGCTATTCAAGTTGCAAAACACAAGTCTAAAAGTACGCAACTGATTTTACGTCATCATTACGGAAGAACATAAAGTAGGCCAAGAACATGAAGGATGAGGCAGGTACGATCGCATCTGTATTCTTATTCAAGATTTGTTTCATTGTCACACTCGATAATAGAAGGCCTTCCGTTCCTCCCATCATTCTTAATCGCAATCCCAGTTGCTGCCGCATTCACATGTCTACACGGTACGCCTACCTCAAATCCGCACCAGCATCTACCACAATAACTCACATCTACTCTCCCCTTCAGCTGCCTTCGACTATGCCATCCACGTACAATTTGATCTTGTGGACACACTGGATTTGACATATTGTCTTGACACATACCCAAAACTGTTTCTTGCTGTACGAAATTTACCATCATATGTTGTACCTTACAACTAACACTTCCATTTGTCTAGTTAATGGTATTCAGCATCGCATCATCACTATTTAAACACTACACAATCACGCAGTTCATAATGTGTGCTGGAGCATGTGCGAGCTCGGTTGCTCTGCTGAGGTTGGGAGAGTACCCTACCTGGAACGACTATAAGAGGTCGCCTGGGTATGGTGTGCTTTGGATCTTTTTGTGTGGTGAGATGAAGTTGACGTTTATTCTGGCCTCTGCTGTTGCTCCATTGCTCTACTATCTCTTCATGTAAAACGAGACCTGATACGCTATAAATTATGCAAAATCATTTTGTCACTATATGTCTATATATATTATTGGTTTGATGCAATAAAAGAGGTCGTTATCGATAAATTATGAAATCCATAGTAGATTTTACTTTGTTAAAAGGTAGAGCGTCTCCTCAAAAAATATGGCAATGCCCATTATGACTGATGACGCAATCAACGTCTGCGACACGGAAAAGGACAACACTGCAGGTCCAGCCAATACCAGTGCAAAGCACAATCGCACAATTAACCGTGTTTGATCTACTCGTCCTAGCGACTTCCATCCTTTGGTAGAATCATACCATTGCGCAATGGTTGAAAACATCATGGCGAGAGCCAGTCCAATAGCAAATACTCCTTCTTGCTGCCATGTATCAGTGATTAGAGTGCTAGTGAGGAGACTACGGACTACTAGTGGAGCAGTCGTGGAGGTACCACCCGTAGATATAATAGCACGAGTCAATAATCGTCTCGTTAATGACGACGAGACAGCCAATGTTGGAGCACCTGGAGGGACTATTGGTGCAAAACTATATCCCAGACTGCTCGAGTAGAGTGTTTGCAGCATGTTGGTTTGTAGTCCCGTAGCCATTACCATTGCTGCGTGCGTTATGCAGTGGAGGAATATAGATACGTGGTGGAAGAGTGATGCGTATTTATGGGATGCCCATGCTGGTGTTAGACCCGGAGCAGACAAGGCGGATTGTTTACGAGTCATGACAAAGAGACCATATATGATGACTACTCCTGTTACCGCATAGCATAGATTACTGACATTGAGTTTAGTTTGTCCAACTCCATTGACTACACCCAGTCGCACTTCGATTAAATCCAGAATACATATGCATGGCAGTAGTAACGACATTCTCGCTAATCTATCTCGGGCTCTCTGCCATTCAAAGTGTGCCAATGGTGAGCCAAGACGGTAATCTACTAGCCCGAGTAGAGCCCATAAGACCAATTCGACGAGAATACCTAAACCCCATAACAACTCTCGTAGTGTAAAGCATCCTGCAATGTATAATAATGTCGATGGTAGCAAGAATGCTGCTCTAATCAGCAAAGCACTGGCACCTTCGTGGCTCAAAGCCGAGTAGTTGTTGCCCATAGCGACGACAAAGTAGATGGCAGTCACTCCTACACGTAATCCACAAGCCATACATATAAAAGCGGTAGCAGTTGGTTCTACAGAGTTGAATACAGAAGGTCCACACCAGGCGGCACCAAACGTAGCGAATATCCGTACGAGTCTCCATACAGTAGCCAGCAACGAGTCTTGCGGCAGCAGCACATCGACATCCAGCACACACAGGCTATAATTATACCACATCGGAATGAATATCAGCAGATACCGTGCGATCGTCTTGGGCTGCAGTGGTGGAGTATCCAACAGCACGGTGCTTCGATACAAGAAGAAGGCATATAGGACATCCTCGAGCAGCTCTCTCGTAAATATAGATACTGGATCATACTCATCGCCCGGCTTCACAGTGCCTACGAGTCGTGAAGTCCATTTTTTGGTGTTTGATGACGATGCTCGCCATGACTGCCGAGACTTTATAGGCGTTTCTAGGTATGAGGAGTGTGGGAGTAGTGGGTCTGGAGTGGATGCGACTGCTGTTTCTGGTGAGTTTGAATAGGCGGATTGATCTATCAAATGTCCATTCATTGTTGTTGTGTTGACCGGTATTGTCAGGGATGGGACATTTGGATGTGGATGATGGAATGCAGGAGCAAGCTTCCTGGGTCGATCTGGGTCTAGATTTCCCATCGTCGTTCCGGTTTCTGGGTTTCTAAGTATGAATGTTAATTTTTGTTGTGTTTTGGAGGGGTGCGAGTATCAGCGATACCGCGTCAAGATGCTTCGATACGAATAGTTCTGACTAACACAACGCGCCAGACCATGTATTCACGTCGTTTACGCTGGTACCTATAATTGATCCAGCTCTGTTCAACAAGGCCGTTTTCCCATTAAATTCAAATTTCGCATTTGATCATTTGGTTGAATACGTCATAGTAGCAGACAGCACGCATCATATCATGGTATTGAGGATCACGATACACGTCGTCTACGCTCTCTCAGAGCTTTGAACAGCTTCGTAACTGTGCAGAACATCGAAACATTTGAAAAATGTTCTAACCTAAGTATAAACCGCATGTCTTGCGGAGCTTCATTCCTTGTATTGACTTAAAGACATGAATCTTGGAATGACATGATTGTCTCCATCTCGACATAGACCCCAGATCAGAAATGGGATCAACAGCACTAGAGTATGATGAGCCAACGCCGTCCCTCCAGGACGGCTTCTCCCGTCTTGAACGATGTCTAGTGGGGGATGAGCAAGTGTGAATGAACTGAGAGAGCATTTTGTTGAAGCTTTCTTTCGTTTGTGTTAACTTACGGAGGAGTGCAAGGAACCGCTGCTAGTCATCAACAGAAGCAGAGAACCACCTAGCCAAGCAGAATCAGAGTGTTTACTCTAGAAAAGCAAAAGATGCCGGTGTGAGGCTACCTGGATCTCTCGCGCCCCACATTGTAGCGCTTTTGGGTACACCAGTCGGTGTTTTGCTTTGAGAATCTGGCTGACTGGAACCACATGAGAGCAGTGGCCTGGTAGCTCAAAATTCCATGCAGAATGTCTACAATAGGAATGATATTGCGTGGATGAACTAACGGTATTTGAATGAGATCTCTTGTTGAAGGGTTGGTAGCCCAAAAAACGAAGCAGAGACTGTCGAGACATTCTGAATCAATACAGGACAAAGACTTTGCAGTTGTAGACTATTTATGTATTAAGCATACAGTCTTACCAGATCCCTCTGTATATCGAAGCCAGGTATTCTGGCAGCCTGGAGCTTGGGATTCCACGAACGAGTTTGGGGAGTGAGGAGTGCGAAGTAGTAGTAGCACAGTAGTATAAGAATCATATAGGCGTCGGCGGAAGGGGAGAAAGAGGTTGATCTAGGTGTAGTCTACTAGTTTTGCATAGTTCAGCTTTATTTCTCAGCGTTGCCCGCACACATGAAGGAAATAAATAACAGATAGACATAGAGTACATAGAGTGAAGTTGTGACGCGATCGGTCCTTTAAGTTCAATTTTTCGCCGTGTTGTTCCTCGGTCCAAACGTTGAAGATTCACAAATCACAAGTTTACAAGAGCTACAAAACCAACGAAACAATGGGCGCATTTTCCAAGCTGTTTTCATTCGAAGATCAATTAGGCTTCTATGGAGCTTGTAAGCTAGACTCGTTCTTGTTCCTCAACGACATCAAAAACTAACACAAATTGCTTGTAGATCATGCCAATCCCATGTAACGAGCTATCACTTAAAATGAATCTCTCTTATTGTACCTGATTCGAAACTCGTTCTATCTTAGAAATGTCGGCATCCATATGGTCTTTGTTCCTACCATTTTCTGGACTGCATTGGTTTGGGTAGGCAACATGTGTCATCAACCTGATCAACACACCTTACAACAACGGCTAACGAGTATATATCTATATCCATTTCCAGGCTGCCAACACGCCAGCCGCATTCGAATACGCATACAGCCAATACCTCCCCGCAAACCTCTCGCTTTTCGCAACTGTCGGATACGCTTCATACTTTATTGCTTTGGAGCCTCTTGCTGGTGTAAATATCCCTCCATTCCTGCATAATCCGTCGCCTACATCTCAAATTCATGCTTTCATTATAGACTCTATACGCACCGATTCTCTTGGGAATGTGTCGAGCAGCCAATGTCTTTTTGCAGACAAACCCAAAGGCAAACTCTATTGCTGCATTGCTGCATGTGGCTAGTTGGGTAGCGCAGTTTGCTGGGCATTTCTTGGCCGAGGGACGAGCGCCGGCGTTGTTTGATAACTTGTTGCAATGTAAGATCCGTTGACACTGGGGAACTTTTTTTGTTGTGATATCACTGGTATACTAATATTTGTGTATTTTATTAGCTCTGGTGCTGGCTGTATTCTTTGTCTGGGTTGAACTGTTGTTCATGTTGGGGTATAGGCCAGATCTACGAAAGAGGCTCGAAGCTAAAATCAAGAAGGATATTGAAGCTTACAAGAAGGCTAAACAGGCTAAAGCTGATGGCAAATCTAACTGATATGATTTTGTGCTTGTCAGATATCAAAACACTGTTTCAATTTGATGTTTTTAATATAGTTTATATTTGGAGTGAAATCTATTATGTGTTCACAACGCTTGTTCTATACCCCGAACTTGATATCCACTATCCCTCAAGTGTTGTTTGACATCAGAGATGGGGACTTCCTTGCGATGGAAGATACCAGCTGCCAGAGCTGCTTCTACGTTGGTCCTGTCAAACACTTCGGAAAAGTGTTGTACTTTGCCGGCACCTGAGGATGCGATTATGGGTATACGCACAGCACTTCGGACGGCTGTTATCAGTTCCATGTCATAGCCAGAGTTGGTGCCGTCCTTGTCCATACAATTCTACAAGAAAGTTGGTCCTGTGAGTATCAATCACCACAAAAAACCAGTAGATGTTGTCGACATAACGTACCAGAAGCACCTCTCCAGCTCCTAACGCTTCACAAGCAATGACTAGTTGCCTGACATCGGTATCACGACCTTCCCGACCACCTTTCACTGTACATTGATACCAACAGTATTCTTCACCGTTGGGACCTGGAAATGCTGTTTTTATAACTTGATGTTTCGGTGCATCTTCCGGTTTTGATATATATACTCGCCGTGGATCAACTGATATCACCACAGCTTGATTTCCATACACTCGAGCTATTTGCTCGATGGCAGTTGTCCCGTCCTTCACACCGTTCATTTCCCAATATCGTTCAGCAGCATATACGGCATCGGACCCTATAGACACTTTATCTGCTCCAGACCTAAAGTATTCACCTGCGACATCTAGAGCGGGTATGACCGTTCCGTCTGGATCCGTCATGTCACGTATACCACCACCAATGGTCAGAGGTACGAATACGGTTTCGGATGTTTGCATTAATACTTTTAGCATTGGTGCGTCTCGTAATGGTATTGATCGGAAGGATGTTATATTGAGGAAGGTGACTTCGTCAGCACCTTCTTGGAAGTATCGTTTTGCTAAATCCACTGGTTTACCCAAGTTCCTGACATCACCTTTACCGGTCTCACTAGCTTCTCGTACATCATATTGATCTCCTTTGGTCACTACTAGATCACCTGCATCGTTGGCTCGTACATCTAGACATGCGACGACACGGCGAGTCAGACGGTCTGTATTACGATTACTGGTGTGGGATCCATTCGACATTGGGTGTGGTATAGCTTCACCAGCACCACCTCGTAAAAACGACCTAACTACTTTTAGTCCAGCATATCCCGACTTTTCAGGATGGAATTGTGTAGCAAACACGTTCCCCCTTCTCATGACACTAACAAACGTCTCATTCCCATATGTTGTTGTGCCCATTTCCCATTCCTTGGTAGCTGGTGTTGACATGACAGCAAACGAATGGACAAAGTAGTATCGTGTCGAGTCAGCACCATCGTGATTCAGCTCTGCATATACATCTGATTCCTTTATAGTAGGCTGCTGAGTGACATCTACAGCATTCCAGCCCATATGAGGTACGGATTTCGTCGTGTCGTTGAATCTAGTCACCATAGCAGGTATCAAACCCAGGCCAGGGACATCTGGGTCCTCTTCAGACCCCAGACATAGACATTGTAAGCCAACACATATGCCCATAAATGGCCTTCCAGATGCAATGTAAGCTTTCAATGGTTCGATGAAGCCCTTTTTCTCAAGTCTGTTCATGGCAGCTCCAAATGCTCCTACTCCAGGAAACAGGATTCTCTACAAGAGTAAGAGAGCTAAATTAGTGTTCCAGTACGCAAAACGGATATGATCACTGCTCTCCAAAGTTCAAACATACCTCTGCGTCGTCAAAGTCTGCAGCTGATTCAATGGTTTTGATGTCATAGCCCAGCAAGTGAACAGCATTAAGCAACGAGCGGACATTGCCAGCTCCATAGTCCAGTAGATACAATCCAGGCATCGATTCTAAATGAGTGTTCAACGGCTGGTTTGAATGCAATCTAGCTGAGACTGAAGAAAAATCGTGACTGTTTTGAATGAGTTTGAAGAACTAGTCATAGCAAACAGAATGAGGGTTTAGGACGTGATTTACGCGTTCATGCATGTTGAGAACAAATATATTTGTAATTGCGACCCTTCATACGAGCAGCAGATGCTAGTAACTTTTCTCATCATTCTCCTCCAAACATCCAAACATCCAAAAGACCAAGATGTCGTCCAATTGACATCTTGGTTTTTTCGTCCATCTCTGTCGACATAGAGGCCATTAGAGCTCTCCACTCTTAAAAACATATTGTGCAAGATGACTATGATAGCGTAACTGGCAAACTCTGTATTGGTGCCATCAACCCTACAGAGTCGGTCTGGAGAACATATTTGGTGTTGATTGATTCGCTTCGAAGAGCTACCTTACCTAGATGGAATATAATTATCCTGATGGTATATGGGGCGAAGGGCAATTGCAGACAGATGTACTACGAAAAATATTGGGGCTCACATCTTGTCGTCTGCAAGGTGACCACTCTGGATCATTCCTTTGATCACTTTCCTGCGCAAGATTGGTCACGCTTCGATATGATCAGTGCCCTGTCTTGGGAGTTGAAGCACGAAGAAGGATAGAGTTGTCTGCCTTTCGCCGAATATGTCGAAGATCATGGTTTCTTCGAGACAACGTTACGTATGAAGAGTACTTGGCTCCCATCAAAACGCTTCGCAGGTTTCGTTGTGAAGGTCGAGGTTACTATCTCAAGGTTGATGATATTTTGAACTAAGTTGTTGTTGTTTACATGATTGGTTATGCAACCTGATGATCGCAGTAGCAGCGTCACTGGCAGACTCTGCTATGACGCTATTGGCCTCCACCACAACCTTGGAAGGTCAATCTGGAACAAGGATTTAGTCTTGAAGGATTCCATTCGAATTGTTAGCTTCAGCTGGCTGACTTACAACTATCCTGATGGTATATACGGAGAAGGCCAATATTAAGCACGTGTACTCCATAAATCGTTGGGATTGAGAAACTCTCGCTTGGAAGATGATCATCTTGTTGGGACCCTGGAAACTCAATATTACATGTGGACTCCAGCTGACTGGTCTGGTTTCGATATGATCATTGCCATGTCATGGGAATTGACGCATGACGTGGGTTGGGCTCGTCGGCCATTGCCAAGTTCTTCAAAGATCACAGCCTCCTCCAAGACGGCTTGACATACGACGAGTACTTGGGCCCTATCAAAACTCTTCTCAAGTTCCGTTATGCACATCGTGATTACCACCTTCGAGTTATTGATGTCCTGTCTGATTAATACTACAGCTCATAGAACAAATGGTCTCCTTTACAAGATGCATCTTTTAGAAGGGACACATCAATTACAATGCAAACGTTGGTAAATCTTCCTGGTGAACCACTCTTTGCGGGTAGAGATGTGTCGACGTGGACGTCCAGTTGGTTGAACACTGACTAAGATCAGTCATTCCCACCAATGCCATGAAGGCTATAACGCTCGATGCTGTGAAAGATCATGAATGTAAAGAGTAACCTTGGTATCTTATTCAAGGCAAGTCACAGACACTTCCCTCCCATATGGCACAACGTCCAACTCATATTTATCGAATGTAGATAGAAAGATAAAGAAACTTAGGAGAATGAAACTCAAATTGTACAAAAAGTAGGCATTTTAGTATATAGATACCACATCTCATTCAACAGCAAACACAACCGAACGAAGACAGACTCCAATGATTGATAAGCCTTTCGGCACGACGATCAACACATTGTGTTTTGCTTGTTGTTCCTTGATATGTTCTTGTGCAGGAATGCGGCATCTCGTGGTTTGCATCGTCTGGAAAACGTCACTGGGGAGAGGGCCAATGCAAGTTCTAGAAGCATAGCGCAATTGTTAAAATAATAGCCGTTCCCTCTGGCAGAATATTGCCCGATATCCAGCTGCTGTCATCTTCAAAATTTGAAAAAACGGAATGGGGACTGTTCTAGTGTCGACCACCCGGTGTTCTGACGGACCACATGCTGACTATAAACCATCTGCGATTCACGTTTCGGCAATGAACAAGCCAGATCAAATGCAAACACTTGACTATGAATCTATTACATAAGCGTCATAAGCTGTACTACCTACCGCCTAAACCACTTTCCTCACCAACACCTTTTCTCAGCAAATCGCATAGTCCGTCAATCTCAAGATGTCTTCCTACGATGAAGTAGTTCTAGGCCGCCGCTCCATTCGTGGGTTCCTGAAGAAGCCAGTCCCCAAGCAGCTCGTCAAGGAGGTCATCGAGCTCGCCCTCAGAGCACCCTCGTCACTCAATACACAACCCTGTAACTTTTTTATCGTATCTGGCAAACCTCTAGATGCCATCCGCGCTGAGAACACTCGCAGGAATCTCGCCGGCGTGCCTGCATCTCGGGAACCGAGAGGGCATGGAGAATATGCAGGTGCACATCGGGAACGCCAAATTGAGGTCGCAAAACAGCTGTTTGCTGCGATGGATATTCCACGGGACGACCAGAAGAAGCGTCTGGATTGGGTACTGCGAGGGTTTAGACAGTTTGATGCTCCAGTTTCCGTGAGTTCTGCGTTCGACTCCCTCCTTCTGTTCCTGCTGACACCTTCTTGATCCCTTAGATCGTTGTAACTTACGATCGCTCGATCTGGGGAGGTGATATTGGACCCTTTGATACTGGTGCCATCGTCAACGCCTTGGTAAACGCTGCTTGGTCTCGTGGACTTGGCTGTGTCATCAACTCGCAGGTATGTTCGTATGAATTGCCCTTTTGGACGTGATTGAAGCTTAAATGACTTGACTTTGAACGCGCAGGGCATTATGCAAAGTCCTGTTGTTCGAGAGTTCGCCAAAATTCCGGACGACCAAGTCATTATGATTTGTGTGGCTATGGGATTCCCTGACGATACGTTCCCTGCGAACGCTGTAGTCTCGAAGCGGAAGAAGGTGACCGAGTGCACGACTTTTGTTGGGTTTGAGGAGCAGGAGGAGAGTGCTACTTCAAAACTGTGAAGGCGTTGGACCTGACGGTCGGAGAAGTAAGAGATGGAAGGCCAAGTGAACATCGCAAAAGGAATTGAGGTTCGATAAATGGGAGAGGCGGCAGTAGAGTTTGATAGTTTTGCTGGTTCAATATAAAGTTAGTTATATCTCAATCCATGCTCGAATGAAAAGTATGAATGTGTCGTGCACAATTGATGCATTTCACAGACATTTTCTTCAAAGCAGTCCAGCTCCTCAGCTGAGAATTTGACGTAGCTGTAGATGTAGCCACGAGTGTGATATATCGTATACTGATGAGCAAACTTCATAGTGAGATAATACGCTCCCACATTGCTTTGGGAAGCACCAGGTGAAATCGGGGCCGGGCCGATGAAGGTACCAGTCAGATACTGATTTTTCCATACTGGATTTTCTTTCACTTGCTGAAGAATGTCGTTTTCGGTCCCCTTGTTGGAAGTGCCTAGAAGTCGAGAAATTGAAAATGTCAGCATACGATTGATGTAAGCGTATAACAGGCGTTCGAAATTCTTTCAAAGCAAGAAGATATTTACCACAGAGAATGAACCAAGACTTTCCAGCCCCAGGCATCCACTCTGGATACTGAAGAAGCACAGCAAAAACAAACTTTGAGCAGGTCTGACAATCCGGTCCAACTACCAAGGTTGGGTCTGAGCTGATATATGTAACGAACGACCACGCCAAAGTTTCCAGAGACGGCTCCTTTTCAATGCAAGGCGGCCAAGGAGAGATACTGTCGTTTTTTGTGGTAGCGAGGACTACTTTCTGGTACACGTTGAGGCACCTCCATAGAACGAGCGCGGTGCAGTTCTTATGCTGTCATGGCACTTTTACTGTCATTCTCGCTACTAGTCGTGATGTGTTGAGAAGAAAATTGTTTCGTGAAAGTTTGAAGGCGAAAAGTCGGAATTTGAAAATCCGTCGCACAGCCCGCCTTCAAAGCTATCAGCAGACCTGCTCGAAAACTGGACAAGTTTCAGATGAAAACTTGGTCAATACCGCCTATTTATTTATTTATATATTTATTTTTCAAACAAATTTCATAGACTCACTGTTCGATGGCAAACTATAACCACGAGGTCGCTCTTACTTGCCAGTTTACCTACACTAGACGCCTGGCAGGCCTTCCCGCAGGTCAAAAATGTGGGAAACCAGTCATTCCTGGAACTCCAGGTTGCAGCAGAGACCATATCCGCAAAATGGAGGATTCCAACTATGCCAACCTGCTGTGATTGTGCTCCTTCAGATCTAGCAACCCTCTCTCGAGAATTCAAAGACATTGTTCGTTCTGAACCTGCAATCTTTCAGGCATTGGATTATGAGCCTACTTATGATTCGCTGATGAATGGTTTCGATACGGGAAAGGTAGCTTTGTCTTTGAACGTCTACTTTCGGCAATTTCTCTCATCGTTGACCTTTCGAATAGGACTTTGTGTATGCAATACTCGTAAAGTGGGAAGCGAATCCAAGATTTTGGTTGATATACTGCGGTAAGACTGCTTGTGAACGTCACTGTTGGCTCAATACTAACAAGACCTATAGGAATCACGAATGATGTGAACCAACGTCTGAATTTCCACTTAAAAGACTCAAAATGGGAAGGAAATCCCAGCATCCAGTTGATTGGTAAGGCCAAGGCTCTGAGCTGGACTTCTGAGCTCGCAGCAACTGCTAAACTGTATATTCGTTATGGATTCTACCATGTGCGCGGATATGTTTACTCTACCACACTGATACCCGAGAAGACGGTTGACCGTTACATCCTGAATGTGGCTACCTTGTACGATTTGTGTATGGACTGTGGGGAGACTGGAAAGAGCTCTGGTGCACATTTTTGCCAAACGTAAATCTCAACAATTTTCAACCCTACTGAAGTTGTATCATCTGCTGACCTTCATCTTTAGGAATCGTTGCATCTTTTGTAGAGAATGCTTGGATTTGAAGACCTGTCAGCGAAAGAAGGACATCAGAGGCAGCAAGAAACAACTGAGAATCGTACACGGGTGAACTTCATGCAGAGTCCTAATCGAACATGGAATAATCCAATGTAAGCACCTTACAAGGATGTTTTGAAGTCATTATATAATAAAACTCGTCTTGTCCCCCAACACTTAACTCTTGAGAAGCCACGAAACGACAGACATCACAGGCAATTGTTTTAATGCCATCAGTGATGCGTTCGTTCTTCACGATGCCACGTTGCCGAGCATTATCAGACTGTTCTTGGAGGAGTGCAGCGATGTCTTGATGTTTTTTTGGATCGGTTGTATAAGTGACAGAAGGGCGGTAAGACGTGATTCGCGCGCCTATCCACGTATCTCGAATCTCATGTCAACGTCGATTGTGGTTGATGCTTTGCCGTCTGCCACAGGGTTGGAAATCGTCCTCAAAGTTCCAAATGCTTTCCGTATCCTTCGAAATTGAGGCCATTAGAGCTCTCCACTCTGGAGAAGTGGTTAGCCAATCTGATGATAATGATAGCGTCACTGGCACACTCTGTGCTGGTGCTATTGGGTTCTACGGCCAGCTTGCAAAATCCGTTTGGGCGACAGCTTAGTTGATTGATGCTCTTCGAACAGCTAGCTTTAGAAATATGACTCTCTTGATGGTATATACGGAGAAGGTTCATCTCAAGCATTGGAGCTACACTGCGATTTGAGATTGAGTCCCGTTGGTGAACATCTTGTTGGAACTTTGGATGTCTATTCCTACGGAGGTAAACCAGACAATTTGGTGCAGACTCGATATGATGATAGCCATGTCATGGGAATTGTAGCATGAAGTAGGATGGAGTCGCTTGCCTTTCGCCAAATACTTCAACGATAATGGCTTCCTTCACGACGGCTTGACATATGAAGAGTACTTGGTCCCTATCAAGACTCTTCGCAAATTCCACTATGAAGGTCGAGGCTACCAACTCCAAATTGAAGACATTTTGACTGTATGTTGATATACCCTGTTTGCTCTGGATTCTAGAGTATTGCACCGCAGCTCGTAGAACAACTGGATCTATTCTTCGAGATGCATCGTGTATAAGGCACACACGATTGTATCCAGAAAGCATTGGTAGAACTTCCTGGCGAAATTTAGCAAAATGTTGTCAAAGTAGGCCAAGCCTATGAAGAAAGAGGTTGGCTGAACACCGATTGAGATCATATTTTCACACCAATCCTAAAGAGCGATGAAAAATCGATGATTTGAGCCACTACGAAAGCAAAGACTCGGTTTAATTTGTTACTCGAGGTATGGCTCCTGACACCAGAAACAAGTAGCAAAGCTCATCAAACTGATAAGTGTAGTATAGATAAGATAAAGGCGATCAAGATGGTGAAGCCCAGACTGCTTAAAGTAGGGATTTTTCGTGTATTGCTTCAGAATAAACCAATCCTTGGTCCATCAAATCAGATTGTGTCAAACTTAAAATGAGTATAGTTCGCGTTGAATTGTAGCAGTTCCAACGCAAAAATCAAGTTGTATTCCGTCTAGCATTGGACTTTTGACCCAAGCGTCTTGTATGAGAGAGAATCAAGGTCTCTAGTAGTCCGATTTTGCTGATTTTGGATTTTCTGTTCTGCTGGCCACTGTCGTCCTGTTTTCGCGTCCTTTTTAGATCTTCTATAGCTTCTGAACTGATTGGACCTATATCTATACTATCTGATTGCTGTGCATCGCGGCCAGGAACAACAAACACGTTCTCAATTGAGATTCCGACAGAGTTTTCAAACCATTGAACCTCTTCCTTGTAAAGCAGAGAGGGAAAGAGAGAACACGCATCAGATTGATTTTCAGTCAGAAGAGATATTAGGACTGTACATCACCCTTGATAGCAAGTGGATCTACAGGCAAGTATCAGTTATTACCGTCAAACTTGAATCGGGGAGAAGACAATGACGAACGAGATACAAGTGGCGTACGAAGAACGAGACTAATATATTTATTTCTACATCTTACTAGTGGTGTAGCTGATTGCTTTTCATATCAAGATACTAGAAAATGGCAACAGCAAACACAACATCAACTGCCGAGTCGCTACTTGGGCGCGTAAAAAATCTGGTGAACGATCCGTTCTTACAAGCACAATGGGCAGAGAAGAAATGGGTATGGGTCACCGATAAAGATGAAGGATATCTGTCTGGTTGGATTGTCACTGAAGAAGGTGACAATGCTGTGATTCAATTGAGCAATGATACGGTATGTTTGTAATGCTGTGACTTATTGCGCAAGAGCGAGTGAAGAGAGACTTTGAACATCATTTGAGGGGCCCTAGAAGGATAGCAAGCACATCTTTCTCATTTTCCGCTCTGTTCCCATCTAGAAACGAAACGTCAACATCAATGACTGTGAAAAGATGAACCCTCCCAAGTTCGACAAGGTTGAAGATATGGCTGACTTGACATATCTCAATGAAGCCTCTGTCGTTCACAATCTCCGACTACGATACTTTTCCAATCTTGTATACGTAAGTACAATGCTCTTCACATGCCTGCAACATTTTCCAAACAATTTGTCTGCTTCGGCTGACTTGCCCTTACGTTCACAGACCTATTCTGGACTCTTCTTGGTCGCAGTCAATCCATACAAGAAGCTTCCTATATACACGGACGATGTCGTCAAAATGTACCGTGGCAAGAAGCGTGCTGAAATGGCTCCTCACATATACGCCATCTCAGATGCCGCCTACTTTGACATGTTACAAGACAAGGAGAATCAGTCCATTCTGATCACGTAAGACCCCAAATCGTCAGTAATACGCACGAAATCCGAAGCTTACATATACCTAAACGTAGTGGAGAATCTGGTGCTGGTAAAACCGAAAACACCAAAAAAGTCATTCAATACTTTGCTTCAGTAGCTGGTGGAACCAGTGCCAAGAACGCTGGTACACTTGAAGCTCAAATCTTACAAGCCAATCCTATTCTCGAGTCTTTTGGTAACGCCCAAACAATCCGAAACAACAACTCATCGCGTTTCGTAAGTACGCTCACTTTCTTGGGATTCGATCGAAGCTAATGATCAGCATTGCGTTTAGGGTAAATTTATCCGGCTGGAATTCTCACCTACTGGTCATATTGTCGGTGCCAACATTGAGAGATACTTGTTGGAAAAGTCTCGTGTTACACATCAGACTGCTAAAGAAAGGAATTATCACGTCTTCTACCAGTTGATTCGTGGTGCTTCCAAAGAGATGCGAGGTATTTAGTAACATCCTCGGCTCTCCTTGAATTTTTTTGGCCTGACTCTTCTCGCACTGTAGAAAAATTCCTATTGACTGATAACTTGAATGATTATCGGTTCTTGAAGAGCTCCAACAAGAATATTGAAGGAGTTGATGATGCTACTGACTTCAAGTCTTTGAGTGTATGTTGAATTTCAATCACGCTGGCTTTTTGGTCAATCAAGACTTACCTAACAGATGAATAAAATCTAGGATTCGATGAACATTATGCAAATCAGTGCTGATGAGCAAACCGCCTACTTCCGAGTCATTGCTGCCATCCTTCATTTGGGTGGTATTCAAGTCTCTGCTGACAAGGAAGACCAAGCCAACTTGGTAGACTCGTCCAACCGTATCGTTGAACAAGTCTGTCATGTTCTAGGTATCCCAGTAGCCGAATTCATAAAGGCCTTATTACGTCCCAAGATCAAAGCTGGTCGTGACTGGGTTGTATCTGCTCGTAACTGTGAGCAAGTCTTGTACTCTGTGGAATCATTGGCTCGTTCCATCTACGAACGCATGTTTGGAAGTTTGGTCGACCGAATCAACCAAGCTATCTACACTCCCTCATCCAAGTCATCATTTATTGGAGTGTTAGATATTGCTGGTTTTGAAATCTTTGAGGTTTGTTCGCTTATTACGAAGATTATCGCATTCCAACTGAGAGACATCGTCCTTACATTCTTACTACGTTTACAGCAAAACTCGTTCGAACAACTGTTGATCAATTACACGAACGAAAAGCTCCAACAGTTCTTCAATCACCACATGTTCATTCTTGAACAAGAAGAATATCGTCGTGAAGGAATTGAATGGAAGTTCATTGACTTTGGTCTTGACTTGCAGCCTACTATAGATCTTATTGAAAAGACTTCGGTAAGACAATAGCAAAACAAAGAGGCTGGTTCATCGTGGTATACTTACACTCACATATCAACTTCTAGCCGATCGGTATCTTGTCTTGCCTGGACGAAGAGTGTGTCATGCCTAAGGCCACCGATAAGACGTTCCAGGAAAAGCTCAACCAATTCTGCAAGGGCAAATCTACCAAATATGAAGTGCCTCGATTCAACATGGGCTTCATCTTGCATCACTATGCTGGCAAGGTCGAATATTCTAGCTCCAACTGGTTGGACAAGAACAAAGATCCTCTCAATGAGAACATCACTCGTCTATTGGCCAAGTCTACAGAGAAGTACATTGGCGAGCTATTTGTCGACTATTTGGGTGATCCAGATGAGCCATTAGCTGCCGGTAAACAAGGAATGGTTGCCATCACCAAGAAGGGTGCCTTCCGAACGGTACGTTGTGGTTTGAGGGCATTCGAGGCCACTTCAGTTTTGTCTATTTTTGTTCGAACTCTTAATGTCCTTCAATCTAACATTAACAATACATAGGTTGCTCAAAGACATAAGGAACAACTTAGCTCGCTCATGAGCCAACTCTACACCACTGAACCTCACTTTGTCCGTTGTATACTTCCCAACGAGGACAAGAAGCCTGGTAAACTCAACACCAACTTGGTCCTCGACCAGTTGCGCTGTAACGGTGTACTTGAGGGTATCCGTATTTGCCGTGCTGGTTTCCCCAACAGGCTCTTGTTTGCAGACTTCCGTCAACGATACGAAGTATTATGCCCTGGTGTTATTCCCAATGGCTTCATGGATGGTCGTAAAGCTAGTCAAGCTCTTCTTGAAACTCTCAACTTGGACAAGAACCAGTATCGTATTGGTAGCTCAAAGGTCTTTTTCCGTGCTGGAGTGGTAAGTGTTGGTTCTCGTTGGGCAATGTATCACAACTCTATTTGAAATTGACTTGATCTTCACCCCTAGCTTGCCGAGTTGGAAGAACGACGTGACGAACGATTAGCCAAGCTCGTAACTAAGATTCAAGCGTTGATTCGAGGTTGCTTGGCTCGTCGTGGTTATACTAAGAAGAACCGTCAACTTGCCGCCATCAAGATCATCCAAAAGAATGCTCGTATATATGTCACTCTCCGTGAATGGTCTTGGTGGAGACTATTCTGTAAAGTAAAGCCTCTACTCAACGTTGCTCGTACTGATGAAGAATTACGTAAACGTGAAGATGCTGCTCGAGCTTGGGAAGAAAAGGCTATAAAAGAAGCAGAAGAAAGAGCCAAGGCCGATGCTCTTCGATCACAACTAGAATCGCAGAAACGTCAAATCGAAGAAGCACTCTTACAAGAGAAGAATGCTGCTTCCGACCAAGCCGAAATCCTGGCACGTACTCAAGAACGTGAAGTAGAACTGTCTGAACGTCTGAAAGAGTTGGCATTACAACTCGAAGACCGTGAGACACAAAACGAGCAACTATTAGCGTCCAAGAAGAAGCTCGAAACTGAAATCCGTGAAGCTCGTGACTTGCTGAGTGATGGTGGAGCCAACTTGGCTCGTCTCGAAAAGATTCGAGAGCAAATAGAAGGTCGTGTAAAAACTCTAGAATCAGAACTCTCCGCCTCTGCTGCTGAATGCCAGAAACTCGAAGGTGATAGGTCGTCTCTCCAAAACCAATTGTCTGAGCTCCAGAAGCTCCTTAAAGAAGCTGGTGATAGAGAAGCTGAACTTCGTCACCAAAACACCAAGCTTAAATCCCAGATCGCCGAACTCGAAGCTAAATTAGAATCCGAAGAAGACCAACGTAAACAGCTAGAACAACGTCGTAGTCTCTTGGAAGGTGACTTGAAGAACACTCGAGATGGTGCTTCAGACTTGGCACGTATACGAAGTGAACTCGAAACCGTAATCAAACGTAAAGAAACTGAAATCCTGGAACTCAACGAAGCCTTGAAACGTGAATCTTCTGAGAAGGATTCCGTTGATCGTCAACGACGTGATATTCAAGGCAAATTGAACGCTACTGAAGGCGATCTTGAAAACGAACGTGCTGAACGTGACAAGATCACCAAGCTCAAGATAAAGGTTGAGAAAGAACTTGAGCAAGTACACCAACTTATGGCCGAAAAGGGTAATGAAGCTGGCAAAGCTGATGAATTACGTCGTATTCGTGAATCTGAATTGTCGGATCTAAAGAACTTGTTGAGTGGCACTCAAGCTGAAGCTGAAGAATCACGTCGTAAAACCACTCAAATGGTTGAGTCGCTCCGAGCTGAACTCGATGCTGCTCAACAGGATGGTAGTACCGCGGCCAAGGCTCGTGTAGCTGCTGAACGTCAAATCGCAGACTTACGAACAGAACTAGAAGCAGCTGAAGATCAAAAAGGTCGTTTGGACAAGTCTCGTCGTCAACTCGAATCTGACTTGCAAGCTGCCCGTGCTCGATTTGATGAATCGGATTCTTCTGTATTAGAGCTAAAAAATGCTAAAGAAACTCTAGAAAAGCAATTGGCTATCTTGTCTGCTAAGGCAGAAGAAGCTGAAGGCAACTTCCAACGTGCTGACCGAGAACGTCAATCCTTACAAAAGCAAGCCGAGTCTCTAAGAGAGGAGGTTGAAGAGGAAGTCAACAAACGTAATGTACTAGATGGCCAAAAGAAGAAGTTGGCTGCCGAAATCCAAGAATTGATGAACCGATTGGAAGAAGAAGATGAGTCTAGGCAAGAGCTCAATAAAAAGTTGACTGCAAAGAGCTCAGAGTTGGAAGTCCTCAAGGAGAGCTACAACCGTGACGCCAAACAACGTGGAGCTGAACTCGAAGAGTCATTCCGTAAAGCTACACGAGAACTCACCGAGTTACAGGCCCGTTTTGCTGAATTAGAACGTGGCTCATCTGGTTTGGAAAAGGTCAAGGCTCGCTTGTCTGGTGAAATAGAAGACCTGAAGGTTGAAATAGATAGGGAACACAATGCAGCACGGTTAGCTGAAAAGACAGCCAAGGATGCTCGTAGCGAGTTGGCTGCCGCAAACCAAACTTTGGAAGCTGAACGTCGACAACGTGAAGTAGCAGAGTCTAATCAACGTAAACTCCAATCTCAAATCGAAACCTTAAATCTCGAACTGGACAACCGCAGTCACCAGATAGCTCAAGTCCAAAAGTCAAAGAATGAGCTCGAAACTGAATTGAAGGCTCTTATAGACGAGATTGGTGATGGTGGCAAGAATGTACATGAGCTTGAAAAGGCTAAACGTCGTCTGGAGTCTCGAGTTGAAGAGCTACAGACTCAGCTTGACGAAGAAGAAGGCTTACGAATTAAAGCTGCTGATGCCAAACGTACCATCGAGCTCGACTTGGCTGACATTCGAAAGAAGGCTGAAGCTGACTTGGCTGCTAAAGATGCTCTCATGGAGGAAACTCGTCGTATGCTCATGAAAGAAGTCAACTCTATTGGAGAGCAACTCGATGAAGCTCTTTCACAAAAGGGTGAAATCCTCAAAGCCAAGAAACGCCTAGAAGAGCAAGTCGAAGAACTGACTTCTCGAGCTGACTCCACCTCCCGTAATAAAGATGACCAGGAGAAGGCTCGTAAAAAGGCAGAAGCTAGTGCTCGTGAATCTGCCCAACGTCTCGAAGATGAAGAAAGAGCTCGTCGTAACTTTGAAGAATTGGCTCAACGTCACGAAAAGAAGGCCAACTCTCTACAAGCCGAAATCGAACGTCTTGATGGTCAAGTAGAACTTCTAGACCGTACACGTAAACAGCTCGAGAAGAAGGTTGATGAATTGACCAACGACTTGGAAGGTGGTGGTGAAGACTCTCGAAGATCACTGCTAGAAGCTAAAAAACGATACGAAAAAGAAATCCAAGCCTTACGAGAAGCTTTGGAGGAAGAGCAAGATGCTCGATCCCAAATGGCTGCTCGTCCAGGTGTAAACCCGAATGAAATAGAAAAGCTTCGATCTGAAGCTCGAGCTGATCTTGAAGGAAAGATTGAAAAGATGGAAGAGTCTCGAAGAGCTTTATTGGCTGCTCAACGTATTGCGGCTCAAGAGGTTGAAGATAAAGTAAAGGAAATCAGCAACCTCGATAAACAAAAGAAGCTCCTACAAGATGAGATTAGCTCTTTGAAGTCTCGTCTGGAAGCTGAAGTCGTCGCCCGTGGCGATGAAGCTGCCAAGAACCGTAAATTAGCCACCGATATAAAGGAAATGCAATTACGTATCGATGCCGAGTCATCCAAGAGTCGAGACGCCTCTGATCTCATTGAAGGCTACAAGTCTAAAGCCGATGCATCCTTTGCCAAACTCGAATCTGCTGAATTGGCACGTATAAAAGCAGAAAAGAACCAATCTGCTCTCTTGTTGCAAATGAAGGAACTCGAAGACTCGTTGGCCGAGTCATTAAAGGATCGCAGAGCTGCTGAAGACCGAGTCAAGTCTTTGGAAGAGCAGCTCATTGACTTGCAGGAGCAACAGGAAGATAATGCTCTTGAGATTGCCGATCATGCTCTCATCAAACGTAAACTCCAAGACGAAATCGATAAAGCTCACGAACGTCATAAGGCAGACCTGGAGGAACGTGAAGCCTTGGTAGATGATTCTAGACGTAAATATCAAAAGGAGATCAAACAGCTAATGGCGGAACTTGAGATTGAAAAGAATAATGGTCTCACTCTCAAGGAAACCAATAAAGAGCTTGAACATGAATGTGAAGAAGTCTCGGCCAAGTTGGAATCAGAGCTTCGCTCTGCCACTACTTGGAAGAAGGAGAAGGAACGTCTCGAATCTCGTGTAGAGGAATTAACACGATTATATATGGATGGTCAAAATGGCCAAGACGAACTACAAAACCAAATCAACACTCTTCTTACACAAGTACGAGATCTACGAGCTAGCCAAGAAGATGGTGATGCTACTCGATCAGCTCTCGAAAAGGCCAAACGATCATTAGAGCAACGTCTAGAAGAGCTCGGTGAACAGATGCATGCATCAGATCGTGCTCGTGGTGATTTAAGCCGTACACTACATACCTTGGAAACGAGTACCAATGAATTACGTGAACAAGTGGAAGAGCTTACAGAAGAAGCGCGTGTGGCTTCTGATAAACAACGTCGTGCTGAACAAACAGCCAACGATGCTCTATCTGATCTCAACAAGGAACGAACTACTACCATGGATTTGGAAAAGACCAAGGTGAGATATTTAGGTGCTTTTGGTTGTAATTGTGTTGAATGCAATTTGTTGCATCATTCAGTCTTGATTTTGTGTTTGTTGCTCTCCCTTTCTCATTTAACTTGCCCTCGAACTTAGGTATCGTTGGAGAAACAAGTCAAAGAATTGGGTGCTCGTATCTTGGATATGGAGGCTGCAGTACTTCAAGATCGCGGTGGTGGAACTCGACGTTTAGAAGGTCGTCTGGACGAATTGGCAACGCAGCTTGACAATGCCACTCGAGAAAAAAACGAGTTGGGCAAGGAAGCACGCAAGAATGATCGTACAGTAAAAGACTTGCAATTCCAATTGACTGAACGTGACAAAGCCAAGACTCGATTTGCGGAAGAGATTGACAAGTTGACTGACAAGTGTAGACAGCAAAAGGCTCAAATTGAAGAGTTAGAGAGTGCTGAAGCCAACCTACAATTGGCCAAACGTCGTGCAGAACGTGAATATGCTGAACAGAAAGAACGCTCTTTGAGGTAGGCACAATCTCTCTGTCCTTGCTTGTTTTTTGCTATACTTGTTGGTGTGAAGTCGTTTGCTAACTTGCCTTCTTCTCAAACTTAGACTCGAAAAGGAAGTAGAAAATCTCAAACGACGCTTCGAGACCTTGTCACCAAATAAATGATCAAATGGACTTTTGTAAACGGCAGCCATGTATTGTGAGTGTGTGTCCTCCACCGTTGTGACATAGTGTCAAATTCGTACATATCAATGATACCAAAGCAAGAAAATCAAACGTAAATAGTTCAAACTCTTTTCCCAATATAATTATTTCTCCCGAAACAAAATCAACTGTGTGTGATGATTGTTATGTATTGTGTATCAGAGGAGGGAGTGGGCAAAACATGCAATATTTGAATGTTCTAATTTATATTCGAGACGACCTTGGGTTTGGAGTATATGCGAGGTGCACCAAAAACAAGACACTAATGACGCAAGACCATTTCTCAAACTAGGAAGACTTTCCAGCCAGTTTCTCTTGCTGAAGATTCCTTGTAGCGGAAGGTATTCGGACCGTCATTCCGTCCAATTCACGACTCATTTTGATCTGACATCCCAGTCGAGAACTAGGAGGTTTAGAAAGTGTGACAAAAAAGAAGCGCTGATAGTGGTCCACTATGTGTAAGTCACTTACGTGTCAGTAAGCGCAAAGGCCAAATCCAGCATATCGTTTTCCTCATCTGAGGGTTCTTCTAGCTTGTCATAGTACTTTTGGTCGACAATTACGTGGCCTAAAAGAGAAAAGAGAGTTCAATTACATTACAGTGGTTTTTTGCCATCGATATTTTTTTGGCACAACGAGGCCTTACATGTTGAGCAAGCTAGTGAGCATTCACAAGCACCTAGAAACAGTATAAACTGAGCATTCCTTGAAAATTCTTTGGTGGAAGAAAAGAGTATCACCATACCTTCCAAATCAATATTATTGGCATGAGCGAGATCAAGCAGATTCTGTCCAGCTTTAGATTCGACAGTGATGTGCTCGTTCTCTGGTGTGATGTACGTGACTTTGAATCTATGAAAGCGTAACAGTGTTGATCAACCTTCCATAAAGGAGCTTTCGACACACTTGATGTTGTTGATGATGATTACCCTTCACCAGGTTTTGGCTTCTCTAGCCCGCCATGCCTCAATGCTATGATATACAGGTGTTAGCACATGAGAAATATGTATAGAGCCACAGCGGGATGCTTGCCTGCTGTGGTATGTAATGGTCGTGTTTTGCCAGAAAATGATGATGCACATTGCAAACAGAGCGAGGGTTGATGAGGTTTGGGCCATATGGATATTGATGAGAATAGACGGGATGCGTGGATGTGGCGGTATGCTCTTGTTGCTGGGAACATTGTTGTGGGAGCTAGGTGTGTTTGGAGTTTTGCTTGTTTCTTGTGACGATGAATTACGAAGGATCGGGTGAAGAGTTGACGCTTCGGTGAGAGTGATGTTATAGTTTGGCTACGTGTCTGGATGATTGATATGCGTCGATTTGGTACAGATCAGTCGCAATAGCTTTGGATCAAGGCAAAACCAAAAAGATTGTTCAAGTGTATGATAGAATGTTATAAATTTAGAGTTTTAAAGATACTAGTACAATATGGTTTGAGGGTCGCAATGTCACATATCCAAGATGTCGTGGTTGCATTGGTGTCCTTCTTTTTGATCGTTTTTGTTGATACAAGTTTGTTGGGCATTGTTTGCTGCGTCGTTTACTTCTTGTGATTGGAGACTTGTCGTAGAGCCTTGATTTTGGTGGCAATGAAGGTAAACACCATCAATGTGAAGAATTCAAACTCGTCTTTGGACAAGAAGAGTAGAGCTTGTTGTAATACCGCCTTATAGATCTGGGCGCCCATTCCTCTGTACCAGCCCGTGATTCCATCACTTTCCAGTACCTACGTTCAGAGTGTTAGCGCCGGACTCCAGCCGAATCATTCAATCCTTGCGTGCAACACACCTTTTTCAGAACATCAAATGTGCTCTTGTAAGTAACACCAGCTTGAGCCCCTTCAACGGGCTTTGGCCGCCATTGTAGCCTGATTTTAGCCAATATATACGGATAAGACACGATGGTAGCCAGAGTTTTAGCTATTGCGCCTATAACAAACGTCTCACTCCCCGACAAGCGAGCATCAGCCTCGCGACCAGCCCGCTGGTTTACGGCAGTCTTCATTCGAGAATGGAGACCATACGTGATGGCGGGATTCACGCACAATATTAGAGCTGGGCCCAACCCACGCCATAATCCCTCGATTCCCTCTTCTTTTACAACTTGCACCCATGTGCCGATAAAATCCTTCCTTTCGTCCTTTGATGAAGTCAATTGGCGCGTATTTACAACTGCGATGGGGAGGGTGATGATTTGGGAGAGTGCACCAGCAACGGCACCTAAAGCTAGTTCCATGGCAATGCCGATCTCGCCTGGGAAGCGTTTGAGGTATTTAGACCTGACAAACTACGTGAAGGTGAGAGTAATGATTGAGTGCTATTGTTGCAAGTTGAAATGCAAACCCCAACTAAGAAAAAAACGCCACTCCATACCCCATATGTGTAAAAGTAGCTGAAGTTTGACAAGACCGTGTACAACAGCCCACCACCAAGTCCATTATAAAGCGCCAGTGGGCCTTCCTTTTGTATTATCTTGATCAGCGCATCCAGAGTGCTCTTGTAGTGTTGCTCAGGATCGACATTGTGTTTGCTTTGAACTTGGATTCTAGTTTTGATCCTAGGTAAAACGAAAGATGTAGTCAGTGATTGTATTCTTGCAACATGGTGGTGAGTGGTGAGTCAAGTTGTCGACCACGTTTTTTTCTGAAAAGGGGCGACACGTAGATGTTGTGGCACGGTTTTGATGCCAATGTCTTCAAGGAGATCGTAGACGACATTTCATGGTACATGATTCAAAAGGAGTAAATGTCCGCCATGGAATCGCCATGGATCAACGGGTACTCACAAGTCCAAAGGATATATCGAAATTAATGCGTAACATGCGGCTAGACTTCCTGATACAGCGACCCCAAAAGGACTAAGGACCTGTGCCATGCAATTTGCAAAAGCTTATTCCTTAGAAGGTGCTTCTCTCTCTCTCCTCTCTCCTACTTGGGTTCTGGATCTTTCGTTCGTTGGTGCTGGTGTTGGTTACGCAAAACGGAATCGTCGCCACTATTGCACCACATGGAAGACATTATAACCTTTTGATCATATTATTTCATCCAGTCAGGCGTCTACAATTACTTAAGACACGTGCATGAGGTCTGAGGGTGTCCAGCTACCAAGGTTGGTTTGGTTTGCTACGTTTGTCTTTTTCTGTCAAGTTTACGCGATTCAACAGAGCCAATAGCCTTTCAATATAGATTACACGTCAGAAATTACCAAACAATTAGCATCCGTGCCCTTGGGGATGTATAGATCTTGTTGTTTGCAAAAACTCCAAAAATTCCTAGTGACATCATTTGCAAGGACAACAAGGCATAACTCTTTGTACCAAGTAGGAAGAGTAGCCTACCCAGCAAGTAATCGGATCCCTCATCTAAAATGTCGAAGCCAGTCAAGCTATCTCCCTTTGGCGATGCCTGTGCAGGTAACTAGCTCACCAAAACCAATCCAAGGTTTTAAAGCTGACAAAATGCAATAATAATATAGGCAGTGCCGGAGCTTCTGCAGCTCTTATGATAGTGTTTCCATTAGATATGTAAGCTTTGCTCTCCTTTTGCACTTTGATTGTGCATTCTTGTTGCATGTCGGCATCAGAAATTTGGAGGGTTGAGTTTTACTATTGGAGAGGATATGGACCAAAATCACCGCAACAGTGAGGGGAATCGTATGAGGACGTGCATCAAATTGATTATATCTAGTGATTGAATTCGCAATTCCAGCGGGAGTCTCTGGACTGTGTTGTCATGGGTTAATCGTTTTTGTACTCACGATTATGTGGATGAAACGGGAGAGCGTATTGCTGCTATGCACCAGCTAAACAAAATGAACGAGGATATCAATGAACGAATCGCCTCATTACGAAATCAAACTAAATTTGTCCCCTATCAACTTTCTGTGTAGAATCAAAACCAGACTACAAATCCAATCTAAGCACCTGGCTCAAGTGCAAGATGAAAAACATACCTACCACAACGCTCTAGATGCATTCGTGAAAATCCTGAGACATGAAGGTCTACTAGGCTTCTACTCGGGTCTAATCAGTGGATTGTTTGGTACCGTTGCGCAAAATTTCACATACTTTTACTTTTACTCGTAAGTTTGGAATTCCTGTATAGGATTGATTGCAAGCTTAGACTACCAAGTCATTCAAATAATGATTGCATTAATATAGGCTGATTCGAGGGGAGTATCAGAAACGAGTCAAGGGAGAACTCAGTACCGTCATGGAATTAGTCCTAGGTGCACTTGCCGGTGCTCTGAGTCAAGTTTTTACTCTACCCATCGCTGTAGTCAATACCAGGTATAATTGATTGCAATTTGAGATCATGCGTGCTGGCAGGGTAGACTCAATGGTACTTTCACATAGACAACAAACTGCCATTGCGGAAGAAAAGACAACCTTCTTTAAGACCTGGATGAACATTGTTAGAGATGAAGGAATAACTGGTTTGTGGAGAGGAATGGCCCCATCTCTGATTCTCTGTGTCAACCCGTACGTTCAACCAGTCAAATTTGAGAAAGTATTGCTTTGTACCAACTTTCCTCTTTTTTGCGCTTCTTGACGTCTACAGTGCCATCACATATGGAAGTTTCGAACGATTAAAAGCCGCAGTCAACCACCGTGCTAATCGTGAAGTAGGCGCTCGATTAACCTCTGGTGAAACATTCATAGTTGGAGCAATAGCAAAGACATTGGCTACTGTAGTAACGTGAGCACCGACAACATGACTGCTGGTTTTAAACATTTCAGCTGACGCATTTTGGTTGATATGTAGGTATCCATACATTATGGCCAAAGTCAAGCTGCAATGGAAGGCACCAAAGTCTGCTACTGACAAGTTGACTGCCGCCGAGAAGGATCGTTTACATTACAAGAACTCTATTGATGTATTGCAAAAGGTGTTGGAAAGTGATGGTATTAGAGGATGGTACAAGGGCATGAATGGTATGTGCAACTTGCCCTGATTTTTTTTGTCTTGTAGTTTCATCGTTATCTAACTGTATTTCCATCTCATAGCTCAAATTTACAAGGCTGTATTGAGTCAAGCGTTTTTGTTTGTCTTCCGTGATCAAGTAAGTTGTATTTGCATCACCAAGAAACCCAGTAACCTAACCAGTATTTCATCACCTAGTTCACATTATGGACATTCATGCTCTTCCAATATCTCGCCAAGTTGAGAGAGAAGAAGGTTCTTACTGCCGCTTAAAGATTCAAAAGCCTATAGAAATCACCACCCAACACCCATTCTCGCATTGACTATTTCTCTACCGCCCTTTACCACCTTTACAAGACTAAAATTTTAGTGAACTTAGAAGAAAGCACGGATCACCATATAGACTACAGCACGAGGGCGAAAAGTGTAAATTCACAACAGTAGTTTTAAAACATCAATTTTTTTCTGGAATGTCTTCTTCTTGTTGCTTGTGCTTGATAAAAATCCAAAATATACAAAGTTTGATAATAATAATGATGGCTCACGTATCAGGTTTCATCTAAGAATCTTCAAACCACTACTACTTAGGGCTGCACATCCATCTCAGCCCCACCAACAGGCAAATCGAACATAACAGGTGGATTATCAGCCTGATATTTAAGCGTACACGTCGACGCATTAATAAACGTCTTGCCATTCACCTCACACGTTCCAAACGATTCGTGAATATGTCCAAACACATTCACTTTGGCATTCGTATTCATGACTCGTTGAGTCAGTAATTCACATCCGACGTGCTCTTGCGTGAATGCTGCAATGTCGAGTCGTCCGATTCCGTGTGGTGGGCCATGCGACATGATTATGTCGACGTCGGTTGGGATTTGGTTTACTTTGGCTATGGTTTGATGGGATGGGTGGTTTGGTGAGATGTCCGACTGTCTCCTTGGGTGAGTTTCCTTTTGGGAGCGTACCTTCTAGTTCAGGACTATTTCGAGGCATCATGAACGCGAATTGATGGAAATCTGGCATCCATGGACATCCATAGACTTTGATGCCAGTGCCAGGTATAGTCACCATCTCATCTTCCAAGTAACTAACCAAAACAACAAAAAAAAAAGGGTCAGATCCTTCTAGGGACTACCAAGCGGGCAACAGTTTAAACACCTACAAGACATTCTGTTCCCTCTTAGACAACACAATAGCCTTACACCGTTCCCCAATCTGTGAATTCTCATCAAATAACTTGAACCCCAACGTCTCGAAATGTTGTTGGAATCGTGACTCGAGTGGATTCAAGGTCTCGGCTTTCCGAGAATGGAATCTGGCGGCGTTTTGTTGGTAGAATGGGAGGTCGAGTGTAAGTTCGTGGTTTCCTGGTATCATGAGTTTGTATCTAGATAAGAGAAGGAAGGGAGTGAATATGATGACTCGTCACAAGTGCACATATTAGTTTGTAGGTATCAAATATTTCTTTAGCGTTAAAACAACGAGGGCAATGAATTTGATGACTCGAGACATGTAGTCCAGATATCAACATAGTAGTTTCAATTTTTTTGGGTCAAACTTACTGATAAGGCGTTGACGCAATCCAGTTCATAAAGTCCTGGATTTCGTGCTCGACGCCGCTGAATGTAAAGTCTCCTATTATCAATCACTAGTGTCGATGGGATAATGTTCCTTACACAGTACAGAATCGATAAAACACATACCCGTATGGAGCAAAACGTCCGCTGGAGGCATAGCGATTCGACGATGCCTCGTATGCGTGTCTGATATGCAGACGAATCTGACGTGTCCTGGAGGCTTTTGAGCTGGAAAGTTGAGATCCAAGCTTGTGATCACCATTGTGTGTGTGATGTTGGGATTTTGGGAAGGAGGATGGGGAGTACTGACGTTCTGTGGGTCTAAATTGATGCGAAAATGATGATAAAGTCAATAAATGCTGTTTTCGTAACATGCTCGAGTATTTAGCGTGGAAAGCAATCCACGAAACAAAATGTTGGAAATTTCAAGCCCAGCTTCGTGAAGCTAAAAGGCGTGCGTTCCAACGAGTCGGGACTCTCAATACACGTACCGATTGGAGGGCGGGCGCACTTGATAACCTCGCCAACGTGGTAAAGCCAAATCGCAAAGTTCTGAAAATCAGTCTAACTGGAGGCCAAACGTCCAACAACCGTACTCTGAATTCTGAAGATGCACTCAGATGCACTTTATTGATTATTGATTGTATAGACTATGACCCGAAATATTTAAGTTGCTATACATGGTGGTCCACGCACGGAACAACAAGGTCGCGTTCATAAAATCTGACGATGTCGGCAAAGCACATGCGCTTACCATTAGGTTGGATCTGATTCTGGCCTGGTGCTTTCACGGCGAGCGAGTCTAGTCCATGTCGCAAACAATGTCGAGATATCGTAAGTCATTGCAACTTTCAAACCCAGCTTAACACCATGAACAGACTAGCGCGACACACGCTCTTCAATCGCCAAGCATACACCCTTAGACCATTCATAAATCCACGCTTCACTCGCCCAAACACTCAACAAGCTTCGTCGTCTGCGCAACAAGCTCGAGGATGGCGAAAATACGTTGATGCGTTTCGAGATAAACCTGCCTCCCATGTAAGATTATACATCCATATCCTATTGAATTCATCATATTCAAAGTTGTGCTTACTCTCAACCAACTTGTCTCGACCTCAGGTAATAGCATTCGCGATCTTGCACGAAGTAACAGCACTCCTGCCACTCCCACTGGTATACTACACGCTCTCATACACAGACATTCATATCCCGATTCCAGATTACTTGATTGTGGAAGCAAACAAACGTGCGTCGTATTTGCTAAAGATGTTTGGAATGGGTGCTGTGAAGGATGATTCAAAGGCATTGCTGGATATGGCTACTAGCTATGCGCTTGTTAAGGCTGCAATGCCGTTGAGATTGGGTGCTTCGTTCTTGTTGACGCCGTGGTTTGCCAGGTATGTGAAACTCCCCCCTGCGACTGCTCAGCTATCATTCACGCTGACTATCTTCCCATAGAACGTTGATTGCACCTATAACGAAACGCTTGGGAATCAAAGTCTGATGCAAATCTAAACGTATATTGTAAAGGTCCTTTTATGTATGCTATATCAGTGGCTAATAAGACAGTCTCTTTAATTTAAATATGTATCATCATTTTCGTGAGGCTACGACGTGTGTGTGTGTGTCAGACTTCTAACTTCACTCCAATCACAACTCAGAAACTATACAACACTCACCGTTGATTGAGAAGGGATCATTCGATGTCGCCGGTTTCTTAAACTTTTCTAAAACGGACTGAAAAATAGCATGTCCAGCACCTGATGACCTTTTTACCGGAATTGGTTTCACATCCCCCTTCTTAGAAGGAGGAGGGAATGCTGCTGGAGGTGTCGAGACAGGCTTTTTGAATATAAATGGCCTCTTAATTTCATTGGCTACACGTATTGGTGTTGGATGTACAGACGATGATGGAATCGGTGCAGCGACAGGAGTGGCACGACCACCGGCAGTGTCACTTCGACTCCACATGAATGGCCGTGAGAATATGTCTCTCTCGTTACCACCACCAGCAGCATCATCCTTCTTGTCGTTCGATGATACGTGATCTCCTGCTGAGTTCTTCTCTTCAAGGTCACTACCCATGTATGGCCCGTTCAGTGGCATATTTACATCAAAGAAGGGGAAGTGACGACTCCATGTCTCCTTGCCGTTCACGGTTGTCGAAGCAGGTACAACTCGTCGAGAGTCTAGTATCAGCAATTTACGTGGTTTCTCATTGAGCGGATCGGCGACAAGTGTCCTCTTCTTGGAAGAATCAACTGGATCCGATATCCGATCTCCTGGTTGCGAAGACAGTATTGTAACTGGCTCCTCTGTTTGAGAGAATGCATGTATTAGACTCAGAGAAAGCATGACATAAACATGCACCCGCTCTCTGACCTTTGTTCTCCTTCCCAGAATTGGCAGGATGGCTGGGTTTACGAATCATTGAAGAATTACGAGGTACCAAAGGTTGAGTGACAATTTCAAGTCCAGATTCAAAGTATCTCCTGGATATCGGATCCACTTCAGCGTCAGCAATAGCTCTAGCTATCTCCACAGTCATATTCCTAAATGCGTTGAGTATTGTAAGATACCAGGAAAAAAGTGGAACGCCAAGTTTCATAAATTGCATATCTACACTCTAACCACTTACGGGCCAATAAAGTCGGCATCTACTAGATGCTCTTCCAGATCGGCAGGGAATGGATTAAGAGGAACCAGACCACGAGATTCTGGATCAAATACACGTTGATACAGGAAGGTATAGTCGGCCCTCCTAAATGACTCTTCATAGTCCTTGGGTATCGTCATTTTCGACAAGACGGGACCTAGATTTCTGGTGTTTTTCATAAACTAGGACGTGTAATGTGATTGTTAGTTGCAACAACGACGGGCAAAAAAGGTACTACAGCCCACGAAGCACGCCAACCTGGTATGCCGTCTCAAACTTGGACATCTTCTTGAGGGCTAAGGAAAAGTTTGTCAAAACAAAGTTGTCTCAACGAGTACTACAACGTGGCCAACTCTAACCTGTCTTGAGACCCATTCCAGGTAAAGAATCAATATAATCACAGCCAGAAAGAATACACTAAAGTAATAGAAAGCGCCTGAGCAGCTATTCAATTATAGCCGAAAGAAAGCTCTTTTTGGCGAATCTTACCATGTGTCGAATTTTTTCTTGGCTCCAGAAACGCGGAAAGACTTCATTCAAACGAGAATTGCGTATCTGTATACCAGATCCTGTAGCATCAAGCTTGAGAACAACCTGGGAGGGGGTACTACAGTGTTGGCTGCATTCTTGGTTGAGTATTGCAGTTCTTTTTGCTCACCCTTTCACAACCAAACACCACAAGATCAGAATCCTCAGTTATAATGGCTGCTACATGTTTAGTCCTCGATAAGAAGGCCAACTGAGCATCTGCTTCGTATGGCGCTACAATGTATTCCACATTAGCTTTTTTCAGCTCCTATAGCATGTGCAAAAAGAGCTTAGTTTGTTGCAACGACGTTCATCATCTTCAACTAAGAACATACCTTGATGACCTCCCATGCCATCCGTGGGGTGACATCAACACAAGTCTGGAAGCAGCTCTCTGCTTCGGACTTTTTACCAGCCTTCAGCAGCGCGATGGCTTTCTCTCTAGTTTCATGTCGTCGTTTACGCCTTTGTTCTTCTGTTCCAGCCTTTATTGGCAGTGGACCTGCGTGAAGAGATTGTATTAGCATGCAGCGAAGACCAAAAAACCACACAGTAGCATTTGCGCAAACACAATCAGTTTTATTACCTCCATCAAACACCATAACAGGATGAATTCCATGTTGACGTAGCAACTCTACTTTCCTCATGACAAATCCGACATATCTAGTAGATCGATACAAGTCCGTGAGCCAAAAAAATCCAAGTTGATACTGAACGAATAGTTGCCTACTTTGTAGTAGGATTTCCCAGCACAAGATCCTGTGCACATCCAAATGCACCACGATGTAGCCATACATATGTATCTACAGCTACAGCCAATCCTTTTAGGTCGGCAAGATGAATGGGCTAAAGTAACAACAAAATGTGTCAGCAAACGATGCAAATGTTGAGCAAGAACGAAGGGAGAACTACCTCGTAGATCTTGGAGAGCATAGGCAATAGTCCCTAGAAGGTGAATAGAATATAGATCTGTATTGTATCGTCTTTATCGAAGCGCTAAAATTGAAAAGGTCAAATGCTCTGTACCTGAATTCCCATATTCGAAAAACGATGACGAGAAGCACTATGGCTGCCAAATAAGATGGCTGCAGTAGCTTACTGAATGTACTTGAATTGATGATTAGGACTAGCTCTCTTCAATAGCGACTGGGACTTATGCTTACTGCGATTTTGCGGAAATTGTGAGAATAGCGAAGATTTTGGCGTTATTAACCGTTTCAAACCACTCAACGCGTTTTCCCATGGCGTTGCATCTCCTTTTGCCTTCTGGCGTATACATTGAAATTCGAAATAAACGAATCTTTGTTTATTAATATTACAATTCCTATCTCATTCTACTTACAAGTAACTCCATCCAATAGCAAAGACTTGGGGCCAGTTTATCCTTCCTTGTAGCTACCTTTGTCAATATGACGTATGCGAGGTATGATGAGCATCTTCAAGTCGTCTTTTGTTACTTCCTCATCTACGATCTACGATAAAGCCTAGGTTTACCAAATTGGGAAGGTTTGGGAGACATGGTACTGGTATCATGTCACGATTTACGGGGTACGGGTCAGGACAGTAATCGTAACTCCTCAGATACAAGGTATGTAAGTGGAGGCAGCAAATAACCAATCAATTGTGAAGGGCGTCGTGTCCATTATAAGAGATTCAATACAGAGAGCCATGGTAAGCATCCGTCTAATACATATTCTTGCCAGAGCCGTGACTTTCAGCCTATCTGTGATGGAGTACTTGTTTCTCTCGTCAATCGGGTGACTGTGAGTAGTGAGCTTTTCAGGAAGTTAATCCTGGCAACAGCAACACTGAAAGGACTTTCAACTTCATGGCTTGCTGCAAAGACCTGCATTCACAGCATTTATCACGCATTTCACGCGTTGGTGAGTGAAGTTTCAGGCGATGCTAACAGCAGTTGCTAACACTTAAAGTCCCAACAAAGCGTGTCTTCGATTGACTAACGTATCTATCGTAATTGCTCATTTTATCATCAATTGCTCTTTCCAAGTGGTAGTCCAACATTGCTGTGTATTGTGTATGCTGGCGTAAGAATTCATTGTGGTGTATACAGAGTCCTAAGCTTGAGGCTCACAGACAATACTCAAATGTATCTCTTCAAGCTTTGACTGATCCTCTGGCCGCGTTTGTGCCGTCAATAATTTACTTTCGGGGTGTCTTGAAATAGCAACGTCACGAGAACTCACAAGTCAGGAAGTACAGTAAGCGATCAGCGCGACATTAAAACAAATATAATAACTATGAATATGATGCACGTCACAGTCACTTTGTACCTAGTGGTATCTCTCGGTGGCAGAGTATTTTGTTGTTGCGTCATTTGTTCGGTATGAGTCAGTTTTCCAGAATACAAAACAGCAAAGCAGGGAAGTAATCACAGAGTCGCGAAAATCAAGACGCCCAGGACGATCCACTTCCGCTTGACCCTTTATGTTAGGTATCGCTTCAAACGCGGACCCGCAGGATTGAGGATTTTTGGCAATACCCCTCAGGCACTTGGACCAACAACCTTTGCGAAATCCAGTATTTGTTAAATCGACCTAGATCTTCTGGCAGTCACTCTGAAAGGGGCCATCAATCAGAAAACACGCCCCTACGAAATCGTTCTAATGCTAAAGTTCACAAAAAACCAATGGGGTTCACTGATGGTCAACTATTGTCGCTTAACGTATCAGTGCAAGTGACTGCCATCCTCTCCATAATTGGAGCATTGACAGTTCTTGGCCATATATGGTATGATGTAAAAAGAAGACAGCAAAATCGGATAACCGCCTTCTTAGCTCGTAAGTTGCTTTGCGAGCTTGAAGAATTTTGATGAGGCTTTTATATCCTGAATTTGAAAATTCCAAATCTTTCTAGTGTCTGATCTGCTGACAGCGTTGTCGACTGTCTTTGCTCAATATCCTATCAGTGGCTTCCTGTCTAGTGGTTATCCCACAGTCTCAAGCACTGCATGTGTGGCTCAAGCCTTTGGGATTCAGACATTCTTTATTGCTTCGGCATGCTGGCAAGTCGTGGCATTATACTTATTTGTATTGCAGCAAACTGGGTTTTAACATGAAAATCTAGGAACTCTGCCATGGCATTAAACGTTTTGCTGGTGCTTGCATTCAACGTCCGAATCGACCAACTCCCAAAACTCGACAAGTACTACGGGATGGTCATTTTCCCATCGACAATTATATCAGCTGCTGTAGCAGCTCACGCAGGAGTCTACGGGAATTCGACGCTGTGGTGCTGGATTATGCCCGCTTACGGCGATCTACGTCTCCTGCTCTTCTACGGGCCTCTCTGGATTATGTTTGCATTCAATCTCGCAGTCTACCTATGGATTGGATGGACCTTATACAAGTCGCAGAACTCATTGAGACTTAGCCTTGCAAAGCCTGATGTAGGGATCAATTCGTATTTTACTGCTACTGTAAATGGTCGGAACTCGGTTGACTCTACTATGATGGGGCAAGGACATACTGCAATTAATATGCCTCGACGAGGGTCGGCTATTGATAGAGTACGAGAGTCATCATTTTCAAAAACGGGTTCTATTCGACGTCCCAGTGTTGATACTCGTAGCAGACGGCGTAGCAGTGTAGCTGAGGCTCAAAATAACGACTCACGAGATCGGATAAGGAGGTATACGTCCAAGGTGGCTCTTTTTATAGTAAGTGTATTGAGAAACATTTTTTTTTGGTCAAAAGTTTGGTTAATAACCACTAAACCCTAATTTCAGGTTGGATTCTTCATCACATTTGCTCCAGCAAGCTTGAACCGTATTTTAAACCTCTTGGGGATTAGTCAGTATGGATTTTTCCTTGCCCAGGCTCTAACTGAACCATTGTCTGGACTGACCACCACAATCATATACTTCAATCGAGTATGGACGAGGAAGAGTCAGCCAGGATCATTCTTAAAACCTCCTTCAAAAGAAAAATCTGTAAATGCCAGAGTGACACCACCTGTTATTCTACTTGCAACAGCTGAGTGTTCGGAGGCATGAAAGAAGCGTGTAAATACTGGAATAAATGAAGCCATAAATAGTAAATGTTGCAAGCAATTGACAGAATTGAGCTGAGTTCGGCGTTCTTCGGTATGATGTTCGTATATGAAACAGGGGGTCGGAATGTCTCTGCAAAATTGATGAGCGACAAACGTTGAAGAGTACGCGATGACGACTGCGAGGATCATAGAACCGTGTAAAATACATAAACGAATTATCACGTCAAATGCTCGAAGTGTTCGGACCTCGGACACAGTACCAAAGTTATGATTTCGAAAGGGATCCCCTGTATCAATCGCATTCGAGTCATGACAAGGTCTTTCAGCTGTCAGGTCCTGAACTATTGTAGATACCGGAGGTCCAAAATCATTGCATCCCACAAGTCTTCCGTTTCCATTCCAATCACACACGTTTCGGTCAAACAAAGGGGTGTTTGATTTTTCGGATGGGTTGACGCAACTCGACTTTGCAAACACCTTTCAGTGTCGAAAGTTGGATATATAAAATGGGCTTCTCGGACCCACAACTAATGTCTTTGCATGTCACAGTGCAGGTACGTCCATGCAGTAGCTACTCTAGCAGAAACCGAAATACATTCCTTCAGTTTTGTTTTCTCTACAAGAGAAGCAGAGAGACAGAGAAGGGCCGGCTTCTGAATTCACATGTCTTATTCTCTAGATAACGTCTCTGTTGTCTCTCATTGCATCGTCCGTTGTCATCTATCACATTCTCTTCAAAAACCCAAGAAAGGACCATAATCGAATAACGTTACTGTTGGCAGGTACGTCCACTCAGTGAAAAGCAGGTTATTTCATACGGTTTATGGAAGGTCGATAGTGTCAATAGCTGGACAACTATCGGCCTATGTTTCGCAGACCCAACATCAGTCAACCCCACTTTCTTGCCTTAGTTTCCGACTTTTTCACATCACTGGCAACGGTTTTCGCCCAATATCCAGGTTTCAAACCACTCGCTTTAATGCATGGTTACTCTCATAAACCATATATATACTAACTCGTATTCACACAGTCAACGGCGCCCTAAGCAACACAGACGGCACCGCATCGTCAATTTGCATAGCTCAAGGATGGGCAATCCAGACATTTTACATCGCATCCGCTTTATGGAATAGTGCTATGGCAGTCAACGTCCTCCTCGTGCTCTCATTCCGATATTCAATTGACGATTTACCGAAACTGGATTTAATGTACTCGGCAATCATTTTCAGTGTCACTCTAATTACGTCTTCTGTGCTGGCTGCAGTGGGTGCCTATGGTGATGCTACACTATGGTGCTGGTATGACACGGATTCTGGAATTTTTTGTGTTTAGGTTTTCAAACTTTTGTTCATGAAGGATTGTACCGTCTCGCTCCGATCTTCGTATCGGTGTCTTCTACATCCCCCTCATAATCATGTTTCTCTTTGACTTGGCAATCTACATCCAAATTGGGGTTACGCTCTGGAATTCTCAACGCAAGATCAGAAACTCTGTTGGGATTGTTCCGTCTCCTTTATCGACGAGAGTGGGAAGAACATCCACCAACGGAAGTGATGATATCAGAGATCCAGTGGCTAGATTCGTGTCAAAGGTTGCCTTGTTCATTGTGAGTGACGGGATATAAGTCTTTCATTTCATAGCGGTTTTTTAACGTCGCTGGCGAACTCACTATTTTGTCTCCCAACTTCTCATAGTGTGGCTTCTTTGTGATTCTGGCTCCAGCATGTAAGCCTCGCCTCCTTTGGAATTGTCGCAGCGTTGGAGCACCAAAACTGACCTTCAATATCTCTGCAAATGAACTTGTTAGCTCTCAACCGCATCCTAAACCTAGCCGGCATAACATCCTTCGGTTTCTTCTACGCCCAAGCGCTGACTCAACCACTATCCGGAGTTGTCACGTTTGCAGTCTACTTTTCTCGTCGTGGTGGAGGTGCACCTGCAAATTCGGGCTCATCAGATACCATGAGTCATCGACAAACAGGGGAAATAAAACGAGCGAACTCGAATTACGAGCTACATCGCTCGACAAGTACTTTTTATGCTCCTGAACGTATGGGGAGTGTTGCTTTGAATGGGTCGCATCAGAGTCTGGTAGCTTGATTCTAAAAAGACTTCTGTACAGTATCCTCGTTTTCGCTCCTTATTGATGATTTGTGAATATTTGATATTTTCTCTTGCTTCAAGCAACTAATTATACTTAGTCTATTTCAATTTTGAAGTACTTTTGTCAAGTTCAAGTATCAAGCTTCAAGAAGTAGCCCTGCTTATTACGTGTACAGCACTGTGTGCTCGTTGCTTCAATACTTAAACAAGACGCTGACTCTCAATTACTAATTGGTAAACGGCTCCCGAGTCGCTTGCGTAGCTCATGGATCGACATTCCAAACACCCTGTCGCTTCAGCTCTCTGTAATAGTGTAATGAGAGCCAAAGTCTATCCCTTCTTGTCGATCTGATCTGGGATCTGATACTCAATTGATACTCAATTGATGATTTCCAAGGCTGGATTGATTGTATACAGCTGTATCGACAGATCATGTTCAGTTTCTCTCGAGGGACCTCTTTGGCCATCAAAACTTATCTCAATTTGAATTTCAATACAATCCACTACCATCCACTACAATCCCCTACAAAAGAGGCGACATTTATATCGTTTTAATCTAACGGTTGTCTAGCCTTTTTGTCAGGCGCACGAGCTCGAATCGCAGTCCTTTCGTAACTTTTCGTGCACATTTCAGCAGCCAACACCAAAACGCCTGCCTATCATGAACATCGCGCCAACCATATTCTTCTACTTCCTCGGTGCATAACGTGTGATTTCTGGAGTTGCTTTGACCCGACGACATGATCGTGTTTTTCGTGATTTGCCTGCAATTTACCGCTCTCTTTGAAGTGGCAATCTACATTCAGATTGGGTTAGACTCTGGAATTCTCAACGCAAGATTTGGAACTCTGTTGGGATTTTTCCGTCTCCGTTATCGACTAGAGCGGGAAGAACACCCAACAACGGAAGTAATGAGATCAGAGATCCAGTGGCTAGACTTGTGTCGAATGTTGCCTTCTTTATTGTGAGTGACAGGATATACATCTTTGATTTCAATTTGGTTTCTTTTGGCGCCTTTATGAAACTTGATTTCTCGTCTCCCAGCTCACATAGTATGGCTTCTTTGTGAACCTGGCTCCGGCATGTAAGTCACGCTTCCTTTGGCATTGTCTCAGCGTTGGAGCACCAAAAACTGACGTGTAAAATCTCCTCAAATGGCCTTGTTAGCTCTCAACCGTATCCTAAACCTAGCCGGCATAACATACTTTGGTTTTTTCTACGCTCAAGCATTGACTCGAGCACCATCCGTAGTAGTCAAAGTTGCAGTCTACTTTTCTCGTCGTGGTGGAGGAACACAAATAAATTCCGGTTCATCAGATGCCATGAGTCTTCGACAAACGAGGAAACTCTAATTACGAGTTGCGTCGTTCCACAAGTACTTTAGATGCTGCTGAATGTATGGGGAGTGTTGCTTTGAATGGGTCGCTTCGGAGTCTGGTAGCTTGATTGTATCGCACTGTCTCGTCACAACAAAGCAGCAGAAAAACTGACAGTGTTTACTTCGTGCTTCGTTGACACTAGGCTACAGCCCAAACATATCCGACGTAACGAATGCGAATTGTCGTTATGCAAAACACTATCGGGAGTTGTCACAATCCTCTCGTTATCGTGCTGTGATGATGATGAGGTATGAGGTAGCTCTGCAGACAGGAGAAGCTAGTGCTCGGAAACTCGAATTCCGAGCTACATGGGATCCTAAAGTTTCTTTGTAAGTACCTGAAGTATGGAGAGTGCTCGACTTAATACATCAAATCAAAGTCTCGTAGCTTGATAATTGGACGAAATAGAAACTTTACTAGTCGCAATCAAGCATATCTCTCTTGTTCTGACGATGGCAGAGTATGAGGCAAGTCATTCACATCAAAAGCTTCAACTCGTCAAGAAACAGCAGATCCTAATTCTCGTCATTTAGAATTCCGAGTTACACCGTTCTACAAGTAATTTATGTGATCATGAATGTATGGGGAGTGCTGTGGTTGATGGGTCGAATCAAAGTCTAGTATCCTGATATATTTGTGCTCTTTAGTTTCATTACGATGCTCATCTAACAGTGTGCCAAAAACGGCATATACTACACGCAGCAAATCATGATCAGTGCTACCATCATCAAGGCTTGATATGTGGTCCTTGTGGTGTTGGTGAGAACCCATTCGGTAGCAAGATCGTTGATTTTTTTGCTATCGTTTCTATAATAGTTTTCGTGAACAAAGGAGTCTCGCTCAGACTTTCATGTCTTGGCTTCTACATCCCACAGACAGTAATCTTTTCTACGACTGGGCATCATTCGATCGTCTGAAATATAGTTTTTTTGCGCGAATGGTTGGCTAACTTGGCAAAACCCCATCTCTCATAGTGTGATTGCAATCATGATATTGGCTGCCCGAACGTAAGTCTCGTTGTGTTCTTTCCGTAGTCGTGTCGTCACAAAGATTGCAAAGCAGCAAAACAAAGAATTCACGTTGGTAAGTTCTCAACAATGCCTTTCAACAGCATCCTTAACCTATCCAGCATAACCCCCAATTCGGATTCCCTTGAAGTAAACCACGATCTGGAATAGTCACACATTTGCAGTACATTTCCTTGTGGTGGTGGTGGGGTCCGCCACTTCTCATGACAGGTCACCGACAACCACGAGACCAGAAACGAACTGCAAATTGACGTGTTGAGATCTTTCTCGACGTATTTTTCATCTATGGGGAGTGGTAGTTGGATACTGGGTTGGATCTGAGTCTTGGTAGCATGACATTCTTCGTATTGTTATCTCCTTTTTTTCGAACCTTTTTGGGAAGTTTTTAGACTCGTGATGCCATAATCTTTCGAATAACATTGTCAGTGTAATGTTCTCTGTCAACTTTGAATCATTAACATTTTTCACGTTGATGTACTCTGATGTTGAATCCGACGTTTACCTCGTTGTGTAAGTTCAAGCATTGAAGAGCGTACAGCAGAACATCAACCAAAACAAGGATAACAATTAAATAAGATGCGTTGCGGCAAACATATAATTTGAGCTCTCTTTTAAAATTGTACAAGAAAAAAAAACACTATCAAGCAAATTTCTCTCGCCTCCATCTCCCCTCCTCTTCGTTCGTCTCTTCATAAGTTTGTGTATGTGTGTGTGTTAGTAAAAAAAGCGAGGTGCGACAACTATAATATCTTTTTTTAGTGTTTTTTGTTTACTTTTTCATTTAGGATATTGAGGCAGCACTCTTTGCAGAGTCCCCTTCTTCATAATCAGCAGCATGGCCATTAGCAATAGTTGGAGTAGGGGCGGCTGTCGATGTTGTTGGATCAGATCCATCATCAGCAGCTGGAGCTGGAGCTGCATCGGCAGCAGGAGCAACAGCTTCTGCTTCTTTGCCCTTATCGTCATTCGACAATGCAGGCTTATCACCAGGAGCTTTGGTATCTGCTTTGTCGTTATCACCGGTATAAAAGGTAGCCCACTTTTCCATGAGTTTCACAGATCGTGGGATAACTTCATACTTGTCGCCTGTAACCTTGTCTCCGGATTTAGATAGATATTTGATGACTTTGCCAATCTTGGTGTTCTGGAACAAGGTAATATTCATGAGTTGGATGACCTCGACTAATTCTGGGGTTTATCCCAGTTTTTTTGCTACCTTAATGAGATTAACAGCCGGCATACGACCATCATCGTGAAAATTTTCAACAGCTTTGAGGGCTGAATCTGCTTTACTATAATCCTTGTCATCCAGCTAAACAAAAAGTAGATGATATGTGAGTGGAGACAAAAAGATCGCCTGATCAAGGCAGAGTAAGTCCTCGCAATCCAAGACACACGCTTACCGGCTCTGAGCGATCAAGCTTTTGCCAAAACTTCTGGAGTTTAGCACGGAGCTTCATCATACGCTCGTGTTGTTCCTCCTCTGTTTGAAACATTTGAATGTTAGACAAGAATCACTCTCGGACTATTGTATATCATTTACGTGCCTGTCTCTGGACCTCCGGCAGTCTCAGCAGGTTCGGGCTAAGAAAGGCAGACATGGAGTACGTATGGTTAGAACGACCAGCTAGAAGAGTATGACTTTCTTGACCAATAAAGCAAAATACATCCATACTTCATCCTTCTTGGCCTTCTCTGCAATCTTCTTCTTCTTCTTGGGTGGCTGTTTAGGAAGGAAGAGGAAAGAAGTCAGATCTGAAGTATCGATGCATGAGGCACTACCAAAACAACCACTATCATACCTCTGCTGGTTCATCTTCAACCTCTTCAGCTCTCTTCCTGCTCTTCCTTGGTTGCTTTACAGGTTCGGAATGTCTCCTATTGTTACCAGACTCGTCTTCGTCTTCTTCCATGACACTGGTAGTAGCACGTCGATCCTGTTTAGGTTTCTTTGGTTTCTTTTCGGACGGAGGTTTGATGGTTATCTTCAAGTTGCTTGCGGGTACAATATCCCATCGTTTGTCGAATAGAGTCAAAGCATCAGGCCGTTCTGATTGAGCGAATGCTTCAGTCCATAGTTTTAATTTGGGTTTCTTTGCCAGGACTTGAGGTTTATAGTCTTCATAGTCTCGCATGTCGTTTGCTTTGTACCAGTTCCTGTTATGGTATGGTTGCGTGTTGTTAGATTGGGTTATAATTGGGAAGGGGGTGAAAGAACAAGGCACAAAACGAGTGGAGGTTAGAATACTTACACATCACCGGCTTCTCCAAAGTGATAGCAGCTAGTGACATCTTTTCCACGCTTCTGTTTGCGAATGTGTAATGGTAGAGCACCTTCCAAAGCAGCATCCATAACCTATGTGGATGATTTGAGTGTGATTCAAGATGTGTGTTGGAAGGATGCAGCGAGTAGGAACGATTATCAAAGCGAATGAATGCTATAAACATACAAGACTTGGCCACCACGGGAATCCCTGTTGAATGATATGTGTGTTAGTTGATTTGTACGAAAGCAGAGTAAGATGTTGGGTTTTGATGTTGATGGCATACGAGCGCAAGAAGTAGCAAAAGAGCAGGAAGGAACGAGAACACAGACGTGTATGATGAGTACCTTCATGCGAGTCCATACGAGTTTCCGTTTAACATCAGGGCCAGGCAGAGGAGGCAACATGTCTACCTGGTCGTTGAATTCAATAGGGGCCTCTGGAGCTTCGCCAGTGTCCATGGCAGATTCATCAAAAGTACCACTCTCCTCATCGTGGTCGGCCATTATTATTTGATATTCTCTTTTCCCTTTGAGCTAGAGTCAGCAGTTTATATCGAAAGAGAATGTTTTTCGAACTTGACAGGTATAATGGATGGAACATGTTTCGTATCATGTATATATACTCGATCGCGTTACGCGTTTTGTTTGCTTTTTTAATCGATACAAACTCGTAAAAGTCGAGAAATTTGAGACTTGTTTGTCCACTTCGCTGCTCTATTCGCTTTTTTTTGTTGGTTTGGAAGCTCACTGAAGGAAGCTAAAGATCGTAAACTGCAGCAAAGTGTGACTCGGTCATGGTCTTACAGGTGTGTGGAAACTGCAATTTGTATTGCTTTCTTCCTTGTTTACATTAAACAAACAACCAACATCGCAATCGATCATTAGGTCTCATCGCCCAACAATGTCAAGGTATACGGCATCACAAGCACCACAAGATCCGCCATTCCTGACTGGCTAGCCGCCAAAAAGAAGGACGAACTCAAACGAGATCCAGGTACCATCCTTGATCATCAACATGTTTGGGCATGTGCAAAAAAAAACCACATTTGACGCGGAGGCTATGCTAACGCAACACGCTCTCTCATCAAAGAATGGAGGAATCGTGTCGAATTGATTCAGGATTTCGAATTCCCTGAAGCTTCTACTCGTGTCAAGATCACTCCTGATGGAAAACACATTCTGGCTACAGGTAAACCTTGCAAGCCAAAAAAGGAACAAGTATGAATTTTAAAGGTGCACCTCACACTCTCTCTGTCATCGGCTCATAGGTGTATACAAGCCCATGCTCAGAGTATATGAACTAGCTGATCTGGCCATGAAGTTTGAACGACATTCAGACGCTGAGAATGTTCAATTCATCGTATGTTGTATCTGTTGTTGGTCGACAGTTAAGCGATTACATCGTGCTAACGCCAACGTGTCATAGGTCCTATCTGAAGATTGGACAAAGTCGGTACTACTACAGTCTGACAGGTCACTCGAGTTCCATACTCAGTTTGGAATCCATTACAAGACTCGTGTGCCAAAGGTAAGTTAATAAGAGCAAAACGAAAGGTAAACTCCTTACTTATACGGCTCGCTTTTAACCCACCTTTCTCCATAGTTTGGACGTGATTTAGCCTTCCATTACCCATCCTCAGAACTCATTGTCGGTGGTGCATGCCCAGACCTATGGCGTCTAAACCTCGAGCAAGGACGCTTCCTCAACCCCATAATAACATCATGCCCAAACATAAACACAGTCTCTGTCTCTCCAGCCCATTCCCTAACAGCAGCTGGTGGCGACGACGGACGCATCGAATTCTGGGCTTCCCACAATACAAAATCCCGTGTTGCAGAACTGGACGTGGCCAAAGTATTGAACTCAATGAGTGCTTCGTCGAATGTAATATTGGAATCCTTTCCTGAAATCAGTCAAGTGACGTTTCATGAAAATGGATTGTTGATGGGTGTTGGAACCAGTTCTGGACATGTGTTGCTGTATGATTTGAGGAATCGGATGCCGGTTGCTTGGAAGGATCATCAGTACGGGTTTCCCATTAAGAATGTGTCGTTTCATTCTTCGGGGAATGTGGTGTCGTCTGATACAAAGACGCTCAAGATATGGAATCAGTATGATGTAAGTGTCTAGTCAGTGAGCACCTTCAAAACGTAGTCCAGGGATAGTCTTGGCTTTTTTTCAGCGTCCTTCGTTGACTAATTTTCTTGCTTCGTCTGCTGCTATCTAGACAAAACTATACACATCCATCGAACCAACTCACGACATCAATGACGTTTGTGTCATTGATAACTCTGGACTGATATTGGTTGCAAATGAAGGTGTTCAAATCTTGAGCTACTATATACCTTCGTTGGGTCCTGCACCAAGATGGTGTCCATTCCTCGAAAACCTCACTGTGAGTCTAGCAGCTCATTTGCGGCAGCATCTATTGGAAATGTATTGTTGCTGAATGCTTTCTGGTTGTCTTTTGCAGGAGGAATTAGAAGAAAATCCCAACCAAACCCTATACGACGACTACAAATTCATCACCCGTAAAGAACTCAACCGTCTCGGTCTCGACCACCTTATCGGCACCAACGTCCTACGAGCATACATGCACGGCTTCTTTGTCGATCTCCGTCTATACGAAAAAGCCCGTGCAATCGCAAATCCCTTTGAATTGGACATTTACCGCAAAAATAAAGTACAGGCTCGTATCGACAAGGACCGAGAGACTAGGATTCGTGATATTAAGAAACTGCCTAAAGTCAACAAAGAGTTGGCGAAGCAGCTGTTGGCTGATACTAAAGCTGCTACTAGTACAAGTAATAGTGATGTTACGATGAATGGCAGAGCCAAGAAGAAGGCTGCCAAGAATAATGAGGTTTCGGCTACACCATTGTCTGATGATCGATTCAAGGCCATGTTTGAGGATGAAGATTATGAGGTTGATCAGACGGCTCTGGAGTACAAGTTGTTGCATCCGACTGTATGTATTGTATTGGAAGGATTGAATTTGCTTCTCGCAGAGGTTTTTAATTAGCTTTTTTCTTGCACTTCATTTAGACGAAGAAACGTCACCAACGGGAAGAAGAGCAGGAGGACGAAGACGACGATGCTGCTCTTGAAGGTGGGAATGCTGATTTAGAAGAGGAAGAAGAACGTGAAGGTCATGGAAGTGATGTCTCGTCAGATGATGACGATGAAGACGGTGAAGATTCTGAAGGAGGTGAGACAAAAATAGAGTTTCCTGAGGCCCTATGACTTCTGAAAATCTAACGAATCGCCTTTTCTCACAGAATATGATAATCGTCGATACAACAATCAACGTACCAAACCACCACCCACTCAAACAATCACTCCGTCAACAACACCATTCCAGAAACCAAACTACAAGGATCGGAACAACAATAATAATACCAATAGCCATAATGATGGTGGCAACCAAAGATACAACAACAACTCAGCACCATATCAACAACCAACCCTTCGTGATATGGTACATACCAAGGCCCGACACAGCAACAACTACATCCGAGACAACACAACATCCTCATTCTCAACTGGCTCCAAATCAATAACGTTTGATATGCCAGCTAAACCAAGACGTGGTGATAAACGCGGTGGTGGTAGAGACTTTGACGATTTTGATAATAATGATGGTGGAAGAGGCGGACGAAGCGGCGCTAGAGGTGGAAGAGGCAGAGGTGCTAGTAGAGGTGGATATAATAGTAAATTTGGAGATTCTATGAGTGGCGGGCGTGATATGCCTGGTGGAGATGGCGAGGGAGGTGAGGAGAGAAAGAAACAGAGAAGAGGTGTGAGAGAGTTGCAGTTCAAGTCGTTACCTGCTCGTGGTGGTGGGGGTAGGATACATCGTCGTTGATGTGCTGGCTGGCTGTGGGGTTCCCTTTTTTTGGTGGGTTGATGCTTTGGCTGGAAAGAGACGTGTTTGGAAGTACTGACTTCTACTCTTTTCAAATAAATAGAAACCTTTGTTTATTCTAAAAACTCTTGTATTATATGCAAACTGGAGCAACAAGATATACTACTCATATTTTTGGATGGATCAGGGTTTGGTTGGGATGGTCAATGGATTGTGTATAGTTTTTTGGTTTCTGCCCAGACATCGCCAGCAAACTGTCTAACAAAGGCCGAAAACAAGAGACAAAGGTTCTTTTGTATAACGGTCTCCTATTTCTGCCGGTTCCATCATCTTCTAAATTGGAAGATCTTTGTTTCTTTATAGTCGCATTTCGTGGTGAGAGATCTGGTGGCTGCCTTGACACTCGCTACTTCTACTCCTGCTTGCCGAGAATCTGACTGTGCTTACGTTTTGGAATACGACATGGCATTGCTGGAGTCTTGTCATCTATAGAAACTATTTTCAGATCGATGGTTTCGCTATCATGAATCCTGATCGCATTCATTCATCTGATGCCAAAAAACCTGCTAAAAGGTGGCAATTTAACAGTCGTTCGACTGACTTTGCCATCTAATATTAGCACCGTCTCCGTCTCTCTAGCTTATTCTTCAACCGCTGGTGGTGATGACGGAGAAAATGGCCTTTGAGCATACAAAAGCACAAGGATTCGTGTCACAGGACGTGATGTTGCCAAAGTATTGATCGATACGGAGTCTTGGTTATTTGCTCCTAAAATCAGTCAAGTGACGGTTGGAGTATTGACGGGTGCTGGGCCGTGGTCTGGAGCTTGTGTATGGTCGGAGAAATCGAATAACGGTTGCTTGCAATAATTGTCGGTATGGGATTCCGATGAATTGTTCGTTTCATTCGTCTGGGAATGTCGTGTGTTTTGATACAGAGACACTCAAGACATGTGAGATACACGATGTGAGGGGTTTTGTTTTGCTTTTGCTCATGTTTAACACTATTTGCATCTACTTTGGCATCATGACATTGGCATCTTGGCCTTTTCACCGCGACAATCTTTCAAACATTCAGAAAGGCTCAAGTATGATTATCGCTTCCTCCTTGTCAATTGGAGGCCTTTCACAGTATGTTAGAACGGCCGAAAACGAACGACTACTGGACGGACTGACAGGTTGATGGCACTTCAACCAAAAGAGCAATAGCTAGACAGTAGTCTACTCAATCAACTTCTCAACGATTGCTCCAACCCGCAACCTTTGACTGTCAATGAATGCTGGGGATTTCCTATAACCTGCCTTTCATCCCCCATCTATAAAACACTTGGCCATACGCGTATAGCTCATAATCCTCCCATCTGAAATATTGTGATGATGAAATGTCTCCGGTTTGTCACATATAAATAGATTACAGAAAATCAGTCTGGAAAATCGATCACGCACAACTGGCGCATAAGTGTTTTTGCGATGTGTCTAAATTATTTAAATATTAAGACGCGTCTATCTCTGCCTTTAGTCTTGATTCCTGAAAACATTTTCACGTTCTTCGTTTTCACATTTTGCATGTGCTCACATTTTGAAAGTTGAATTTGTGAGGTATACGGCCATTGCGAGACAATGGAAGCCTTTGACAAGTTCCTGGCGAGGTAAAGCTTGCAGTGCATACATGAGCTTGCAATCGAACAACTAGTTCGATCTAACAAACTTTTCCCGCATGGACTGAATAGCCAGAAATATCATGATGTGTTGAGCATTGTCAAGGGTTTCCGAAATGGTGCTGTATATGGCGCGAAGATACGATTTCCACATGCCCTGGTCATGTCCTTTCTGTTTAGAAATGGAAGGTAATGGCCCAAAAGAAATGAAATCATCTCAGCTCTTTTCGCCCAGAGATTTTTTTTCGGGTTGCCATATTGGCGAGTGATGAAACCGATTAGGTGTTGAGTGGATTTGAAGGAGGAAATGGATTATATGCTCACGAATTGAGCTCTCCGTTGCTTGAAACTCAACGATTCGTCTCTCTTTAAACGTGATCTCGCAAAAAAACTCAACGGCCCCATGATTTTTTCCTTTGACATTATAGTGTGAAGGATAAGCTGAGATTTGCAATGAAGGCAACATATACCCACTCGAAAAACCTCGCTCTATTTGTGACGATATACAAGAGTGTTTTGCTCGTGCTCAAAAAGCTGAGAGGGGTGGAGAATCAAGGTGACGCTTTTGTTGCTGGCATAGTAGGAGGTTATATAATTTTCGGTGAAGATACAGCTGTTAATCAACAGGTACCAATAGCATTGTTTGGATTTTGAGTTCTTTGAATTGAACTTAACACAAGCCTCGTACAAATTTAGATCAGCTTGTATGTGTTTGCAAGAATTATGATTGGATTGGCTTCTTTAGCTGTAAAGAAGAATGTTATAGCTCAACCCCCACATGCATACCCTGTATTCGCTGCTGTCGTATGGGGTGAGTTCGTCGGAAGCGTATTTGTTCCTTATCTGAAATGCTCTTAACTGGTCCAAACGTGGATTGTAGGTATTGTTATGTACCTCTTTAGACATGATAGAGACGTCCTGCAACCCTCATTACAAGCATCTATGCAATATCTGTACAATGACTCGGACAAGTTTGACAAGTTCATGGTATGTTGAATATACTGTCGGTCCAGCTCGCTTTTTTTTGCTAACACCCATAACCACTCCCGGAACAGAACTTCATCTGGTACAACAAGGCTTGAATAAAGCTTCATATCTGTTTCCGCATTAGTTTCGGTTAAGATTATTATACTGGGCCAGCACTTTGTTTGACTATACATAGACTTCCTCTTGTTTTCTTAATTGAATGGTGAATGAGACCTGTTCTGATTTGAATAGCGATGAAGCTATTAGAAAGAGCACACATATTGAATCTTGACAGCGCCGCTCGATGTCGTTCTAGGAGATCAAAAGTCCTCAACAAAACAACCGACGAGAATGCAACCATCCAAGACACATCCAACTGCCAGAGGTACATCATCGAGCTGCAGAAGCTAATGAAAATGACAGTCCGGAAGTAGAAACAACATCCAGGTGTCTTGTTTCATCCTGAAGGCCATATGCGTCCAGGTAAAAAGAATTGCTTGGTCTACACTGGCAGAATGTAATTGGAAGAAGGAGACGCAAGCAGGTTACATCCCGTAACGAGACTGGCTGTTGATATCGAAAATTACATTTGGGAAGCATACTACCTCTTACAACAAATGTCGGGTGCTGAAATATTGCGGAGTTTGAATGAATTCAAAACAGCCAGCCCAATTCTTACGAACCACTAATTTTCGCTTCCTTTAGGTACAAGAAGGCTCTAATAGGCTGTTAAATTACTCTTCGTGTCGCTTCTTTACTTGATTCTCAAGATGAGAAAGACATTGACGTGTTTGTTGCTTCTTGTCATAACGTGGAGCTCAATAGCTTACGCGCAATTATGTGGACCTGGAATTGGAGGATGCAGTAACAATAATTGCTGCTCAGAATTTGGGTGGTGTGGTTCGGATACAGAGTACGCATCTCCTGCAACGTTTTTGAATGTGCTTTACACGTAAATTGGCATTGAGCATGTTGTCTGACATGAAGTATTTCGTTCATTTAGATACTGTTTGGCTGGATGTCAAGCTGCATATGGAGCATGCGGAGCAAGTGCTGTAGTGACCAACAATGCGAATCGCTGTGGTGTTCTTTTCAACAATCAGACATGTGCACAAGGAAGCTGTTGTTCTCAATACGGGTAATCTGCGGTTCCATGATCTGGAGCTGTATCGCAACTATCACATCTTATTTTATATAAGGAACATCGTCACTCACACAAATCATCTTTCAATTCAAACAGATACTGTGGTTCTGCAAACGCTTATTGTACAACTGGATGTCAATCGGCTTTCGGGTTATGTGGGACTGCAACTGCCACGACGGTCGGCATCCTCTCTACCACCGCTGCAGCTGCTTCTCCAACTGCTTCAAGGTACCGCTGAACTTTTGTCGTGATGTTATAACGTGGAACATGATCTCACGAATACATGCCTTGTTTGGATTTACAGTTTCTCAAATGGTTCTGATTCAAGTACAAGCGCTTCGTCTGCATCTTCGGGAATCACTTCGAGGTAAAGCACACTTCGTATTTCGATGAAATTTGACGAATGGATCACATACCCACTATTTTCTGAAACTAGTTCTCTCATCCTCCCTGCACTGATTCTCGCTTGTATCGCTGCTGCTGGTTTTCTTTTAACTGGTACTGCTCGATTGCCATGTTTCAAAATCGTCGTGGAGTTCATCATAGCCCCCTTTTCAAGCCTTCATCTGCTGTATCCGCTGCATGCGGCCCAAACCTGATGATGCCGAAAGTGGTCGTAGGGGTCCTCCTGGTACGACCTCGTTTCAATTCCCGGATGCAAGCTGTATATTGGCTGCTTGAAACGTTTACAAACTTATTGGACCCATTTCTTGTGAAATAGGTATTAAGGGCGAGTCTATCGTCGGGCCAGCCGGCCCTCAAGGTATATTTCCGGCTTTGATGTGAATTGAATTAGACTCAAGACTGAACGTGCCCACGCCTCCACTTACAATAGGACCTCCTGGTATGATTTTCCTCTGTGAATCTTTGAAATCTAGTTAGTCTCAATCCTTCTATATAGGAGTTGGTGTCGCTGGACCAGTTGGACCAGAAGGACTCACCGGACCAGTTGGACCAATTGGACCTATTGGACCTCAAGGTATGAGATTTTCTTCCGATTTTGCTGGTTTATTAGTATCAGCTCGATTGCAAAAAGTCTGAAACCAGCAATTCTTATTGTAGGTCCCAAGGGTGACAAAGGCAAGCAAGAAGTAGGAAGATTCGATTCCTTATGGGCTTCAATACTAACTCGTTGATATGATGCGATTGAAGGTGATCCGGGGGAAGCTTCTCTTCTTTTGGGCCCAGTTGGACCTCAAGGTTTGTCTTTTGTTTCCCACGTCTTTGCTGAAGTTGAATCTGACTTTGAAGCTCCAATTCGTTAATCGCACCAGGACCTGAAGGTGAGTGCTTCGTGGATTTCACGGACAAAGCTGCTTCCAGATGTCAATCTCTTTTGAACTTTGTAGGACCCCAAGGACCACAAGGTTCGCAATGTCTGCCCCTTCTTCATTAACAAAACGCACTGACTTGAAATCTCCACTTGCTACATACCTCATTAGGACCAGAAGGTTTGTTTGGATTTAGTTGGGTGAAACAAGAAGGCTGACATCAAAATCTGAACCGTTGCGTTATAGGGCCTCGAGGTCTGTAGCAATAAGACTCCAACTAGATCACACACAAGTCTCATATCTGATGATTCTCGTATAGGAAAAGACGGGGAGGATGGAAAGAATGTGTTTATTGACACACGACGTGAGGATTTCTGTTGTTTGTCTGGTCTCTTTCTTCTTCATCACACCCCACCTCACGTTGACATATTGATGATTGCTTAAACTTGAACATTGACCCAAAAACTTCCTCAAATTCCAGTAGACCCGCCCCCAGAGGTCCATGAGAAGCCACCAGCTGATTTTGCAGGTCCGTTGAGCGAGGGCACCCGTGTTCGAGCTATTGGCGGAGCTGTTCATTCAGGGGAAGAGGGCACAATTCTATCAATTACTCCTCAATCTTACTGGATAAACTACGATGGATTTGGCAGGGCAATTACAAGGCAATGGAATGTAGTGCCCATCAAATAGGCACGGGAACTTTCGCAACATCTGTGACCTTGACGTTTGGAGGGGTTATATCTATCTCGATGCAAGGTGAGAGATGCTCAAAAATCTCACAATAATTGGGTCTGGGAGGTCATAATGGGAAGTAAAAGAGCATTTTTAAATAATATGGACTTGTTGAAAGCAATTTTGTGCATTTTCACTTTGCGTCATATGGTCAAGAATTCTCCTGCCGAAACGCCTGTCATCTACGCCTGAATTATTTGACTTTGTCTGCATTCATCATAAGTTTCGTTTCCACCTTTCTCATAGTTTGACCCTGAAGTCGGTCCAAACTCACAAAAGCATTGAGTTTGAGCCATCTCTGAATCTCTTGAATGGGGTGTGGTCACATGAAGTCACGGAACCTGACTTCTCTCCATTGGCAATCCCTGTTCCATGTTCACAAGAACTGTATATTATAATACCGAAACAGAGTAAGTTCTATTTAACATGTCAAAGCCAGTGCAAACTGTCCTCCCAAAGCGACTTGCGTAATCGAATCACTGAAATGAAGAGGCTTGTCTATACCAAGACCCAATGAATACATCGTCCTATCACTCACAACAGCGGCGTGGTGCGTTGCAGCATATATCCGTGTCGTATCAGTGATTTGCATAGTAGTTGGTGCTGGCACCAGTAAGCAATCAGCACCCACACCTAGTCCTTCATTGAACGTCGATAACCCACACAATGACAGCTGATTTTGCTTGGTGGTTATGAGTGTGAATGTACCGCCAGATGCGATTTCACGTGGAGTCGATATGGTCCTGCATTCTTCGGGACTCAGAACCTCAGAGCGAAAAAAGAGTGAATGATTGGACAATACGATGAATTGCGTTCCTTGTAGCTGCTTACACGATCAATCTTACGGCCATGCATCTGTTGGGCATACTCTGAATTGCCCCATGTGTAAATTGACGAGTCGTTCCATGCAAAGTTCGTGTCCGTTGAAGTCGAGATGTGTTGTGCGGATGGTAGGTTTTCAATACGAGTTAGACTGGTAGCGTCCGCCGATGATCCAGCTCCTACTTGGCCATCAGCTCCAAATCCGGCTGTGTATACATGTCCACTTTCTATTATTTTGGTTGTTGTGAGTGTTAAACCAATGGGGCAAGAAATATACCAGAAACAGAAACGTCTTCATTACCCGTCAGCACGACAGTATGATCCAGTCCACACTGCACATCTATGATCCTTTCGCCAGACCATGGTATTTGAGTTGGATAACGTATAGGAAGAGAAGAATGACCAAGACCAAGTTGTCCAAAGTGGTTGTGGCCAAAGGCGAAAAGCACGTCTGGGGATCATCAACATCAGGTCCATAAGCAAAAACTGCCATAGAAAAGTGACTAATGGCCCAACAAACCTTTCTTCTCCCCGTGTCCTACAATGATGGTATGCAGTCGTCCACATGCCATATGCTTAACGGCTGTCTTCTTGGATATTGGAATGGCACCATATGAGAGTGACGTGTTTGAGAGTCCAATGCCTAAGAGAATGTCAAAACAGTTGACTGTGAACAAGCTAGAAAAAGGAGAGTTGCAATTCTATAATACCTAGTTGGCCCATGTCAGAGGCACCCATAGTAACGAGCACCTCCCCGCCACCATCATGTAGTTGACATAAAGCCAAGCAATGAGAGTAACCAGCAGCGATCTTCACGATATGATGTGGTTGTTGTAGTAAGGGTGAGAGGCCTAATTGGATAGCTCTGCCGTGTGCGTGTTTTGAAGAGTAGCATGACTCTGGTTGAACTATAGGCAGAGAATGCTGTGATGACACGTAGTATAATTTCTTTTCTGTCGTTGCCTTTGTCGAATAGTTTTTTTGGTGTCTTGCTGCTGCCAATGATCGTGTTGATGTTGTCAATGTACGTGTCAAACACGCCATATTTGGAGCTTTGATGAGGTTTAACGCGACGTCATGCATAGAAACTATCAAGAACGAAGAATTTGAGTCAACATTTTGTATGTTTTATGTCTACCAACAATAAAGAAAACATGAGTATCCAAACATCACACCACCAAGGAAGAAAAGTTTAGAGCGGCTCAATTGTAGATCATAACTCGAACAGGCTACCTCTCTGGCATATATAGCATACACACTCGCACATATGACGATGCACGCAAATGGCTCCTTCTCAGCAGAAGAAGAGTATTTCAACACAACCGAAGCACCTGCCGGTGTCGAGGAGTACGCTGCAAAGACTCATGATTTTGTAGTATTCCATCAAAAGGCTGGAAGGAGAATCGTACTAGTCACCGTATGTAGTTGACTATTTATCATCACCTCCCATCAAAATTCAACATGACGACATTTTCAAATTTTGTTGGCTTTTGATCTTTGATCTTTACGTTCAAGATTCATGCCCTCAGATATTTATTTCTAATGCTCTTTCCATGTATAGAGTGGAGGCACTACAGTCCCACTGGAGAATCAAACCGTGCGGTTTATAGACAACTTTAGTGCTGGAACTAGAGGTGCTACTTCTGCCGAATACTTTATGGAAAAGGGCTATGCCGTCATATTCATGCATAGGCAGTTCAGTCTCCAACCATATAGTCGCCATTACTCGCACTCAAAGAACTGCTTTCTCGACTTTTTGCAAGTCGACGAGACTGGTGGCATTGCTGGTATGTATTGCCTGAAATTACTTGCAGCGTGATGCAACATGCTCAAGAGCTCGGTAATCAACTCAATAGTTACGCCAGAGTATGTGCCAAAGATGAAGAATGTCTTACTCAAATACCAAGAGGTGAGCTCAAAAAAGAAATGGCGTAAGAAACGATTGCTCACAGGCGTAAGTCACAACTCTAGGTCCGAAAGAACAACCTGCTCCTCAATATTGAATTCATCACCGTACGGGACTACTTGTTCCTACTCAGAAGGATTACGCAGATAGTAGCATTGGCTCGTGAGAATGCCATGTATTATTTGGCTGCTGCTGTCAGTGACTTCTACATTCCTGCCTCGAAAATGGTAATATTATTGGTGGACTACAAAGGCGTTTTTTGCTCTTGGTGTCAGCAACTACTCGTTAACCAAAACTACTACACAGGTCGAACACAAGATACAGTCAGGAGATGGTGCACTGTCACTGCAACTGGAACAAGTGCCAAAGATCATCAAACCACTCGTTAAAGAGTGGGCGACTCGAGGGTTGATCATCTCCTTCAAGGTATGCCCGCATTTTGCAGTTCTAGTGTTGTCGTCATCGACTCGCACATAGACTCACACGCTCCCAACTGTTCTTAACCTCTAGCTGGAAACAGATCCAGACATCCTAGAAGAGAAAGCTCGTCGAGCACTTATACGATATGGACATCAAATCGTCATTGGAAACATCCTGGCCACGAGAAAGAACATCGTCCATTTGATAACCAAGGACGATCGAGTGGATATACGCCTGTCTCCTGAAGAGGCCAAACAGGATGTTGAGATTGAGAGTAAGATTATACCAGAATTGGTGGAAAGGCATACCAGATGGATTGAGTCCTTGAAGGACGACAGTAATGGGCATTTGATGCCTTGAGTGGAAGAATAAGGCGGGAGACCTTTAATATATGTATATAATAGAGTGTGATTAGAGACCTCAAGATCCTCTTGTTTGCATCATGCAAATTGCATGACAGGCTAAACGAAGCAGAGTTTTTCACGAGCACGTTGGTTTAGATCCTATGGAGTACAATATTGAATATTTGGATTTACACGCGATTCTCTACCATTCCTGCATAATGAATTTTCTTGACCGACTAGGTTCGGCTTGCTTTCTCCACAATCGAAACAATCACATTTCCTCAGCCGCAGCAGAAGTTACTAAAGTTGTCTAATCAGCAAACAAGCAAAGAGCTCTTGCAGATAGTTGAACAAATGAAAATAGAAGTTGCTCAAGAGAGGTACGTCCTCTTTCCATTATTTTGATTTAAAAAGATATTTCTTAAAGAAACGTCAACGACGATTGACTATACACGTTTAAACAAATAGAAATGCACGTATCAATGCAGAGCAGAAGCTTCGTATTACTATGACGGAGCGAGTGGCCCGTTCTCCTCTTATGTAGCCGCCTAACATCAACACATTCAACGGAATCAAAACAGCTGCTTTGGCAAAAAAACTACTACGAGAATTCCAATGTCACAGTGACTATGAAGGAACTGTGAAGCGGATATTCGACGCTCTTAAAGAAGGGTCTTCAGATAGCCTGGTCCAATTTGGCCTCCATCGCTACAAGATGAGACACAGTTATGTGGACTGTTTTGCAGCCTTCATTAATCTAGAAACACTGACTTCATGTTGGCCCGATCTTGACATACCCGATCAGCTCATCACAATCAAGTTGGCCCCACAGGTGAAGCTCAGCTATCTGGAAATAAACCAAACCGCCCTCCCAACTGTCACGAATGGATTTGGGTCCGATACAAAAGCAGTCAACATCATCTCTAAAGTGTCTCATTGTAGAGGGATTTCATCATTGGAATAATGAACCACAGCTTTTCCAATGTGAGGAGGTTCTTGAGTTAAAGAGTCTTCGTAAACTAGTGGTACAATCCAAATTTACACAGCAGCATCCATGGCTCGCTCCAACAGGAAAATCTGTACATTGAATGTCCGAGAATGTCAATGTACCAGCTTTGGCAAAGGTGGAAGTTTCTGGTCTTGATATACCTGAAGACGAAAAGCAGAGAACCACTATGCTTGAATCCGTCTTCAACGAATTCTCAAAGGCACTTGTACTCTCCTCTGGTTCTGTTCATTATACTCTAAAAGAAGTGAATGCAAAGAACCCTATCTGGCCTGTATACACTGGACCTAGTCACTTTCTCTTTGGAAGAAGTTTGAAGTACGTTTTACAATAGTTGAATATATCGCACATACTTTGCTGATGAGATTTGAATCCCATGTTCCATAAAGAACGGACGAGAGTACGTCCTTGAAACGTATATGTCCCATGATACATCCCATATAAATCAAAATAAACACAATAGAGCATAAATGATGTCAATGTGTCCTGGAAATATAGAATAAACGAGAATTGTGAAAAATGATCTACTTGGCCGTTTGGTGCTGCATGTCGTAGAGCCCGTGTGGTAAGACTAGTGGTGTCATAATCACGAAAGTGTGGAGAATTTTGTCGCGGAAGAAAATGCAGATTAACGAAGAAGATCTTAAGAATACTGTTATGCTAGAATCAACAAATAAACACGCTCTGAACGCGTAATAATTATGCATTCAAAGACCGTGGTCCTATGGCCTTTTTGTTGCAGAGTTAGTGCGCAGGGTGGCAATGTTGTGAAACATCAAACCTTAACATTCTCAACAATCAAAACTTCCGACACAAGCAAATAAACAACAGCCAAACGTGATAAGGACTTCCAAGAGCTATTTCCCAACAGTACAACTGGTATGTATTCCTGCATTGCATCGCTCTACACAACTTGTTATCGTTGGCAAGTTGCTTTTTCATGTTAAACCACACACCCACGGGTTTTTGGTTAGTATCTGCATGCAGAATGCATTCTCACCTTCCTTTACATCACGTATGTTAGACTCATATCTGCTAAGTCACACGGTCTGAAAATCTCTGCTATCCTATCCAATCGTCAACAGATCAACAACACGCAAAATGTCCCACTACCATGAACATCACAGATTCAATCAAATCCTCCTCATTCTGGCTGTACTTGCAGGTCTAGCCGTCATCGGTGGCACTATCGGGCTTTGGGCTATAATCAACTCTTGGGTAAGTAACTCCACTCTCCCCAGAAAAAAAATGTTGCAAATCAACATTTTGTGCAAAAAGATATACCGCTTTATGCAGTAGTTTTTAACTCAATCTTTTATTCTTGAAATATAGCCCATCCCTCTTATTGTTACTATTGTAGTTGGAGGCTTTTCTGTCCTGATTGCTGGTTGGACATTGTTTGGAATGAGAAATGGTGAACCTCACGGTGCAGGCAGACGTGCATTGTTTGGTATCTTCATGATGATTGTCTGGGCTGCCACCTTTGCATACTTTGAATACCGTAACATCCAGGTACGTTGTTGTCAGCAAGCGACATTTTGGTCCTTTTAATGTCTCGTAACATTTGGAACGTGTTTCTAATGCAATTTTTAACGCCATTCTCATAGAACTTCTGCACTGGAGACTGTCCCCCATACAGCACCTCTGTCGACTGTGTCCTCGCCGGAGCTGGTGTTAGTGTTGCTGCCTATCTCTTCTATGGAATTTTGCCAATGTGCGGGAGCAAATCTGAGCACGAGTAATCCCGCTGGTATCATTCACCATGTTCCCATGCACGCATATGGATATGGCTCCTTTCGTTAAACAGTTTTCTATAATCTTTTACCTTCATACTTTTTGCCTTTAATAATATCCAGCAATTTTTGTAGTACTGCTACTAGATACCTCACATCTAACAGAAAAGCCTGATCAAAAACCAATTTTACTTCGCGTCTCGTGGCTTTGATTACAGAGTTTGATGTTCCTTGATTGTGAATGAGCAGCGCGTCCTCATTGATGGACGCAACGAGCAAAAGACGAGTCGCTGCTATACAAAAGGCAAAAGGAAAGATAACAGCGCACCACTGAGGACCTCAGAAAGCAGTGCAGATTTTGTGAGGTGCAGACTAGTGATGTCGTCTGGAACTAGTCCAATTCGTAACGTTGAACTCCCAAAGTGAGGTTTTTGTTTCGAATTTCGAAATGGAGCGATGGGCTTCAAACTTAAAGCTCTAAATATAGCCCAGGATATAATACTGGGATGTTCGACCGTCCGGTGTCCGTTGATGCCTTCTCGATCTGCCAACCTCAAAACCAAATTGTGATGAGAGGAGTGGGAATGTACTGAATTCGTGACGCGCTATGCTGCATCTGACGCTTTTCCGCGTCCTGAAATCGGATTCGAGAACGATCGTAGTAAGTCAAGACACTTCTTTGGGTCGTCACGTCGAAATCGCTACATTAAGCGGAAAAGTTCAATTCTCTGTCAGGTATGTTAAAGTAACAGTCGCAAGGGCTTTAACTAGTCAATGTAGTATTGTGACAACTAAAATTGTGCCTGTGTTTCTTCAACTTTTCATAGTCTCGTGTAGTCACAACATGTCGACGTCAAACGATGACCAACTATCATCGCTAGAAACTCTACCAGTGGAATTGGTTCTAAAGATTCTTCGAATACATCACACTTCTTGAATTAGAAGACCTCCAATACAAGAATCTTCGCAGCCTGCTTCCCCTCTCTCGAGCTAGTAAGCGACTGTCTGAAATAGTGCTCGCAGTCATATGGAGGGAGGTCTGGATAATTTCTTATAGACCTGACAGCTTATACTTGATGATGGCTGCTAGAGGCATCGCACAATATGGTGTCGACGCCATTGGTGTCCTGAGAATTAGTGGGATGGACCATGTAACCGCCTTATAGCAAATTTGATAGGAACGTGTGTCAATATCACCACTCTTGACCTTAACGGCATAGTTTTTTTAGTGTGGGCGAATGGCTTGATCTATGCAAATATCGCTTACAAGACACGCTAGTGAGTTTGAAGCGTGACTTAAACATAAGACAGCTTCCAATCATACGAGCTGCCATGATTGTAACTGATGCAAGGGTCTGGCAAACTTTGGGGAGCTTCGACATGAGGGTTAATAACTGGTTGGGCGGAAAACGACTATATGTAAATACTCCACATCTATTATCCATGGTATCTGAACCTGACGCATGGAACGTAGCAAATAGTAAAATGTGGCGTATAGACCAATTCGAAGACGGCACTTCTGATAATGAAGTCGATGAGGATGGGGAACGATGACATGTTGATGATGTATGACTGAATTGTCATATTATGAATAAGTATAAATGATGGTGAGAATGAAAGAAACGATACAGCGAAGGTCAATAGACGATCGCAAATGTACTCCACATAGCGCGATTTTGAGGTTACCTCAGATGTTAACTGCTGGTGCAAAGTTTACAAACCAAGTGAGTGATGTTCTTCTTGACGTACGAATAACTTCGATAGTACTGCATGGTAAATATTTAAAAGATGACGACTCGTTCGTGTTGGAAAACCTCAAACATTCCATGTTTCCTCACTCTCTTCAAGATAAAAACTTGAATTACTCAAGACAACAAGATGACTCTAGAAAACTTCAAGGTCAAATACATCGAGAGATGCCATGCTCAAGAGATAGATCCAGTACAATCTATCTTGGCCGCTCTTGATACATGTACAGATCATATTTTGGATTTAACATCCCAAACACTTTCGACCAAGGTACGTGTCTTGAGACTGTTTGATGGAGACTCCGATATGTACATCACATTGGTTAGCTTTGAAATTAACTTTTCTTCCGTTATACAGGTTTGCGCTTCGTTGGCATTTGCACTCGCCGACGACAAGGAATTCACGAAATTGATCTTTCGTGATGCATACGTTGGAGATGAGGGTCAGTTTGGAAGGCTGGAACGTGCCGCCTATCAGTGTCAAATGTTGAACATCTCCATACTATAGGATGCGCACTTATTGCCAATGCGCTCAAGACGAACCTCACATGCGCCCATTTAGACTTGCGAGGCAACAACATTCGTAGTGATGGAGCCACCGCATTGGCGCAATTACTACGTGTGAATTCATGTATTACGGTGCTGCTGCTTGAATGGAATTCGATTGGTGTTTGGGAGAAGGGTGTGCTGGATCTTGCGGATGCGTTAGGACATAATGGCAGTCTGATTGAACTGGTACAGTTATAAAAATTGCCTTGATATCAAGTCCTTAAACTAATGCTTATGGTATTCCGTCAATCCTAGGATCTAAGGAACAACAAGATCAGCTCCATCGCCGGACAACACCTCGCCATATCCCTCAAACACAACACGAGTCTCGAGAAGCTGGATCTTCGATGGAATCACTTGGGTCTTATCGGTGGCCGAGCATTCGAAGATCTGTTTAAATGGAATCATGTAATCACGTCTCTAGATCTAGCAGGAAACGAAGTGCCGGAAGACCAACTCGGAGCAATGACAATAGCACTCGAACGAAATCTGCAGCAACGTCAACATGCAGTCCAAGAGCATTCGCACGCCTTGCATTTATCAAGCACCATTGACGCTATTGCTAAAGCCCATGAGGTCGCACTGCACCAGTTGACTGATAAACTCAATAACGTGGAAACGAAGTCACGTACTCTTAGTGAGGAGCTAGATCGTAAGGTATCGCAGCATCAGAGTACCGAAACGACGGTATCGAAACTGCAGGAAGAGATTGCATTACTGCATTCCAACCGGAAAGCAATGGAGGAAACACAGTTTAGAGAGAGGAAAGAGTACAAGGCACATGCTGAAGGTCTTGAGAGACATATATCAGGGTTGCAGAGTGAATTGGCGGGTGTCAAGCAAGACCGAATTAGGATGCATAGTGATTTGACTGGTAAAATATTGTCCTTGGAAGCTCTGGTAAAGTCTTTAGAAGTCAGCCAAGAGAATGGAAGGAGAGAAAAGATGGCGTTGCTGGAGGGTGTTGCCGCCGCGGAAGAGCGTGAGCAGAGGGCACATGCTAAAATGGATGGTATGACTTCCATGCCTCAGATTTTTTTTTTGCACTTTGGTTTTCCATAGTTGGCTCTGGCTCTTTCATCTACGATACTCATCCATTAACGACTCTTAATCAACCTCTTTAGAGAAAATACGAAAGCTAGAAGAGTCACAGACCCGAAAGATACGGCAGCTAGAACAAGTCATTGGTGAGGAGCAAGCCAAGTCTCAGCAGTTGCGAGCTGCTCAAGAAGCCGAACGATCTCAATATGAACAGGTTTGATGACTGTCAATTGCAACGAAACCTATCCATAGGATTTAACTTTCCGTTTTTTTTCCAGGACTTGGAAGTCTCAAGATCCAAATTAGTCGACCAAAAACGAACCTTCGAAGAACATTTCTCAAACACCGAATCCAGAATCCGAGCTACCGAAGCATCCCGTCGTGATGCTCTCGAACGAGACATTGAAGCCCTCCGCAATCAAGTCACAGCATTACAAGACGCATCGACCAACATCAAACACAAGCTCTCTGAACGAGACGCAGAACTATCAACATCCCAGCATTCACTCAAGCTCGTAGCAAGTGATTTGAGTATCACGAAAAGCAGTCTGGCGAGATCAGAGACTGAGGTTGAGGATTTGAGGGCCAAGTTGAGTGGGGCAGAGTCCAAGATGTCTGATTTGCAAGGGGTTGCTAAAGCTGCGGTGGAGAAGGCAAGACATGATGAAGAGGTGGCTAGACATGCTGAAGCCAGGTATCATGATATCAAGATTGTGTTGGACAAGAAGGAAGCGCTGCTTAAAGAGATTGAGCAGGATGAAAAGACGAGATGGGAGACTTTAACACGGGTGTTCAAGCCCCATCATTATACTACTGCTGCCTAGAGTAGTCCCATTTAGTTGATATTGTAGCTGGCAAAACATGTGACTATTCGTTGCCATTATAAATGTATTTTTGGTTGTGTGCGAATTTGAGATTATAATTACAAACGTATAGCTTTTATGGTTTTTGTTGAGTGCTTGCTTTACAAGAGAACCTTCCTTTGAAAATGAAAAACAAAACGACAGAGAAGAATTTACATCACGGGAGACCAAGCATTATCTACAAAGGTGAGTGATCGTGTATCGTGGTAATATGCATTGCTATTTTATGAGAAGAGGGATGTGTTCAAAATGGCATTTATCGTGGCACAGATTGTGTAAATGGGCTTGCAGGTATCTCTTTAGGCCTACTCTTCCCAAATACATTCCAGAATCTCAAAGTCTCGTCACCAGCACCTGTTACTATATTCTGGCCGTCCGGCGATGTGGCCAAATACAAGACTCGATATGTGTGTCCAGTTAATGTTGCTACAGGTGTCATCGTTGGATACTTCCATATGACGACTTGATGCTGTGAGTAGCCATGTGTTGAGACGATTTCGTTCGAGTTTTTCGACCAAGCCAGGTTACAAACTTGGGAGCCAGTATCGATTGAATTGAGCGATGTGAAGTTGAGTGTGCTCTGGAAGCGTATTTTTCGATCTGCTGTTCCACCGCCTGATGCAAGTAGTCCGTGCTATAGAGAGAAGAAGGGTGGATAAGACATTTGTATCGCACAAAGCATACGCAAAATGGGGATTCCTCAATGCTACAACCCCTTCTCTTCAGAAACTGTTGAATGTACTTACTTGATGAGGAGACCACGCAATAGCCTTGACAGCAGCGATATGTTCCGAGAATTTATGTAATGGCGTAGTAGATCGACAATCCCAGATCATGAGCTTATTGTCGTTTCCACCACTAGCCAGCTGTGTATCTTCGTAATTCCATTTCAGGCCACAGACTTCCTGTTTATGAGCATTCATGGTGGTGGCAGTTCTGGCTGTATCTCGAGTATCGAAATGGTATATACAGCGATCACGACCACCGGATGTGAGACTAGCACCTCTCCAAGCCATTGTTCCCACTCGATTGTGATGACGCGTCGATTCGTGGATTTTTTTGCATCGAGAAGCATCCCATAGTTGGACTAGGCCTCTATTCGTACCAACAGCTATAGATGTACCTTTGGGAGACCATGCTACAGATGTGACTGTATCAGATGGTCCCAAGTCACATAGTTTGGTGACTTTGGATGTTGATGAATTCCACAGATACACGCAAGTGCCGAGTCCTACACCTAGTATGTTGGTGGATGACCAGTCCACCAGGTTCAAATAAAAGTCGTCTTGCAGTTCGGGAGCATCTAGTACTTTATACGGTGTCTTTGCTACTAGTCGTGGTGGTTTACGTGGAGTTGTCAATATCCGTTGTACTTCCATAGACATTGACGGGGTGGCAGTATATTTGTCTGATATAGTTGAATCAGGTAGTAGTGGTATATTGGAGTATAGACCGTTGTTCCGTGGTGATGAAAACCGTAATAGTGTGGTTGGTGTTGAGCGAGTTGGAGTCGTCGATCCAGGAAACAGGGAAGCCCTCAGCAAGTTGTCGTATACATCTTCTGGCGAGTCTAAATATGTGGTTTTAAAGGAAAAGGGGGGGTGAGCTGGCAATTGTCAAACCCCAAAAAGAGGAATGCGAGTGACTGTCGCCCAACAAGTCAGTATAGCCAACAGTACCTTCTGGTTTCCTCTTGCTTCCACGACTAGGAGTGGATGGTGCCTTGTACAGTTCATACTTGGCGCCCAAATCCTCACCAAAAGCTCTATCAGGTATAAACCTAAATGTGCGTTGATGTTGGGTCAGTTCGTGTCCAAGCTACTAGAAAAATGCGGATCCAAAGAGCGATATAAATTAGTACCTGTCATCTGGCGTTCCCTCGTAGCGAATTCTCTTCTTCCTGGGCGTCGCAGGTGACGAGAAGTCCTCATGCTGATTTGTTCAAAACGTTGGATTTTTGTGAGTGGAATGCTGAGAGGGAAACAGAAAGATGGGATGCGAAGAAGCTGGAAATCGGAATAGGACTTACTCTCTTTGGATGCTCAGTATGCTCCATATCCTGGCCTCTTTCACGCTCTTCCAATGAGGTCTACAAAATATTACTAGAGAATATGGCAATTGTGACATTTGATGTATTTGATCTAGATCGCATTTACATTTTTTATAACATGGATCTATACTACAATTACTCAAGAGGATGGATTGTACATCATCCAAGTGCAGATCTATTGCCGGTGACATGTTGATGTGGTTTTTGGCAACAGAGTGCATTTCCTGGGCGTTTTTGGCTGTTCAAACGAGAGATCAAGGACATCAATATTACCAGAATAACTCTTTTGATTTAATAGGATTTCAAAATTTATAAGCTAGTTGGTGAGGTGTGTTTATGTGCCGTCCGCCTTCGCACTTCGATTGGAACGTTTTACGTACAAGTACCGACCGCATCTTCACTGCCAGGATAATTGTGGAACATTGAATCAGATGAAGTTTGAATTCTGCTTGGGACGGACGAATAACCACTCACACACATACCGAAAGGAGAACCCTCCACAAGAGAAGAGAACTCACCACCCGGCGAGCGAGTATCCAGTCATTCAGAATAAAGTTGCGGAGCAACAACGTTGGATTTAGCGTTATACATGCTTGGGCACCGGATGGAACCACATTAGACACCGGAATCCAAACACACCAAAGTGTCCTTGCCACATAATTTCTGCAGACTTTCAACGGTGCCGGGATAGCATCTTGCTTTCTTGCGGATTGTCTAATTGCCAAATATAAAATTAGATGAACGTGAATGCTAATGTGAAAGATGACTATTAAGGCTATTCACATACCGACAGGAGAGGCTAGCAAAAAGTTCCACAAAAGAGATGCCTCACGATGAGGTGAGCGCGAACTCAGTCATTCAGAATCGAAATGCAATGGCAAAGACATTGGATGGGTAGCCCGCAGCCGGACTCATGCACATTGGACACTGGACTAGAAACCCACCAATCTGGTCTTTGCCATGTGATACTGGCTGACATTGGATCTTGTTCGCACGGCTTTTAAATTGACATGTTCTTGCTAAACATCCTCGTTTAGTCATGGACGCTGATGATCAGCTGAGCGACGAAAACAAGTGTGTACTTTACGTCGGAATCCAAGTGACCACCGGCATATGTTGGAACTAGCGGAAACGCTACATCTGGTAAGTGGACCCGATTAGCGCGAAGGGTTCCATCAAACAAAAAGGACCATTCGTCGTGGAAAGGCTCATACGCGGGTCTTAAGTACTCAATCATCTTTTCATAAAGACCCACGTCCAGAATTCCAATAACCTCGGGGTCCGACATGCCGCAAACCTGCCAATGTGCATGGTCTATGAGGTAGCAACGATACAGCAGCCGAATCAGGTGCTTTCGCGGACAGGCGAACTGTCAGAGAGCATATTGTTTCCTTCTAGCCATTGAAGCACATCACTACGACTCCCGTATTTCAGTACCGGCATTGGATTATGGCTATACATAGCAATGTGAGCCATCAGCTCGACAGGAAGCGTCATTTCTGAAACAGAAACCAGAAATATAGAGGGCGTTTGCCGGAATGAAATATGCTTGACTCTTCAGAGGCGACATACCAGGAACGGCACTGTGAGGACATTGAATGAAAGACCCACTGATATCCAATGGGGCTTTTCTTAGCAAGTGCAACGCGACCTTTATGTTTTGACAGAGTTCCACAATTGTTCTCAATGAGTCCAATTAAGAAAATAAATCCAGGGGTGCGTTTACAAAGCGTGCAAATGAATAGTATGATGGCCACTAACGCACTGGGTTGGGCATCAAATCAATGGATGCTTGGTGTTGTTGCCATTAGTGTGAAAACATTGACAAGAGATAGGAGAGGGGTCGCAATGATTGATTTCAAGTACTCCTTCCACAACAGCTCACTCCTGCGATAGCATTGAGTACTGGTGTTACACCTTCCACGAAGTCATTCTAGTCACTCTTTCCGCAACAGCTCCTCTCACAAAAAGTTGCCATTTTCCAATGATACGATTTGTTTACATCCCAAACTTGCGCTCGGTGAATGTATTAGTATTACTTTGACGATTGCCGCCTTGGTATAAAAGGTGTAAACAGATACGTGACCATTCGTCCAGTGAGGAATCGTAAAAAGCAGAGCACGATCCAACATAATCCGTTTGAGCGTTGAGAATACAGGGAGATAAAGCAAAGAATTGTAGTGAATAGAATTACTTACGACGTGTAAAATACCAAGGTTCGTAGTTGAACTGACATCCTGCGTCGAGTTGCGTCTTTGATATGAATTGACCTTTATAAGTCTTTCGCCCATATCGTTCCCTTGCATCCCAAGTCATAACACAACGAGGATGCCTTTATAACAAAGATACCCACGAGACTGACGATACAGGCATCTTCCTCCTCGAATTCGACTTGTAATCGTGTCGGCACTGGTCGGTGATATTAAAACCCTTTAATCTGTCAGGTAGGGAGAACATAGTTGATGCGACTGTTGAAAGAATCATAAATGTACGGAATTACATAGATATTGACCATTCCCGCCTATATCACTTATGGATGATGATTGTTTTGGCTGTTTGGAGTTTTGCAGGATTAAATTAGCTCAAGTACATGGCATGATATGGATGGCTTTCAATAAGCAAATAGGCGTATCGCATAATCAGTTGACGTGTACATGCTTGAATACTTGCATCACCGTCATACTTGACTCTCTCATCAAAAGTATTCGCCTTCCTCCAACCTCGTGCGAATTTAGTTATTTTTATCGAAACAAGAGTCACAGGGTAAGTGAGTTACGCTCTTCCACAGCTTCCGTTGAGTCGCCATTGTGTCGAAAATCAAGAAAACATCAAAGGCTGTTGTGCGCCTTTCGGACTTAAGTCGACATCGTTCGCACAAATTCGAGTTCCAACCCCTTATATAAGAATCGGCTGCACCAGAAAGATAATTTACTCAAACATCTCTACTTTCTCCTCTACTTTATACAGAATATCCGTGCCCAAGCTATGAAAAAAAAATATGTGCTACGATATACATCTACTCTAAAATTCACACCCCTCACTCATCCTCATCAGACGACACCAAATCAATCACCAACGCAGCTTTCGCTGCTTTTCCAACCAGCGATTTAGGCGGCTGTTGACTAGTTTGCAATGGACTTGTTTGCGAATGAGCAGCATCCTGTTGTGCAGCTCGTTGTTGCGGTTGTATGATAGGTCCATTACTGCTACTGCCACTACCCCCATTCACAGGAGCCTGCATCCTACTACTACCACGGAAAGGAGAATCAGCACTCCCGCCACCACCTACATCAGGACCAGGTCCTGCTATCCTCGGTCCAGGTATAACAACAATCCCTCCCATCCGTCCATTCACACCAGGTTGAGGCATGACCGGATTGGATGACGAAGCCAATGACGAGAGGAAACTGAATCGTGATTCTGGCGATGTGATCATTACTCCATCTGGTTGTGTCGGTGTTATTGTTGTGTTGACACCCGTACTACCTGTGTTCCTAAGACCATGATTATACACTGCGGTTGCAGGTTCGATACGTCGTAGTGATGATGCTGGTGGTTGTGGCGTTCGTATACTAGATGGCTGCTGACTTATTTTGGGCGGTGGTTGCGATGGTCGTCTAGCAGGTTGATTTAAAATTGTCATAGAGGGCTGACTACCATTATTTACAACTGCGAAATGCGGTGCTGTTGGATGATTAACAATCATCGTAGTTGGGGGTTTGACTGCTGTAGGTGGTGGTGCATGTGTTTGGTTTCTGTCAGTCATCGTAACTGGTGGATTGACAGCCGTAGGTGGTGGCGCAACCGTACCACTACTGGCAGCATTACTACTAACACCAGGACTTGCAGTCCTACGATAATTTGGGTCCACAGGCCCATTCACACCGGGTATATTTTGCAACGACCGAACCGGAGCAGCAACAGGTGGATAAGCCCATCCAACAGGCATAGGAGCAACCAATGGACTAGTTTGCAGTGAATTTATGTGGGAGTTACTCCCACTTGGAATACTGGCGATATTTGTATTGAGCCGTCCCGGAACTATATTTGGACTTGCATGATTTGGGGGTATAGATGGTGCTGCTGGTGACGGTGGCAGAGAAGATGATGAAGAGAAAGCCTGTAACTCAGCAACTCTAACCTGATATAAAAACCAATGTGAGATGTGACTATCAAGACAACACTGGCTAACAAAAAAGATTCAGACGAAATTAATTACCTTCATCAATTTCTTAAGTTCAGCAGCAGTCAGCGTCCCATTCGTCATCTGTGCATGGTAATCGGCCAGCTCTTCTCGTGATAAAGATTGAAGCATCGTGGCAAGTTCTATGCAAAACAAACGAAACAAACAAGGTGAGATTTCATCAGCAACCAGCAAAACACCACTGAACACACATAATAGTTTGTATATTCAGACACAAATTCATATTCATATTTCACAACTTTCTTAACATACCTGGTGCTACAGTAGGTGGAGACGAGTGTCCGTTCGGCTTTCCATTTCGTTTAAGTTGCTCTACTTTATTATTCTGAGGAGCCTTGCCCTTTTTAGTAGCAGCAGAGGGTCCAGGCTGTGCTTGCATTTGCTGTAATACTGGAGACGGATATGCTCTGGTTGGTGGAGGAGCCATAGTACTAGCTCTACCTAGGTCAGTCTGTCTAGCATTATTCATAAAGTCTGCCTGATATTGCCTTCCAGCTGCATCATTCCAACGTGATGGTAATGGTAGAGTTGCTCTTCCAGATGCTGCTACTACTGGCAGTGGCATATTCTGAAGTGGTGTAGCTTTCGGTTTCTTTATAGTGGCCTTACGTTCTACTGGTGGTACTGCTACACCTCTTAAGCCTGCTTGACTAGCATTATCTACATACATATTTACACGCGGCAGTGCTTCTGGAGCAGTTATCTCATCAGAGAATATGATGTATTGCCCCCGATCATATTGCTGCTGTTCATTTTGCTGTTGTCTAGCCAATTCCTGTTTTACCAGTTTCGACTTTTTCTTGTTCTTCTTCAAACTATGTTCGAAATCGTCCTCGTCGTCTTCATCATGATGATCAAACTCTGCTGCAGCATCAGACTGGGGACTTGCAACTCCAGCAAAATCCTCATCATCAGCAGCCGTACGACCAAACCCAGCCTTTCGTTTACGACCAGCAGCAGGTGACGAGTCGAGTTCGTTCGATTCAGTATACGATATGGGTTTTACAGCTACACGACGTTTCAATCGACGACTTCGTTTGCTAGCACCACCCGATCCATCATCCATATCATCATCGGGTACATAATCCATCTCGTTTGGATCAGTACTGTCGTTTTTGTACTCTAAATCTACGACTTCTGACGAGTTGCGTCCCGTTTCATCACGCTGGCCCTGCAAGACACGATCCCAAAATGCCGGATCGGGATTCGTATCAATTATTTCACCATTAGGTGCAGCAGCAGCTAAATCTTCATCTACAATGGGATCTAATGTCCATACTTTGGCGAACGAGAAGGCATTATTTTGGTTGAGTTCCTTTTCTGGATCTTCTTTACGATTGCGTAATTCTTCGAGAAAGAATTCCCGATGGAGAAGCTTGTCGACAGCAGCATCATCGTATATGGCAGTGTTTTCGTTGACGTTTTCATTCTCACTAAACAAGGCTTCAGCGCCAAATCTGATGATGCCTGATATTGCGTCCTTGCTTAGTTTCTCCTTTTCCATTGACTCGACAATGACTTCGTCCAGGACCATTTTACGTTTACAGACTTGTACGATTCGTTCTATGAGAAAGGAGAAGACTGAGGTTAAGAGCATTCTCGAACTCGTCTTATACGATGACGCCCGAATGGGCTCTTTGCTCACCTTCCACACATCCAGCTGTAAACAGCTTGTAAACAAATACAGGCTTGGTTTGTCCAATACGATGAGATCGTGCCATGGCTTGCAGATCACAATGTGGATTCCAATCAGCTAATAAAAAGGAGATGAACATGTTCAAATGAGCATCCTTGACTAAGACAATGCAATTTTTTGTTTTGGTTATGTTTTGGTTACCATCGTAAAGAATGACTGTATCAGCACCAGTCAAATTCACACCGACACCTCCAGCACGAGTAGTAAGCAAGAATGCAAACTGATCAGACTGAGGATCATTGAAATCATCAATGAGTCTCTGGCGTGAAGATACTACAGTTGTACCATCCTAGTTCAAAAAAAGTTAACACGTGAGAAAACCCTCCTGTTGACTGAGGCACACTCTTCTCAAGTGTCTTCACGTACCATACGCCCATACAGATACCCCTCCCCAATCAGAAAAGTCTCAATCTCATCCAACGCCATTCGAAATTGACTAAAGATCAACACTCGATGACCTTCCTTTCTCAACACTCGCAACACTTTTTGCAAGAGGACGAGTTTACCAGATGCCATTACGTGTCGCCTATGAGCTTCGGCAGGATTCGTATCTCTGAGATCGTTTTCATCGGGTGGTGCATTGAGGAGGTATGGATGAGCTACTACTTTACGTAGTTGCATCAGGATGTTTTGCAAGGATCCAGCCTTTAGTTTGGACTCCATGCCACGTAAACTTCCGTAGCTGTTGGTGAGGACGGCCTTGTATAAGACTTTTTGCTCACGGCTCATACCAACAGGTACAAACATTTCAATCTGACAAGGGAAAAAAATATACAGATGGTCCCGAAGACACAAGCAACGTGATGTTCAATACCTTTGGTGGCAAATCCTTTAATACAACATCCTTGGTTCGTCTCAAAAAGTATGGCTTCAAATCCTAAAGTACCGAAAAAAGTATAAGTGTGTCGTTCAGTGTTCCATTAACCTATCGTTCCCTGATACTCACATCATGTAATTGAGTAACAACATCAGGAGTCAGATCCAAATACTCCTTTTCCCATATAGTATCTGCTCTTTCACCAACTGGAAACTTGATTGGGTCAAGGAAACTCATAAGAGTATACAGTTCCTTTAAATTGTTTTGAAGCGGTGTACCAGTCATCAATATACGATGCTTTGACTGAATACTATCAGTCAATCGGGAAAATCCCTTACTTTCGTCGTTCTTGATTCGATGACCTTCGTCAGCGACAACTACTTCCCATTTGATTGAAGCGAATTTGTTGGCATCTCGTAAGATGGATTCGTAGCTGGTGAGGACTACATGACAGCAGATGTTCTTAGCTTTCAGTGAACCACCGAATATTTCGTATTGGGCTATTAGTTTGCGGGTTGGTTCGTCTCCTGCATACATGGTCACGTCAAGGCGTGGGGCCCATTCTTTAAGCTCACGTTGCCAATGACCCAGAGTTGAGGATGGGACCACAATCAAGAATGGAAACTTTTTGAATTCGTTCTCCAAGATGCTCAAGCATGTCACTAAGTTAGAGGAGCAGGAACGTGAGGTTGCTTCGGTTTGAGCAAAAAGAATGTCGGTTGGTCAAATGACAGTATGCAATCTCGAAACGAAGACTAAGAAGCTACTCACAGACTTGAACTGTCTTTCCCAATCCCATCTCATCAGCAATAATACTCGATCTGTTGTGCCACCAGTTATACAAAAGCCAACTGGGAAGAAAATGTGGTTAAACCTTTCCTATCTCTCCGGATTCCTTCCACATAACATCTTACTTGACACCCTCAATCTGATAATCCTTCAAAGGGTTTCCAATGTACTCAGGAGTCGCTTCGATTGGATGGAAGCTCTGTCTGGGCAATAGACGTTGTTTCGCAAGATAGTGCAGTGCTTCACCAGGTATCTTCTGTCGACGAATCCAACTATCCGAGTGTAAAAAGGACACAAATAGTTGTAAAGCTTGCCAATGCAAACCAAATCACCAAAGTATCTTACTTCCTGTATGCATCCCTGAGATTCCTGTTTAGTTTTGGATCCGTCGTCTTCAGATCAGTCCAGTAATTCTCTACAGAGGTATTTATATCTGAATACGCCCGAAGACCAGAGGCACCTGACCAAACCACCTTCATAGATTCTACATATGGCAGTGCGTTCGCGGCTTGACCAGTTGGCAGAGCCAGTGCCTGATGAACACTATACCCTTTTGCGAATGTCACATCTACGACTCTATCTATAAACAACCATTCTTGTGGTATGGGAATATCACCTGGTATTGGATGTTTTTGGATTTGGTGCCTCGGCAGATTTGACTTTGAGGCTGCAGATTCAGCTTCTTGTATGGCGATTTGACGATGGAAGGCGAGTAATTTTCTATCCGCTACCTTCTTGATCCATTTTTCAGGGAGCCATGTGGCAAATCGCCACGGAAATCCTTCAAACTTACAATAATATTCACGGGTTGATTGTGGAGTATTCAAAGTGGCCTTTGATTGTAGAGCATCTACAGTAGCTTTCTTTGAGGATGATGCGGTAGCAGAGGCTGAGTTCTGATCAACAATCGTCACATCATCGTCTCCTACGATACCAGCCTTTCCATCCTCCTTTACAACCTCATCTTCTTCATCACTTATGTCGTCGACCTTGACTGGTGAGGTTACTACGTCTCGGTAAGTATATACAGTTTCGATGACAACGTCGTATTCCAGGCACTCGTGACATTTATGACCACGTTTCATCTTGCCAAGTGTCTTTACAGCACGTTCATCGTTCGGCCATATTGCTTGTAATAGACACGATGAGTGGAAGGTAGATACACATCGTTCACAGCGAAGGAATAAGGTATCGGAATCGTTTGGTAGTTCGCTACCTAGCAATTTTACGGCTTTTGATGGAGGGTCTACTCGATCACATAGTTCACAGAGTACTATACCCTTTTTGGTACATTGTTGACAAGTATAATTTGGAGGTTTGGTTGATTTGCTTCGCTTAGACTTTGTGATGCAGTTTTCGTGCATAGATGCTGTACACGTGTTGCAAGGCCAGAGTGGTCCAGGATCTGCTTCTAGATCAGCATCACGTTTACTTGGACGATAGGTATAGTCTGGACCTATAGGTAAAGATGTTTTAGAGGTTTTGGATTGAGGCAAAGGGGAGCGTTTTTCACTAGTGCATACCACACTTTGAGCAAAACTTGTAATGTAGCTTTGGATCTAGCATGGCACGTGTCCTGACATCGACATCGTCCATTTCAATGTCAGATGAGCCTTCGAGTATGGGCGAAGCTCGATCATCGTCATTGTCACTATAGTTGGAACCGTCATCGGATTGTTGGTATGATTCCGAAGAGGGGTTTTCGTGGTCCATTTTTGCCGTCAGCATACTCGGATTGAGATGGACACTTTAAATGGATGGACGTTCATAGAAGATAAACACGACCAGTCCTCCAAGGGGTAAGAAAAAAGTGGCGATCAAATGTTGGTCGAGGGAAGGACTGGAACCGGAAGAAGGATGGTAAATCTAGATTAGAATGGCTGATCTAGGTAGAAATAGAATGGGCAACTGTGTCCATTCCAAGTTCACGTTTACATTCGACATAGAGGAATCAACCAAACATATGTTGACATCTAGACCAGTTCAGTTTCGACTGACTCACCTGATAGACTATAATAGGATGAGTATGGTGAGCTTGTAGCGAGTTGAATCAGCTAATGCACACTATATCACGGGCTCTCGTCGTGGCAGAGCATCGTTTGAACTTCGCATTCTTGGGTGACTTGGTGATTGAAGGCAAAGAAAGCAGTCTTGACAGGCAGGCCTTTAGTGCCAAAACACAACATTTAAGATGAGGAAACGCGTTATATTGACTCAAATACGCGTAAAATATGACTACAGCCATCCAGTTGATGTATTCTCTGCTACAAAGGGAATCAAACTTTCAAAAAAACGGCTGATCTGACGAAATCAGAGCCCAAATGCTTTCGTGGTGGCGAAAGAGGAAGGCAAGTACATGCTGTTGTGCTTATTGTCCTAGGTCCTTATTAACCATCATACCTTACCCTTCTTAGGATGATTACGAGGAGAGGTTGGTGGAATACGATGAATCGATTCGCAGATGCGAGATAGGTCTATCTGCCATGAGACTACGCGAACGACAGACACTATACTCATGGTAATCTATACATAGTCATACTCTCAATGATCACGTTTGTTTGTCTCATGATTCTGAAATCCAAACTCTACATACTAGGCTCTACTATTCTCTTCCCTCCTACCTGGTCGTCTTGTTGGTCTACTTCAAATTCATGCATCCGGAACAAGATCCTTGGGAAACTTGGCTCCTCAAGTCGGCCCCTGTCTTGGTTGGTCCACTCGTGTATGTGTTGTAGACTGTTGATTGATATATTGTCGACTTACACCTACACCATTACAGGATCTACTTTGTGAGGAAGCTGATTTCATTCTCATTCTCTCGTTATCGTGGATATGAAGGTACATCTTGTAGTTCGCTTCGCAAAAAACGAGGCTAACATCGCAACATAGAAATGCGACTCGAGAATCTCAAGACACGACAGAAAGCTACGGTAAGAGCTACAGCGCATAACCTTCAAGTTTGCATATGTCTAAATATTTTCAAAATAGGTCGAGGAATTGTAAGCACCTGCAAGGATACTACAAGCCTTGGATGTTTGAACGGTAACATCATTGAATTGCATACAACAGGAAGAAGAAGACCAAGTTCTATGCCACAAAGGAGCTGATAGAGAGGTAGAAACAAATTTATATTCGTGTTACCAATGAGTCATACATCGATGATTCTAATAGTTGGGGTTTCTGCTTTTAGATACGAGACACCAGTAAAGTCAAAAGACCAGGCCGTATGTGTGCTTCAAATGTGTTTCTTACCTGGCCATTCTCTCATTCGGCACTATCAATCAAATAGCAGATGAAGAACGGAGGTCAAGCTCGCCCAGCTGGTAACCAACCACCTCCTTCGTAAATTTGAATTGGCTTTTTTTGCTCACACCAACTTCTGCATTACAGGACCTATGCCTCTCAACGCACCAGGAAATCCTTCTTCTCTTCCCAATAATCCAGCTGGATTGACGAAAAAGAATCCATATACTCGCGACACAACGCATGTCGATGGTTCTCGACCACCACAACCATCAGCAGCAACACCTTTTTCACGACCACCACAACCACCACCATCAATATCACAAATAGAAGCATCTTCAATGCCAGGATCTTCTCCTTTGATGCCACAAACCTCAATACAATCGGTTCAGCAAGGTAAGTGACAACCAATCTCGAAGGGGTTTGCCAGTACTCATTTTTTGGCTGACCTCTTTTAGAGCCATTCGTTTATCAAACAATGCCAATAATACCGCAACAACCCATGCAACGAAACTGGTATGACAAGATTGTCGATGCGATTGTTGGTGACATGGACAGTCCAAACAGTCGATATGCTCTGATATGTCGGTACTGCTTTACGCATAATGGGCTGGTATTGCCTGAGGAGTACTCTAACATCAGTATGTGTGCATGTGTGCAAGAACAAATTGAAATTGCGTTTCGTGACCATCCATGAATCGACATTAAGACTTTTTTTCGCTTTTGAACCTTCTGATAGAATTCAAGTGTATGAGTTGTGGAGGCTTGAATCAACACGTACCCACCACCACATCAACTGCAAGCAATCCAAACGAATCAAGAACACCACCACTACCATCCCTTCATTCTACATTGTCCTCAGAGGATTTATCCAGGTCTGCAGAGAGTTTACAATTACCGATAGTTGAATCTCATCCAGGTGCAGTCGCCTCTACAGAAGGAGAAGAAGCTGTCAAGAAAAAGGCCAAGAAGAAGAAAAAGAAGGGGCATGATGAGGACGTTGCTCTGTCTGGTGATGAAGCATCTGTAGCTGAATGAAAACAAGGAAATGGGGTTTTGCGTTGTTTAAACTATGTCTGTACTTTTGCATTTTCATATACACTCTGTTATTTGCAAAGACAATGCGATCGCGTTACATCAAGTTGCTTCGATTCGTTTGTATTCTGACAATGTTGATTCGAGCACACGGATCGAGTTCACTCCATACTGTGGAATACGCCTTTGACTTACCATAGAAGCGAGCGAGTTGGGTGAACTCTTATAGGAGGAGACAGTGACTTCCTGCAATCCACGAGGTAGGAGGATTTCAGCCATCGCCTTGTTGGTGACTGCCAACGAGACCAAATTATTTGGCGTCGTCCTGTAGATGCCAAAGACGTTGGTCTGCTTGTATATATAATCAGCAATCTTGAGGGTTATTTCTACTGGTAGACCTGTCAATAAGGCGTCATGCATCAGTTGAAGTTCAGTTGATGTTGCCATGATCTTGTAGCCTAGATTAGTTTGGCAATGTTAATTACATATAAATACGATGAAATGCATTTAAAAGCGAAGACGTATGCGAGGAGTTGATGCCTTCTCCTCTTGGACTCACCTCAAGCTGCTTGCACGTAATGGATCCTGTTGATGTCTGGATTTGCGAATACTATACAAGCAGATAAGCAATTAATCGCCCAAACTATTTATAGTGCCACCCGCTATGATAATATGGTTGCTGGACGGCCTGTACGATTATCGTGACGAAGCTACAAGCACGATGAGTTTATCAGGACCAGAACTTGCCTACAAGAAACCAGTTCAAATGGAAATCCATTCCATTTCATTAACTGCTATCTCTTTGTAAGGCTAAACTATAGAAAATTCCAAACCTATTCAAGTCGAATCATTTGCTTCAACAACGTGTTGTGATTCCTCATAACCGTTTTTCCAACGATAGTTCAACTCAATAGTTATAAATCTTCTTCATCCAGATCTAGTCTCTCCCCCAAACCACCTCGTTCTTCGTATCCCAAGCTTCTGATTGAGAGAAGATTTCGAGATCTTCACGAGTCATGATATATAAGTGACGAGGGAACTCATCTATGATAAGATCCTCGATTCTGACCAACTTCATTCTATTCCTTTTCGGTACTTGACCATCAGTATTAGACTCTCGACCTAGACGTGGAAGAATGAGGTCCTTCACATCTTCCAACGTCACATCATCGTCAACTGTTATTTCAAGTTCTTCTAGTTTGGAAAGAGATGGGAGACACATTGCTTTCATCATTTCTGCGTCTACGGCATTCCACCACATTGCAAGCCTTTTCAATTGAGGATACGATTCCACAATCAATCGGAGAGTGCTATTAGGGAAGAGCGTGGTCGATTCCAGGCACGTCAGTGCAGGCAGCCCCGGGAGGCAAGTTTCTAGCACATCAGGCCTCCAACGTCGAGCAAAGAGCCTGTCGATTATGGAGGGGTTGATACTTTGGCCGGCAGTCTGGCTACCGTCCCATTGATCTAAGTCAAGGTCGACGGCTTTTAGTGTTGGATGCTGCACTATTTTATGTAGAGTGGCTAGTCCCATACGAACTAATTCTATCTTGAACGTTTGAAGGGACGGGCAGCCGTTTAGCAACAGCTCTACTATATCCTCGTTTAAATAACCCCCCTTTTCCAGGCAAAGCTCCTTCAGCCTATCTAGTTTACGGGTAATGGTCTTGGAGAATGTGAATCGCCATCTCTCTGCCCTCAAGACTTCCAGCTGTGGAAACGAGGTTGCCCATGTGTCCCACATCTCGTTCGTAAGAGTGAATCCAAACAGAGATAAATCCCTGAGCTTATGGTATGACAAGAGGTGGTTGCTATCTATATAACGATTTACATGGAGCCTTTCAATGTTCGGCAAACTACCCAGTTTTAGCATTCGATTCAGATGGTCGCCGAGCCTATGCGTTTTATACTCGATTGTGCAGTCTTTTAGGCAATTCCAGACTAGCCCGGTAGTCTTTACCAATGCCTCTTCAATTCGGTCGAATTCCATGACTTCGAGGTTGAGATGGACACACTCTAACCTAGTATTTACTGCAGACAAGAGATCCATCCACATCCTTTCAGACAGCGTCACGGAAAGGAGATGGAGGGTCCTTATATTGATACAAGACACCATAAAGTCGACGGCGGCGCTTTCTTCGATGTATCTAAATCCATCGTCAATCCGAAGGACACGAATGGCGTTTACACGGTATGGAGGAATACGCCGTGCGTTTATCATCGAAGCGAGTGACTTGGGCTTCACTCCGTTATTATACGTGGTGAGGCAAGTGACTTCCTGCCAGACGAGAGGAAGTAACACTTTCGCAAACCGCCTGCAGGTGCGAGATAATGGGACCAACATTTTTGGTGCTCGATCCAGACTACCAAAGCGGGCCGTACTCTTGCCTATATAATCAGCAATACGCAACACTATCTCTACTGGCAGCCCCGTCAATGATGCGTCCAGCATCAGTTGAAGTTCATCGGCGATTGATATCGACATGTTTTTTGAGCTTAGATTGCGTTTTCAATATTAATATGGCCACAACGAGGATGCGACGATGAATACAAATGTAGAGATCTTCTGCATGCCCCTCCAGAATTACCTCAAACTTTCTGCAAGCTGTGAATAGGGTTAAACGTCTCGACTTGCTACGTGAATACGATAGAAGCCAGATGAGCGACGAGTAGTGGAAGGTATATATATACAGTGACCTCCTATGATAATTTGATAGATGCCTGGCCTTGGCAGTTGTCTCAATGGGAAGCAACACGGGGTGATTTGAACATTTCGCGAAGTAAAGCCGGAATTGTTGTAATCACGTTTTATTATTGCTTGAATTTAAGTTTATATGTTATATGTTATTAGGTATGCATCCTCCAGACCCACATCCCCCGGGACATCCCAAACTTCTATTCATCGTACCATGATCCAGGCCGTCTCCATAACTTATCATTTGTGATGACTATTCCATCCTTCAGGTTGAAGCAAGATTTCAAACAGTTCTGGCTTCTTCACGGATAGTTGGCGAGTTATACGATTTACGGTTACCCCATCCACACGTAAAGATTTGAGACAGGCCACACTCTCGTTATGATTGTCATTATCAATACGGAATATGCGAGGTAAGATGAGCTTTCCAATTTTGCTCTCGTATCTACGATAAGGTCCAGCTCTACCAAGTTGGGAAGGTTTGAGAGACAGAGGACTGCTATCATATCATTGTTTATGAAGTAGTCATATTCTGTCAAGTGCAACGTGTTCAAGAGGGGGCAAGATGCAACCAGCAATTTCAGAGTATTGACTGAAAAGGGCTGTCGTGCCCATTTTCAATGATGTCAATGCAGAGAGCCATGGCAAGCATCCTTCTAAATATGTTATTTTAGAACCATGACCCGAAGCCAACCTGTGATAGATTTGACACCCTTATACTTTGCAGCTTTCGTTCCTCCCAATATAGTACTTCAATGAATACCTTCATCAGAGTTGGATGGTGGAAGCAAGTAAAAACGAAGCTAGTCCAATTTTGTCCTAACCATATGGAAGGAGCCAAAGTTCGTTTACACAGAACACCATGTGTATTCGGGATTGGCCCAGAGATTATACGGTGGTGCTGCAACGGGATATTGTACTGTAAAGCTGGATGTTAATAATGTTTCAGAACCAATGGAGCTGTAAATTTCGACACGATTGGATTTGCTCTACTCTGCTCTAGCTGCTTCTCAAGCCGTTTCGAATTCAAGAACACACCCAAATGGTGATCACTTGAAGGAGTGGTGGATCACGAAGTACTAGTGTCGATTTGTAGTATACTGGGTAATCTCGGTCAAGTTTTTGTGATATGTATTTCTGCCTATTGGACGACGGAAGCTCGTCCCTTGCACGTCGTGTTCATGCCCTACATACGTGTAAAAGGAATCGTCACGTCTTGGCTTCTAATGGGAGTGAGAAGCTTTGGAGATTCAAATTGGCGCTGAGGGGTAAGCATTAGCACAAATGCGGTGTTTTTTTGCTCATTTGTACATAATCAGGTTAACAATCACTTCCAACACGTCGAAAACACCCATCCTTCACTACCTCTTTCGCGATACCCAAAAAAGTTAAGACTATAAGGGATTCACCACGTCGCACACTAAATTATCCAAACAAGATGCACTATTTCTCATATAGACATTGAATTGCGTGCGAAAGTATGCTATTAATGTATTGGGTGTGTTATGAATACCTTGGGTGAAGGCCCTCCCAAGAGGCAGTTACAATGGGACGAGACTATGTAATAAAGCATCCATTCCAACCAGCCAATGGATTTCAAGTCGAGTGCTGTTGATGTGGAGCACTTAGCGGTGCAGCCGCCACACTTGGAGGATTCATCATCAAGTGCTTTAAGGCCTCATACTATACAAGAGGCAAACAAAAAGGGGTTAGTCAACCAATCGGTAATCCAAAACAGCCTCGGAGAGCATCGTTTAGGTCTCGTCTCGACGTTTCCTTCATATCAACATCATTCCGACACCCCTCCCAATAATATGCATCAATATTCAGTACGTTCATGAGTCGAAAACGACAGGTCAACAGCACGTCCGAGATAAACTTGTAATCGATTTTTCGTTTTTTTGCTCGAGCATCACGACAACGATATATTCCTTCACAACCCATTCTTCACCTCTGATTTGCATCGATTTGCTTCCCAACAGTGACAAGAAACCAGTCTCAATCACATGCAAGACCATACTGCTGAATCCAAATCCACCATCTTTCCTTCACCACCTCTCATCTTTTGCGTTGATCTTGCATGATCATCTTGAGACAATATTCATGCATCATATCCATCATTCCCAAAAGCGTCTAGTATCAATAACTTCTACAGACCCACTTTGGATCGACATGGTTTTCTTGTCCCTTTCCACCTCCATCGTGATATCGACAGTATGAGCAAATGTCTTCTTCGATACTTCTTCGATTCTTGATTCATCCAGACCTTCATCGTCAACTTTTTTTGCTACCCATACTGGGCCAAAATCGACGATGAACTGGCAAATCGAGTTCATCGTCGTGTCATTCGCCACCGTTATAACCAAAACAGGATTCTTCTTCACCACATCGATTCCTCGTCCACTCCCCAACACCACCACCAAGAAGACTTGACCATCCCAAAAACGCAACCACATTTTTGAAACACATCAAGCGATGATACGTACTGTAGTCCAGCATATGGCGGTGGACGGCATATGAGATAGAATCCTCGGCCTGATACCACGCATAAATCCCTTCCACCCTTCACTAGCATATATAATCCTAGCAGCGTCCTTCAACCCACTAGCATGCCTTATAGCTACATCCCCAGACATGCCTCTTGTCTGCAATAAAGTCCTGCACACATCTAAAGGCGTTGTGGCAGCCGCTGCTATGGCACCTGCAAGTCCACCCGACAACATATGCGTCTTGGGATCATATATACCACTCGGATTTAGTGTTTTACGGAAGTACTCGTACGTGGCGAAATGAATTGACTGGTACGGTATGGTCATCGATAAGGCTGTTGGGTATGATATATAAAAGGCTGAGAAGCCTTCGGTTTTTAGGATTTGGGATGCGCAAGAAAACATGCTTCTGTGTATTGTTCCTTGCATCTGCATCCTTTGTTTTATTACTAGATGGAGAGAGGCGTTGTTAGCATGCTGATGCTTCTGGCGGTGCTTTGATGGTTGAGAAGGGATGTGCACAAAGGACAAATGTTTCTAATAATGTTCTTCCCCATAACCTTTCACATCCCTTCACATCCACCACCACCGCCATATCCATAATCTCGTCCAATATTACCATCAAATGGATTCATGAGACCATCAGCAGCTATAGTAGCACAAGCACCAGCGGCACCGACTCGTATTGGGTGATGACCATCACCATCAGCCCCAAACATTACTTTACATTTCTCGTATGTTGCAAAATATAACGCGTGAGCCGGGCCAGCTCCTACAATTACTGATGAAACCCCTCTCCATAGAGAGAAGAGGCCTTCAGTAGTTGATATGCGAGATATAGCGTTCGTAACAGTGGTATATACAACGTTCGAATGCAGCACTTGCATACGAGTCTATGGATGTGTGGAGGAGAGTGTTAGATTGACTGGTTATGCGCGTCTTTGAGGTGCAGTTGTATAGGAGTGCACATTTTTTTTTGCGATCGACCACTTCAACACCCTTTCAGGCCAAACCGCCAAGTCTCCTCCATACACTCCTAATACACTGCATCCTACAGCTGTAATTACCTTTATAGAGTCCATAGGATACATGACAGAATGCTCTGTTATGCCTGCAAGAGCACCAGCCATAAGATTTACAGCGAGTGATGAAGTTGGCAAAGCTTCATAATCTATTTCGTCTTCTCCCAAGCTCATGGCCGGATGTCTATGTATATCGGATTCCTAATAAACTATTATATGACGAAAGGACCCTGCGTCCGTGTATTGGGTATCGGTTGTTGAGATGTTGACTGATGATGTAAATGGTTTATGTGGACGCTGTGAGAGGAAAGTGACTATGAGAATGATGTGGCTCGTTAGGTGATAGGTTTGCGAATCGGGTAATCTGCTTCTTTGGGCTTACTTTACTGCTTTTGACTAGCGCTTGAACTGGCCAACTTTTTTTTCTGCAGAAGGGAGGTAGCTCCTGCTAAAATTTGTAGCAGCACGATGATTGGCTGGCGACACCGTTTGCGTGTATCTACGATCGAGACAAGTGTAAGCTAACAGAGAATATAGAGAATATTAACTAAATGTGGATAATCTATAATATATGCATCGTTCAACCGTTTGGCGTTTGTTTGAAACTTTTGAGATGCAATTAGACAAACCTGTTGTAGCGTGCAGGTAGACACTGCATCCCATAGTACAGGTCAATCTTCGACTGGTGAAGCAGTTTTCTTACACCGATCGATTAGAGCTGGATGTCGTAAACTTGTGATGTTGTGTTTGTTGGTGCGTTAGTGCTGATTGCACGATAGGTTCCCGGTTGATCCGAATACTAAACGATACAAGAGGCAATCAGACATGCAAATGACACGTAAATATGACAGTTTCGTTATTCGACAATTCCATATTGCTATCTTTGCTCCTGGCTTTCCTCCTCACAACACACAATCCAACAGTTCAGGATACCTTCCTCTCGTCTTCTCAGCTGATGCATACCTTAGAGTCTGCTGCCGACAAGCAGACCTTTCTTGACGGAGTCGACACGTTCTTACTAGACTGTGACGGTATGTTGAAGTCCAAAGTTTAAAGCTTCTTGACCAACACGAAGGTTGAGATAAACAGACGATATGAAGGCTAACATCAACATTTTCAACCGACCAGGCGTTATCTGGTCAGGAAACGACGTATTTCCGAACGTCCATTATGTGCTGGACACATTACGATCCATGGTAATTTGGAGTGACATCAACTAAATTTGACATGTTGAGGGCAGCACCATCAGGAACACCTACTGACTTCTTTTTTTGCTTCATCATATCATTATAGGGTAAACGACTATTGTTCGTCACCAACAATAGCACCAAATCTCGGGCTGCTTATCGGAAAAAGTTTACTTCTTTGAATCTCACGGCTGATGTGGTAATGTCCAATACTATGCTTAAACCTCGCGATCTCATGTACTCATACAACACACATCTATAACAGGACGAAATATTCGGATCCTCGTATGCAGCTGCATACTACCTAAAACACATTCTCAACTTTCCCGATGACAAGAATGTGTATATATGTGGCATGGAGGGTATACAGGAGGAATTAAAGGCTGAGGAGATTTCATATATCGGCTCGTCTGTACGCACAGTGTTACGTTTTTTTGGCTCGTCGTCGCAGAACTCAAGAAACAATCCTCTGACACCCTTTCAAACTATACAACAGGCCGACGACGAGAATCTGAAGTCCATGGACGACATGGCCACCATTCTCCCGGACCCAAGTGTCGGAGCCGTTCTTTTCGGGTTTGACCTAAACATCAACTACAAAAAGCTTGCAAAAGCCTTCACATATCTACATGACAATCCGAGTGTCCATTTCGTGGCTACGAATTCGGATTTGACGTATCCGGCTGGTGGTCGTGTGTATCCTGGTATGTATCGCTGATTGATGTGGGTTGGTTTGTGCAGACGAAGTGAACTGAGTGAAACGTGTCTTTGTAGGTACCGGTGCTTTATTGTCTGCTCTCAGTGCTTCGGTGGGTCGTAAACCCATCATTTGTGGAAAGCCTGAACAGACTATGTTGGATGTTATCATCAACAAGTAATTGAATACCTTGGACTTGAGACTCAGTTTTTTTTGCTCCGAACTGGTTTGCTAATACTCGCATAATCACTCTTAGGTATCATCTGAACGTGGAGAGGACGTGTATGGTGGGAGATAGGTGAGTTTAGATGTTGCAGCCAACAAAATCCAGAATGATTGGAATCAAAAATGGCAGTTGGACGAGTTGCTTCGCCTTTGTGATTCTCATCACACATATATTTTCTATAGACTGGATACAGATATAGAATTCGGTAAATTGGGAGGTCTAAAGACATTGCTGGTTATGACTGGTAAGTATAATCAGTAGCTAATGCACTTGAAGAAAGTGCAGCAATTAACAAACCTCAATTTCATAGGTGTTACGTCAAAGCAGGAACTTTCGACGACCCATATAATACCAGACTATGTAATGAAGGGTCTGGGAGAGCTGCTTCCCCCTCCTTCTAATTAATAGATGTGGTTTGTTGTAGGACTGATACGTATAGTAGAGCATGTTGAGACCATTGTGGACATTTTGGGATTATTTATGTACGCGTAAATAGCTTGTGAGAGACACGTAAAAACAAACTGCGAGCTCTTCTTGTCTTTGCAATCTTCGCCTCCCTCAAATCTCAGACTCAACTACATACAAGAGCACACCTAGAAGTAGCAGAAGGAAGCAACCATGAATACAGAAGCGGTAAGTTTCATCATGTAAATCAGATGCATATCACACAATACTAACACTCTCTTCCTTGCTCTCAATATCAATAAATTCCTGAAATCTCGAATCATTCAACGTTCGCAATTTTCAATCCACTTCCAACCTATCCCACTTGTTCCCTCCCAATAATTATATGAAAATGCAAAGCTGTTATTCCTATTCGCAGTCATCATGGCAGCTGTACTGCTATTCGCGATGGTGTTTTTCGTATGTGGATTCAAAAGCACCATTATCTACTCGTGTGTCTCGAATAACATTATACAATGGATTTATGTCTAGATCATCATGTTCTCGGACCTGGAATGCGATTACATTAATCCTATTGATTTGTGTAATAAGCTCAATCAGGTATGTACGTTAGCTGAAACCTTGGGATGGTTGAAACAAGAGCTATATGGAATTGTTATTGCATTGCAACGATGATGGCCTAACGGAATTCACATTCTTACGCTTTATCCGTTAATCAGGTATGTATGAGCAGAGGAAACTCCATCAAAAGGAGGCGACGATCGTAATAGGACTGCAATCAAAGACAATTCCAATCTCCACACTTTTGACCCTCCCAGTCGATCCACACACTAACACCACATCGACCTTACCAACGCCTTTTCACTCTCTCAAACAGGTACGTACCAACTAAATCCTCAACCAAATGCAAAGAAAAATCTATATTACAGAGCATCATTCATCGACGACTCCTCCAATTCAACACGCTGCCTCCCATACGTTGCTACTCCCTCACATTCAAACTCTAACACTGCTCCACTCGCGCACTCGCAATAGTTCGTACTGCCAGAAAACTTTGCCCACACATTCCTGTGGCTCATGTTTCTGGTGAATGGATCTTGGATAGCTCTAATAGTCAATACTCCATTGGTGGCCTGGCACGTAAACAAGTGCGTATTTCATCTTTACAAGTATTTTTTTTTTTTTGGTTGGAGTTTTTGAGGAGGAGTGCTTCGAGAGTGTTTGGAAGAGTGGTCTGAGGATTTGGTGCGGAAGTATTGTAACGAGAGGCAATGCAAGAGCACCGAAGAGCAGATTTGTGGTTTTGAGTGAGAATGCTTGTGTTGCTGTTGTTGGGTTGAGTTTTGTTGGATGTGTGTTTTGAGAAAATTTAGGTTGTCCTTTTTGCATTTCAGACGAGACGAAGACGAGAGACTCGTCAGAGGAGCTTAAAGAGGGATTTAAGTCTTGCGAAGGGTGCTGTGGTTGCTTTTGAGGACTGCTTGAGGTTGTTAGTCCTCTTCTTAGACGATCTGAAGGAGTTTCAGTCTCTTTTTATATTGGCCCTTCAGAGGGCAAAAAATTCATATTGTTCCCATACGAACATCAGAGTTTCAAGGAGCTTTCGAGTCGGTGGAAGGATCTTGAGAAGGGGCTTTGACTCCATCCGATCCTCAGCTCGAAAAAAGCTCATATTTAACAAATCCAATTCCCACTCTTCTGTATAGGATTGTGAGTAACAGGCACATGTACGATGCCACCGAAATCTTTCGGACGTTACCACAACACAAGAAGGAGTGCTTTATCAAACTGGGGTTTTACCTCCTTTGCTTCTTCTACTGTAAGTGTTGAGGTTGGAAACTGTTGGTTTTTGAGTGTTTGAGTGCTCAACGAGCTTGGAGTGCCGTTTTCGTCGTGGTTGTTTTGGTGTGTGGGTGCCAGATATCTAAAACGTTTCTGATGTATCTTTATAGATCTGTATAGGATGATTCTGTATGTAGTGGCATGAACATGAAATTGCCTTTGGTGTATGCAAGTTGCAATGCTAATCGGTTTTTGTGATAGTGCGCTTCTCAATGAGAAGTGATCTTGGTCCTCATTTCGTGGAACAGGGATTATTTTTTGCTGAAGATGGCAAAGCAGCACATATAGTATCAACCAGTCTTATAGATCATTATGAAAGTGTGGAAAAAAGTGGTAAATTGTTTTACTAGTGCACCTTTTTCATATAAATAAACCGAAACCGTGGCATTTTAAAACGACTTGTGTGTGTGGTTCGTTTTTGGATGGTTGTGTGTATTTAGATATTAGCGAACAAATGATTATTACAATCGCAAATGGCCGTGTAAATCTATTTCACGGTCTAGTCGAAGACCCTTTCAGTCTTTCTGCAAGCCACGAATCCTATTAAAAACAGTCTTGTCAGAAACAAGCCCAAAAAAAAACAGTCGCATGAGAAGATCATACCGTCAACTCCTCAGCCTCATTCAAATCATATATCTTACCAGAGATATCCGCTTTCTGGAAGACATATGATTTGGCGGATGCGTATAGCATGCGACTTTGGTCGCTTGAGCCTATGTATAGCATTTTCATTCATGTCAGCGAGAAAGAACCTTGCAAACGTAAAGGAGGATGATGCTTGATTTACCATCAGGGCAATAGAAGAGTCCAACAAGAGGATACGATACACGTCCATCATCGTGTTTGTTCTCGTATGATAGGACTATGTAGCGTGGGGACGTGTCTGGGAGTCTGGAGGTGATGAAGGTGGTGGTACGTGTTAGGATGTTTGGAGACTGCAGTTCGTTTTCGTTTTTGAGGTGCGTTGTGGGCTTACTCTGATGCCAGATCGTCTATGGGTGTAAACAAAGTTAGCATATAGTCCACAGAAGCGTATTAGAAAACTTGGTTCATTGTTTGGTTGCAACTGAAGTCACAAAAAAAACCGAGCGATACTGCATATGTAACGACGCGAGCACTTACCAATTGTGACATTCTCATGTGTCTCGTCCTCCACAATCATTAGCTGTTTTGGGTCGATTTTTAGGACTAGGTGAAGAAGAGAGATGATGTGTGAGTAAAAAATGAGAATGAGTTATGTGCAGCAAGCATTTGGGGGTTTTCTTTTTGTGAGACAAAGAGAAGAGTGCCAGCTCAACCAGGGACAACATAGTCTTTCATTTAATCGACAGCTGTAATAGATCCTCATTCTTCCACCGACCTCTTAATTCTTTCCTTGTTTGGAAGATTGTGTTGCAGAGTTTGCTTTTGGGTTCACCAGCGCGATAATCTTAACCCAAGCACATACATCATAATCTCCGTTTAGATCTGCAGCTCAAAAAAACATCCTTCTTTATCCACCATCATCAATCAATCACCAGAAGTCATATGCTTGATAGTGTCGTTGATTCCTTTCAAATGCCAACCCAACACAGCTACACTCAAATCACCCATTTAAAGATACATCTGAAATACATCCTCCATTATTCTGCACCACTCCAAAATCCAACCAAGAATCAAAACACCCAAAGGATTCAATGCCACCCAGATGCTCTGCCAATGTTGATACCCACCTAAAGCGGCATTTGATTTAGCCTTTCTAAATCTGAATTTCTTGAAGGATTCTAAGACACCATTGTCGATGTCGCATGTGTTGTTCTATGTTGAAGTTGCAAGATATGAGTTGATTGCGTTTGGAATTCGTACAAGAATACCACAAGGGCAGACTGAAGAGATAGGCAAGTTGCAGGGATGCGATTACACGTACCGCCATGGCTCTGAAATTATTTCTTGCCCCTGAACTACTAATGTCCTCCTTGACTGAAACGATTTCGTTAAGAATTGAAGAGAACAAAGAAGGGAGCAATTACAGTTACCAGACACGTTTAGTGTGATTTGACGTGTTTTCAATCAGCATTATTGATATCTAAGGACTAATTGTATGATGCAAGATACCATGTTATTCTCAACCTAGACTTGAGAAGCCTCTGCAGAACCTGGCGCAGAGTCTTTGAAAATCAATATTGGAATGATCATCCAACTGCAAACTTGTCCGTAGGCGTATCTCTAGATCAAATGTCAAGGATGTACGACAAATTGAACAACCACTCTTGGATAACATTGCCAGGCTGGTGATCAAGCAACCTATATACACTATCTAGAGGGCATCTACGATGGGGCGGACTACCAAAATCCTGCAAGAAACCATTGTGACAAATCGTATGATATTATTGGCCACTTCCCATCGACCGTTCACCAAGCTGGATTTCCATCCTCGTGTGTATTGTACAAACGGCTTCCAGCAGTTTGCTGCCAAGTCCCCGGTCATCAAGAAAATAGATATCACATTATCAGAAGGAGACGAACGGTTTACGATGAACGAAAAGCCAGGTCTAGCTGCCTTTATGCAAGCGCCGGCTCTTGAATCTCCCAATTGGTGTGGGCGATTTACCGGTAGTGCTAGTTACTGTGCACTCGACGACGTGATTAAGGCTCTTGTAACAAAAAGCGGTGGCAGTTTACGTACACTGGTTCTGAATCGTCTTAATATAAGGAAGCTCCGTCACATTCGCTTGTTGTAGAATTTACCAGTTTTGAACGATACTCACCATAAAGATTTTAATTGTCTGTGTCTAGCTGTCTGGTACCTGGTGTGAGAGAAAAGACGGTGATGTTGGCTATAATAGAGTCGTCACAAGCAACTTGTTTTGTGGACCCTGCTAGGAAGTCATCCATTCATAAGTGGGCTCGAGCAAGGATGTTACGTGACACTGTGTATCAAAACTGTGTCCCTGCTGGTTTGCAACTTGCCGAGACCAAAACAAGGATACGACTCAGGAACATTCGAAATTCTTGCCGACTGAGACGTCCTCTTGTTTCTCATCTTCAACATTCGTTACTTGATTGGATTATTATGGAGATATAGGTGAAGAAGAGAAGTTGTGGGCGGGCGGAACGAGAGCAAGCTCACGTTATCCCAAGGGAGCATGATTTTTTTTGTCCTTTGGTCAATCCACAGACAGCTTAACGTCTCAATCAAACCCAATGACCCCTCAATTGAATCTCTGCAGCTGTTAACATTCCTCCTTCATCCATCATAGTCTTGAAATATCTTGAGAGACTCCTTATAAATCGTTTGGGTTTATGGCAAACGAGTTGAATCAAACCATCAAACCCAGACGCATGCGCGTAATCTTCAATTGAATATGCCCCTTCAGTCTTGTCCATCGTCCCTCGTCACAACAAGTGGAAGGGTGTTGAACGGACGAGTTAACAGACTGCAGGCATGACATTGCTTTGTAATATGTACCAACGAATCATTTCATGCAGCAAATTCGGCCTGCTGACTCTAAAAAATTCGATAAATCAAAGTTTCAGAATGCGAAACGAGTATCAACAAGGACTTATAGTGACCCTTTTTCCTTATTTTAAAAAGCTCCAATCAGTACTAATACCCGGAAGTCTTTATAATTCCTCGGTTGACGTGCAGCAACATCCAGTTGGAACAACAGTATACTTTTCGACGCAATTCGCTTTTAAAGCTCGAGTCTGACGATAACAGAAAAGAAGTCGCTCCGATATTTCTCCTGATACTACAAATAAGAATTTCCTGCTGGCCTCAATCAGAGTTTTTGCGAGTTTCTCAGCGCATCCATCCTTTAAAACTGAAGTCTCGCTGTTACACCAAATGGCAAACACATTCAGAAAGACCCACTTAATCAGAAAAGTAACGATGTATTTAGTCCACTTACTTATACAATACAACACATACAAGTCAAACTATAAACAATCAAACCAAATTTACTTTCTACACCACCAACAAACTGATTTCTCCCATTTAATCAAGAATCTGGGTTACAAAGTCAACCAATCTAGATGCATAGCGCTGAGGTTCCTCAACACTATGCTCTATTCCCTCCCAAACCGTTGAATGATTAGTAGGTGAAACAGCTTGTAATGTTGGCGACTTTGGGCTATTCAGACCTTCATCGCTCTCTGAACCACGCCATTGTTCTGTGAGAAATGAGGCCTGTCGTTTAAGACCTCGTTCCACCCATTTCGAAAAGTTAAATCTCTGCAGAATATCGATGATGCCAATGTAGTAGATCTAAGTTTCGGAAATTGGCATCGGTCAAAGATATAAAACACAAAAATGTGAGCCTTACTTCATATTCAACGTCAGATGCCATCATTCCAACACTTTTGAGCCCTCCATGATATTGTTTATGGAATGGAGTGGCTTCATCGTCAGCAGCGTCCTCTACACTACTTTGGCCAGATTCAGAGGCACTGCCATTCACCAACCACATAAAGAAGGTGGCTGCCTGAGTTGGGATGTTACTACGGATGGAGCGAATGGAAGAGTACACTGAGGCATGACGTGGCCATGTGTCTGGCACTCGACTGCTACGATGCTGACGAAACGATGGATTGCTTGAGGATGTAGCAAATGATGGTTGTACTCGTTCACGGCGATGGATTCCAATTAGCAAGCTATAGCGAAAAATTCAGCGTGAGCGAGAGTTCAACCCCAACTTTGCTGCTAGAATTCGCTAACCTGTAATCCATAAACGCATGACTCTTCAACAATGCGACATCTTTCTCCAGTTGACGAATCAACCGACCCTTGTTTTCTTTTCCAACGTGCAGAAGACCTGTATGGCCAATGGCCAGAAGTTGCCAAAAGTCAAGTTCTTTCAAGGTGACTTCCGAGTCTTGAAAGACATCATCGTCACCGTCGCCATCATCCACAGATGATTTCAGAGTGGCAGACGACAATGACGATGTCCTGGAAACGTATCCTAGTAAATTTTGAATGGCCTGACGACCAACGTTGGAGCCTTTAAAATCGAATCTGTGTAGCGAACATGAGTTAGGGCAGTGCTATACAAAAAAAGGCGATTATAGAGAAGACAAACCTCTGATGAATTGACAGGTCAGTGTCATATACACATGTCATAGCAATCAAGGTAAACCTGGACCCCAACACTGATTCCAAACTACCAAAGAATCCATTTCCACTGAGGACTCGTTCGCCTGGCAATTTCTCAAACGTGTAGCATCCAAAGTAGCGTGGCAAGAATGTATGCGGATTCGAAGAGACAAAATCTAGATATGCAGGCAAGAAGGCTTTTAAGCTTTCATGCTCTGACCCACGTAACGTCTTGAAGAGGTAACGTCTATCAGTGGTCTTCAAGAAGAAGGAACCTGATTGACCAGGAGATTGTTGAATAATGAATGGTCTTGAAAGCGAATCATATAACTCTTGATGCGTCAGGTTTAGTGATTTGCGTAGGTGTATGAATACTAGCGGTGCATGTTCAGTCAACTTCATCCGTCCTAGCTCTGGCAAGGACATCTAAGATCACAGTCCGAATATATGTGTAAGCAAGTAGAACAAGGGCAAGACAATGACGAAGATGATCACCTCGAATGAAGAATCTTCCAGGAAAGAAGCTCTCGACAGACCAGTTGGTAAAGCAAAAGAACGCTGATCTGCCAGGTCATCATCACTAATGTACAAAGTCTTGCCCTTTCGAGCACCGTCCGTAACAGCTACGTTTAAAATTTGATATAAGGAGAATTGTTGCTGCAAAACTTAACATGCATGCACGTTACGAAAACTCACGAGTTGGAGTATTGCATCTGTTTGGAATTCTTGACCTTCCACCATCAGAACTCCTTCTCAGCAGTGGATCAAAGAGGTGTTGCAGCGATGGTCTTGGTGAGTCTTCGTTTATCCTTGATGAGCGAGCGTCCGTAGCTGGTGATGTACTTTGTCTACGTCGTTTTCTCGAGTGTGGTATGGGCGAGGTTGTCTGAGACCTAGTAGCAGCGATTGTCGAAGCAGCCATCAGGGATATTCGGATACCGTGTCGTAGCAGTTGTACAGTTGGAGGTTCTAGCAATCGACGAGGAGGTCGTTGAAAAGACGGTCGTCGAGCAGACAGTAGAGGGTCTGCGAAGATGGTGAGTGTTTGATCAGCAGAAGAGCAGCCAATAACGATTTACTGCAGAAATGATAATAAGAGTGATGATACCGACCATATATTCCAGCCTCATCGTCATCTTGCAACCTTGATGTACAACAAGAAGATTAGATGTGTTGGTGTATCAGACTGGCGTTCACAGTAAAGAGGCTTACGTGACATATGCAGAGCTTCGTTTGCAGCATATAAAGCATGCTACTGACAGTAGCAGAGTAGCAATGCCTATCGACGCGACCAGCAAGCTGCTCGATTCCATCACTAGAAGGACCAGCCAGCAAGCACAAGAAGGAGAACTACCGATATATAGATTGGATCAGTGCTCTATCCGTACGATCTACAGAATCAGCTATGAATGCCTGGGTGGCCCTGGTCGACCTTCTCACTGCAAGACTAGAGAAACGACAAAAGTTGGCAGAGCCTGTTTCATGGTATGCATTCGTTTCATCTCCCTCAAGTCGCCATAATTTACGCGTTCATCTTTCATGTAATCATGACGTAACCCCTCGCCATCGTCCTTCTTCATGCAGGAATTGGGTCTTTGCCAAAGTCATCACAATCTTGACTTGTTATCCTTCAGGAGTCACTAAAGCCATTCTCATGAGCGAACTGGAATTGGCACTAAAGGAATCTAGACGTGCTACATCTTCAACCAAGTTTCAATCGCTGGACTCTATTGGCGAAACGCCAGACTTTACAAAGCTGGTCGAAGCCAAAATCACCAATGTCAACCACCTCCCTGGCTCTCAAACTGTCATGATCACATTGTCGACCGAGTCCAAGACTCTCGATATGTTTCTGCATCATCGCTTCTCACCACTGGCTGTCCAAGGCATTCTTCAACAGGTTGGACCGACGCCATCCCATAATGATATCCAACTTCCTGACCAAACGTTGCTTACTAACTCAAACTTATGGATTCTTTGTATCGATAGAAACTTATTCGCATGGCAGGACTACGTCTTAGCTCAGGCTTCCAGAAACCACGGAGGCTGCTTCCTACAGACTGTGCCGTGATTGTCCTCGATCAAACCCAAGACTCTGGATTCCTATCAACCAGTTTTCCAAATCATTTGCAGGATGTGGACGCAGCGATACTGCTTGCAGGTCGCCAGTATGCCTTTCTCCTGGAAGTGAGTTGTACTTTCCATCGTCAACAATCGAACTGGACTAACACTTCCTATAAAACTACAGGTTGTTGAGATATCTGCGCCGCTTGCAGCTGAACGAAAAGGACACGTCAAGAAGGTCCTCGTTAGATTACAAGATAAAACACATGGCTGGGCTACTATGACATTTTGCGATGATTTGATTGGGATTACTAGACTGTTCAAGCAGGTACTATTAGATGATCCATGTAACACTACCATCTTCTTTCTCGTTCATCGTCTTTCTAGTTGTCGCTGACGCATTTTTCAAACAGGGTGATATCCTTGGAGTGAGCCAACCATACATTCATCCTGATTTCCACCATAATGAGATGTACTTTGAGTATGGATCATTGACAACATTGTGCTGCATTCCAACAGAACAAAAGGTCTGGTTACCTGTCTTGAAAGCAACTGAAAGACAGTCTCAGCGATTCTTTCTCAAATAGCCTCGGGCAAGCATGTCGAATGTATCCCCGACTCATCATCCAGTGCAACGAAACGAAAGTGGAGAATTGGACTACTCTGCCTTCGCAGGTCGCGTACTTCTCAAGGGCCTATCTACTCATATGACACATTTCTCATTGTTGGGAACAGTTGTCTTGATGGTAACATCTGTTGGATGTCCCCTTCAGTTTCCGATGTCAATTTAATTCTTCTTTTTGTACAAAGGCGTCAGATGCCTCGAGAGATCAAGACATGGTTGGTATTCGATTGCAAGATGAGACGGGTACGTGCCCTATCGTGTTTGAATAAATCGCAAATCTGACAAGTATCACACTGTTGGATAGGAGTATGTGATATAACGATTTGGAATAGTTTCGCCGTACACGGACTCAAGATCCGACCAGGAAATCTCGTCTTTATTCAAGACCTGTCAACAGATGCAGACCCTCGAATGGCAAATGGGAGATTACCAAAGAGTCGTATCGTAGTGTGTAGGCGTTGCACTTCCGATTCGTTCTACATGTAGTTTTCCTAATGTGCATTCGTCCTTAAAAAACAGTATCTGGGATTAGCGGAATCATGACCTCCCCTGATCTATACAAGACATCTACCTTGCGAGACTCTTCCTCATCACGCTTTGGTTGCTATGTCCAAGGGCTGATTTCTGGCCTTCGAGCACAGTCTAATGGTTTGGCTCGTCTCATACGTGAGCATCGTTATTTAATACCATTAGCTCCTCGCAAATGTCTTTAACAATCTCATCTTGACACAAACATAGATTCGAGATGCTTGGATGGTCTAACGATAGTCGAAGAAGGATACGAATGTCGCAGTTGTGGTGTTGCTGTAAAGAGGAATGAAGCCCAACTGGCTTATACCCTGCAAGTGGACATTACCGACGATACATCTCTTATACGAGCAGATTTACATCCACGAGCAGCACTAGATCTCGTTGGACTACCAGCATATGACTTTATGGATTTGCGAGATGATGAGAGGGTACTTTTGTTGAGTGGTTGCTTGTGCAAGGAGTTTGTGTTTAGTGTTTCGAATCTTCCCGACGTAAGTTTTGAATTTGATGGTGTTGGGAGATTTGAAAGCTGAAGACGAAGTCTTTTGTGTAGGGACATCACCGAATCGAAGCTTTAGTCCCGGTTGCATCACCAATACACGAGCTTCGTAATGTTGTGGATTCTTTGGAGGAGTTTCTATGATTTATAGAGATCTCGTTTGCAAGGTTATTCACATTTAAAGGGTTGTATTAATTTTTATGTGCATTGTTTAAAGGAATTTCAATGACATGCATACATAGATCTCGTTTGCAAGGTCATTCACATTCACAGGGTTGTCTTTGTTTGTGTATTTGATTCTTTGTATTTGAAGTAGTTTAATACAAAATCCTTCTGTGCAGAACCACAAAGCATTAATGTAGAGATGTGGAGTCAAAGGCATTGGTGGAGCCCAGACTACTAGGGTCTCTGACAAGTGTGTTGCAACTATGTGTAGTAGAGTCCGGACACAAGCATGGACTAGTGGTATTGGTATAGTGTCCTTGTTTGGCTTGCAGATCGTTCATAAAAAACCATAATAATACTTTTTCATGTTCTTTATTATACTCCGAAGCTCTCTTTTATGTTTTACATTTACAACACGTGTGCTAGCTCCATAATCAGAACAAATTGAACCACGCCAACGTGTACTCATCGTTTACGTTTCAACCGTTCCATGGCTCCCACGACTTCCTCCTCTTTTTCATTAGAGGCAGAAGCAGCCAACAAATTCCCAAACAGGGCTTCAGGCACATGAGCCTTCGTAATCCCTTCAATCTCCTCGTTTTCTCCACCTTCATCCCCATCTCCTCCTCCTTCCTCATCATCGTCATCGTCCTCAATAGCAATCTCCTCTTCATTTACAACAGCTCCATTATTATTATTGGTCGTATTACTACCGGCCAGACCAGACGTCTTTTTGGCAGACACAAATCCAAGAACTCGCAGATTCGATCCTCCTGGTTTGGCTGATTCAGCAGCTATGGCTTCTGCTTCTTCTTCTAATTCTTGCATGGCCGATACATTGCCATTTTTGATGGCTGCTACAGTCTCATCGTCTGGATTGGCTGCCTTTTTTGCTGCCAAGAGTTGCGCAGAGATGAAGGATATATCTGTATTGTATTTAGCCTGTACGGATCTCTTAATCCTATTTGGACGTGAAGATGTGTTTGAGTTAGAAATGCAATGTGACCTAAAAGACCAAAACCAAGGAATGGGACATGAAGTTGTATTTTCGCGAGCCTCCAAAACAATCAACACCTCCACGCTCCCCTTACCTGAGCATTTCCTTAAACGTATCCTCATTCCCATGCTTGACTTCAAAGTCATGCCAGCGCTTCCAGAACTCAGCATCCATTCTTGGATCACAGAATTGACTAGCAAAAGCCAATACAGCTCTACCTCGATCAATCTCACCCAGCTTAACTTCTAAATCACAGAATCGTAACGCCATATCTCGGGCTTCTTTATCGGGAAGCACTTCAATGGCTTTTTCATAGATTTCTCGAGTCGAAGTCAATCCAAAGTAGCTCGTGGCTTTGGCTATATATAGTTCAAACATGGATTTACGATCTGTATCGGATACGGCGGATGTGGCTCGGCTGTAGATCCGCATGGCATGGCGTGCTAGTCCATAATCTTCTTCTAGCTTGGCGTATGCTATATAGAGTGCCTTGGCGAGGTTTGCTGGTACGTGGGCGACTGCTTGTTCAAACAAGTCTCGAGCTCGTTCTAGCTTTGTACCAGCATATCGTTTTATAAACTTGTCCAAGTATAAATTCCAGATTTCGAAGGCTATAGGATAATTAAAGAGGGCTATACCTCGTTCATACACACGATATGATTCCTCGAAAAAGTTGTGTTCTTCGAGAAAGACGGCATAGTTGATTATGGTCTGTGGCGTAGCAATCTTGAGCTCGATCATGCGGTCATATACTGCTCTAGTCGATTCCTGCGTACCTAGAGCTTCTTCCAAATCTACAAAGTGCTCCCACAGTTTCAGACTCTTAAAGAGTCGCTGTTGTGGCGGCAGATTATCATCACTATATCGTATACTAGCTTGGTGCGAAGCTGATGTTTTGGCTGGTGGCGATGTGGCTCGACCAAGGACTTCCAGAGCAGCTTCTGGATGACCTGTTTCTAACTCCCAATCAGACCATGCTACCCATACATCAGCTAGCTCTTCTACTCGTTTATATGGGACTTTGGTCGATTTAGTAAATATCGCTCTAGCAGCATCAGCATCTTCTACTAGTGCTTCGTCTCCATCGCCGTCGACGGTGGTGTGACGAGCATACCATAGAGCAAAATCAATCCATAGCTGTGATAGTTTACCACTGGCTTTTTTTGGGCTGATGGCATCGAATGCATTCGTATATGTTTCTACTACCTTGTTGTCATTATTTAAATCAATGCATAGTTTTACTCGATTCTTCCACTCGTTGACGTTATGTGGATTTTGACGTAGGAGCACATCGTTTACAAGGAAGGGCCGACGTCTAACGAGCCGTTCGAGGCGAGCTAGTCGTATTTCAGCTTCCAAATCATCGGCTTCTTCTATGTCGTTTGATACTAGGTATTCTTCGAATTCGGCATAAGCTTGATAAATCATGGAAAAGTCCGCGACAGTCATGATTTTAGACAGGGCTTCTTCATAGACATCTCTAGCCTTTTCGATTTCACCCTTTAATATCCACCATCGAGCTAGCGCATTCCAAAGTTTACCGACTTGATCCGTAAATCTCGAGATGCCACTACGTAGAATCTTGTCTATATCGAGCTTTGTCACGGTTCCAGATATAAATGCGCCCAATCGTTTCGGCAATGGATTATCGGCAGTAGCAACTTCCATGGCTTCAGCGTGATCACACACCAATTCACAGAGTTGAACCCAGAATTGGTATTGCGATCTCCCATTCTTTGATTTGTATTTAGGGTCTTCTACTAGCGAAGCCAGCACTCGAGCAGCTTCAGCATATCGAGGTGGTTGGACAACATCCAGTAGTACATCAATGTAATCTTCAGCTTCACCAGGCTCTAGTTTTAAGTACCGTCTCCATATACGGATTGCAGCTTCGCCCTGTACTATGGAAGCGTGTTTGAGATATAGCGGCCATATGCGATCGTGCTGGGTTATCGGGAGTGCTCGTAGTGCACGATCGAATACGTGGCGAGTGTGTGTTGGTCGTGGTTGGTGCATCAATACATAGCAGTGTAAAATCCATATTACAGGGTACTTGTGACATAGTACCAGACATCGTTCAAAGCAGCTGTTTATAGATGCCCATTCGGGATCTGTGTACGGTATTTTTGGCGTTGTGAGGTTTAAGGATGATGGTTTTATGGGAGCTTCCAATACAAGCGATAGTCGTAAATCCAGGTATAATTTCCATAGCTTGTACGAGCCTGGAGCTTCATTCACCGCCCTGTTATGAAGAAGATTGATATTTTTTAGATGAGTTTGGGAATGGACTGCGTTTGATGAGTTTCATCCAGGAGCATACCTTTCGTATATGAATATTTTGTTTTTGACACTGCTGTCACCCTTGAACTCGAGATACCTTAACCATGCCTTAATATTCAGGGGATTCCTCAAGCACTCTTCTTCAAATGGAATGTCGTCTGGAGCAATCATCAGCAACTAGTTTGGGGTAGGTAGAAAGAATCAGAATTATTGAATGATTACTAAGACCTCGATTATGACTTGACTATGTACCATATCTTCACGTTCACGGTCTGATGCTTCAGAGTGTTGACCATTCTCTTCCTCAGACTCTTTTACTGGATGAGCTTCCGTAGCATCCTCCATGACTGCATCGTCGGTCGGCTGCTGCTCGGGCTGAGACTCTTGAGCAGTCTTGCGCTTCTTGGTCGCTTTGGCCATCCTGGTCGTCGAGTTTGCTGAAATCTGCGTGTTTTGGGAGTTGAGGTCGTTGAATGTTCAAGCTCGACGTGATAATCATTAGTACAGAACATCAGTAACCTTGTAAATTCTTACAACGATAAAATCGCAAAATCACTGTAATGTAAAATGCGATGCTTTGACACCGACACTAGCCAACATTCAAATTCCAAATTTCTTAGCAACTAAGTAGTCGAGGATGGCCGTTGAGATTTCATCGGAAGAGCAGCTCCAGAGCATAATCAAGGCAGCTCAGAGCAAGCCCACCATATTCAACTTTTATGCTACTTGGGCTCAACCATGCAAGGACATGAACGATGTGTGCATCTTGGCTCTTTTTGACAGTTTGCGATCATAGTGAATGAGGACTAATAGCTAACCATGTTCTCGCGTAGGTCTTTGATGAACTGGCCGCCAAGTACCCTGCATTGTCCTTTGTCAAGGTACTAGAATCATTGCGACATCAACTATTTGATGACACATACAACAGCTCAATTCAATCTCATGCTACTACCTAGCTCGAAGCAGAAAACTATCCCGACTTTTCAGAAGAGCAAGAGATTGCTGCTGTACCTACCTTCATTCTCTTCAAGGTACGGATACCTTCTGATCGTCGAGCTGGAATGGATTTCTAATCATGGACTTCAACAACAGGATGGAAAGCCAATGGATAGGGTAGAAGGTGCCAATGCTCCCATGCTCAAATCAACCGTCGAAAAGTATGGAAAGGCTTCGGCAAATGCTACAAAGTTTATACCTCCACAACTAGCTGCAGTTGATGGTGTCGCTCCCTTGACGGGTGAAGCTCTCGAAAAGAGATTGAATGAGCTCGTCAACTCTCATCCTGTTATGCTGTAAGTAAAGGAGAAACAATCGAGCTTGTAAAGCTAGCTGTGTCAAGTGTCGATGGCATTAGTCGAAAGGTCGTTGCGTTTCATGTGCATCCGCTTGTCCTCTGCTTTTGATTGATCTGACCACACACTCTATTCACAGATTCATGAAGGGAACACCACAACAACCACGCTGCGGATTCAGTCGCCAACTAGTAGAACTCCTAAACTCTCTCGAAACTCCATACGGCTCATTCAACATTCTCGCTGACGAAAACATCCGAAACGGTCTCAAAGAATTCTCGAAATGGCCTACATTTCCACAGCTATACGTAAACGGCGAATTCATTGGTGGTCTAGACGTCGTAAAAGAAATGGTGGATGCAAACGAACTCCAAGCTATGCTGCCCAAAGAAGAGCCACTAAACGACAGACTAAAAAAACTTATCAACAAGGCTAAAGTCATGCTATTCATGAAGGGTGATCCTAGCCAGCCTAAATGTGGGTTTAGTAGACAGATTGTAGGGATTTTAAATGAACAGGATGTGGCATTCGAGTCGTTTGATATCTTGACGGATGATGAAGTGAGGGCTGGGTTGAAGGAATACAGTAATTGGCCCACATATCCGCAGTTATATGTCAAGGGCGAACTCATGGGTGGGTTGGATATCGTCAAGGAGATGGTGGCTGGTAATGAATTCAAGTCTGCTGTTGCTTGATTTCTATTCTTGTACTTTTGATTTTGGTCTTGTTGAATATATACAAACTCGCTCATATTTGAATTTACATCTTTGGATGGGTTTGGGTTTTTGAGGTTTAGTTGTGGACTTGAGGCTAGTTGTGATCAATGACTCGAAGGTTAGTGTCACTGAAAAAGGTCACCGGTTTGGAGCCAATAATAACTGACTTGGCTTCAGCTTGGCATTTGACTCTACAGTCGACATATCTTCCCCGTCTTGCCACATGATACCTAAAGGACGGGAACGAGTCCAAAGGCATTGAAACATGCATCGGCTGCAGGACTCTTATTTATTTGGTCCACTCGCTGCAACTCCAAATTCGCCAATTGTAGAAACATCACTCTCATACAGAAGATACGTTTGGACTGAAGTACTCTCTACCGTGGTCAGCATTCCAACCCTTCCCGAGCAAACTGTCATTCTGTTTTCACAGTCACGAATCATCTTCATTGTGAGAGGAACACGACCACTGGTGTTCGTCAAACTGTATGTGAGGTCTGGAACCAAGTTGCTGTGTGACCCGGGTGTGGTGTGAGCGCTACCCTGTTGCTTGTACACCAGTTGGGAATTGTTGCTATCAAGATGGTCAACAATGTAAAAGGTTTGAAAATATCCCTCACATATTCAAATCTGATGATGATCCTTCTTTTTTGCAGACACGAGTGAGATCAATCACATCCTATTTTTCCTCATACTAGCTTGATTCCAATACTGGTCCTGAATTGGCTGATCCGTCGTCACTGGGATGGTCCAGAAGAGCGGATGGCACACGAATCGGCACTACTCGAACATACATCCCATGTGGATTCGATTCGATTGACATCTGCATAAATTCTGAAAAGGAGGGCAACAACCATCGGCACGCTACTATCGGTTAGATCAAGCCACGCTGATTTATCAAACTCTATACGTGCTAGTCGAAGAGAGCATAAATTGACACACGACATTATCACATCCATCATCTTGCCGTTCGTCATTATCGAGTTCCAAGACACGTATAGCGTTGACACCATATTCTGGAAGAGTATTCTCCAGAAAGAAATCCATCAGTTTCTTATCCCTCCATACGGTACTCATCCCGACCTTCCTCCAAATTATGGGTAACAGGGTCGTGTTTCCTAGTTCGAGATAGTGGTAGCAAATCGCTAGTAGGCACCATGCATCAGTATCAAAATACTCGACGACATTCAATAGCAATTCGAGTGGGAGGCTGGATAATGAGGGTTCAATGTCAGTAACGGGATTGTCATTTTATGTCGACATCGTTGGGACTATTGAAATGTGCAAATGAAGGGTCAGTATCAAGTTTAAGTACATTTTTACTATAAAAGTCAGCTTGAAGTGGGCATCTGATGTGCTTTGCGTGACAGTGAATCCAGCTCAATGCATGAATTTAATGTCAGAGATTACGACACGATTACAAGTCCAATACGAGACGAAGAAGGTGACAATACCCTATATATCGTGACTCTTTACGATATAAACGTGGCCTCCTTGCGTTTTATGACTTTGGGACAAGAGAATGCCCAGTTGACTCTGTGATATTGTCAGTGATGTAGATCGAACAAGCCACCTACGAATTCCGAACAATTTACGTGAGTTTTACGTGTTATATAAAAAATTACACCGCCATTACACTTCTAGTCACGTTGGTCGTCTTTAAATATGTGCATGGTCACCAGGCGTGGTTCTTGTCTGTATTTTCATGATCTTCATCAGCAAGTTCTGCTTCAAATATAGTACCAAGCGCCAGATTCGCGCCACATACCACCACCACTTACACCCCATGCTTCAGGTTCCGCCATCAGAGCAAAATGCTATGGTCTATCGAGATACAGTCGTTTCACTGTATTTCCGACCGTGACTCCGTCGATAGATAAGAATTGAAGGCCTGAGGTGCATGAAACGTTACCATTATCAATAAGCTGAGGAGAGCAGCGTGGTATAACTAGCAACTTCAATTCATTGAGAGATACGTCCCTATCTACCTTACAGTCGAGCTTTACGAGATTAGGGAAGTTTGGTAGACACAATAATTGTATCTCTTCGGCATTCAAAGGTTGGTAGCTCTCCTTCATTTCGTCATAGCTGTCTATCTCCAAGCTCCTCAACTCAGGACACGACACTGGAATTAGTCCAAGTAGTTGGATTCCTATCTGAGTACCTTCGATGCGCAATGAAATTAAGGCGGGCAGCCATGGTAGACAAGTGTCGAAGAGCAACGGGCTCCAGTTTACGGCCTTGAGTTTATCAATATAGGCGGGTTGGACGTTGACGGCCTGAGCATCATGCCAGTCACTAGGGTGGTCCGAGAAATCATTAATGGTTTTAACTAATACTTCGGTTAACGGTGGATGGTGCAGACAGGTCGAGAGCTCGTGAAGGGCTAGACCTATCCCTTCATATTCCAAGACGGTGATATTTGGGCAAGCAGCGAGGACTTCTGCAAAGCGAAAGGTGGTTACGCTGCCAAATCCTAATATCCTGAGTACTTTTAGGCTTTCTAATCTACTGGTAAAGCTATCAGACACTTCAAAACTACAATAATGTAGCTGCAATTCCTCCAGCTGTAAGAAGGAAAACGTCCAAGCATCCCAGATCGACTCTGTAAAGTCTACAGTGGATACATGGAGGCTCTTTAGACGTTTTGAGACTACTATAGAGTTGCCAGCGATGGGATAATTTACATCCAAGACCTCAAGGGTTGGCATTGGTGGCAGTTCCAGTGGTGGAGGAGCATCCCTGGAATACGGCCTCTCGAAGATCAGTTTACAATTCCTTAGACTCCCCCAAATGGGAGCACCTGTAGCAACCACTATGGAGTTCAGTACCGAGGGACCACATATCAACACCAAATCGACAATCTTGTCAGATAAGTGGTTGTTGAATAGATTACTCCAAGTGGTTTCGGTAGAGGATACAGAGGAGAGAGTGAGAGAAGTTAAGTTGACGCAGACTTTTAGCAAGTGTCCGAGTGCGTCGTCATGTATTACATTGTTGCGATTTTCCACTATAAGCTCACGGATAGCATTGCTACCATAATCGGGAGGGCCTTTGCCATTGATCATCCCCACAAGAGTTTCGACATATTCACTGACAAAGACTTTACGCCAAATGAGAGGCATCACAATTTCACACAAATGCTTATTAGCACGACCCATGTGCATCAAATTGGCAAGGCTAAGCGGCGATGGCTCTGGCAGATCAATATAATTGGCAACCTTTAGCACCAATTCTACTGGCAGAGATCCTAAGGAAGGTGGTTCGTCGCTTGATGACATCTCTGTAAGGCGATCTATGCGAGACCAATAAAGACGAGGAAGTAAGTTATGGCGACATGTAAAATCGACTTTCAGACGAGAAATATGTAGTTCAAAAGTTCAAATTTGGTCTCGATCGACCTTAAAGACTAAAAAGCCATGAAGTTTTGATGTTTACGATACACGTACCGGAGTAAACTGAGTTCAGAATAGCAGATTAGATTATATATCACGCCTTTGGAGCAAATCCCCTAATCTGGAATTCTGATATAAAGTTGATCAAACAGATTTGGCCTAAAACGGTTTTGTAAAAAGTTTGGGCAAGCTGATTCATGGATTGAGTGGTACCCTTGGCGGTTTTTTGGACTGTCAATATGATGCTAAATTTATATTACGCGTAATTTATCCTTCTCTAGCTCTCCATACCTGCTCCTCGCAAAGCTCTGCAGCTTGGCAAACTCACAAAATCCAAGCTTTCAAATTGGCGAGACCGTAATGGAGATTTCGATTATAGGAGGGTTCGAGGCGCAAGGTCGACGGTATGCTAGAGCACATCCTATAGCTGGTCGTCACTTTACGGCTCCATCTACCGCAAAGGACACGCCAAAGACAGCAGGAGCTTCATCAGCGATTGTTGATGAAGAGGAATGGTACCATATCACGCCTCATAAAGACCCGGAACATGGAGATGAGGAACTGTATATAGTGGGATCTACTGTCTTCTGGATGAGAAGTGCCTCGCTCGTCATGTCTGTCGACATGCAAGCCAAATTTGGAACTCAAACAAGAGTCACGCATGCGCTCTTTGCTCGCTTTAATCGGCCTGCGAATGAGAATAATCGATCGAAATCTATGACCAAAAAGCCATTTATGAATGCTACTGATGATGTTGCTGGTTTGAGGTGGCAAGACGTGTCGCCTCCTCCCAAGCCAACACATCCTATGAAACCAACACCAACTACCGTCCGGGCTCTCATTGTAGTCATGCCTGAAACTCTATGCATATACTTTGAATCTGGTCGTGACTATCTGATACATACGCCCTTCCAAATGGAATGGGTGTATCCTCTCGATTTGGGCGTCTTGATTGCTCCAAGTCCTATTATAGGTACAGAGCCTACTCTATATACATTACATCATGTAGAAGATGATGTTAGAGCTGTCGCAGTCACTACGGAAGATTCCATGTTTACCGACGAACGACAACTCTTTGTAAACAGGACGGAACGAGTAGTCACCACAATCGAAACTACAACGTCACATGGATCACTGGTGTTGACGCATGATAATACAACGTACCAGGTTACCTTATACTCGTGTCAGAAATTAGACTTGGTGAAGGAGGAGTACTACCCTGTTGAAGGTAGTGCTGACTCGGAATCACGACGAGAATCCATAATATACTCCCGTAGAAGTACCTTATCACGACGAACTTCCATGAACCCCATGAGACGTGAATCTAGCATAGATTTGGATGCTTTACAGGAACGAACGGATTTACGTAGAACCACTATGGACATCGCACCCATAAAACGTAAAAAGACGGGTGAAGATTCTTTAATCGATGCATATGAAGACGAAGATGACGAGGAAATCTTGTCGAAACTAGTATTGAGAAGTCGTAAACGTATACCGACAATCTCACTGACCAAAATATGGAGTGGCAGCTTTGATAAGAGTAAGACCGTCTCTGAGGTCTTTCTAGCTCATGACATTCAGGGTCGAGAGCAACTATTCATATGTCAGCCAGATACCAAAATGGTGTCTGTTTTGTCGTTGACAGAGTTGAAGATCATCACTAGTATGCCAGCTCTTTCTGCTCAACCCATCTTGTCAACACGAGTAGGACAAACGGATGTATTGATACTTCAAGCCGAACGGATGGTATTATGGACTGGCCGTCAACTGATTCAGTGCAGTCTGCCTATAAACTTTCAAGCTCTACTCCCAGAGACAGAAGGTAGCTCATCGTCGAAACGTCGTCGATCATCCGCAGTTGATATGAGCTACCAAACCAACAATAACAGCAATTATAGTAATACGAGTAAAGCTAGTAGTAGTGGTAGCTCTAGTAAAGACAAGAGATCGACCTTACGATCACCAGCACGAGCATCTCGAGTGGTCGGATTGGCAGACTCTGCAGGATACCATGTAAATATGGTGTTATCGAACGATCAGATATTCCGAACCTCTCTAAACTTTACTCCCAACGCCGAGCTCGTCATGGATGCTTTAACGGCTATGTCATTTGCTCTACCATCCACCATATTTGATACCTTTCGATCTCGATTCTTGACGTATCGATTCCGACCCAATAGAAAAAGAGCACTGGATCAACAAGCTCAAGAATGGCAAGACTTTGTAGTAGTCTTGTTTTCATTCTGCCATTCCAAACCTCATCTCACTAAGCAGGTGCCATCTCCCAAAGTAACGTCACCATGGGAAGCAGTGCTGGCATCATCAGCACATCAGCAATGGTCTAGTGATCCCATATTTAAAAGAGCACCTCCAATAATAGCTATAGATGATTCTAAAGCATCCAGTCAAATGTCACAACTCTATAATGCTTCGAAAGAGTTGTACCTGTCACATCATACAGAACGTAGCATTATAGAGCACATGAGCCAGGTGCTGAATGCTCTGCATGTTGTCTATGAAGATTTGAAATTGAGTGTGCTGGAGCTAGATAGTATGTGTCGCATGGGAAGTCTGTTGATCCAGCTTGCTAGTTATCTAGGAGCTGATGATTACGTGGACCATTACATACGTGATGGTATTCCCGCCCAAGAAACCTGCGTGTTCACAGGTAAAAACATTGATCAAGTATCAATGAACGGCAAACAAGAAAAGTGTGCTAACGGAAAATTATAGTGACATCAGGAAAATCACCTCAGCTATCACAGCATCAGCCGAAGACTCCACCATCGATATATCACTGGCTCATGTCGCGGATGAAGAATAAATCGGAAGAGTTCCCAGTCCTGAAAACTGGTGCTGGTCTACTCAACCTTCATCATACACCATGGCACCAAAAACCATGTCATCGTACTGAGAGTATATGTCATGTATATAATGCTCTCTTCACAACACCCCCATCGCCGCCAAATACGACATCCGATGAAGCCATGGTGTCGGCAATGGTGGAGAAATCCATGTCCTTAGCCCATCTAGATATACTACCCTTTGGAATCGCACTCCCAATCCGTGAAGCCTTGAAACGATGTCGTGCACATCCACCTGGATTATGGAATGCTCAAGCGCTTATACTCGTTGGACGTGAAGATGTCGCTGAACAGATTTGTGGGGTCACTGTACCATCGCTTCATGTACAGCCTCCGAGACCTGATGCTGAACCTGTGAGTCATTGTCCAAACTGGGTTTTTTGTTGCTTGGGCCAACGATGGTAAGAGTAAAACTGACGAATCGACAAATTCCTTAGGTCAAGGATGTTCGAACTATAACTGAAACTGTGACACCGTTTCGAAGACCAGAAGATGATGATGGGACCAAGATCGGCAACCATCCAGTAATCCAGCTTCTATTCTCAAAAGATGGTAGACTTGAAGTAGCTGGAAGTCTGTTGAGTTCGTTCAAGCCTGTTGTGATTTCTGAAGATGAATTCCCGTAAGGTCATTTCAATGTTTTTTTTTTTTTTTTTCATTTCGCCAACGCTCGTTTTCGTTTAAACAAATAGATTGACGCAAGTTGATCGTGCTGCAGCAGCACAAAAATTCATGTCTGAAGATCTATCTCGAAATGTATGCTCACGTCCCGTCGGTCGAGCTATATATGCTTTTGCAACCTCGCAACCTCAACTCCAAGAATCTTATCCCATACCACCACTACGTATTACAGCCATCTTCGCACATAGTGCCAATCCCGAAACCTTTGAAGAGGTACAGCCACATCAAGTGACGGATTGGCCACTATTCCACAATGGAGTAGCGGCAGCTTTACGTATCTCACCTCAAGCCGAAGGCATTGATGGACATTGGATTGTCTACAACAAGTCTATATATAATTTAGATTCGTCTCATGCTGGATTCTTGCTTGGAATGGGATTGACTGGTCATTTACGTAAATTGGATGCTACTCAGGCATACAATTATATGAAAGCCAAACATGAAGCTAGTTCCATCGGACTCTTGTTGGGATTATGTGCTTCATATGCAGGGACTGGTGAAAGTGTTGCTAAACGATTGGTAGAATTACATGTACCTGGTCTCTTGCCATCACAATCTAGCTTAACTGGATTGAATTTCTCATCACCAGTCATCACCACGGCCATTCTAGCTCTTGGATATCTGCACTCAGGAACCATGACGAGACAATATGCTGAAATCTTCTTGCATGAAATTGGACGTACAGATATCTCAGGTGATCAACCACCTGCTGTTGCAGGTGGTGAAGGATATGCGTTAGCTTCTGGAGCTGCATTAGGTTTATTAGCCCTAGGTAAAGGAAATGCAGCTGTAGGATTGAGTGACATGTACATCCTCGAAACGCTACAACGATATGTCTTTGGTCGCGGTGCTGGTAAACCAGACTCACGTCGACTATACGGTGTATCAATGGCATCTGCACCACCTCCTGTATTTGATCCTAGTCATACCAATATGGATGTATTCGATACAGTCATGACTCCACCAGCTAATACAGATATGACGGCACCAGGAGCGCTAATAGCCATGACCTTCATGTATTTGAAAACCAATGATATATCCGTCGTGAACCGTATCATACTACCATCCACACACCACATGCTTGACTTCGTAAGACCCGATCATCTCGTATTACGTGTATTAGGTCGAGCAATGATTATGTGGGATGCCGTTCAGCCGACTCGAGAATGGATTGATTCTCAAATTCCTGATATACTGCTACGTCCAGTGACACAACAAGCTATGGATATAGACAAGCTGATTAATGATGGCGGTAGTGTTGAGGATGAATTCATGATGGGACAAGCACAAGATGCAAATACAGTTCGTCAAGCGTACTTTTGTACATTGACTGGAGCTTGTTTAAGCTTGGGGATAAGGTTTGCTGGATCTGCTAATCAGCAAGCTTTTGAGCTGCTTCAAGAGAAGTTTGATTTCTTTTATACGTTTCTGCTGAAGCCAGGTAAGAACACTATGGTCTGGTGAAGCCGTTGATGAGTTCAAGAAGCAAAAAACTGAAAGCTACCAATGATTACTGTCATCTAACACTTTGCATTTCGCTAGTCACTGGATTTACAGACAAATTAGATCGAGCTGTATGCAGAGCATGTCTAGACACCGTTGCAGTATCCATGTCACTAGTAATGGCTGGAACAGGAGACGCTAGATGTCTGCAGCAACTAAAGAGACTGACGAGTCGATACTCAACCGATACATATGGTGATCATATGGCTACCAATATGGCATTGGGATTCTTGTTCATGGGTGGTGGGACCATGACGCTTGGCACCACGAACTCCGCTATAGCATCCTTGATCTTGTCTGTTTATCCACGCTGGCCAATGTCGAAGGATGATAATAGGTGTCATTTGCAGGCTTTTCGTCATTTATGGTGAGTTGAAAGGCGAGATCGTTCGTCTGCCTTTGCCTTGCCGTGTTTTTTGCTCTGTCATCCTCAATTCACAAGCTCACACTATATCGCACATGTAGGGTCTTGGCCGCTGAACCACGATGTATAGTACCTATTGACGTGGATTCGAAAATACCAGTCTACGTCCCACTCACAATAACCATCAAAGATCCAGCCATAAACCACGGCAACGTGACAACCATCAGCCCCATAGCACCATGCCTTTTACCAGACTTTGCACATATCCAAACCATCACAGTCGATTCTCCTCGATACCTTAAGATGACCTTAAATCTAGCAGACAATCCCGGCCACATGGCGTCCGTAAAATTACGTCGTACCTTGGTAGTAAAACGTAAAACAGGTCATTTATCATACCAAGAAGATCCACATGGATACCGTAGTATACTAGCACGTCCATTCCCGAAAATGACTTCCCAGCCATCTGACCGAGACATGTTGGCACGACAAGATGTTGTGACTTCATTATCGTCAGATCCACAACTTGTCGCATTCCTAAATACCTTTTGCCGTGTATCGCAACCGCAGCATCCGGAATCAGTACAATTTGCATCGTTTTGTACTGATGTCTTGTATGAATGCTTGACACAGGATAAACCAGAAGCGTTGACTGTGTATATGAATATCTTTAATACGCTCAATCAGCTGGGGAGTCTTGTATCTTCAGATCGAGGGCTTGTACGTGCCATGAATGAATTCTGGAACTTGAAATTGGTGGTATGGTACTATCAGGCTATTGATAAAAGTAGAAGTGACGACCGGCAGGATGATGGTTCTGCTAATGATGACGATGGTCGGATGATTAAATCATCATTTATGGATCAAGTGACATTCCACCTCTCAAAACACTTTGACTTTGATCATAGAGCCAATACCTCTGCACCAGCCCCAACATCATCACTCATCTTGTCTCAATCAACCAATTTGAAGCAACAAAATTATAAAGACGCAACCCAAATATTTGACGACTATGTACGTGATGGACGTGTTGGACGAGGTTTGGCATGGCAGACGGTACTTTCTTATCTCGTGTATGCTGACGTGATGGCGCCTAGTGATATCAAGACCTTGGTATCTGAGGTGCGTGGTGGTGCAGCAGGAAGGAACAATACGGATTTGATGTCTGTGTTGCTACCGTTACTGGTTAAATATCCCTCATGTAAATATGATGTCATGAGACGTATTGTACAGGCTTTGCAATAGGTTTCGCAAAGTAGAGAGCCTGTTTATATGTGTAGATTGTCAAATAAATTGATTGCCGTTTGAACCTTGGTGTTTTCGCGAAGACTTCAGAGTCCACTTGTTCTAACTTGATGCTAAAGCACATGGAATCTACATCTTTTCGTACTGAAGTGTTGGTAGATTGTAACCTATACATAATGAAGGACAGACAAACTATCTCAGTCCCTAGACCACCGCAGTCTGTACATGCAACCATGAATGGTAATCCGAATATTGCCAAGAACTAGAAGAGCCGCAACAGCCTCGCTTCCTTTCAATGTGGCATTTTGGCAAATTATATTGCAAAGTACATGGTTATTTGGCAACAAGGCAAACATGATTCAAGTAGAGCCTCTCCCTACGGCTTGCTGGTCCTTCGACTCCTTTGAGAATCGTCCTGCCCTGACCTCTTGATTCCTTTGAATTCCTTCTGCAAATTTTTGAAGCATGTTCACAAACGTCATTTGCATCGAATTGATTTCTGTAAAGACCGACAGATTCTCCAAATACCCAGACTTTAGCCCACTAAAATCAAACTCGCGAGCTCTGGCCATTTGCTGTCAAAGAATACGAACAGGTCGCGTGAGGAGAATGGTTAGCACAATACTAATCAAGGCTCCAAAAATTCCCACAACACTTGCTGTTATCCCTGCATTGCGATTATCTACAACTCCAACTCCCCATATATCAGACCGAGGGATGACGGTAACAACCAGCCAATGTAGATTTGTTCGGTTTGCCCATTGGACATCAACGAGGAGACTTTCTGACGTGGTGGTGACTGTCAGTGATACTCCTGCGGGTGGTATGCCATACAGCGATCCATTCTGAGAAATCAGTGACAGAGTCATTTCCTGAATGTATAGATTTGGCGAATTGGAAGCATTGTAGCTCGTTGGTCTGTAATTTATTTGGGAACATTCAATACGGATGCGCTGACCATATTCCCCGAAGGGTGAACAATGTGTACTACTCCATCCGTCGTGACGGGAAATGATGCAAGGATGCTCCTATCGAGAAGCCCACAAACGAAACGCTTGTCATCAAAACGAGAATGAGAATCCCAACTACATATTAAGCACAAACCGCGTACATACCTTGATGAGAGCTCTAAACGAGCGTGGATGACTTGTCTCGTGACTCTTTATATGATATGGATGCTTAAATTTGAGAATGTTGCAGTAAAAACTACACGCGTCTTCAAAGGTTGTGAGGTTTTGATGTTTTGAATTTAGTGATCCCATTTTGTGCACATATGTAGGAGTTCTAACTGCTAAGCGTTCTTACTATGTAGCAACTGTTTTTATTGAAGCTTAAATTAAACTAGACTAAGATCCTAATGCGACTCCCTTCAACAGCCCAACAACCGACTGCCAAACCAATATATGCAAATTCCAAACCAAAAACCACAATATTATATCAGTGCATCTTCATTCCTGAGGTATTCACCAACATCAGCTTGATGAAACACAATAATCCCAGTAGGTTCCAACTTTCTAGCATCCTGAGTAGATCGCGCCGTGACTCCAAACCCTAATGGCGCATCCGACATGGAGTAGATTACAACACCCTGATGTTCGGGTGTGTCTTCTGTTATACGACCCAAATGGGCCTTTAGGACGTGGTTGCCGTATAGGAAGGGCATTTCACCGTTTGGTTTTACCCAGACTTTGTACTGTAGAGAGTGAGAGTTGGTATCAATGAAGTATTGAGCGATGTGATCTGGTTGTTGAGCTACAAAAAAAGAACAAGTGATAACATGTCGTACTTTGGCATAAGGGGCCAAGTACTCGAGCGCCGTGATATGGAGAGTGAATTTCCCACTCTTTGTGAATTTGCCAAAACATATTCCGAGAGATAGTAGCTGATCTCGTGCAATTGAGGTTGCTTTTCTCATTATTGATTCACTAAAAGGAAGCAAAAAAAAAGGATCAATTGGGATTTATTGACGATCTTTTCATGATCCAAACGCCATACCTAACATAGAATACACGATCCTTGTGCATACGGAAACAATACGCTTCATCTTGTCTATCAATCAGTTGAGTAATGTTTCGACCAATACTATTGGGTAAAAAAGATCTGTAAGCTTTTCTTGTTTGACGGTGGGAGACAGTTTCAGTGCAGGACGTACTATTTGGAGAGCTTCTCAAAGAATACTTTGGTCTCTTCGTCTGTTAAGGGCCTCATTGTTTTCTTAGAGCGATTGCCTCGATTTCCAATTTGTATGTGTGTGTTTTGAAAGGAGTGTGATTTGAGAAAAGCAGAGTCGCAAGTTGAGACAAGCATCTTTCGTTGATTCCATCCAATAAAAGAACATGGTAAGTGAGGCGAGAGGAAGAGAGAATCGTGATTAATGTAGATGCATCGGATCGGGAATCGCTGAATCCGTGTCTTGGGTTATAATGAAACCACTTGGAATTTGAAGAATGTCGAAACATCTGCACTTTGTCGAGGAAGTGGAGATTTAAGACAAGTGTTGAAAGGAATACCGCCAATATGGAACGAAATGCTGATTTAGAGATGAAATTGCTTCCTTGCTACTCTGCATGACCCTTCCAACACAACGAAGCTAACATCAGCATTCGTCCTTAGCCTACCAGGTTATCAAAGAACCGAAAGAAGAGAGGAAGTAAGTGAACACCATAAGCCATTTTTACCCTCATTGTCACCTGAATATTAACCAGTACTCTTCTCATAGACGTGTCTGCAGGTCACGGTCGTGTCGGTATGCAGAAACAAAGAAAACAGCTGAACTTTGCCAACAAACTTGTTACCAACACATATAAATTCCTCTAGGCAAACATCGTAAGCATCCTGGTGGTCGTGGTAAAGCCGGTGGTATGCACCACCACAGAATCAACATGGACAAGTACCATCCTGGATTTTTCGGAAAAGTCGGTATGCGACGATTCCACTTGACAAGAAACGCAGACTACAGACCTGTCGTCAATGTCGAAAAACTATGGACTCTGATTCCAGAAGATGCTAGAGCAAAGGCTCCAGCTGGTCAAGTTGTTATTATTGATACCTTGGCTGCTGTAAGTGTGAAGCGCACAATTGCGTTGAGTTTTGGTGCCTTTTTTTCTTGATGTGTGAAGCGCACATTGTGTTGAGTGTCGGTGCCTTTTTTTCTTGATGTTAAACTTTATCATATTTTCCAGGGATATGGCAAAGTATTGGGCAAAGGTGTTTTACCACAAACACCATGTATTGTACGAGCCAAGTTTGTATCAAGGAAGGCTGAAATCAAGATCGTGGAAGCCGGTGGTCGTGTCGAGCTAATTGCTTAAATCAGATTATATAGCATTTGTCAGACCCACACACCACAACTCTTTGTCAATATAGTAAACCTTTTGCAATCTACATTATTGTTTGTGGTTTGTAATTCAGTGTAGTCTTAAAACGCTTGAATCTTGATCACACTTGCAGATTAGGGAAAGCAGCAATTTTTCTTCTTTAATAACTTCTTTGGAAACAATTTCTACATGTATACACTGGATTCCTTTATATCACATTATGCCACTACTTCAGCCGGTGCTTCTACTTGTGGTGCTACTTCTTCGCTAGCAGCAACGGGTGTTGCTTCAACCACTGGAGCTTCTTCAACAGCAGGAGCAGCAGCAATAGCATATGTGGATGCCTTTGTCGAAACAGGAACAACGGCAGGTGTAGCAGTAACAACAGTCTTGGCTTGTTGTGCAGGTTTCTTAGCAGCGACTGGTTTGGTGGTTTCCTTTGCCTTTGGTGGTGATGATACCTTTGTCGTCGTGACGGTGGGTTTCTTGGGTTGTTCAGATGTCTTTGTTGTTGTGGGAGTAATAGTCTTAGATTTGACTTTTCGTTCGGCTTCAATCTTCATCATTTCTTGATACTTTTGTGGGTATGCTGAAATGTTCTGTTGTCGCAAACAAGTGATAAGTAAACGTGTAGTGCTGTGGAAGTTGAATTGAGACATACTTGGAGATAGACTAGATTGTTGAGACGTTCTTCTTGCCATTGCTTGTGGTCGTAGTGAGCACCCATTGATTCCAATCTTCGTAGGATTTTCTATGTAATGCGAAAAAACCAGTCAGGTTTGCGTCTTTGCCAAGCTGCCACATGATAGCACAATTACATACCTGATTCTCCATGTTAAGTTTCTCCAACTCCCTCATTCTTCGATAATAGTGTCGATCATGGGCAAACCCAGCTCTAGCTTCATAAATATTTTCATTCCTTGAAATCCCCGTCGACACCTTCATAATATGGCTCATTTTTTCCAGGAGTTGACGATTTGAGCGCTCGATTTCAGCCAGTCGGTCTACATCACAAAGTATATTCAGGTTATTTGACGCGTCAAAAAACATGGTAAAACAAGAAAACGACGCAAACACCAAAAGGAAGGTCCACATCCCACATAACACCATCATACCATTATAAATTTGCAATTTCTTGCCAGTCTTGACTTCTAAATGCCCCCATTTCCTTGGTGGCTGGTTATCTATAGCTGGAGCCATCGTAGCTAATTTATCGAGATGGCGTTTTCGACGAGCACCGTCCCATTTTGAAGCTAGCAATCGATTACAAGTTGGGTATAGAGAATGGTAGTGTCGATATGCTAGTGGATCAGCTGGTTCTTCGTGTTTTATAGGTTCTGCTTTCGCTGGTTGGACATCTTCGTGATCTAGTTCAGATGGTTGCTTGTCGAGGTCAATTGGACGTGTTGGGACAGGTTCCTCCATTGTTTTGTATACAATTTAGAATGCTATTTCGTTTGGAATTTCAGAACTCAAAGATGTGCGCGGAAAATAACATTTGAGGGTTGGGTGTGATTCACACTTTTACATCGTTTTTTTTTTGCGTTTCGGGAGCTGGACTTGAAGACCTCCATTTTTGAGAAGGAGGAGAGAGGAGCCTGATGACAACAGACGAACATATGCAACCTAATGAAAAATCTCAAGTGCAAGTAGCCGAAGAGGCCCACAACAAACAGCAGAAACAAGAACAATGTGAAGCTTCTTCTCTCCCACAAGAAGTTGTCTTGCTGCTAACTGCCAGCCTACCAAAAGTAGATCTGCAATCGTTTACAAGACTATAAATCAATTGTTAACTTGTTCTTTACTAGTTTGGACTGTCATTAACCGCCACCGATCAATTCTTGGACGAAAAAGACACCAGCAATGACTCTAGCACATCAACAAAGCAGTTTTTCGAGCAATTACAGAAACTGGGACGCCAGTTAGGATACCTGGAATCTAGCTCGAGTGGATTTAGAGGACTTGTTGGTAGTGGCAACGGTGGTGTCAAGAGGAAGAGAAGGGACGGGGAGTCAGTGCTGCAGCACTATGATATGGAGAAGCCGGCAGTGAGTTTTATATTGCTTAATATGCTGAGAAACATGTTCGTTGACTCGATCTCGGTATTTTAGATGGTATCTCGCATTGAAAGCTTCATACAAGCCAAACGAAGTAAAATCGATTCGAGCAATCAGGCTGAATTTACACGTGTTGATCAAGCAGGTATTCTATATTGCCTCATTAATGCTTTATCAGCTTTGTCTGACTCATCATTGGTTTAGACTCCTGCGCACGAAGTGACACTGTCGAACTAAATCGATCAGTGCAAATGAAGATTGCTGTCGCCCACAACAAGGATGACCCGCTCGCTAGATCGTGGAGACATACAACAGATGCTAGCAGTAGTGGTAATACAAAACCAACACCGAACAATGCAGCTACAGTCCCGAAAACACATCTCGTATCTGAACGACTATCAAACATTGAATCGTATCTGGATGTGCCGTATCAGCCTGCTCCTAAACGTGCTTCCAATAATACCAATAATAGTATCAGTAATGGAGGCACAAGTACTACCGGAGCAAACGGCAAAAACGAGGCCCAAGTTATCAAGGAGGTGCTATCCCGAATAAAAATCGTTGAAGACCGAATCGTGACTTTGGAAAGGGAGTATCCGGCCTGGTCGACCAACAATCTAAATCAGAATGCCAGGAATGGGAATCCGCAAATTAGTAATAATAATACCTTGCTGGGTAATAGGGATGGTGGTAATAGTCTAAGTAGTGGTGTGGCTATGAGTATGGGAGCTAGAGGGTTGGGATCGTTTGCCATTGCTGCTGTCAATGGGAAGTCAACAGATAAACCGTCACAGCAACAAACAGCAACAAACGTACAACAACAACAGCCTAAACCCATATCGGCGACACAATCCACACCACCAAGCCAAACCCGAACACTCGTCACTAGTGTATCGAATGTACTGCCGCAAGCTAGCGCTGTTGACAGTGACGAAGAAGACAGCGACGAAGGTGATTTGAGTGCGATTGAATTGAAGATCAAGGCACTTAAGGAGTCCTTGCTGGCTCGTAAATTGTAGATTGTTATGTTTTATCTATGAGAAGGTTTAGAGATGGTAGCAAGAAGCAAATATAAAATATTTTTTTGCATCATAAAGGTTGTGGTAATTGTAGACGTGTTAGCGGTCAAGCGCTTGTCGTTACGTGTCGCTACTCATAGCAAATTATGAATCAGCCGTATTAGCTTGATTTGATTGAAATACTTGGGGCCTGCCCAAATATTCAAGTCTTTGAGTATGCAGGACAAGCTCGCGGGATAGAGGCCTTGTCTGCTTGCTTGCTGCATCACCCGACGTTGAAGAAACTATCCTTCGATGTGACCCCCCCCCCTTGGCTCATGGCCCGAGTTTAAATTCTTAATCCCAAGGTCCAACACCTCCATTATCGAAGAACTATCAGCACGACGCTGGCCCCAAAAATGTTGGAAATGTGTCTGCCATGGTTGCAAGCATTGACCTCCTTGAATACAAATAGTCTCCGTGTAGAAATAAACACGCTCCAAGTCATCGTACAGTCTTGCTCAGGGTTGAAGGGTTGAAGGCGTTGTCTATGCGTGGTGATGATTACGGGAATCTCGGCCGACGTCTAAAAACCGAGTCACTCCGAATGCTGCGTCTGCCAAACCTTCTGAGCCTAGAAAGGCTTGATCTTGTGGTCCTGGAAGATGTAGCACTCGACGAAGTAAAGCTTGTTGTAATACTACGCTGCTGTAAACAACATAGTCGAGGGCATGAAGCAGGGACCGAAGGGCTTCGATTCTTATCAATTGACGCGGTTAAGGTGAAGGGAGATACTAGCAGCAAACCATCGCACTTTGCGAAAGTATTCGATGTCGGTGCGTGGGATGGATGTAAGTGTAGATTGTCAAAGCAACCAGGTGAATGATTCTTTGACGAGAGTAATCAGGACTTTATGAGATATCTGTACATTTACGAGTAATGGTAATGCTGGGAGGCGGGATGGTCACGGTGGGAAGTGTACTAGCAGGCATAAAATGTAGTATGCTTCTTTAAAGACTCGAGCGTCTCATAAGTACACTGACTTTTTTTAGATCAGAATTGCATGTAAAAGTAATAATTGGATATAGTGAACAGACGAAGTGATTCAGTTCGCCGGAACCTCGATCGAGTACTTGACTCGTGATTTTCCAAAACAAGGCCGCAAACACCAAACACACGAACGGAGAGACATTTCATAAAAGAAAAATGGTGCTTTTGGATCAAATTACAAGTTTGCAAGGCATTAATGTCCATTCTGCAAGTTTCTTAAAACTTTTCTTGAAATGCTTGTTTCGCCGAACCACGAAAACGAATCAAACAACTCTGCCAAGGAACAAGATCCAGCTCGTTCATTTTGTAGCTGAGAGGCCAAGAAGATCTTTGGCACAGTTTTGCCATGCCTCTCTTTAAACTCGTGATGGTTCTTTATGGTTGTCTTCTTCCCTTTCCACAACGAAACCTTAATCGCCAGTTTCTCCCCCTTTTGAGTATATTGCATCTGACTCGTCCCACTCACTTCCTAACTTCACAAAAACATCTCCACTAGCAGATTGCCACCTGACAGCAAGTAAGCTGGGCACTATTTGCTCGGACCATTGTGTGCTTCTGCATTCTCGAGCTGCTTTCGCAGCAGTGCCATTTTGTTTTTTGTTGTTTTTGAAGATCTCAACGGTGGAAAGTGGACATTCTCTAACAGCCTGTTTCCTTGAATAGACACTCAAGTCCACTCTCTACTTCTACTACAAGAACATCAAAATGGTTAAGTGGTATCAAAACAACAATGTCGGACAGCCAAATACCTACCAACAGGCCAACAGCCAATACTACTACCCCCATCAACACACTTTCAATCTCGTCTTGCTCTTCATTGCTGTACTTGCAGGAGTAAGTATAGCCGCTAGTTTCTGACGGTTTGAATGTGAATTCCGAAGCTTAACACATGACCCTTTGTTTTAGCTTGTCGTTGTCGGTGGCTCGATCGGAATCTGGGCAGCAATCAGTTCATGGGTACGTTGAGGAGCTGGCTCTTCTCTGCCGTGCTTTTATGAACATTTCACTGCCCATGTGATGTCGTACTAATTCGTTGTCTTCACAATAGCCTGCACCACTCATTGTCGCAATCGTCATTGGAGGCTTCTCAGCTTTAATGGCTGCTTGGAGATTAATGGCAGTCCGAAGAGGTGAACCTCATCGCTACCACGCTCTTGGATTCGGTCTCGGTGAGTTTTTGAGTGCATACATATTTCCCAGCCATTGGAAAACAGGCTCTAATGCTATGCATCTTTCGTAGGAATGGTCATTATCTGGGCTATTGCATTCGGTTACTTCCAAGCCAGAAACGTCGAGGTACCAGCTCGAAAGAAACACCTTAATCTTAAAATATTACTAACGGGTTCATATCCTCCTAGAACTTGTGTGCTAGAGATGCCAACGCCGGTAACAGTTACGGAACTTGTGAATACCAATCTGCTGGTAAAGCTGTCATCGTTGGATCAATAGTCAGTCTCGTGTCCTATCTGATCTACGCTTTCGCGTCATGTTGTCAACGACCTTAGTAAGTTCTTGAAGATGCTGTTACAATGCTCTTTATCAGCTTTCTAATCATTTCTTTGTTGTGTGTAGATCAGGACTTATGATCCAACCCACTAAATTTAAATTCATATTTGTCTCGTTTTCCACATGTCATGTAGTCTACAACACGTATTTGCCTTGCCTATGATGTATCGAATAAAAAATCTGCTTCAAAAAATTGAGCTTGTCTTGTGTTGGAAAGTGTTTGAAACTTCATTCTCGTTCTGTTGCCGCAAAATGTGAAGGGAAGTTTTCCATGCATATGGCCGAGGGAGTGGAAAGCGTAAATTCCATTTTGAGTTAATGAGAGGGTCTGACTAAGCTTCATTTACAATAATGCTGTATGAATCAAAAATCGGTGACATGTGTTGACAAAGAGTTACTCCCCAGACGACAACGATATGGTCAAGCTATCAATGGCTTTCAACGTCCTTCATAGTTCTGGCATATCTCTTCTGGAATTTCGTCAATAGCTTAAAGCTCAGTTTCCCCACAAATCCCGAGCATAAAGATGCTTTTGCTCCACACAAACTCTTAACTTCACAAAAACATCTCCAAACGCAAATCGCAACAGAACAACAAGTAAGTCGCTTACTATTTCATCGGATCAATGTTACATCCTGCATGCATTCAAGCTTTACCAGCAGTGCCTCTCTCGATACTTTTTGGAAGATCTACACCATGCGAAGTGGGCATTCTAACTTACAGTTTTCTTGAATAGACAACTCAAACCAGTCTCTACCACCTACAAGAACATCAGGAATGTCTACTAAATGGTTTTCAAACAACAACGTTGGCCAGCCCAACTCGTACCAACAGGCTAACAGCCAGTACTACTACCCTCATCAACATACTTTCAATCTGGTCTTGATTGGTATTGCTGTAATTGCCGGTGTAAGCACATGTTTCTAGACTCTTGCTGATCTGTACATTCCCATATGATACGCCGAACATCAAAACCTAACACTTCCATCCAATGTTTTCTTAGATCATCGTCATCGGTGGCTCGATCGGACTCGCTTACGCTATCGGCTACTGGGTGAGCATAGATTCTACTTGGTTTCGTCTACAGTGTCTCTCAACCATTTCGTGTGGATGTTGTACTCAAACTTTCTCATCTTTAGCCTGCACCAGTAATTCTCGCAATCGTAGTCGGGTGTTTCTCAGCTGCGATGGCTGCTTGGAGGTTATACGCCGTCCGTGGCGGTGAACCTCATCGTTACCATGCGCTTGGGTTCGGTCTGGGTGAGTTTATTTCGAATGAATGTAGCGTTTAGCTATCCAAAACAATCTCTTATTGTTTTTTTGGTGAGTAGGAATGGTCATCATCTGGACTATTGCTTTCGGATACTTTGAAGCCAAGAACGTTCAGGTACTGAGTCATCTCAAGCCATTCAACTTGCGACAAACAGCTAAATATAACACTTATTCTTCTTTACCACTTAGAACTTGTGCTCACGAGATGCTGGCGGTAACGGAGGAGTCTGTGAATACCACACTTCTGGAGAAGCCATCATCGCCGGTTCAGTAATCTCTCTCATTGTCTACCTTATTTACGCCTTTGCCTCATGTTGTCAACGACCTTAGTAAGTTACATTATATAGTATCGTCGCATGTATTTTCGTATTCTAATTATTTTTGGTCACTAATAGATCGGGATTGATTCCTTTTCGTTGAAAACATCTGTCCTTTTTGCTTTACTCACTGTTTTGTACTTTTACAACACTTCATTGTATTGATTGCCTTTGTCTATGACGCCTCGAATAAGAAAATTTGACTCCAATTATAAGCAGCTTGTTGGTCGGTCTTCTTTCATTGGTTGTAGCGAGAATCGTTCTCGTTGCATTGCCGCAAACAGTGATAACTACGTCGGTACTAGACACACTGCCTTTGTATTACGTTCAAGTCACCTCTGTACTGATATTGAATATACATATATCTTCCAACTGCACTATCCAAGCGTCACAAAGTGCGCCAAGTTGACACTTCACAAATTGATAAGACTTTGACGACTGAACACGAGCTAATTGATGTTGTTCAGGTCCTCAAAGTGAAAACGATCTTCAAACAGTCGAGAATCCCGTATAAACCAAAATATATCCCATGGTTGTTCTCTTCACAAAGCGTCAATCCTTTCAAATAAAATCATCACTCCTTGAAAAGTAAACCAAACTGCCTAAGCCAACGACATAGACCAGCTTTATTGCATAAAGAGTCATCGGATGCATTGTATTCTCAGCTTGTCCTGAATTGGTCTCTCTTACTCTGCAGTTGCCGTGGTAAAATGTGGTTTGTGAAAACCCATTCAATTGGGCGATGCAGTGAGTTTTCGTGGCGAGAGCGAAAAGAAATGATTTCAAACTTGAGTGGACTGGGATATCACATTCAACTATGTCAACTTTCGCTATCGAGCTCTTGACAGTCTTCAAGCAGGATAGCATTGCCAACTATTAAACGACCAACATTAGATAAATCAAGTTTTCTCAGAGTTAATTCATTACGATACGAATACGGATCCAATCTTGTATCAAGTATCAAGAAATATGGGTTTCCTTTCTCTTTTTCAAGTGCTGGGATTGGTTGGATGTTTCTTCCGTTTGACATGTTCTACTCTAAAACTGAACCGCAGCTCCCCACACTAAAAAGTTATCTTATTTCATATTGTGAATGGTATTATGGATCGCATGTGTCTACACTGGGCTCAGATGTAGTGGAAGGCAAGGACTCCTTTCGTGGAATGGCAAGCCTGTTGGTAAGTGCTGTTGGTTTTTGATCGAGCTAGTCTTTCTCGGAGGAGACCGAGTATGTTATCGTCGCTGTTTCTACTTGCGGACTGTTGGTCAACAAGAGCCAACAACCCTGAGTCCAGCGTTATGGAGTTTTGTCTCTGCATGAAATGGCCCCTGGCTCGTGCAACAGCTTCTGTGTGTGGCAATTTCCCCGGCCCATTGCTGACGTTCTGTGGAGTATCACTGGGTAACCGGCGTGAGTGTCAATTTCTGCTTGATGATTTCATTATCTTCAAAAAGTTTGGCATGGCAAGCAATACAACCATCGTCTTGTGACCTATACTTAACAGGGATGTACGAGCGTATTGTGACGAGCCGATTTTTGGATCATGTTGCTGATGAGGAAGACCAAGCTCTCGACCTCAACGCTTACTTTCTGGAGATATCCCTCTAACCAGAAACCTGCCCAACTTTCAAACCCTACTACTTTGTGAGGGAGTTGGAATGAAGTGGCTGCCTCCAAACCATTGCCTTTATTCAACTTTTAATCTTGACATCTTGCAACAGCTCTGCGTGCCAAACCTTCCGAAAGTCTCAAAGCTTGACATTAAAGTAAACATCCACGTATCAATCGATGAATGGAAGCAGCTGGTAAATACTACGCTATCACACCATGATGATGGTCACAAATCTCGATGTGACGAGCCTGGAGTCCTCTGTACTGGCGAGGTATGATATAAAGGCTGATGATATGACTATAGATGTAACCACCCAAGACGCTATGTAGTGATTTGAAGCTTTGGGACTTGAGCAATAAGCCACTATGGCCTAAGCTGGATCTGCGTAACTTTGGGCTGACGATGTGCTGATTTGAAGGAACTCAAGGAGGTTGAGGTGGATTGTGGGCACAATTTGTTTTATTAATGAACATTTGCTTTATTGAAGTGTATTTCTGAATAGACATCAGAACCAAAACATTGTTTTAAACTGCTATTACATTAATTCACTGTTGTTGTTCCGGCATTTTCGCGATGTTCGCAGTGTGCAAACATTTAAACAAACCCAATGGCTGAGAGAGCAATACTGCAAGGAGCTGAATTTTTGCAGAATTCATTGCCTCTTCTTTCGAAACATCTCACTGACTGTGCATCTCTTGATTCAAAACTGCGCCAGAATTTCTCAACCATTCAAACTTTGGAAGATCGGGACAAATGAGAGCTAGTTTACCGTGTTTGGTCTCGAATGAATCCACAACGGATATCGAGTAATGATGATAAAGAGCTGATACTCTTTTCATTGCTAAGGAATCTTAAGCAATACTGGAGTGCCATACTCAGAACCATTTTGAAGGAATTTCATGCTTTTGCTATGTAGTAACGAATTATGAAGAGGATTGTAGTGGTAGTGTGATGGTAGTACATATTGGAGACATTGCATGTATTCAGATCCAGTTGTAAAATAATCCCACACTCGTAAAATAAAAAGTAACTCATCCAAGCGTTATAGTCTTCCAAAGCGTGATTGGACTCTCGATTCGTGATAATCTGAACATATCTCAAGTCCAACGTTAACAAATACAGCCTGAAAATAAACCTTCAACCATCTTTCACCGAGTCATGCTCCCTTTTTTGGCCATAGAAGACATTAACCGTCAATATTGCTTGACTTCATCAACCTCCTTTTCCTTAATCGTATCTCCGAAAGAGGACTGTTCAAATCGCTCAATCGTCAAAACATCCATTCAGGACCCAATCTGATAGGCCATATAAGTAATATTATGTGTTAAACTTCTCTATATAAACAAAATGTTACTTCGGTGTTGCATCTGGTATGGGTGGTAGCCTCGGTTTAGCTTCTCTCCCAGATGTTGGCCGACTCTTATGTCCAGCAGCATGGTATATCAAGTCTGTCACATCGTGAATCATTTTGTCTGCGTATACGACCCCTAATGAGAGTAAAAGGGAATTAGTACTACTATACGCTTCTTTTCTATGTTCCACCATTATTTCCAACAAGCTAAAAAATACAACTATCCCCAAGAGAATTTACCTTCATAAGTAAGGGCCTCCTTCAGCTGACTCTTCAAAGTCTTTGCAGCAGCCAAAACGCCTTCCTCCATACTAGCAAGCTCGCCCAACAATTCCTCTCTCCTGCTAGCCTCAGCCATCCGTATCTCACTAGACACATCATGACCATGTCCAAACAATCGTTCAGGATTCGACGCTTCCTTCTCAAACTGACACAGTTTAGACAGTACTGCTTCTCGTTCCAGCACCCGTTTACCAGCCTCCTTCCATATCAGCACGGTAGCTTCCAGCTTTGACGAGTATCGATGTGATCCATATATAGCAGCCATACGACACTGTTCACCAAACGTCATTTTCAGGTCATTCCATATCTTGCGGAGGTCTTCTTGGGCACGGTGGATGTTGATCATGGATGGGAACGGTCGTAGATTTGTTGGTTCGGCTGTATTGCGTGATGAGGTCGATGCGTTGGAAAAGTTGCTGCCTGTCACACTATTAGTTGACTTTTTATTACCCAGATTTGACGAGTTGCTGCGATTACGTGGAGGTTCTTTTGTTGCCGACGTATTGGTACTACTTCCGACATCCGGTTTGGAATGCTTTGTTATAGATTTCGATCGTTGGAAGGTACCAGCGCTCTTATTTACACTGCCACCACTACCCTGAAGATTCTCTTTGGGTGATACTACGTCAGACTCCAATTCAGGTGGTACCTCATTATTCTTCAACTCTTCAAAGTATTCCATAATCAACGGATTCCAGTTACCATCACTATACGACGTCATTTGACGACGTCTCTCATATCGAGCTGCATGTGCCTTTTGTTGTTTGACAACTTGCTCCTGCTCACGTTCCTCTTTCCGTAATTTATCTTGCTCTTCAACAAAGCGTCGATACGCTTCTTCATCTTCATCAGCATCAACCATAATTTCAAGTATAAAATCGCACGCTCGAGTCTTCAAGTAATCGATATAGTCTACAATGCTGACTTGATTTGCATCATCTGAAGGATGCCGTAACTCGTCAGCTACATCTGCAGGTACATAACCACCAAAATTGAATTTGGTATGTGTGGCGGCACGACTAGACGGTGTCTTTGCCATGGCAGATTTACGATTACGGAGATACTCGGATGGCGTTACTGATGGTCCGGTTGCTAACATTGTTCGAAGTCGTATTTCTGGACCTCCTGAATGAGGTCTTCCAGATTGTGGTGATGATGGTGCATCTGCTGTTGTTGCTGAAGTACCATTGGCTGCGGCTGCTGCTGCCATTATTTGCCTTTTCGGTATTGCTAGGCCTTGGAATGCATAGCTCATTGGCATTCCAGGTTCGAACGGTGCAGCAGGACAACTTCCAGAGTCTTCTTCCTTTGCTGTTATTTAATTTCGTGTCAAAAATGCTTTCTGCGAAGGAGCAAAAAACTCTTTGCAAGCCTTAATTTCATGATTGCAGCATAACGCTCACCAACATCCGTTTGCCAATTCCGACCAGTCAAAGTCTTCATAACTTCATCATATAGTTCTTCAACTTCTTTGTAACGAGCCAGCCGTCCATCTATACAGCAAAAAGACGACGGGTCAACAGAGAGCTAAACGTATTTGAATATGCTGAACACCAATTTCTCACCCAAGGCCTCAAGAGCAGCTTGATCAATCATTCCACTAAATTCACTCACGACCAGTGGAGGTGAAGGATCAATAGATACTGATCCTTTAGGAGTTCGCTTTGAGACACGAAATGGAGATGCTCTCAGCACTGTCTAAATTAAAGGAAACGACGACGTGAGCAAAAGAGGAGGCTTTGATACTAACCCATCTTTTCCAATCTTTATCAAACTTACACCATCAGGCGCCATTACTGGAATGTAATCTGGAATTGGAGGAGCCGGGGGTATAGCTGAGACCGGCTGCACAAAAAGTGACATGTCAGTAATACATAGAAAGGAGTCCGTTCTCGTTACATCACAGCTCACAATCTCATCAATAATGCTATAATCATACGAGGTCATCAGATCCGGTTTGAAATTGCTAGATGGTAAATATCTCTTCCGTGGAGGACGAGGCTAAACGTTTAGAGTTTGTCAGATCTTGTCGACATCAACAACAAACCTTCACGAAGTTTCAAGAATTGAAGATCATACCTTACTATCATCATGCTTCCTCCTATTGAACGTGGTAGTAGTAGCATGAGCCTCCAATATCGGATCGTTCCTCATAAGCAATGAGAATTCATTCATGGTCGACAAATGAAGTTCTGCGTCATCCATATCTTCATCACTAGCACCGGTCAATGTCCTATCATCTGCGTGATCTCTGCCCGTATTACCATCACGTAGAGTCCGTCTCGCACGTTCATGATCTTGAGACATTATCTTTTGCGGTTGTGAATTCAACAGGCCTCCTAAATCAGACAAAATCGTTCCGTATTTCTTCATAATTTCTTCTCGTTCTGCCTGTCCGAGATGACGATGGAGGGTTTCTAATGGTTGTAGGAGTCGTTCTTTACGGTATTTTTCGTGGAGGAGTTTAATGTCTTCTGGATCTTCTGGGAGGTCGACATGTTGGTTTGCAGGTAGTCGATCTTGGAGGTCTGATAGTTGGGAGATGAAGAGCTGTTGCCAGTCTGGATCTACGTCGAGTATGGCAATGCCGTGGGTGATATCGTTCATTACGGATGCGAGTAGGTTCCGTAAGACAATCCTGCGGGGAAAAAAATCAGTACTGGGACAATTTGAATAACACTACTGGCCGTTATAACCTTACCTCCTACTAAGCTCCAGACGATACAAGGCACAAACCCTCCCCCTGTTAGCTTCAGCTCCCAACACACCCAATGAGTCCATCTCTAAAATGATCAATCTCTATTCAGATGTCTCCGACCGGGCGAAAAAGGGAGAAAGATTCTAAGGAATGCCTTACGTTTTCGACGTTGCCTGCACCGCTCCAATGCCAACTCTGACTGATCTGACACTTTCTCCAGAATCAATGACATGAGCATATTAATTTGTGGAGACGAGAACTCGTTTTGCTGAACTAGAGATTCCCGAAGCTCCTGGTACCGGCGAATGACTTCAGACATGAATATTTTAGCCAGGTCGTCTTGCTCAGCCTGGGCAATCCATGAGAGAGAGTTGATGTGGGTTGCCGTTCGTTTCAGGATTGGTAGGATCATGTCTGTTGGATCCACATGGCTTGTCGAAGAGAACGGTGTTGGTTTGATTTCTGTGTTGTATAGATCCATACTTGTTAGTACGTTTTTTGGTAGTCAAACCCTTTGTAAACTAACTTACCAGGTTGATCATCATCCTCCGACTGGATCAACGGCGGTGGATCGGCCAGTTCAGGAATAGCATTGAAATCAGGCTATCAGAAGCAAAATTAGAAGGATCAGACGCAAGTTTGTTATGTGCAGCAAAAAATGCCCAGTTGGAGGCGGAAATGTCTGAACGAATCCTAACCAAACTACCTTCTTGATGTCTACAATTCCCAATGGATGTACAGGCAGAAGATTAAAGCTCACACCAGGAGCACCCAACAATTTGTTTCTGAACGTCCATTCAGCTTTACGAACATCAGCCGTCGTGATCCGTTTACGATGAGACTGGTTCTTTGAGGGTGAATAAGTCGAATAGTCCGTTGGTAGTGACGGTTTGAGGTGTTGATCTTGGTTGAGTGCATCTAGATCGTGTGGTTGAGTGTCGATTGATGTTGCGATTATTGGCGAAGTGGGTATTGCAACCGGTGGAGCGAGGAGGATATCCAGTAGTTCGGTTGATATGTCGACCGTATTTGAGTCGTGATCCGTCCCGTTATGTATCATTGAGAGCCGTTATGCCTTCTTTATGTTGTAAAATATCGGTGTCAGTCCTTTCAAAGATATGAATAAAGGAGCAAGTTAGAATACAAATGTGAACGTGAATTGACGCGTACTATAGTAGAGTTCGTACCTTCATGTCGTATATATACAACCTCTCTCACTCTATAGATCACATTCGCACATTTTGTAAAAACCACAGATATCTAGCATTTGGGAAGAAGATGATGATGATACAAGGAGAGACCAGCATCGAAGCTGTATCAGTGGGGAGACAGTTAAGTAAACTGTCACTATTCAAACCAATCTTGCATGGTAAGCTCAAAAAGACAATGTGTCAATCAATCGAGATTGTAGTTTCAGCTTGATCCAACATTGATGCACATCATTCAATCGCATTTTATTCTTTATTTTACTCACATACATTATTATACAATCTACTTATAGTCGAAGCATGTCTCCATTCCAATTCAACTGCTCGGCATTCCGAAGTTCAAGCTGTAGTCATCAGCTTCCTGAATTCTCAAGCTTCGCCAACCTTAATGATCAATACGAGGATACAGCTATCTGATGTCATCATCATGGACGATCAAGCCGCTACGGCCTTCTTGCAAAGGAATCTGCTGAGCTTGGTGATTGCTGAAGCTAGTGGTGCGTATTGATGCTGTGGATTATTGTGGTTTGATGATAATACCGGTGTATCATTCGGTGGATAGTCGTAATGATTGTGTTGGGGATGATCCATGTTTCAATCCGAGATATTACCGATCTTTGGGTCCTTTTGTCAGCTCACTCATGATCTGCCAATGTTAGGTGCCAAGCTACACATATACACACCAGACCAAGTCATATTAAATGTTCATGTCTTTCAACTGAGTGACGACGAAGGCTGGAATGAAAGAACTGACGACGAAGAGAATGTCGTCGCTGCAAACATTTGTGTATGTTTTGGTACACTTTACAAGGGAACAGCATATTGATTGCCCTCTAACACCTATGATCCACATCAGGACCTGCCTGCTAGACATTTAGATGGTGTTTGGGAAAAGTAAGAATTTCATTCAGTATCGTACTCTCCTTGTATTTTGTCCTTCTTACTACCCTCTCATCCCATTCAAAAAGTTTGATATTTGATGAGGACTTGCAGACACGGCTTCTGGAATACATTACCACATCCACACTTTTTTCTGGTATGTGTCTTTGTGTTTTGTCGACACACATAAGGCCTTTGATAAACAGGTAAATGTATTGACTAAATGTCTATATATAGACAAGATGGTGGACTCCAACATTGTATCTTGGAACAAGATTGTACTTTTGCATGGTATGCTACGTTGATTTGATTCGTCTAGTTTAGTACAAAAACCCGTATAACCAGAGTTCCGTATAGGTCCACCAGGCATGTCAATCTCATCGAAATTGTCTTGGCTGTCGGTTTATCGAATCATGCCCATATTCTATCCTCTTTCTAGGAACTGGAAAGACATCATTATGTCGAGCACTAGCCCAAAAACTCTCAATACGGCTATCAACGCGCTACCCATCGCTAAAATTGGTAGAAATTAACAGCCATTCCTTGTTTTCGAAATACTTTTCGGAATCTGGGAAATTGGTTTTGAACATGTTTTCAAAGATACATGAGCTAGCTGAAGATGGAGAGAGCTTTATCGTTATCCTTATAGGCAAGCGTTCCACGTAGCTTTTTTTGCCCGTACGATTTGTAATCAGACGCACTAATCTATCCTCCCGTTTGTAGATGAGGTTGAATCATTGACTGCCGCGCGTAAAGCCTCTAGCAATGAACCAGGAGATGCTATAAGGGTGGTCAATGCTCTGCTGTAAGTCTCACAGCCAAAAAGATGGTGATGTCGCACTCGGATTGAATCCTACACCATTCCTTATTTTCGACCTGTCATACTCTACTCTACATAGGACACAAATAGACAAGATTAAAAAGTATCGTAACGTCCTGATCATGACAACATCCAACATCACCGATGCCATTGATGATGCTTTTCTGGATCGAGCTGATTTACGACAATACATCGGAAACCCATCACAACGAGCCACATATGCTATGTTGAGTGGATGTGTTGAGGAATTGCTGAGATGTGAGATCATTGTTGCTCCTAGTGATGGTATGACGACAAGTGTTTCACTTGTAAATTGGAGAGAGATTGAATTCTCGAGTGATGAGATGTCTAGAAGGCTTTTTGATATTGCTGGATTGTGTCAAAAGCAGGTATGCGACTTTGGTAGCCATGGGGATGTTGACAATTTTCCGTTTTGTGATGCGTGTTATATGATGAGATCCCCTAGGCATCCTCTAGGATCCCTAGATCCCTCCAGCATGTTTTCGTCGCTAAAGCCTGCTGTGATTTTGTAGGGAATGAGTGGTCGTGGGATACGGAAGCTGCCAATGATTGCGCATGCTCTTTTCGTTCAGGTATTGTGTACAAACGAAAAAGGATGCATATACGCCCTTTCATAATACTGACTTGAATCCTTTGTAGGCGCCTCAAACAACCCTAGACGTATTTTGTCATGCTCTAGTTAGTGCAATTGACTACATGGGACGAAACAAACAGGGTTGAGGGATTGTTGCAAATAAAACATTGTTTAATTTATTTAAATAGATGGGGTACGACGACAAAGCCAACGTCTGATGCTGTTAATGGTACTTCCCCGGATAGGGCTGATTTACGACACGATGTTGGAGATCACAACAAGCTCATTTGCACTGCTGAGTGGAATTATTGGGATTCCAAACAGGACGAGTAGGACGACGAAACTGAACTTTTCATTGGGAAAAAGGTTGAAGTCTCGAGTGATGAATTGTCATGAGGGTTATTGATGCCACTGGATTTTGTCAATTGCAGGTATATTTGAGGTGAAGCATGTACTGACCGAAAGGTCCAAACTTTTTTTTGGAGGCTACAAGAGCAACAAAAACATTGGAGTATCCAGATAAGGTCGACGTGGGCTGTGCTCGTCTCTCAATGGAGAGATGATGAAGCTTAGAATGAAAGAGTTGAAGTTGAAGAGACTGTCGTCGCTACAGCCTTGTCATTCCTACTGTTTCTTTCTGACAATCTTCATTCACATCAGTATGCGTATGGTACAAATCTAGATGGTGCGTGAGAAAGTAACAATCTCATTGGGAGAAATAGGGTCTTCTTTTTTCTCCATCTCAAACACATCCCGTCTCTTAAAACGTCTGACCTATCATAACGACTTGCAGACCTGGATTCTTGGATACAATACTTCCAGTCCAACTGTTTGTGCCATACTGGTGAGTCGATGTGTTGAAGCGTTGCTGAGACGCGAAATCGTTGCTGCTCTCAGTGATAGTATGACGACAACTTTTAATTTATGGATGCAAATATGTGTACAGATTTTAAAAACCATCTCCACTATACAATAAACACCCCTATTGTAGACATACACCTGTTCAAGAGCACGCAAGCACCCTAGTCTCTAAGCGGCGTCTGTCCCGACACAACACTAGTCTGCTTCACATCATCCAAATCCGCTCTCGCCCTCTTAACCTCAATAGCAAGCTGATCATACAAGCTCGCCTTCAGCACCCCGACATCCGCATCCCACAAATCCTGAAACTCCCATTGTCCAGCACCCCTTTCCACATCCGACAATATAATCCCTGCACCACCATCATTCTTCCACCATTCACCATCGACATACGGATCAGGGAACTCTGGACGCACCCAAGACTCTTCCCTCGCTCTCTTGTGACGATCGCGATCTTCTTCGATTTTACGTTGTATTTCAGCGTATTCTCGTTTCGTTTCTTCGCGTGGTTGGCGAAAGAGGTTTGCTATGAGGCCTGAGATGTCTTCTGAGGGGATTAGGTGGGAGGATTTTAGTTCGGTTTCTTTGAGGTAGCGTTCGGCGGTTTCAAAGTTTTGTTTGTGGGGTTCGTAGTCAGGGCCGAGGACCTTCCTCCATCCTGAGAGGACCTGTGTAAGCGTGAGTGATGGTGTGTGTGTGTGAGTGAGTGAGCGAACAAAGTGCAGTGCCAGACAATGATGGGTCAACCAGACACTTTCTCTACACGTATCAGGATATACATTACCTTACGAACAGTAACAGTAATAGCATCAGGATCCGGTACAAGAGCATGGACCAGCTTCACAATGTCTGCAGCAAACCGTTCAACATAGACAGCACAATCCACTGCAAAGCCCCGAGGTTCTTTTGATTTACGATCATGAGCTTGCTTAACTAGTCTATCCACTACGCATAACAGCAGTAATCTCTTTGGTGCGTCTCCCTACCATGATTGTATGGTGTGAGCTATTGCAATGCTCAAAACACACATATTTGATGTTGTGATGTCTTGAACAACACCAACACAATGCAATATTGGTTTACATACCGAATGAGCATATAGTGTCTTCCACAGCACTTCACTCAAGTCAGTAGCAAAGTGTGCATTCGTCATTGCGAATTTGACTAGAGCAGCTACATCATTAGTCCTTTTGGTTTTATGAGTGTCGAGGGATTCTAGGAGATCGGTAAAGTGCGTGGTTGCCATGAAATCATCTTGATAGATGTCATCGCTCATGGCTTAACTATGTTCAATAGCTGCGAGCTGTTTTGTTCGGATGTTTGGATTTTGAACGTGCCATAAGAGCTAGTATTGGAAGAGAAGCTGATGGGAGAATCGCGGGTAGATGCTATTTGATAATTTGGATACAAATTCGAGATTGGAAAGCTGTGCGTGAGATGATCTCGATCGCAGCTTCCTGCCTCAAAGCAACCTTCACAGCAGGAACGAAAGATATGAGACAACCAAAGAGTCTTTGAATAAAGCAAATTAGTTTCCATTCATTTCATCAGCCAGCACGTTGTAATTCGGTCAATACACTCTGATCAATGGTTTCCAAAGCTCCTCTCCAAATGTTGGATGTCAAAATATGTATTGTGGGTATAAAAGCCGTCAGTATCGAACTAGGTCATGTACCAAACGTGCTCAAAACTAATATGAAATCTACATTGTCATCAATAACCACCCAACTCCTCCTCTACTAGCCCCTCACATTCAGCAAAAAAGAGAACTGAATTCTAACACGCGATCGCTCACGTCTTGCACCAGATTTCATATCAAATGACTATATCTCATGCGAGATACCTCCTCTCCACGTCCTGAAAACATCTCTGAGTCTCCTTTGCCTATCTCTTTACATCCATTACGAACTTTTATAAACGCACGAATCCATCTGTATTGACTAGGAAAGTTACAAAAGGGAGACCGTGGCGTACGTTCCTGCCACTCATCATTGACACGGACGCCTTCGTATACTGATGTACTTCGAGTAGATCAGCTCAAAAGCTCAAATTGTCACTATTCGTACTTGTCAAGCGTTCAAATCTGTGGATACTGCATTCTTGAATACATTCGCATAGTTTAGCGCAAGATTCTTGGACGGAACGCCTTGAAATATCTTGTATCGGCTTCTCTCCCTTCTGCTCCGCAAGTTTTGGATTAGATAGCTCGTCACTGGATTTCGACATTTTGCAACATGGACATCATGGGCAAGTTTTCACACAACCTTCAACTGAATACAGCACAAGCTAATCTTTTCATTACACAGATATGATAAACGAGGACGAACTCGTGGTCTGCCCTCTATGCATGGACCTAATCCCATCCTCTGACCTCGAAACTCACTACATGTCTGAAGTCGAATCATTCAACTTTATGGATACAAATCCGCATTCTTCCTTTAATGGAACAATATCGGTGCCTGCATTCGAGTTGTGTGATGCTCCTTTGCTCAAGCTGTAAGTGTGTTATATGTCACCCACAATCCATTGCAGGTGTCTTAGTAGTTCTTTTTTTGGCTAGGGACGAACCAATACCCAGTAGCACGTCAAGCAGCACTACTACGATATCCTCAACATCAGATACACCAGAAACAACCCGCAAATCACGTCGCGGTGCAGCCGTAACCGCACGCCAAAACATAAAAGCAGCAGTTAAAGGCAAACGAGCTCCTCCACCCCCAACAGCCGTCCCAGACACCACACGCACACGACGATCCAAATCCCCTAAAAAACCAACCACCACCACAACCTCAGCATCAAAACAGCCAACCCCACCAACATCCTCTTCTTCCACACCCCGCCGCTCCCCATCCTCAGACTATGAGACCTACACATGGGCAGGCGTAACCCGCGTGCGTGCAACCACCCTCCTCGAATCCAACAACTATGCCGCGAACGGATGGGCCGTAAACAAGAAAACCGATGTGGATGTCGACGATGATATCGATGTGGATGGGAATGAGGTCAGTATGGGGGGTGTGCAGTACACGGAGAAGGATTTGAAGCGGTTTTATCTTGCCGATGATGATGTGAATGGTGGTGGGGGAGAAGGGGGAGAGTATGAGCATGCGCCTGCGCCGGTGGTGCCGGTAGATGAGAAGGTGGTTAGGGAGATGCGTGTTGATATTGAGGGGGATGAGATTGATGAAGGTAACGTTCCTATTATTGAATGATTACTTTACGTTTCTTGCGCCATTAACCAGTTTTTTAAAATAGCTGAAATAGAACATGCAATCGCAACAGCTCCACCAGACTATAAGCTCGTGCTGGAAGCACTCAAGACACGTTTACGACATCTGGTGCGTTTCTCACCACCATGCTGCCTTATCCTCTTTTTTTTCTCACTCACTCACCATTTTATTTCATAGGAGGACTCCCAAGCAACAAAACAATCCTCAAAATGCCTCATCTGTCTAGACGCATACACAAACCCATGTGTGTCGATCGTGTGTTGGCATGTGCATTGTGAATCGTACGTCAAACATCCACCTATCCTCGAGTCACTAATCTTTTTTTCTTTATCTCACACTTTTCTATATTAGATGCTGGCTGCAAACAATAGCAGCGAAACGGCTATGTCCGCAATGCCAGAAAATCACCGGACCAGTTGACTTGCGTCGTATCTACATGTAGAAAAGCAACATTTATTATTTTGTATATGATGTAACCATAGCCAATGAACATAATTCCACACAGACAAATAGTTCAAGATGTGAAACCTTTTATTTCCAATAGATAAGGGGTATAAAGATATTGGCACAGAAATGCTTTTGAGATATGATAAATACGACATTGCATTCTTAGCTTTCTACCTTATTGAATTACATACTCTTTTTTAGTATACATAAACACACACGTCGTTCTATAAATACAAGGCACCCCCCAAAGAGACTTCCCAGGTCTCTCTTCACTTCTTCTACAGTTACAAATACACGCAACACCACACCCTCCATTCTATGACCGGTACGTCCCACTCCCGCTCCCACCACCAAACCCAGACTCTGCACCCGGCTGCATTGTCGAATACGTCAGGATATTATCCTGTTGCTGCATACTATTCGGCGGGATGGCTATACCACTGTTACTCCCATACGGTGTTGCACTTGCAGTTGGTGCGTAATCCAACATACTACTATACATTCTCTGCTGCTGAGATGTATGCATCATCTCGTCCTGCTGTTGCGATACAGGCGGCGCAGTGGTAGCATACATGGGATTCAAGGGCATACGCTGCAACCCCTGTTGCGCGTTCCGTAACTGTTGCTGCTGCTGATATAGTTGTTGTGATGTATCCGTTCCGAATCCGATGAAATCACGTACATTTACAGCTGGCTGCATTCCTCCTACTTGTCGAGCATCCACCTGCTGCAATTGCTGTTGAGACTGCTGTTGCTGTTGGATCTGCTGCTGCTGAAACTGCTGTTGTTGCAACTGCTGTGTTTGGAAGAGCCGTTGGTTTAATGAATCCAGGAGTGTTGTGCTTGATGGATGAGGGAGTGTGATTCCGCCTCCAGCAGCACCACCACCACTGCCCATGTTTACCATGTTTACTGGTGGTAGTGGGTTACCAACAACCATATTACTATTGTTTGGCTGGTTACTACTGCTCATTCCAGCATTATCAGGATACATCATACTACTAGACGGCGGATGCAACCCATACGATGTCATACTTCCAGGAGCTGTATGGTACCTCCCGTGAGACGGAAATGGGATTGCACTTGGTCTCGTAACTACAAATGGCGGTAGTGATGGCAGCAAGGCGATATTATTACTGTTATACCGTGGTTCGTTCGGCATGGCTAACGGATTGGTTGGCATCGGGAGACCACTGCTACTACTATTAATACTGGTGCTACTACTATTGCTACTTGCACCACTATTGGTATTTGAACCAAAGAATCCCATCCTGTTATCATTAGGTTTACCCGTCCGAAGTTGGATTCCTCCGGAATCACCCATCTCAGACCTCATCAAATCCACACTGCTTCGTATACTACCACCACCATACCCCTGCTGCTGCTGTTGTTGCTGTTGCTGTTGAGATTGCGACAACAGACTAAAGCTAGGATGCGGATCAATATCCAATTTGGTATCTGCCCTCGGCAAATACCGATTTGGAATCGCTGGAACTGGTGGCAGGTCAAACAGACTCCGTGGACTTCCTGATGACTCGTATGACATGTACGTGTCTCGGAGTGCTGGTAGAGACTTTGTACGTGGTGGGCCTGTTCGTGGTTCAGTAGCATATCGGGGATGGTCTAGTGTCATGGTCGGTGCATTCCGTAGTGGGCTGCTGCTGGTTGGAGATGTTGATAGCACACCTCGCATGGGTGATCCAGGTTGCTGTTGTAGTTGACTTGATGATGGTGATGAGGTATACAAAGGTTTTGGTTGTCCTACTACAACAGACTGGTGTAGCTGTTGTTGTTGCTGCTGCTGCTGAAACATGATATCAAAGGCATCGTTTGATGAGCCATACATTCCTGCTAGCTGTTGTTGTTGCTGCTGGATACTGTTTTTAGGTGACTGAGTGTCGAGTTGTTGAAGTTTGAGTGCAGAGCGTCGAGAGTTACTATATTGTTCAGGCTAATTGAGAGCAAGAGTTAGTATGCATCGTATCAATGATGGTTTTTCTTGCATGTGCGAAAACCACTTCCACAAACTTACTATCGGCGGAAGAGGAGGCGGTGGAGCATACGAATCCCACGACTGCTGCTGATAGTACGGATTACCCGGATTAATCACCAATTCAGGCAGCGATCTCTGTTTCCTTATACCCGTAACCGAGTGATAAGCTGTCCGACCAGGTCCCCCACCAGAGTTAAACCCATCATTATAATACCCGTCTCTATTCAAATCGTTGATATCTACAGCCGAATCCAGTCCAACATCAATAGAATTACCAGTAATCTGCAATTTACCAGCCGCAACATTCATTGAAGCGACACCAGAAGAATATCCGACATCCGTGAAAACACTGCTTGTGCTAGTCCGTATGCTTCCGGTCGTATTGGCACCGGTACTAGATCCCCGCTGATATGGCGATAGTATGATGGCAGGCGATTCAGGCGAGTTCCGTTCAGATGATGGTGGACTGTTTCCTCCTCCAGTGCCGCCAGTCATGATCGGTCCTGTAATCCCAGTATTGGTACTGCTCCCATCCTCAAGAAAGACACCAGCCCGCCCAACACTCTTGATCTGATTTTTTATCTTTGCTCTCCGATTCTGAAACCATACTTGGACAACCCGTCCAGGCATGCCCAGCATTGCAGCCAATCTCTCCCTGGCGGTCGCATCAGGCGATGGGTTTTTCTGGAAATGGTCCTGTAGAGCAGCTAATTGCTCAGGCGTAGCTCTTACTCGCTTCTGTTTTGGTTTTGATTCAGTTGATTTCAGTTGCTGTTTAAACGACTCAAGCGTGCTGTTTACAAAAGCGAGTGTGGGAGATGTTGATTGTGAGGGAGAGGACGAGGACGATTGAGCTACAGAGGTGGGATTTCTTGAGCTGGATTTAGGAGTATTCGGTCTTGGGAGTGGCGGATCTTGTTCGTCATCGTTCTCCAGTCCGATATTGGGATTCGACATGGGCACGGCTGGTTTGTTACGTCAACCACAAGATATGTACCCGGAAGTGCCCCCCAACAAGCTGTACACCACAAAAGTATCTATGTATTACACCATCCACACCGGGTCTTCTCAATCTTGCTCGACAAAACACCGAAAACCCTTTTGTTGGTCAAGAAAGAGATTTCAGTTTTACGGCGTGTTTTAAACTGCTCTAGTCGGGGAACTGGACTGTGCACCCACTTACTTCGCAGCGCCACCCTATAATAGCTAAATTCCTGGCCACCTTATTATACTCACTTGTCCTCTATCCTGTTCATCGTCTACAGTTTTGTGGTTGCAAAGTGAGACAAGTTAATCCCAACGAGCCTCAGGAAAGAGAAAGAAATACAATCTTGCTTGGTACCTTGCGAGGTGCTGATACCACTGTTGGACGCGTACAATTCCACCCGTAGATATTCTTTGGGTCCGCTGTAGATGTTTAAACCAAGTGTGGACGTTTTTGGACGGCGTGTCGGAGCTTGATAGTCGTGGACCTAGGCAGCTTCCCGGAGAAACAAAATTCTAATCGAACGTTGTACGCTGTCTCAGACACGAACTTCTCCACGGTTTGGATTCAGACTCTTGTGCTCAAGTCGCGTCCTCGATTCGAGTCCCCTTCACACTCACTCTCTCCTCGACCCTCGAGCTCTGCTTGATGCAATCTAATGTAATACGACATCAGCACGTGTAAATCGTAATCAGTGTATCGTCGTCATTGTAATGGTAATCGCAGCTCCAATGTCGGGCTTTTAAGGAAATCTAATCTTCATTCGATTTCGTTATATACAAGCATGGTCTGCTCCAAATCCTCTCGTATCTCCATCATGTCCTCCATACTACTTCCACTCGTAATGCGCTCTAAAGGCATGGCCACTCGTTTAGGAAGTGTCTTTAATTGTTGGATTACTTCTTGTAATGTTTCCTTGATTCGAGCTGGTGTTCGGATACGCACTAGCATCGATTCTTGTTTCGCTACAAAACAGAAGATATTCACAATATATATGAGCCAAAAAAATCGACTGTAAGACGAGAAGATTGGTTGAAAGCTTCGTACCTATATGATCACTTCCAAATAGTTGTGGGAAGGCATCTGATATCGGTAGTCCTTCATTCACCACAATGCTAAATAGTTCAAGTATCAATTTGCTTCTACAATGTACCAAAGCTTTCTCCAATAAGGCGAACTCACCTTCGTGACTGACCGGCAAATGTAGGAAACGAAGCTGCGAAATCATTTAATGCTTCTTGTTGGTGTAGCATACTTGGTATCCTATTTGAATGCTTTTGAGATTAGACACCACTAAGCAAAGAACAGGCTACCTCAGAACGAACACTCACTTGCTACGAGCTTGCCCTTGCAAATCACACCCAACACCCCGCAAAACAGTATACGATCCATTCTCATGCTCGACTTGTTCATATCCAACACGTAACGTCACATCTCTAAACCAATTAAACTTGAATCCTGGCATGGGATTATATGACAAAAGTTTTCGAAGTGTAGCATCATCGTGGATTTGACGAAGTGGTAGAGAACCACAAATGGCAGCGATCTTGGTTGATTGGTTTGAAGACACCATTGGTGCGGCCTCATAGATGTATAATGGATTCGTAAATGTCCTATAGAGGAAATGGCTTCAGTGTTGGCGGCCAAAAAAGACAAATATACCTCGCACGAATCACATACCGGAATGGAAGTGTTGCAGTCTCAATGAGAGATGCCAGGTATGCACTTGAATGATATCGTAGATTGAACTAGGATCGAGAATAATCAGCCAGCTTTTTTGGCTTTCAACGGACACATAGACATACCTTAGGATTCAAGTACCTTGACCATCCATTCGGATCCAATTCAGATTGCAATGGTGACGAAACAGGTATATAAATAGATGAGGTATCTTTCAAGTACCGTAAACATTGTATCTGATTCACATTCTCAAACATCCGTTTTTGCTAAAAGACAAGAAAAACTCAGCATTCTCATTAGAACAACGATGTGATCAAAGCACACCACGTACATAATCCTGCAGATTTCCAACAACAGGATCCTTTGTCTCTGAAACTCCAAAAGTCATGAATGTCGTTTTTGGCATATCATCCAGTAACGCTTCCATAATACTCGTAGTCAGTCCTCCAAATGCATTATTTACATCAGTCAAGACTTGGAAGCCTTGCAATGAATCGCAGTCTTCCAAGAAGGATCTGATTCGATCATCAATGACTTCGTCTCTCTAAGCAAAGGTTGAATGATGAGAAAACAAAGGCAAAAGAAACAAACGGAATGCGTCCTTGGATTCTTACGAATTCAACATCACTCAACACATCTCTTCCAGCTCCATATAGCGCAAAAGGAGTAGTTGGATTCTCATGTGTATAGTTGGGCACTTGAACGATTGATTTTGGATGATAGGATAGTTTCGAATAGTCCGACCATACACGGACTGATGATTCTAGAATGTCTGAGAATGATGGTGGCGGTATTGGGTGCTGTGGCTGCTGCTGTTGTTTGCCTTGTGATGGTGAGCTGGATGATGAAGAGGCCACACTTGTAGCATAGTCGTTTTGGAATTTGATGAATGCGTTGTGTGGATGTTCTTCTTGTTTGAAAGTTTCGACGTTTCCAGTCCTATTACGTGGAGATTATGAACAAAACGACTTGAAATTTTGTATATAAATGAGAAGAGACAGAGATCAAATGGCTTCTCGTACCATGTATCAGCAAGATTGTGAGCTTCACCAATTTCACCACCCTTTTTCAGCGCCCCAAAGCTTCCTGAAAATACGATTCCCATCAGATCTAACGAACTAAAACAACTGCTCTCAATAGTAGATCTCACAGACCTTGCAAGTCAAAGATCACGACTCTAGGTTCATAAGATTCTCCATGACGTGTTTCTAGAGTTCGAAACATGACATTGTGATCTATTTCAGATGAAGCACCTCCATCTTCGGTGGCAGAAAAGTATGCTTCCTACAATTGACTGTTGGTTTGAGTGTTCGAGTTGATAAATGTGATGAATGTGATGTCCAATGTTTACCTGAGTATTCCATAGATGCGTTCCAATATAATTCGAATAGTGGCCCAACTGGAGGGTGATGATCTCCTTGCTGGTAGTCATCCTGTATTAAACTAATAAAGCTCTCTGATCGAACCTGAAATAATCAGCATTTTGCGGCTACTTAAAGCTTTACGAACAAACAAGGAACGAGATGCGAGGAACATTCCTGATACGTGCCTGCAATGGATGCGCTGCGAGGAGGCTAATACTTCCACGGCTTATTAACAGACAAGTGCTTCGACATGTATCATCAAACAACACAAAAGAGCCCATCTCGCCATTAACCAAACATTTGATCGACACTATCAAAGTACATCCATTTTCTTATTTATAACGCGTAATCACGTACTGACTCTATTCTTTATACTAAGATATCTGGACCAATGTCTGTAGCTCAATACATGAGACAGGCATTAACCCATCCAAGTGGTGGTTACTACATGCGAGGCGACGTATTTGGAACCGACGGCGACTTCACTACGTCGCCAGAGATATCTCAAATGTTTGGAGAGGTGAGAGCAATAGACGTGTTGCATTAGAGAGCTTCAACTACATTTTTTGCACTGATCATTGACAGGTACACATTTCTCAAACAGATCATGGCTATCTGGTTTATAACGCAATACCAAAGTCATAACTCTCCCACAAGCTTCCAAGTCATTGAACTGGGTCCTGGTCGTGGTACTCTGATGGCTGATCTGATACGGGTATGTGCCAGAACACGAGTACTGACTCATCTTTATTCACTTTATACTCATGTAGACATTCACGCAATTCCCATCACTACGAACATCCTTGAAATCCGTGCACCTTGTGGAAGCAAGTCCAGCACTTCGAAAACATCAGGCCAAAATATTATCTCTGAATTCATCTAAACCTACATGTGATGATAATGGAACGCCCGTGTCTATGCAACGTGGTGATGGTGTACATGTTGTGTGGCATGATAGTCTTGATGAGGTTCCAAGAGGTAAGTTGATAAATGAGTGTGGTGAACTTTGGAAGCGCAATAAAGTGACTGTTACCCATTCACTATTAGATGCGTGGTCTATGCTCGTCGCACATGAATTTCTAGATGCTATGCCTATCTACAAGTTTGAGGTAGCTTCAAGTTGCTAGTGACATATTTGTTCAAGCAGCAGATGCAAACACCATTTTCAACTAGTTGACTCAAAATGGATGGAGGGAGATTCTAGTAGATCTAGATGATGCACCATCAAGGTCTGAGGTTATCGTTGTGCTCTGCTTTTTTGCCCCATCATTAAAATATCCATTTGTCAATTCAACAGCCCATACCACTTCCGATTCATAACAGCTCCAACACAAACCAAGGCATCCGTAACGATGCTTTCACATCCTCAATTCCAACCGGCTCATAATCCATATACCACCACCAAAACAACATCCACATCCACAGATGCAGAAACAAAGGACGAAGCAACATATACTTACAAGCTCGGCGACCGAGTAGAAATCGCTCCTGATGGATGGGGTGTTGCACGTTCCATCAGTCAGTTTATATCAGGAACAGACGCAACATCATCGCCAGCATCAGAGGCTGCTGTGAAAAAGTATCCAGGTGGTGTAGGTTTGATTTGTGATTATGGGAATGATTGGACTGAGGGTGATTCGTTGCGGGTGAGCGCCAATTGCTGGGAGTTATGTTGGCTTTTTTTTGTGTAAGTTGACTTTTAGAAAAACCGTTTTCAGGCAATCAAAAAGCATAAACATGTACATGTGCTGTCCACTCCTGGTGAATGTGATTTAAGTGCTAATGTGGATTTCAGTCTTGTTAAAAGTGCTGTTGATGAACTTGGTAAGTAACAGCAGCCATCTTTGCTTCGCTTTTTTCACGACTTTTTTTGCAAAGTCGAAATTGAAACACGAATTTATCTCTGTAGCATCTGCACACGGCCCCATATCCCAAGCAACATTCTTACGACTCCTCGGTATAACAACTCGACTACAGAAACTCCTGACTGTAGCAACAAGTCAAGAGAAACGCAAGGAATTAGCACAGGATTATGATCGGCTCGTGTCGAAAGTTGGTATGGGTAGTGTGTACAAGATGTTGGCTGTGACTCCTAAGGGACTTGCGCCCCCGTTTCCGTTTATTCCTATGGCGGAAGCTAAACCGGTGCAGACATCGGAGAAGTCTTCAGAGGCATAAAGAGTTTTAAATGCAAAGTACGATGCATTTTTGCTTGGTAGATTTTTGTGAACTCTTGGACTACCTTGTCTTCCCTCCCATTCTCAATATCAATAACCATTTGCATAGTAAACATATTTAGATCTTTTCCAAAAACTACACTTCCTTTGCAGAAATAATTCGAGCGTCAAAAATCTGGAAGCAAAAGAAGCCGGCCTGTTAGTCTCAGCATCCATGTTCTAAGTATTAGGTTGGTAGAAAAATAGATTTTGCGCTTGGCCATCATCAGTTCTCAATGTCACGTAGAGAGAGGTCATGAAGAAATTGATTTTGACAATGACGCAAAGTGCGATTTAGTGCTCCACTTCATGTCTGCACTCTGCCCCTGAGCAACTATCACCACCTGCGTCCAAGGGGGTTAAAAGTTGCATTGAAGTCTGGCCATAGTCATAAGACCATATCAGCACTGATCGAGCCGGGAAGCTTCAAAAGATACGATATCAGTACCAACTGCTTGTTTCGATATGATATGCTGCTCAAATGAACTGTAGCAGACTTTGAAACAAAGTTGGGTTTCCAGAATTTCTAACATATGGACTAAGTGGGCCCTAACGAACTTGCTGCCGGTGCTGCTTGCTTGCTTAGATCTGATCGCTGCTCAAATGGACTGGACAATTCAAACGTGGTTTGGGTTCGAGATTTCTGAGCGCGGAATTAGAGGGTGTCGCTGTAGCACTGCAGGGCAGCGGTCCATTGTCAATTGCGACAGATTCAATCATTAATGTCCATTGAAAACTGGATGCTACCTGCTTCAAGCTCCAGGAAGGTCTTGTTCGTTCTCTATCAACCCCACTGGAAAACCACAGGCGTCTCTGCAGCGTTATAAAGCAAACCTCCATACAAACTTGCGGAAGATTCAGCTGAAAATATGAATTTCATAAGAGACACAATTTTCTTTCAGCCGCAGAAACGTCTTATTGAAGGTCTTGACAGTACCAGGCGAAATCAACTGGTATGTTTCTGGTCCCGTTGGGCAACTACGCGCACACTAATATAGTAGATTAAGCTATATATATCAACAATCCAGCGAGGTTAGCTTGCTTCAACCTCCAAGCCCTTCTTTTGGTGGTCTTAGAGCTACCAAGCGACTTTGTCTGTTATGTTTCTTGTCACTCTGGGGTCAATGCTCAAGTAAAGCAGATCCAGCTCTAACGAACAAGAACAACCTAGCGAATTCCCATTGTATCAACGTCCAGAAGCGCTTTCTTCATCACAAAACCAGGTGATTCTTATAAGCTACAAAATATATTGCTAGTTTTAATGCTGTACAAATCATTTCTTCATGTTATCCTTATTCCGCATGTTGCTATTCCTTCCTACTACTATACTCTGCTTAAGACGTAAACGAAGTAAGGCCTCCAGTGGTGTGCCAGAGGGATTCTCCAATCGCAAATTCTTCTTCAACCTGTTGAGCCCCATCAAAACCGACAAAGGCACTGTTTGCATTCCCAAAAGACCCGATAATCGAAGTCCAGATATCTTCCTGCGACTCTGATCCGACACTATTTCCATACGACGACGACGTTGCTGATGATACATGGTGACCCGCTTCGATACTATGGGAGAGGTCGGACAAGTTTGCAAACATGTTGCTAAACAAGGCGTCAACCTCAGGGAGTTTCGGAGACTGATGGTCGGGGTTATCATACTGCTGTTGTAGTTGTTGTGTGGTGGTAGTGTTGAGTGGACTAGAGGAGGTCTGATTACGGATGATGGTATTATTGGTGTCTGTATTGAGGATGTTTGCAATGTCGACATCGATATTGAAGGTTGCTGTTGTTGGTTGTCGTTGAGATTTATCGTTTCCGTTGATTTCTCCGATAGCTTTGAGCAGCTCCGCGGCAGGGAAACAACACTACTATTGCTACATGAATTATCAGTAGTGTTGCGACCGACACTGACCACTGCTGGGGGTGTCGGATGCTGCTCTTGGCTGTTTGGAGGAGTCAACGGGACGAGTGATGGAGAGCGAGATATAGTAGACGAGGACGGTGACGGTGACAATGATAATGGATGATTAGATATAGGAGTCTATAAAGAGTGATTGTTGGATGAGTTCGAGTTCACGAAGGATAGAGAACAGCAAATATAGGGTATGCACCATCATATTATCACCACACTTACGTTGATATGTTGTGCAGATGAAGACCCGAGTATGGCAGCGACCTGAGAGGCCAGAGCACTCAGACGTGCTTCCAAAGAAGAGTTCTGGGCTTCCAGTTCCTTGACCCGTTGAATCAGACGTTCATTTTCGACGGCCAAGTTGCCGTTTGACTTTTCCAACTGTTCAGCTTGCTTTCTCTTCTTGGCTCTGGAAGCATTGGCTGCAGCTCTATTACGCATGATTCTATAGTGTGGAGGGAAAGTGGAAGTGAGTTTGATAGAAGGTTGAGTGTGTTTGCATAGAGAGTGCAAAAATGTGTGGCGGACATTGAAACTATGAGGCTGAAAGATTGAAGACTAGGAAGGAAAACATACCTGGCCTGAGTCCGTTCTTCACGAGTCTCGACAGGATACCTTCCGCCGCCCTATTGTCAGAAAGTCTTGGGTTAGCTGTTGGCCTTGATACCCAACACACAACACGTTTAGAATGTCATCGAAATGTTGGCCGTACCTTGTTCTTCTTTGTAGGAGGAGCTCCTTCATACTCTGGTGAGGATTGTGGGACATATAATAGAGAAGGATCGACGTTCATATCGTCTTCAGAATAGTAGTTGTCTTGCCCTCCAGCTTCCATTGTCGAATGAGGTGATTGATGTTGATGTAAGGATGTCTTAATAAAGATATATAAGAGTAAGTGGTCGACTAGATATGGTATGAAGCTGGAGGCGTTAGTGATATGAGGTAGAATGGATCAGGTGGCGTCTTTTGTAGTGTTTGTTGATTCCACGTTGGAGGTGTGCGTTGGAAGTGAGGGCTTGATTTGAAAAAAGCATAAAACAGTGAAAGATTTTAGCAAAAACGAACACACGGGGAGCTCAGGAGGAATAAGTACACGTAAAGAGTCGAATATCAAGGTCGAAAGGCCGCTGTGGCTCATTGGGAGGCAAGCTTTTCGATTCTTAAAATTCAAGCTGTTTTCGAAGAGGGCGATATTACGATAGGAGGCGCTATAAGCATTCTAACACTTTCCCTGCACAACTAGTGCCTATACCCTTTGGCTCACTCTCTGCCACTGTAACGGTCGGTTTTGTGGCTTCAGTTGGGTGGGGTTTTTTTGTCTTTGCTTCTGACTAGCCTTGAGCCCTGTATGATACGTCCCGTAATTTGAAAAAATATGCAACCGACGCGAGATACGCTATTTACATGTTTACATTTCGTATGCTCGTAAATTACAAAATTTCGAGAAAACACAACCGTTCAAATATGCAGGAGATCTTGGTGATACAAACCAGTTTGCTGGAAGCGATGTCATTGAAATAATATCACTCTGCCGTCTGTAGTAACGATTTCCTTAGGCAAATGCAAATGCACTCTAAGCATCCAATGGCAAATTAGTCTGTTTCAATGAAGCATGCGTCCTCCAGGGAAACTTGTCGATGGTCGATGGATGTTGATTTCAGGCAAACAGGCCAATGTGGAGCCTAGTGACGTCAATATGAGTTTGAAACAATGCATCAGGTGAAATCAAAGACATGGCTTCCGTTGGGAAAAAAGCGACCGCTAGTACAAAGTGCTGTTCCTTCTTCAAAAGCAAAGAAAATTGTTTTGAAAGAGATTCTCCTGACGAAAGGATCAAGTCACCCTGGTAAGTCACAAATCCTCAAGAAAATACCTCAAAATGCAGGCAGGTGCCAAGGCCTTTGACGTACGACCAGTTGCGAACGTGTTGATTGATGCGAGATTTTGTTTGCCTTTTTAAACGTGATGCGCGATACCCTCATTACGCTATAAATGAGGGTGTTTGCCAGAGTCGAGCACTTTTTAAGAGAACGGAAGTATGTTAAAGTCAAGGGTCTGTTTGTTTTTTTACTGCGTCGAAACGACTCGAGTTCAACATATCTATTTAGACCCTGATGGATTTGATTCGAGTGCGGTGGTGTCGTCAACGGAACATTAGTGTAAGATTGGAAACTCTGCATCAACCTCCGAATGATTGGCGGACCCCCATCTTTCACGTCTTGACAACCTCGACCGGAGACTATTTGACAATGGAGAAAGGATGCTTAATCTCCATTAGAACGCCAAATAATCTTTTGACAAACGATTTCGCTACGTGACGAGAATGACTGGGGAAGATTCGAAGGCTCCATCACAGCGGTGGTCCATCCCGTTGTGGGTCTTGCTACTTTGTGAGTAGTCTACAGTGGTAGCTTCACTGGTTTCTCGAAGCCATTCTCTCTACTTGCATTCCCTCTGATAATCCTCCATACGTCGTCCTAGCTTCTATGCTTCTCATAGGACTGACTCTTTCGCTGGTAATTGGTTTGGTCTCGTCATGGGCTACCGACACCTCCCTAAATAATCTCGGTAACTCCCTCGAGACCACTTCCATGGATAGAATCACTGACGCGGGTATGTTATCGCGTTTTCTATTTCCTAATCGATAAGGCACACTGTCGGCTGGAGCTTACGAATCCACACACTATGGTTTTTCTAGTTACAGCGATGTTATTGGAAATCGAGAATGCCTTCTACACGATGACGACCAATAGCCTTTTCGGGACTCTCCGAGATCTAGATCCAACGGTGAAAACCACAGGAGTGACCACGGCCCACCTTACACAACAAGCTTCAGTCCTGGCGCTCCTGTATTCTACCTGCACTAAAATCGTTTCCTGCCAAGGCGCTGGTGGGTCTCGTTGGTGGTTTATAGGGTGATTGTTGCTGACGATTCTGATTTTCGTAGGATTCTAGTGAGTAGTAGTTGTTGTTGTTATACAGTGACCAAACTCATTTTTCATCCTTGCCTTGCCAAGCTATGGAGACAATGGTGTAGCGGGCTATATAGCTCCGTCTAC